AAAAAATGTATTATAATATTACACAGAAAATAAATATCATTTCAGTAGTAATAATTAGATTGCTCTCAGAATTGGTGTATATATACTCTCAATTTAATACTTTTTGTTTTACAAAGGTGAATTCTTCCTAGTTTAAAGTCATTTTATTTAGAATTTACTTTTGATGACTTCTCTTTTAAATTATGTGGTACCAGGTATTCTCAACTACATACTTTGCTCAACTGTAAATGATCTATTATTCACTACCAATAATTTTCAGATTCTTTATTTGAGTATTCAGTCAATTACACTACTATCTTTAGAAACTATAATTTACCTAAATTCAAATTAAGAAATTATCATCTACTTAGTATCAAAAGCTTTAATAACATATGCTTAAGTTAAATATGCATCAAAGTATAACCTACCTATTAATTACTTTAATTAACAAGACTAAGTCAAGATTTACATAATTGTATTTTCAATTCTATCGATACCATACAATTTTATGCCATTCACAGATTACATATCTAAATCTCACTGTATAAGAGATAAGTAACAATTTCATGACATTATGTTATAGTTTGGAAGAATTACCTAATTTATCTAATTTTTAATAGGATATATTACTAATTAGTTATTTTAATAATAAAGCACATAGTAATTTTAACATGTATAATTTGAAACAATATTTAATGTCTTTGGTGTATTGTACACTTTATTTAATATGATTTACTTGATTGATATGATATATAGAAAGATAACCAAAAATTATATCTATTATTACAAGCCTTTAGTAAAAATAGATGAGCTAATCACAATTATTAAAAAATCTCCTAACATTCTATATTTAGAAATAGTAGATATTGAAGGCATAACCAAAGTATAAGGCCAACAGATAATAGATAGGAAGACATTATTAGAAAACTTTAATAAGAATTTGTCATTAGAATAAAAGCAAATACTTTTTAATTTGTTATTTTGGGAGCATCCTATTTAAGACTAAAAATATTTTAAAATTTATATTGGAAATTTAATATAAATATATCAAGCTTCTTCAGCTTATTACTCTTTCTTCTTTTTTGATATGATATTAGATGCTATTCAAAATAGAGAAAATCTAACACAGAGATATTTAATAAATAAAAATTTTACAGGCCATTAAGAAAAGAATAGATTTTTTAATGCTATATTAAATAGAATGTTTAAATTTGGATATTCTTATAAAATAGTTAATCTATATAAAACACAAGCTAAGAATTAAAACATCAAATAGATTTGCTAGTAATTTCATTCTTTAATTTTGAATACAGTTTCTTTCTATAAGAATATTCCTTCTGAAATACCTTTAAATCCTTAGTAACTATACTATGATCTTTACGAATAATGACGATCAAATTTTCGTATTGATTTTAATAATATAAAAGCTTTTAAAGCTATTATTTAATTATCTTACATACTTGAATATTTCAAAAAAGTGAAATATCTTTCTCTTCAAATTAAAAAAACTTTGACAACACTAAAAATTTTATTGATTTTAGAAATTTTATATTTTACTTTTAAAATAATACTATTTATCAGTATATTTTATAAAATTAAATAACGTGAAAGAACAAATATATATATTAAATGAGAATGTTAATAAATGTAAAGTTTTCACTATAAAATACCCTTTTTATGTTTCTGTTAGCCAAACAATGTTTACAGATTACTGAATTTTAATTTAGAAGATTATTAATTTAATTTCTATTTTCAAGCCTATTACTTTTTAAGTACCTACATTTTTTAAAAATTTACGATAATTTTGTGTATGTTTATTTTTACAATTTGATTTACTATAAAAAATTTTAAGCTAAGTTAAACAAAAAATTAGTTAGGAATATTGTAAATCTAATAATTTACTTTTAATACATAATAAATAAATTAAAAAGATAAAATAACTAAATATTATACAAATTAAAATTATATGTATTAAATTGTATTTTCATATTATACTAGTAAGTATAATCTGCAAATGTAACAATTCAAATAATTTTATTGTAAAATTTTCTAATTTTTCCTTTTTAATCATTTTAAGAGCTAAGTATCTTTGAATATATGCTAATAAAAAGGAAATAACTATTAAATCAAAACAAGTAAAAATAAAGTAAGATCCAATAGATAAATTTGATGAGTCTACACTCTCTCCACTTACTATTGAAAGTATCACATAATAATATAGTCCAAGTAGGCATAAAAGAGTTACTGCTAAAGCATATTTTCCTAAGTATTTAGCAACAATTTCTAAGAGGGCTAAACAGATACTAATTAATAAAGCATTTGCTATTGATAAAGCTATTAATTAAACTACATCATAGGATTAATTAAAAATGACAGAAATAGCAAATGAATGGATGATTCTTACATAGAAGCAAGAAAATCTTAACTTTCTTGGCATTTTTTCATCATAAATAAAGAATATGCTTAAGAAATTATGAAAGAAAAAAAGTTATTTATAATAACTTAATTCTATAAACTTTTTTGTTTTGGCACTATATTATTCATTAGATAGGTCTATTTTCTTTTTATCTTTGCTTGGATTTCCTCCCTGCTTTGGATCTCTTTCTGGAATATTAATTTAAGTTTGGTTTTCTGGAGTCAATGTTTCTATTTAATTTTCAGGAATAACTATTTCTGCTTAATTTTATTGATTACTATCTGCTTGATTTGAACTGTTACTCTTTTGATTTTTTACAAAATTTTCACCACTTTATTTTGTTTAAAGTAAATTAAAATCATCAATGGAGGGCTATTTCTCCATTTTTTCACTTTAAATATTTTTAAAATCATTATCTTCTTCATTTATAAACACAGATTTTTGTTACTATTTTTCATTATTAATTTATATTTATTTATCTTTCAAAGAAAACTGTTTTCTCGATTATTTACTTTTTTTTTCTTGATCATCTTCTTCGTTTATTTCATCTTAAATAAAATTATTCTTTAACGGTTTTTAAGGTATTTAAATTTAGGTGTTTAAATTTTAAAATGAAGACTATCCGATGTTTCTAGCACTTAATTATTTATCGTTGTTTTCTTTCTATAGAGGAGAGTCTTCAAGAAGGGTTTACTATTAAACTGTATTTATATTATTTTAATTGGTATCTTTAATTTCACTGACCTGTATAGGTAAAATCTATTTATTATTGACTTAGTTAGTGATTCTACCATTCAATTAAGAACTAACAAAATCTAAATCAAGCTATTTTCCTTTAATGTAAAGGTAAATAAATGCAGCTGTTTTTAGCAATAGCAACCAAAATGCTACATACATGTAAAAATTACTAAACTAAGAAATATTTTTTAATCCTTACTCACCAAAAGCTGTCTTTAAATTTTTATTATTTATCAATTCCTATAAATCATTAACTATAGTTGTAGGACCTGTTTTATCACAAAGGCAAGTTTATTGGTTAGATTTACTATTATACACTAACTTACATCCATTTTAGCTCCAAATTCCATTAGATTTCGTCAAGCAAGATAGACCTTCTTTGACTACACCTGCTGCAAAAGTAAATGAGTTACTAAACATATTAAGAGGAGAATTTTGTGAAGGAGAGGAGGATGGATTTATTTCTGGATTTATAACTGGATATTAGGCTATTGTTTGATTACCAATATTTTGCTATAATAAATTTGTAAAATTTTAATAGCTTGGGTCATTAGTGTAAGGATTTTAATTATATGTCTTATAGGCTATGTTGTAAATGATTTACTATTTTTGCGTATTAGATGGCATATAATTGCTACAAAAAAGATAGTAGCACAAATTCTTTTCTGTTACTTACTAACTTTATATTGATATTTAACTTCCAGTGAATACTTTAGCATCTTCATTTGGTAATGAGTTATAGTTCATTTTCTGTCCTAATTTAGTAGATATGTCTAATTGTAAACTTGTAATACTAGTATCTTAGCTTGGAGAACTTGTAGCCATATTATCTATAATTTTAAAGTAGTCGTAAATTTATTAAGTTTTTATTTGCTTTTAAGCATCTGTAAGACTTTAGTAGGGTGTCTAAGTCCAATCTTGTGATACAAAAGACTGTATATTACTTAATTAATTAGCTTACTCTTGCTAAGTGAGTTTTATTGAAGAAAATAAGCTTGATACTGCTTTGTTTGAAAGTGTAGAAAATGTAGATAAAGTTGGAAGTGATGCAGTTGCTTAGTTAAGAGCATTTATGATTAAAATTTTTCTTTAATTTATCTAAACACTTGTCTAGAAATCTGCTCTTTAGCTGAGATCTTCTGCTATTAGAGAAAGTTAAGAAACTATTTGCTAGCTAGTTTATCCACTTGTGTTTAAATCTTTATCTATTAGACTTATATATTAGCTTTCGTTTAAGTTTGAGCTCTACACAGTTAAACTAATTGTTGAATTATAGACTGCTTGTAAAGAATCAGCAACTACTGCCATTAATAATATATTTCCTGCAGGAAGAATTGTTGAGATCTAAGAATCTGGTGATTGATCATTTAATTATCTTCTATTGATTTATTGTGGATAATTTATTTCATTTTATAAGTCTTGCTATGATCTATACATAAAGAACTAGTAAGTAAGAGGAAGATTAGTATCTACACATCCAGATACAGAAAGAGTGAATAGTGTTGATAAACTGTAAGCAGGATTTGATTAATTTGGTAAAGGAGAAACAGCAAATAAGCATTAAGTTGGAGGGAAATTTATTTTTAAGTTGATGATTGAAATACTTGGCATAAAAAAGTAAGGGTTGAAAACTGAAAATCTGATAGCAACAGTAGGATTAGAGCTTGTAAATCCTGAATAATAATCCCATAGTCTGTACCTTAATTAAGTATAATCAAATTTAATAGCTCCAACTACTCCATCTCCATAAACAATTGTACTTGAAAATGATAATATGTCAGGATTAACAGTCGTATTATAGTTAAGAACAGCAAATATTTCTTCATTTAGATTAACTGACTTACCAAATGGATCAAGTAAGCTTAATGTAACGTTTAGTGCAGGTAAATCAAATTCAATAAATAAAACTATAATTGAATCTGATGATTACCTACTATCTTTTTTACCTTACAAATATATCTTGATTACAGTATAAGGGCTAAATGTATCTGAAGGTATTTAAGGGTTATTTTAATTTATGACAAACGGATTATTTTTTTGGTCAACACAAGGAGAATTAACATTGGAGGGATCTGAGCAGCTCCAAACTTATGTTATTCCTTAATCAGCATTAGGGTCTTAAACATCTAAATCTCTAATAGTACCAGTTAACTTCAATAAACTTTTATAGTCTATTTTTTGGTTACCTCCATTTATTTTTACAATTAAATCAGCAGGCTATGTAAAAAATTGGATTTGTTATGTATTTGTTACAGCAGAGTCAGTAGACAAAGTTAATACAGCCTAAGTATTTAAATAAAACTTTTTATTAATTTGGATAAATTAAAAATAATTTTACATTTATTTAATTATTTTAATTAGATGTAAATGTGTAAGCTTATATTTACTAAGATAGCTAACCAGAAACTTAACCTTATTATGAAATGTTAATTTAAGATGTTTATGGGCTTGTAATTTTTATATTAACTGGATCGTTAGAACTTATTTGCACTCCTTGCTGATTACAATATTATATTTAATAGCTCAATTACAAAGTAAAATCTTAAAACCTGTAAATTAATAAAAATTTATTTAATTTAAATTAGTTTTTTTTATTTTTGTTAATTTTTTTTCTTCAAAAAATAATAAATAATTGATTAAATAGATTTATTTATTTATTTAACATTTATAAAATTATTGTTTATTTAAATTTGATTTGAAAAAAATGTTACCTATAATAGGGAGTGTTCATATTTGAGGATAAATCAGAAACAATATTTTTATAAGATTATACTTAAAATATAAACTATTGAGATCCAGAGTATGAATTTTTGAATAAGAAAGACACACTTATAGTTTTTTAACTATTCAAAAGTATTATACCTCTAGGAATAACTATGCTGCTTTAGATTGATTAGGATGCTTAAGTGAGTATATTTTAAATCTTTACATCATCTGGGTTAGATGTTGGATTTTAAAGAGACCACGTTATACTTTTTAAACCTCTGCCTGAATCATTTAAAATTTTAAATTAAGTAATTTTAAAATCATTACAAGAATTTTCAATTTTATTGTAATTAAACACAATTCCTGCATTCAAAGGTGCTTGTTAATATACAACATTGTTTAAGAAAATATTGATAGCAGAACTACTATTTATTTTAAATTATAAGACATTTGGTAAGAAATTTAATATATCTCCTTGCATAATAGTTGCACTCATATCTATTATTAAATTTAAAAAGAAATTAATATTAAATAAATTATTAAAGGCTTAATTACCTAAAGTTATAGTAATAATGTTAAATTTTATTTAGCATAAGGCATTTTATCCTATTTTTAGCATTTCTACTGAGTTAAAAATTGTTTGGCAAACACCATTTGAGTTCGTTTATGATGGGAATTATTGTAAATCCATTAAAATTTTACCAAAGTCTATTGTCATAATTGGACCTGAATTTAATAATTATATATCTAACACAGCTTAGTTATTTAAACTACACTCATAAAAGAAATTTCTAGTATCTTCTGAGTCTTTGCAGTCACATTTTTTAGTTGTTTAATTGAGCTATCTAGAACTATAGCAAGTTTAGCATTAAGTTGAAGTTGCTGCAGCACATGTATTACAATCTGAAGAACAATTATTACACTATGGAACTCCTACAAATATCGGACATAATTAGCATGTATTGTTAGATTAATTGAGACTATATCCATTAGGGCATTTATCTAGACAAGTGCTACCAAAAAGTATTTAAGAGCCAAAGCAACTTAAGCAATTATTTGCACCAGAACCGTTACATGTCATGCATATAGGATTGCAGCAAAGAGGACTGGATTGTAAAACACAGCTGATACAAGTCGAAAGAGACTGATAAATCCATTTATTTTACTAGCATATGCTGCTTATTGAAGAGTCTCCACATTAAAGTCCCTAAGCTTAAGAACAAGATAAACATTTTCCAGCTGTTGAAGAGTAATAAAATCCATAGTAATTGCACTAAGAATTATATGTAGAGCTGCCACCACAATTTCCCTATGCATCAGCTGTTGGGCAGTATACACAAGTGTTAGCATTATAGCTGACATAACCATTCTGTAAACAGAATTAATTGTTTGTTTATGATCCTCCACATAAAGAATTTGATACATTAGATGTGCAGGAATTGCAAGTAGATCCATCACTATTAAATGTACAAACAGGAGAATTATAAGTCAACAAACCAGCTTAGCAAGAAGAACATTAATTGCTAGAAGGTCCTGTACAGCTTGAACAACATTCTGAGCAATTAACGCATTTATGCTAAGAAAAATCCCAGAATTGATTAGTTTAGCACACATTTACACAAATATTGTTTGATAGCTTATAGCTCTCTTTACATGTTAAACAATCAGTAATACTAGGTCCACTACAAGTTTAGCAAAAGTTATTACACGGCAAACATAAACCAGAGCTTGTGGTCCAGTCATATGTGAAATAATACCCATCATTACAATAACAAAAATTTCCTTTGCTAGCATTAAGAGAAGAGTTTGTTATGCATGATGTACAAGAAAGTCCATTTGAACAAGCAGAACAGCTAGCATGGCATCGATCTAAATATTATTAATTTATTAAAATTTTATAAAATAATTTGATTTTAAATTATCATCAAAATTTTAGTTAAAATTTCATGTTATTTGAAATTTAAAAAAACTAATTTTAAACAATTTATTATTTTTTCAGTTTTTTTTATTTTTATTTTTATTTTTTAGATTTTAAAATATTTTGAAAAATCTATGATAATTGTTTTAGAAACATTAAAATTATTCTACATGCATTCAAATTCAAAATAGCAACTTTTGTTTAAGATAAGCTTTAATTGTTTTCTATCAATTATTTTAATGAAAAAATATTTAAAAAAAAATAAATTACTGTAGAGAAGAGAAACATTATTGAAAATGAATGCATTGGAGCTAACTAAATATGCTAATATTTAAAATTTAAATGTTTTTGATTAAGTTGGCATTACTAGAACTTCATTAACTAATGTTTCACCATAAGTAGGATCATTGCAAAGATTAGTTGTTGAAGTTGAATGATAATTTGCCTTTTTCACTAAATTACTGTTAATGAAATAACTCACATAATCTGTTAAACTAAAATTATCATAATTTGTGGCTACCAATTAAATTTCAACTTAATAATGGTATTATTAATAATTTATAAGTTGTAAATTTAACGTTGCACTTTGTTAACCATTTAGGTAGGGAGCAAATACTTGGTTTATGCACTAGTGCTATTATTCTGGTCTAGATGAGTATTACCAGAAATAATATACATCTGCCCAAATCCTATTCTACCAGAAGAACTAAATAAATAAGTCTTTAGACCTCAAGCAGTAGCTTGAACCAGGGTCATTAGTATAATAAGAAGAGCATGAGCTACTAGAAATACATATGCCATTTTAAATTGAAAATCCACTTGCGCAAGAAGTACACTTACCTGTTTGATCTTCACACGATTAACAATTAGGAGGGCAATTTGCACATGCATAACAAGGAGAAGAATAACAATTTTAGAATTATGCATATTACCCTTTTTGGCAAGCACAATTATTATTAACAAGAATAGAAGAAGCTTATTTTTAACAATTTGTGCATGACCAAGGATTTCCATCAGTGGTGCAATCTAAGCAAGTAGAATGGCACTTAGTAATGTTCATTGCGAAATTTCTTATACCCCATCCATCCATGTTAGAAGTTATTTTTATATTTAGATCTGTGCTTGAATCGTTAATTATATAGGTAAGTAAGTAATAATTTACTGGCTAATTATCAGTACAGAGTTAATAATTTGTGAATATTTTTTAAAATGAAGAAAGTGTTATTTAATTGTTATTCACAAATAAATTGAAGTCTCCTTGCTACCCATTATTATAAATGAGTCCTTAAAAAGAAATTATTTTCTAAAAGTTTTTAGGTAAGCCTAGAATTTACTTACTAAAGTAATTTGTCTTCAGATTATTTTATCCTCCTAAAATAGTGTATGGTCCAAAGCTTTGATTTTCTAGCCAACAAGAAGTGAATTAGTCAGTAATAGCTTATTAGCTAGAACTAATTAAAGTGAATCCATTGTTTTATATAAAATTCATAGGAGATAATAAGGGATTAAGAAGAAGGTAAAAAGGATTAAAATTTTAAACACAGATTAAATTAATTTAATCTGGATTATATCCATTAGGACAAGTTGCTACGCAAAGAGAGTTCAATGGATTGTAGTAAGTATTGGATGAACACTACAAACACTTTGAAGCATTTAAAACATATCCAGTATTGCATTGTTAACAGTTACCATTTTAATCACATTATGCGCAATAATCTTAGCAAACAGTACATTGTTTTGTGGATTGATTATAATAAACTGAATTAGAAACTCCATATTAGGTTGACTAATAAACAACAACATTAGCACATTGAGAAGGATCTATGCAAATTCCATCAAAATAAGTTCTTGTTGTAGTTACACAATTAACAGCTAAATCAGTAGTTAAAGGTTAATATTAAGTTTTGGTATAGTTTATAACATTAATTGTTATATAAAATGCTTCTCTGAGCAAAGAATCACTCATTTTATTTTCATTTATTAACATTTTAGTACCATCTGTAGTAAATCCAAAAATCATTTTGATTGAGGCATATTAACCGTTAAATGCATTATACTGATATTCTAAAGGAGTACAGAATATACATAATTCAATTTAAGTTATATCAGACCTTAATGGGTCAGGTAAAACATATTAAGCTATAACTAAACCACCTTGAGGATAACCTTAATAGAATGGGTAGTAACTTTTGATTGCATGTTTATACCCAAATCCTAGTTATACCCATTAACCTACATTCATAGTAGCTCCTTGCTAAAAATCATACATATACTAATCCATGTCATTTTGTGCTAAAAAGTAGGGCGCAGATCCTCTTCCATAGACATGTAAAAAAGTAAATTCTGATGATTAGTATCTCATCATAGAGTAATATAAACTAGGATCAAATGTGTTATACTTAAAATAGCCAACTACAGCTGCGTCATAAAATTATGAAGATGGTATTGTCAGCTTTATGCTACTAGATCCTACACCTCTAAAAATACTCTGCATACCCTATCCTTCATAAGAATTCCAAGTTGCAGATCTGAATTGATGAACAAAAGCTATTAAAAGTATTATCTACAAAATCATCTATTTTTATGTTATTTAATTTTTTTGTTATATTATTTATTTTTTTGTGATTTTTTTGAACTTATCTTTCAAAATTTTAATACAATACAATATATTCTCAATAATTAATATATAACTTAGTTTTTTGATATATAAAAAATAAAAATCAAATTTACACTTTTCGAAATTAGAAAGAAGTGTAACAAAAAATTTAAATTTTTTTTGATTGTTTTATATGATGTTACTTTATTAAAATTTTAATACAAAATCTGCAGCATGATAAGTAAACAAAATGCTTTTTAAAGTAATAACATTGCATTCAATAAAATATGAATTTATTTCATTTAAAATAAATAATTTTAAAGCTTCATGTGGAAAAATATATTGAGATATTTAATATTGTTGGTAAGTGTTTATAAGTTAAAGTATAGAGAAGCATAAATTTATTAATTTTAAAAGGAAAATAGTCAATCAATTAAAGAATTTTGAATAAGTGAAAGTGTATCTATTTTCTTTATTTGTTTTTTTCTACAACACTAAATATGTTTACATTAAAAATAGCTTTTGGAGAAAAAAATAAACATTAAGAAAATTGTTATTTGTAATGTTTTCCTAAATTATATATTATATTTTTGTTCATTATTATTTTATGTAAAAAAAATAATGAATTTTTTAATATTTTAAGTATATTATATAATAAAAACGCAAGTAGAAATTATATTTTTTTTTACAAAAATGTATTTGAAAAGCTTATTTTTGAAAGCAATGATAGATAGCAACAATTATTTTATTTGGAAATTTATTTTTAACTTTAAATATAAAAATTTTTAAGATTTATCCAAAAATGAATATGCTATATTAAATATTTAATTGCTTGTGATAAGTATTTGATGTACACATTTATCAAATGGTTAAAAAAAAATCCTTTGCTTTATCTAATTGAAAGATAGTAATCTGGATATAATTTTCGCAAATTTTGAATATGCAAGATATTTAATTAAATAGAAAGGATGTAAAGTTAATTAAATTACAAATAATCTAATTAAATTCACGCATTTCAAATCAGCTTAAATAATGGATGAATCATATAATATTCCAGTTAAAGAAAAATATTCAAAATTAATTTTCTAATTACTTAATATCATTAGAATACTTTTTGTATATGTTTAGATTAATAAGGTTACTAATAAAATCATAATATTTATATAATTGTTTAAATAGTCTATAAGTTAATTAAAGAAATATCTTCAATTAATAATTTATCTAGTTTATCTTATTTCTTAAAAAATTTTTAGGCATAATATATTTTTTTTTAACTATTAAAATTACGGCTAGAAAATAAAGAGTACATTTTAAAATATAATAATAATTGCTAAATAAACTTTATCTAATAATTTAAATAATTTAATAAAACAAAGTTTATTTTGAATTATTATTTAACTTATAATTAAATATAATTTTATTTCACTTTTTTTCATTTTCAAGCAATTATTTCAAAATATTTAATATGAAAGAACAAATAAATTATGATATTTAGCAAAATTAATTTAAATATGCTTTTATTGTTATTCTTTTGATAACAAATTTTTATGGATGGAAAGATATAAAAATAATTGATAAATTTTAGTGTAATTTGTAATCAATCAAATAATCAATAATATATAATTAATATTTTTAATAGTTAATGAATAGTCAGTCAATTTAATAGAATCATAAAAATTATTAGAAGTCATATGTTTCTGTAATCAACAGAGCTTAAAAAAGTGATATTATTTTTTTAATTTTTCCTCCACAAAGCAGACAGAATAATATCTTAATAATTTATTTTTCTAAAACATATAAACATATTTCTTTTAAAAGCGATATTAAAAGATTTTATACTCTGTAAGCTTACAAATTATAATAATAATTCATTATATTAATATTTATTTTTGAGTATCATAACAGTAAAATAATAATTTCTTTTGGATTCAATACAATTTAAAAATGAAAATTCATCTTAACAAATTATATTAATTTTTATGCAAACACCATTGTTAAATTTTAATGATACCTACCTATTTATACTCATTTGGAGAGCATATGTCTTTTTCCTTAAAGGAATAATAATTAAATATAATAGCCTACACTTCTCAGTAATACTTTTTTATACTTTTCTACAATACAGCTTATTTTTAAATTAGTAGAAGTTTATGTGGATTCTTTAAAATATCAAGCAATAAATTATTAATACTCATTTATATTTATAGAAAAATTTTTTTCTTATTATCGAAAGATTTATACTTTTATTTCTAGTATTTAATTTGATATTATAGGTTAAGTATTATGTCACCTTAAATTAAATAGTAAATCTAAAGAAGATTGATCATAAAGTTAAATTTGTAAACATAATTTTTTCAAATCAAAATTAGAAAGAATGTTGATTTAATAAAACGATGATTGAATTAATATTAAACTTCTCAAATCAAATAATAGCATATAAAATTTAAAGCTTTAAAGCTTATAATTTTTAAAAATATTGATAATAGATTAGCATAAAAATAAAAAACTATAATTAACAATTTATTTTATTGCTAGTATAAATTAAATTTTTTAATTAATAAATCTATAATAATTTTAAAACTTTAACAATAAAAAATTAAACATGCCTATAATATATTTATTTACTTACTTCACTTTTATTCTATAAATAAAAATGGAATTTATGTTTTGATGAAAACTTACTCAACTTAAATTCTCTTTAGGTCTTTATTTATCTGTGTGATATTGTTGAATCTAAGTCATAAACTTTGGAAGTAAAAATAGAATTTTAATAATAGATTAAATTATAAATTATCATTTTCTTTTGTATTTGAAAACTTATGTAAAACTTAAATAATAAATAAATAAAATATTTTAAAATAAAAAAACATATCTTATGTATTTTAAAATAGCTTCTTAATCAATGTATTTACTGTAATGTTTTAATTAATCATTATTACACATAAAAAAAACAAATAATTAAAAATATTAAAAATGATAATTTGTAAAGTAATAAACAATTTAATGATTTTAGCTTTTTTAATTCATATCCATTATATTATTTTAAATACGGGGGGAAAATATTATACGCAACTTTAAATATGTTTGAAGCAATTATTTAATAATTCTTAGAGTTTAGATAAAAGTTAAATATTATAAAATAAACTAAATATTTGAATTAATTTAAAATATATTCTACAATTTGAGTAAATACAGCTTTAAATAAAGAAAAATCCAATATTTAGAGTAAATATATTTTTTTAATTAATCTAATATTTGAAATGTTGATTAATATTTTAACTAAAAAGATAGATAGATTCTCAAAATAAACAACTGTTGTGAATAGAAAAAAAAAGGTTTTTCAGATTTACTTTGCTAAACCAATTTTTAAAAATTTTAATCTTTTGAAAACAAACATATTTGATGGTTTTAATAAAGAAAAGAGATAATAAATAAATATAATTTAAGAATTTAAATAAATAATGAGCAATTAAATTTAGTTCAAGCTATATGTGCAGAATTAGCACAACCTATGCAACATCTTGAACATTTAAGACAACAAGTGTAGTAATCATCTGCACCACACGTTCTACAACTAAAATATTTAAGTTTGCCAGGATGATAAAAGCAAGCAGTCTGTTAATTATTAAGAAAAACAGTTAAATTAAATATTTATAAACTTTGCATATATTTATCTTCATTCGTTTGAAATTCATAGAAAATAAATTTATTACTTCGTGATTTTACTCTGGGAGAAATAACTCTTTACAATTTGTACAAAAAGTTGTAGTAGAAAGTACTTTTTTCATAATTTCAAATTCCTAAGTGTATTTCGAATACACTTTTTCTATTTACTACATTTTTGCCTCTGAAATAAGATTATCGATCGTTTTTTAGCGAAGCTTATTTAGAAAATTTAGTATTTATTTTTTATTGTTTTCTGTTGTTTTTGATTTCTCTATTTCCTAAATATTAAAAAATGAGTAAAAGTAGTTTTGTCATTTTTAGATTTCAAGATAGATTCTACTATTTTTGTAAAAATAAATTCAAAAAAAAATAAATTCACTACTTTTATCATGAAATCTATAGAGTTTAACTTTGGGCATTAAAGTGTTTGATTATTTCCTTCAAAATAATAAGCTTACTAAATTAAATTAATTTCCTCATTATATTTTTTGAGTATATTGTATAAACTTTCAGCGTGAGCAGCATCTACTTTTGTATTTTCATAATCTAAATTTATTTTGGTTATATTTTAAGTAATTGTTTGTATAGATTTGTCTTATTAAGCTAATTGTTATCTTAAAGCATCCGTCTATGTTTCAATTTATTCTTTATTTATTTTATTAACATAAATTAACTATATTTTAAACGTTTTTCTAAACATTTTAAATGGATATTTACTTAATTAACTATTACAATTTTGCACTATTGTTTTTACTTAACTCTCTGTCATCCAGCTTTGAGATCCTTATTTTTGCTAGCCTTATTAATTTAGTTATTTGTTTATAATATAGAAAACCTTATTTAACTAAATACCTTATGGAGAAGTTACTTTACTAGCTGGATTACTTTTTTTCATGGCTACACTAAATTTAATATAAATTAACTTATTTTGGCAACAAAGTTTGAATTTATTAATATTATGTTTGATTTATTCTTTATCCAAAAAAATACAATTAATTATTTGCTCCTTAACTAAATTAATCGAATTAATTATCATTAAATATATTATATTTAAAAAACTATAAGATATAAATCAGATTTACTGAATGTTGTAAACATATTTTACTTGATGAATAATTAATTTTTTTTTTCTTCAATATTTATTTAGAATCAAGTACTTTTAATATTTTTGCTAACCAAATAGTATTATTATAAAAATTTCTATTTTTCTTGTTTCTAAAATTAATATTTTAACAAATTAAAATATTTAAAATATAAAATATGATATAAAAATTGGAGAGATTTGATAAAAAATAAATGAATGATTAAAATTTTTGAAAAATTTGTGTTTTTTATTTTTATGAAAGGAAATTAAATGATAATAGAATTAGTTATTAATTTAAATAAAAATTAAAAATATAGATTAATAGGATAATAAAATAGTCATAAAAATTTAAATAATATTTAGTAAAGATTTAATATCAACTAACAATCATTTAATAATAATATCAATTATATTTTACTTTAAAATAATCTTATTTGAATCTTTTTAGATAATTTTTATCAGCTAATTTTTTAAAATATTTTTTTTATTTTAACTTTGAAAAGACGGAAGCTATTTACAATTTAGTAATAAATATTTTAAAATATCCAGCAATAAAATATAACTTTAAAGCAGATTAATTTAAATATTTTTTAAATTGAATTATAAAGTCATATTTTTTCTAGAAATCATAGATTACATTTTTTAATTATTAATTACTAGCTGCTATAATTACTTACATTTTATTTAATGATCAATTTATAAAACAAGTATTAAGATCTAATGTTCCAGAAATATGAGCTATAACTTTATATTTTTTAGAATATACATTAGAATTTATATTAATGCAATTTAGCAATTAATTTTTAAAAATTTAGTCTGAATAAAAATTTGGTTGTAAACAATGATTAAAATATAAAATCTTAAAATAATTTACAAATCTAAAAGAATAAAAATAAAAATTTTATTTTTAGCTGTAAAATATACTATATTCAAGTCTATTTTATATTAATAAAATTGAAATAGAAAACTTTAACTTATTTGAAAACGTTATTTTATAAATTTAAATTTTTAAATTGAGAAGCTATACAGTAAAGTTCAATTTATTAAATTATATCAATAATAAAGAAGTAGAAAGATAAGAATAATAATAATAATAATAATTTTTAGGATAAATTAAATTAAATTTATCTCAGCATAGCATATAAATTTAATAGAAAGTTTCTATATTTAGTTCATTTAAAAAACAAATATTCTTATTTTTGTATTTTGTATTATTATTAAAATTTTTCTTTTATATGAAATTATAACAAGAGTTCTAGAAGACACATATTTTGTTAGAAATTAATCAGAAGTTAAAAGGTTTACACTTGTTTTTTTTTTGTTTAAACTAAGAAAAAATAAAAAGTAGAAAGCTTATAAATAACTTATAAAATTTACTATGATAAGTCTACTTTAATTGATAGAAGAAAAGATATTTAATTTGAATATTTTTAAGAATAAAAATTAAATTTTTTTGTGTATCAAAGATTTTACTAGATTGTTTTTTGTATTTTGTAATTAATTTAAAATATATATCTTAAAAAATTACGCCCACTGAATATTAGGTAATAATAAAGGATACAAATGATATTTAATTAGCAAATTAAGGGTTTTGATATAGAAAAAGAGTTAAAAGTAAATATAATCAATTATTCTTTTCTATCTAAGATATTATAGTAGCCATTTTTAAATTTTATAAGAATTAACTCAATTTTTGGCAATAAATTTTTTCTGGAACAAAAAAAGACTATTTTTTGTATTAGAAATTGTTGTTAGCGCAATCAAATAGAAAATTAATTTTTCCAGAAAAAATTTTCAATTCATATTTAATTAGATAATGCATAGATAAGCAATTTGTTTTACTTAACCAAAAAAAAAAATTGTTACTTTTTGTCATAATTTATATAAGTAATCTGTATTTTAATTGGGGATTTTTGAAAATCAAATAATTTTTAGTAAATATTAAAAAAAAATTTAAATTAATTGGTAAAGCTTTCACAAAAATATTGCTTGCTCTTGAGCAAAATACGATTTAATTATCACATAGTAAATATACCTTATTATTAAAAAACCATTGATACCAACAAGAGTAAGAAATTTTGAGAGATTAAACAATATTAAACAAAAATTAGCTTAATTCAAAATCTAAATGATTGACAATAAATATGACACAATAGATAGAATATCTAATTCCAACAACTATAAAGTAAAACAAATTTAATATGCTGAAGGTGATTATGATTGTCTAAATTTACCAGCTACACCACATTTAATAAAAGGATAAATTCTAAATACCCCTAAAACCCATATAAGTCAGAAAAATGTTTAGCAACTTGAAATGAGCCGCTCAATAAAAAGTGAAAACAATATTGCAATTAAAAATTTGGAAGAAAATACAACTTAAAATATCATCAATACAAAAATAATATTGAATGAAACAGTTGAAGAGTTTCTAGTAAATCAAAGAAGAAATACAAATAATATTTCACCTCAAAATACAGAGAAATCAAACGAGTAAAAATTAGGAAATGGCTCACAAATAAATCAGAAATTAAAATTCTAAAGGTAGAGCATTTACTAACAATAACCGGAGAACGATGATTATGAAAAATAATAATTTTAAAAGTAAGGCTCAGACCTAGAGGAAAATAGGAAATTGGAATTAAATTTTTCAGAATAGAATTAAGTTTAAGATAATCAACAGAAGTAGCTCCAAACAATGAGTAAATATGATGGAGAGCTTTCTACTAAAAGAAGCTAATATTACTCTAGTAGTTAAGTTCTAGAAGATTATTTCAAGTAAGATGGTGACAAAAAACTAAAAGACTAAAAAGATCGCATCATGCGTGATATAACAAAATTTAAAAGCTACTTTGTTAAATTTAGATTTGGCTTATTTTTTGAATTCTATTTCTATCATGCACTCTTCGTAATATTTTTAGGACCTTTATCAAATCCTATTCTCTATAAATTCGGCAAAGGTCTACCAAGAAATTTAATGTTTTGGGGTATGAATAGAGGATTCTATTATTAGTTTCTCTATTATTTAATGAGTGCTACAGCTTTAATTCTATATTTTTATTATCGTCCTCATTATGTATTTTTTTAATCTGAAATAATTTACTTGATAATTGGCATGCTTTATAGAATTTTTACCATCGTTGTTAAGTATGCAACATTTGATCCATCTTATATTGAAGCTATAAAAGAACACACTTTTGATGCTAAAGATTTAATGAGTAATTTCTTTCTGCTTGATTGGAGGGAATAAACCAACAGGGTAATATTTTTTTTAAAATTAAAATGAACAATATAAATTTCAGATTATTATCATCTCGCTTGTTTTTATAAATTAATTGTGAAGTAAGCAAGCAAGACATAATTAATTGCCTTTCTTTTAAGTATTTTTTTTGGAAAGAAAGAAAATTAAATACTTTTAATTCATTTTAAATTAAAATTATAAAATATTTTTTTAAATTAAAAAATTAAATAGATTATTTATGAAGAAATCTATTTTGCTTAAAGAGCTTATGATATTGATCCAAGCTGGTTTTATTTAGAATTCATTGTAGATCCTGAATAAGAAACAATAAAAAAAATTAAATAGAATAATGAAATTTTAAGCAAAGAATCTAAATAGAAAGATTTTACATTCTAACCAGAGCCTATAAACATTACAAATAAAAACACTGAAACATTTTACATTTATGGAGTTATTAAAGAAATTGTTGATAACTTTTAAATGATTTATAAATTTTCAATAGATAATGCAGAAAATATTTCATTTGTATATTCAGTTTCCAGAGCTTTAATACCACTAATTTACAAGATAGCTGAAAATGATATGAACTTTTTTAACAATGCAAATTGGTATGAATGGATTATTACTTTAAATATTGCTTTTATGACTTATAAGTTATATTTCTACACAGTATGGACAATCATCCAAGGAATAATTGATATGAAAAGAAAGGTATTTTATTCTTATCTTAATTAAAATTTGGGAGAATTTTATATCATTTTATGTATGCGATATAAATTAAATTTGAATTTTCTTATTATTTCTACATCAGTGATTATTCAAAAATTGATAATTTAATTAATTAATTTGAATATTTAGATATATATGATGGAGCAAATGGCCTTTATGATTTCCCCTAGAAAGCTGAGAAATATAGATGCTAAGAAACTTTTTCCTACAATCAATATATTTAAGAGCTCAAATTTAAAGGCATGGCAACTGATGAGACATGTTTGCCAAGAATATGGAAAAAGATATGACATAAGAGTTTAAGCTAATGTGAGCGGAATGGTACTTGATGCAATTATTGCCATAGTAGTTCTAGTTTTAAATTATACATCTATTATTCATTTAGAACAGTGCTTTAATATAATCTTGATAGTTGAAACTGTATGTGTTTTAATTGTCCTAGTCAATGTTCTTTACTATGGAGCTAGCATTAATTATTAATTTGAACTTCACGATTCAATTCTTACTAATAACAAGAGCATAGTTATGGATATTTATAGAATGAGAAGTAGATATTTCGATGATTCATTCAAGACTACTAATTATCTTTACCAGTAAGCAGTTTAGAAAATTAAAGATGAAGTCTATATGCTAAAAAAATAATCTCCTTGTGCTTATATTTAAGAAATAGTTCTTGCATATGATACCCATATAGAAGAACTTAAATTTGATAAAACATAAAATCCATTTAAGATTGGAAGTTTTAAAATTACCAATGGTATGTTAGAGAGTGGTATCATTGGTATAGTAAGTATAATAATTGCAATCATAGGAAAATTTATTTCTAATAGAATAGGATGATAACCAATTTAAAATATCATATACCACACTACATACTATTTTAATTAATAACCAATAAAGAATCAAACAATAAGAACCAAAAAAACAAACTTGTATATAATCTTAATAACTATTTTACTATTCAAGTAATAACTAACAATCAAACTAAAAGATATTTTAATTAATTTATTTTTTCTCAAATTATAATATAATATATAATTAATTATTAAACACTTATATTGTCAATACACTTTTAATTTAATTTTATTTTTAAAATCTTCTTATTATAAAAACAATTTAAAAAAATTCTAATTATTTTGATTTTGTTATTTTATTTTATTTATTTATTTATTTATTATATATCATTTTTATTCATTTGTAAATACAATTTTGCAAAAACTTTCATTAAAAAATTAACTAACTTAAAGTTTCTCAATTTTTAAAACATTAAATTAAAATTGGTTATATTTGTGTTTTTAAAATTCATAAAAGAGTATATTCAAGTCAACAATAAATTTAGGAAGTTTTATTCACATTTTTACGAATATAAATAGCAGAGAAAACTCTTTTAATTATCGATTTTAATTTTTGATGCTGGCTTTACTATTGTTTTTATTTTATAAAGAAATTAGGTTAAATTTTTAGAAAATATTTTTTTATCTCAATATTACCATTTAATTAATATTTATTTTTTAAAATTGAAATTAATAACAATAAAGGAATTTAAATTATATTTATTAGGTTTTATAATTATGGGTATGAAATAAGTACAATAATATTAAAATTTTTAATCTATCTGAAAAGTCGAATTTATATTGAACGTTAATTTTATCTTATTTCTCATTTATTTTGCAATATCTAAATTTTATATACATTTAGCCTCGATATCATATCTTTAAAATATAGGGTTCGATCATATATAAAAATTCTGCTTAAACAGTAAAAATGCCTTTTTAAGAATGATCTCAAATAAATAACTTCTTAAAATAAATCTCAATAAAAATGATTGCTTACACATAAGGAAAAATAAAAATTTTTTAAAAACAGATGAGCAATAAAGAATAATCAAACAACTTAAAATTTTTCCTTTGAGTAAACATAATTTTTTATTCAAAAATCTAAATTTAAAATACATATATTAAAATAAAAAATATATTTTTAATTATTATGGACAATCACAAAAACTAAAAATTCAATTAACTCACTGTATTATAGTCCATAATATCATCAAAATTTTATAATTTTTGCTTATTTAAAAAATTTATAGAAGATTATAAAAGTTCTTCATTATCCTCAAAATATCCTTATTATAAAAATATTAAGTTAGCTTCCAGATTTTTAGGATTTACTCTCATTATTTTACGATAATAGTAATTGGATAATTTTAAATCGTTTTCGTGCATTGAATAAATTTCCTAAAGACCTTAATATAATATTTATTAGTTAGTCATTTATAGCTAAGTGATTTTCTTAAGGTAAATATCTTTATTTTTCTCATCTCCTTTATTCAAATAGTATAGATATAGGTCATAAGCTGCCTATACTTAATTAGAATCTATCTATATGCATTTCAATGAATTTTAAAAACACATTTCTAAATTTTTATGATAAAATTTGTTTATTTGAGCCTAAATATTATAAGCAGGACAGGAATTTTTATTTATCTTTAAAATTTTATCTGAATAAAACTATGCTAATTCATACTCTTTTAAATTCAAATAAGTAAGTGCTATTCCTGTCAATACTTGGTAATTAAGCTTCTTAAACTATGTTACCTCCTATAAAAGTACTTTAGAATTGTTTTTTTATTACTCGCTATATAATTATGCCAAAAGGGTATTAATCCATATATTATTTTGGAATATTTAGTTTCCTTATTCTAATACTTAAATTGCTTATTAGCTTTTAAAAAAAGCAAGGTAATACATCCCTTTCATGAATGTAACTCTCCAATAATTAGGGTCTAATTTCATGCATTCTGAAATAAGTATTTCTATATATTGTGTGTTTTGTTATTATTTTTATTGTATCAATAAATTTATAATTTCTATTCTACTGTCTATATTTAACGGATCTAAAATTAAAACTCGCTTAAAAATTTATAATGCCTAAACTGAATCATTTTTAAATTTTAAATTTATCTATCCAATTATTAATAACAATTCTACATTGTTAGGATAATTTATCAACTCATTGTTTACTTGCTTTTCTATTAAATCAATAGGCTGATCATATGTAATTTATTTTTTATTAGCAAAGAATACGATTTCACAATCATCATCTAGATTATTATCTTCTTAAATATCTACACCATCCATTTTTTTTTTCTATGTAGAATTAAACTCAATTATTTATTATTTTTTAATTAAAAATCAAATTAATCTTCTAATGCTTTTTTTATTATGATTTCTATCAGTAATTGTTGTTTTTACAGTTTAGATTAAATTATATGATCTCAAATATTTAATATAAAATTAATTCACTATCCTTTTCATGCAAATTAATGTATAAGATTTATTATTTATTTTGAATTTACGAATTGAAAGATTTATAAAAGATAAAATATGTTTTTACTATTTAATTAAAAATATAATTTCATTACAAAATTTTCTACCTTTTTTAAATAAATAAAATTGTTTAAGAAAAATTTATGAATTATATTTTGTTAGTTTGTCTTTGAACATTTATTTATTTTATATATGTATCATTATTGTATTAAATACTTGTTAGCATAAATTTTTGCAAAGTATTATTAAAAATATATAAATAACATATTTTAAATTTCTTTTAATGCTATATCTAGCAAATAAATATCTGGCTAACTAGCTGAAAATCATAAATATTCGTCAGAATGGTATCCATTTAAATCATTTTAATAGAATTTTTTTTTATAATCTTCAAATTCCTTTATTTATTATTCACTTTTTTATTATTTTTATTCATTCATTTTATAGTTATCATTATCTTTCTTTATTTCTAACAGGACATTACTAATTATAAACCATGATAAGCCAACATAATCATTATTTTCATTGAAGAATTGAATAGTTTTTGGATTTCTATTTCCTCTTATGATTGTTTCTCCAAAATATTTTTATTGACTCAAAAAAGTGAAAGTCTGTCCTAGTAAAGAATCTTTCTCAAAGTTTACTGCATATTAAACAATATGTTCAGGTTTTCTTAAGTAGCATATGATATACCATAAAGTAGCTCTTATTTTACATTTTTTACTATAATATTTTTTTCTGTTTGTTTCATCATAAAATCTATCTCTATCTTCATCTAAATTTTTAAAGAACAAAAGCTCAAACCTATTTTTTATTGCTAATAATGTAGACAAGATTCTTTGCTATACTATTTCTGCACTCATCTTTTTTTTCCTCTCTACTTTTATGAGTTTGGAAAAATTACCTGTGTAAATTTCAAACTCATTTTGAGCACCAAAGAATTGCTTGAGATTATTTATTTCTATATTCCATTGATTATTTGCTTCAATAGCCTATCAAATTATAAATAAATATATATTTTTACTAAGAATAAATTTTTGAAAAAGAAAATTTTACGAAATCAATTTCCTATTCAAGATAAGTTTTATTTTCTTACTCATCTACAATTTCGTTAACAAATGTAGGCGGATTGAATATTAAATTATTATCAATAAAAGTTTAAGATCTATCTCCTTCTATATCGTTTTTACAGTGTTTTTCATACTGGTCTTTTACTTGTCTATATAAAATACCTAAATGATGATTAAAAATTATCAAATTAAATTAACTCACTAAATATTTTACCTAAAATGCTTTATGATTAATAAGATGGTTTGTCATCTTTTTCCATAAAATCAGGGTACTCTTTTATTGCAAGGTTTTTTGGTAATTAAGGAGAAATACCTGTTTTTGCATAATCTACAGCTTATGCATGTAGTGATGCCAACTTTAAACATTTAGGGTCTTCAGCGTATAATGGACTTTTATCTGCAAAGACTAAATGAGAATTATCTATTTTACCAAGATTTTCATTATTTATAAAATCTATAAAAAAGTCTAGCATTTATTCATTATCATCAATCACTTCTCGTACAGGATTTTTAGTTTTAAACTAAGTATTAGGCTTTTTAGAGATTTCTATATCATACTGTTCTTATGAGATTTATTTTTTTTAACTATTATCATCTTCATCATAGTTAAAAGGTTCTTTCTATTCCAAGGGAATAAATCTTTAATCCCAGCAAATAAAATAGCAATCACCATCCAAATCGGAACCTTTTACATATAAATTAAGTTAAAAAAAAGTAATTTGAAAAATAAAAAATTTACCTGCTATTTATGAAGTGATAGGCTCTTTACCTTTTTAAGGGAATATTAGGATGTTCCTTAATTTTTTAAACTATCATAAAATTAATAAATTAGAAATTTATAAAAACTTTAAAATATTACAGGATTTATTTTTCCTTCTCCTAATCTTTACGAAATAGTTTCCAAAGTAACAGCTTTTAATTTTCTAATATCACCAGGATGTAAACATGGGTTTTTAACTACAATTACATCTCCCTCAACTTAAAAGAAAGATTTTTCTGAATCCTAACTTATATATGCAAAAACTTCATCTTGTTCTAACACATTATATTCATCTATAACACCCATCAATCTTGCACTCTTTTTAAGAAAAATGTTACTCTTCTTTCTCAGAATATAAAAACCCTAAAAATATTAAAACAAAATTAATAAAATGAATTATATTTTTTAATAATTTAATCAATATTCTTTATTGAAAAAATATAAGAATATAAATATTTAATAAAATTAAATAACTTGTTAAATTTATGATTATTCATTATTAAAAATTAACTGTTCATATTTAGCATAGTTTTTGCGATTTTTGTGAATAATTTATTAGTTTATTAAAAACCTAAACCCTTATTATTGATATCAGAATTTGTAAAAAAAAATTCAAAATTCGAGGTCCAAAATTAACTTAGAGTACGGTAATTTTCTCATTTTTAAATAGCAATTATTTATTTAAATGGTGATGGTATAAAAAATAAATATTTTAATAGCATTTTCTAATTAAAAATTACTTTTTACTAGAAAGGATAACTTAAAATTTTTATTGTATTAACTTGAAATTTTTTGTTTAAATATTTGTTAATATTTTATGTTGAAATATTAGCTTTTCATTAATTTATCTATTTTGAAAATATATTTTAAATATTTAATTTACTCTTTTTTTGAGGGTATGAATAACTCCTTTACAGAATATATCTTAGGCCATATCAATCCTACTTGTCTACATACTTCTTAGAAGATGGGTGATTGGAAATAATCTTGTTCCATCCTTTGAATAATCTGTGTTAAAAAGTGTAAATATACTTGCATCTTTCAATGCTGACTTATTTAACTCTTCTATGTATTCTTGCTGAGCTTAGATGAATTATTCGTTTTCAATACCTAGTGATCTAAGTAAGATAATGACTTACCTATTCAAATATCCAAATCTATATTTGTTTCTATCTAGAATATCAATTATTAATTCGTCTTATTCATCTGTAATTTTATATTTTATCATACTTTCTCTCAACTATATTGTATTTTTTTTATCACTTTTATAATCAATTGTCAACACTCCTTTAGCTCCTCCATATCTTACTTATATAGCACACATAAAAAAGGCATTAAGATGATCCTATTAATATTATTTAATTTTGAGATTTATGATTACAAATTTTATTAATCTAAATTTTACTGATATTTTTCTTATAAGATCTTATGAAATAGTTCCAATACCATCTGTAAAAACTTTTTTCTTTTATCTAAAGTAGCAAATATTTCCATTAGCATCAACTTCTTAAACTGCTGAGGGTGTAGTAATATCATCAATGAATTCCTTTAAAAGGATTAAATATTTAAATTTTTAATATTAAATAATTTTATTACTATGTTAGGTCTTTCTTTCAAGATATAGGGAGTACTTGAGCTAAAACATTATCCAATTCTAGCAGATTTTTTAGCTGGAGGATTAATACCTGAAAAATCACCAATTCTTGTAATTACATCTTATTTTTTGAGAACTTCAGTTTCATGAAAGAACCAAGATGATGAGTTCCTAAGTTGAGAAGCACTCCATCCAAAATTAATAAATTCCCAGTTTAAAACTTTAAAGGATTTAAGCTTTTACCTGAAATATCTTGAGACATACTTCATATGCTTTGCATTTTCTAAGGAATCATCTTAAAATGTTCCTCTTATAAATGAATCAGTTGAGTCTTAAAAAATTCTCAAAACTCTATTTGACAGTTCTAATTCTTTTAAGTTATAAATCAATCCACTAGGAGTAATACTTACCCTTCTTGTTGCGATAACTTTGACATCTCTTTTAGCTCTGATCTCTTAAATTTTGAAGTAATTCTAAAAAAAATAACGAATTAATTTAAAAACAGGAATAATTAATTTTACTTCTTATCTTTACACGTCCTAGAAAAGTATTTAGAAAGCTGTAAAATTGAGGCGATTAATTTCTTTCTTTTAGTTGTAATAATACTAAATTCCTTTTTCTAATATATACTCTGATTTACCATCTCTTATTTAAAGATCTATATAGTCAAGAAATTCTCTTAATTTGACGACACTTAGCTTTAAGATTATTATAAATAAATAAATAAATAAATAACCTCTTAGTTGCACAAATAAATGCAAAAATATTTAATTTACTTTATTGTGAGATATTAGTGTTAAGATCGAATAGCTTAAATTGAATGAATATCTATTTAGAAGTCTTTCCCATTATTAGTCTAAATCATTTTCAGGTTCTTAAGGAAAATGTTGTGACACATTTGAAATAGGAATAGGGTCTGTATCTTTAAACACGTTTGAAAAAGAATTTTTAAGTATCGTTTAGAATGTATTGACTGTTTCATTTTCTATCTCAATACAAATAACTGTATTGTTTACAAATTCTATTCTTTTAAGCTCATTACTGATGTCATGAGCAAAGAAGTTATCTACTCTAATCCAAGTGTTCTTTTTTTAATCCAAGTTTTCTTAAATATTAGCTGAATTTTCTCTGACAAAATATTTAGGAGGAACAACTAATTAAAAGTAATACATATTTTTACCTCTTTAATCAAATCTTATTTCATTGCAATATAAATATGGAAACTCAATTTTTAGCTAATAATCATTATATGCTAACACAATAGATACCGATTACTATTTTTACTTGCTCTTAAAAAAAAAATATTAATTTTATATTGTTATTGCTAATAATCTAAATAGAAAATAATTTAAATAATAAACATTTTATTAAATTTATATGGATACATAAATTATTAATTTAATATAATTACCTCTGATTCATCATTTTACATATAGATGCTGATTGTGTTTACATAGTCTATGTTTTCCTAATATTTTAAATAATTACTAAATACTAAAATTCAGTAAATAGCTTATTACTTCAAATTAAAACTAACAATTGTAGTATAAAGCACCGCCGTATAATTCAAATATCCCTAAACTAACTTGAAGCAATTTTATATTTACAAAATTCATCTATTCCTTAGCATAATTCGATAATTCATCAGTACAAATTTTCAAATAATTTTTTTTTTCGTTGTCATTATGTTTTGTTTTTAAAAAGAAGTAATATTTTTCATGTTTTGTCTTTACATCAATCTTTGAATCGTTCAGAACTTCTAAATCCTATTCCGTTCCACTTAAAATTATAATCCAGCTATTTATCCTTGCATACTAATCTTTTTATTAGTTTACAGTATTTATTTTAGACTCATTTTTAGAGTTCTTTAATACATTTTAACAAAAGCTTTTTATATTAATTTAGAAAATGTTTTAGCATAAAAAATAAGTAAGTAAGTATATGAAATAAAAACCTTTCTATTTTATTAAAGCTAGCCATTTCTTCCTTCAGATGAATATCATCATTTTCTTTTGTAATAAAGTTTTTTAAAAACTAATATTCACTACCAAGTAAATTGCTATCATCATCATTATCCAAAGACTATTAACCTTCCTAAAAATTTAAGCTTTTATCTATCAAAAATATTTTAGAAAAAAATTTGGATTATTAATATTTTATTACAGTTTACTCTATATCTCTCTTCTTTCAGGTGTTGAGGTATATTCAAATAATTATGATCAATAGATTTCTGTATCTCTTTTATTTTTTCCTTAACATCATCAATGGTATCTAAACCAATCTACTATTGCTCCTTTTTTGGAGTATAAATAGAGACACATTTAATGCTTTTAAATCTATGTTGTTGCTCTTAAAGATATTTTTATATTGATGCAAAGCATAATGAGGTAGTAAAGTTTTTAGAAGTTATCTTTCCATTTATATAGCCTATACAGCATATGATTTTTTCCTCTTCTATAGATTGTTCAATCATTTTAACTTATCTATTTTTTATCTAATATCTAAACTTGTTAAATTATTGAATTGTTTAATTATTAATAAAAATCAAGATATTTTATTTTTTAAATCTTAGATTGCTTCTCTAAAAAATAAAATATTTTTATATTTATTTACATACTTAAATAAAAATTCTAAAAGATATAAATTTAAGCTTAAAAAATTAAAGTTAATTAATTAATTAATGAAGTATTTTTAGGATATAATTTTATTAGCTCCTTCATATTTCTTCATAAAAAGTTTGTTAAATAAAAATTTAAGATCAAGTTAGAATATATAAAATTCTTTTTACTTAAACAAACTTTTACAAAATAGCGAGACAAAAGAATACAAAATCTAATATCATTAAAATAAAATGAAATTAGCAATTAAATTATATCAAAGTAATTTAAATATTTTGATAAATTGTAAACAAATATTTAAAGCTATTAAGATGATAAAATAATATAAAAATTTTAGAATTTTAAAAAAATAAAATTGAATTAGCAATTAAATTTTTAATGAGTAAATTTTAATTTAAAAATGGTGAAATACTTTGATAATAATATTTTAAAATATTAAAGACTTAAAGCTAAAAAAAATAAATATATAATCTAAAAATAATAGAAATTTAAAAAAATAATCCATCTTATTATAAAAATTAAAAAATTAATCTCTGTTTAATTATTTAGTTTGAAGAATTAATTAATTTTTTGCTAAGCATTTTGAGACAAAAGATATGAGAAATGATATAATTTTAGATTAAAACTGAAATTTTAAAATATAAATGATAATAAACAAGGGATAATAAGGTTGTTTGAAATTTTATGCAAGAGTTTTTTTAGAAGAAATTAAAGATTACGAATAAATATACATTAAAGTTACATTTATTGATGAGTAGAATAAATAATAATTATGTTTAGAAGAAGTTTAATGTTTAGTTTATATTTATTTCTTTATCTAGTTATTATTACAATGACTCTGACATATTTAAAAATATAGAAAATATTATTGATATATCAATGTAAATGTTTATATTTATTGTTTATTTAGCTTTATATTTATTTATTTATTTATGTATGTGTTGATTTATGTATGTATGAATTTATTTGTTGTTTTTATTTGCGATGCAAACTATTTTAAAATTGTTTTATGATTATTAAATTAAGAAGTTAATTTTAATAACTATTCAAATTGTTATTATTTATTTGTTTATTTATTTATCAATCAATTTGTATAGTTAATCAGTGTTTTGTTCCTCAATAGTAGGGCATTCCCATGGGAGGCATACCACCGGGAGGCATACCCATAGGCATACCCTTGGGGATGAAATCACTTTCGGCGAATAAGTTGTAGATACCCTTTTCAATACCGTTTAATAATTCCATGATTTCTTTATCGTTGAAGGCGCTTTGGTCATTAAGGTTTTACATGTAGTCTTCATCTTCCAAAGAGTATTCTTCGAAAACAAGATCGTTGATCATCATATTCAAAAGAATAGGAACTAATTGAGAAGTTTCAACAGTCTTGGGCATTTGTTTTAAGATAGGTAAGAAGTATTCTTACTTTTCGTTCAACATTTTAATTTAGAATCTGATGATTTCCTTGGTAATATCAGCACTGACGGACTTCTTCTTAGGTAACTTTTCTTTTATTCTTTGACGAACGGTAGCTTACATCATGAAGATGTGTTGACCCAAACCTCTTTCCATCAAGCACATTTCAGACTATTAATTAATTAAAAGATAAAATTAGTAAGTACTCAATTAAATTTAATTTGTTAATGTAAGATAAATTAAAATATCATATCAATCCAAATAGATTTTTATTTAGCTTGCAGTAATACTTAGATATTTTATCAGTCGAAAGATGGTGATTATTTAGAATCATAAGTAATCATACAAAAATAAAATGCATCATTTGATATCTAAGTGTAGTGTATAAAATGGTTGTTGTCTGATTAGTTAAAACCTTTTGGGTTATTTTTCTTTTGCTATATAACTATTGCTATTATGCTAAAAGTTAGTTGCTGCTGCTACTACTATGCGGATTGATGATGAAACTCTAATGTATCCTTGCTATGTAATGAAATAGAAATAATTACTTTTTCAAGAATTTCTTGGGTAATGCCAAGCTTAGCACAGATATCTTCTTGAGCCTTCATGAGCATGTTTTCAATATCGTTCATGTTTTCTTGCATTAAGAACAAGTATTTCTTCTTATCGGTATGCATGATTTCTCTTCTTTCTATTTATCATAAGTTAAATTAAAATTAGATTAGTTAGCAATAATTAACTAATTAATGAATAAGATTATTTTTTTCTTTGTTATTGAAAATATTGCTATTTTTTCCTGCCAAAATTATAATAAAGGGGTTATTTATTTATAATATTGAAGTATCTTTATATCAGTGAAGAAGTGATTTTTTTTCAGCCGAAAGATGGATAATTTATAAACATGTATGATTCATGTAATGAGATTGTCATCAGAGACACCATCTTCACTAGATACTTTGTAAAGAGATAGCAGTTATTTACAAGAAATAACTAACATATCTTTAACATACAATTTTTTTTAAGATAAGTAGATAAAAAATTATCTTTAATATCTTATTTATAATTGATGGCAGTATCCATAACAAAGAAAAGAAATAGGATGAGAAAAATGTAAGCTCTCGCTTAGCATATGTTGAAGGATTAATAAATTACCTTTTCTATTTTCGAAAGTAAGTCTGATGAATTCTTCTTCAGCGAGGTCAACAGAGTGTTCGACGATTTATTAGTAGGTTTAGATGGAGATGTATTTTTGAGTGTCAGGGATATAAGTGACTTGGATCTTAGAGACTATATCGTTGAGCTTGCCTTCAGGGAAGTCGAACTTCTTAGTAGATTCAGTAGTGAGTTAGAAGGTTTCAGCAACTTATTTGTCATTGGTAGGAGCAGAAGAGTCCTTAGTGACGTTCAATAATCTGACGAAAGCATCAGCCCATTGAGCAGTTTCGAAGAGCTTAGCTTGAACTCTTTGGTTGGCTTCAAGGAGACTAGATTGCTTTTCCTTGATAATTTTATTAATTTCATTGGTGTTAAGAGTAACAGTGGAACCGTTAACAGTAGCGTATTGAGAAAGGTTCTTCAAAGAAGAAGCAGAGCTCTTCTTTTCAGCAGCCTTAGTAGAGAGGTCCTTTAAGTCGAAATCCTTCAATTCCTTAAGGATGCAAACGAAGTTCTTAGATAAGTTATCCTTTAAGGCGAATATTTGTCTTTGGAGAGCTTCGAAAGCTTTGGTTGTTTCAGCTTAGCTGTCAGTTAATTGCTTCCAGTCGATAGATTATTCTTCGATCTTTAAAGTAGCCAAGTGGGCTTCTAAAGCTTCAACTTCACTGCTCATTATTTTTAATAGTTTTCTTTTGAAAATCTTATTTTTCTTTTTATTTTTTGCTACAATTGTATAATTTTTCCTGCAAATCAATCTCGCCTTTAAACTGAAAATTAGTAATTAATTAAATTTTTTATTTATGGCTAATTTATTCCTTTTATCTATAATTTTCCATTTGGTCCCCCTCCTCCTCTAGAAAGTTCGATTAACTCTTTAAAATATCTTTAATCAATTTTTTTGGTGTTGTGAGTTTTGAACAAATTTTGAAATATGTAGACAGAGAGTTTTTAAGAGATAATATTTCTTTCTTTCAAAAGATATTAAAAGCATTTAATAATGAAAAGCATAAAAGTAAAATGATTACAAGGTTGATCAACTAATTGATTTATTTATATGTAAAAATGATTAAGCATTTAAATGAGGTTCTAAAATAAAAAAAAATTGAATTCTTAAGATCTAAGAATTATTAACAAAAAAGGGAGAGTTTACGCGATTTATTTACATGTTTTTAGCAAAAAGATATAATTATTGTAATGAATAATGCTCAAATATCCCTTTTAAGTATGATTAATAGTGATAAATTAAAAAATATTCTTATTAAAATACTTATCTATAAAAAAACCTAAAATAACTAAAAATAAAGCATTAGTAAATTTGTTATTTTGATATACAACTTAACTCTCTATCTATAATCTAAGTTAAAAGAATATCTTTTTCTTATCAAATTCATCTGTATCCTTAAATTAAAAAATTTTAGAATATTTTTTAATAATTACCCCAAAAACAACTTTAAGTATTTAAATTTATTTATAAAAAAGAAGAATATTCAGGTAGGAATTAAGCATACAAATAATCTATAAATTTAAATATATATAATAAATAAAAGCACTTCATCAATTTACTTTAATCTAATTTTTAATTATATTATGATAAAATAGATATTTTTATTTAAATTAAATAAATGCCATAAACAAGATATAAAAACTAATATTAATTTTAGTGACTAAATATACAAATTAAATGATTTTTAATTCTTAAATTAATTTTATAATGTATTGAATCAAGTTAAAATTTTTTATTCTGAGAAAAGAGAGTATTTTTTACAGTTGAAAATAACAATTTTTGTGATTTTGCAATATAAAATATTAAAACTTGTTCTCAGGATATAAATATATAAAGATTGATTCGACATTTTACTGATTTAATAAATAAATTGTTTTTCATATAAATTTAAAATATATTTGTATCAAACAACGAACAATCAAAGTATTTAAAATTATCAAAGTTAAATAACTTTATTTATTTAACTATTTTTGAAGATCAATATAAGTTCTTTATATTAAAAATAGATATTATTAAAATAAAAAATAATTTTACTAAATAGATTTAAAAATACCTATTAAAATCAAAAAAAAGATGTATTTAAAAATGTTTATGAATAAAATGAAGAACTAAAAATTTCCATTTTAAAAAAAACATTATCAGTAAATAATTTATTTAAAAAATAATGATAAATAATATATACTCAAGATAAGAGTAAGCGAAAATATACAATCAAAACTATAGATATTGTATTAATTGTTATATCATAACTTAGTTCCAATGATCATTAAGGCATCTAACCCAAATGGCTTTTTATTAATTTTTATCTGCTCGTTAAATTTTTCAATAACCTTATTTTTTATTTCTTCGCTATAATATGTCCCTAAGACTTTTTTCATTTCTTCTTCTGAAATATAATGGAAAGGAGTGAATTAATTCCAGCAAATAATATTAGAGAAACCAGCACTTTCCATCATTTTAATGAGGCTTTCCCTATCATTTAAGTGGAAATAAGATCTACCTTACTAAACATATTAACCCATCTCTTTTAAAACTGTAGGAATTAAAGTATAATAGTATAAACCTTTATCATCTCCCCAAACTGAAAATCCAGCTACTCCTCCTTTTTAAAGTACTCTGTAAGATTCTGAGAGCATTTTAACAGGATCAGGAGTTATATGAAGACATAAATTACCAATCAAGCAATCAAAACTTTCTTATTCGAATGGTAATTATTCAGCATTAGCTTTTTGAATTGTTAAATTGTACTTCTCGTAGTTATTAACTTGATTTTCTTTGTATTCTAATTTTAATCTTTTACTCATTATTTGAAGCATTTTTTCTGATATATCTGTAGCAACATATTTTGCAGTTTACTTTTTATAATTTAAAATATGATTGTAGAGAAAACCCGTTCCAGCTCCTACTTCTAATATAGAGTCTCTCTTATCAATTTTGAGCATATTAGCCAGAGATAAAAATAAAACATTTGATCCAGAGTCATAAGAGGAGTAATCTTCAGAAAACTCGTCCCAAAACGTTTCAACATCTTTAATAGTTTAGTTAGCCATTTTAAATAATCAAGATTTTTTAATAAAATTTTCAACTAATCAATAATTTTTTTTATATTATTTTTTAATTTTTTTATAAAATGCTTATATAAGATATTTAGAATATCATCTAGAAGATTTCAATAACTTATCTAAGTTAGTTGTTATCAGTACATCAATCATATCAGATATTTAAGACTGTAATTTAATTTAGTAATTTGATATTAAATGTCAGTTTATTTTTTTATTTATTAATTGTATTTTAAATCAAGTAAGAATTAAAATAAATCTAATAAATTCTTAAAATTTTAATATTTTTTAAATAATTCTTATTCGCTAAAATGAAAATTCTATGATTTAAAAACAACTACAATAAATTTTATAAGTCACTTACAGTATAATTTCTTTCATTAAAAAAAATATGAGATAGAGAGAATAAATAAATATATTTCACTATCATACTTTAAAAAAATTATTTTTACATAATATTTATTAACTTTTTTTACGAAATATTGTTTTGTTTACTAATATTTTTAACTTTACAAAGAATTTCAAAGAATTTTTTAGCCTTTCAAAATAGATTGAACTTTCATTGTTATTGGATTTTGCCTCTAATCAGAAAACTTTATTACTTCCTTTATATTCACATAAATTAAACTTGTTCATGAGATTAGCTGAAATGTTAATTCTTTATTTATTTTGAGGAAAATTTTCAAACTTCGATAATATAAATTTTATTTGAATATTTATAAATTTAATTAAATATTAAAGATATTTTCTTTTATAAAATCTGTAATTTTTATGCACATATGTATATACATACATGCATATAGAAATAAGTAATCATCTTTCAACAGTGTTGAGAGTTCCATTTTTATTTTTATTTTTAGAACTTTTTATTTGATTTATCAATTAGATTCTAATTACCTAACTAAATGTCTTTCCCAAATGCTTTTCCTTTAAGTTTTTTTTATCTCATGATATTAATTAATTATTTTAAAATGAATAAAAGAGATCAAAAAAACTTTGTTTGGCAAGCAAAAATAAATATTTTAAGAAATAAACTTATTTTTTTGTAAAATTTATATGAATAAAATAACATATTAATGAGTTATTTATTTACGAGCTATAAAAATGAAATACAATTAATAATCAATTTTTAACACCTATTATTAATAATCCATCTAATCCAAAAGGAAGCTTATTTTATTCAAGATAACTTTTTATCTTTTGTTATAATTTACTTTTTATTTCTTCAGCCTTTTCTCCAGCTTGTTAAAGTACAGTAATATTACTAGGAGAGTTTAAGAAGTCCATCATTCCTTATTCAGTTTAATGATAAGGAGAGAATTAATTCCAACAAATAACTTAGGTGAATCCTGCATCTTCGACCATTTTGATTAGTTTTTCTCTGTCATTAAGATGGAAATTACTTCTTATTTGAGGATAAGTACATCCATTTTCAGTTAAAGTTTAGGGGATTATTGTGAATAACTAAGATTTTTCTTTATCTCCCCATACACTGAAACCAGCAACTCCACCTTTTTAGAGAACTCTATGAGATTCTTTAAGCATCTTTACAGGATCAGTGGTGATTTACAAGCACAAATTAGCTATGTAACAATCAAAAGTATTATCTTCAAAAGGCAATTCTTCTCCATTAGCCTTTTGTATTCTTAAATTATACTTGTCTATCAGCATACCATCCTTAAAAGGTTCTTCTATTTATAACCTCCTCAGAATATATTGAAGCATTTTTTCAGACAAGTCTGTCGCAATATATTATGCACCATGCTTTTTGAAATTCATTGTGTGATTAAATAAGAATCCAGCACCAGCTCCAACTTCGAGTATTGATTTACGATCTTGAATTTTAAGCATATTAATTAAAGATAAATAAAAGAGACTACTTCCATTATCCATATTAATGTATTAAGAAGAGAAGTCATCCCAATAAGCTTCTATTTCAGTGATAGATTTTGTTGCCATTTGATTGGTTTCTTTTAAAGATAGTTTTATTTTTAATTATTTTCAAAATAACAATTATTAAGTTTACTATCTTTCGGAAATAAAAAAAACCAATTTTTTTGATACGCAAAATAAATCTTTAATTAAAGATACAATACATACAATAGAAAATTTCTTTTTTTCTAAAAATTTACCTAGCAATGTAAGATTATCTTAAATTCTGGATTTTTTTTACAAGCCTATTCATCTATTTCATTGGATTAAAAATATTCTGGAATTATTCTTTTAATCAAAAATATAAATGAAGAAGTTAGATTAAATTTATTTTCAAATTTAGCAAAAAAGCAAAATTCCTTGATATTTTACATTTGTTTGAAGCTATAAAATAGAATGAATTTATATTTTTTTACAAAATTTGAAAAGAGGAAACCCCATATCTAATTAATCTCTGAATTTTTATTTTTGATCAATCTAAAAAAAATTTAAGCCCAATATTTTATTTTTTTGATTAATAGAAAAACTTTGGAATATTCTTAATCCATCATTTATTTATATTTATACATATATTATTCTATAAGCATGAAATGGATGGGCTTTTAAAAAACTTGCAGTTTTTAAGTTTAAAACCTCAATTGTTTATATATTTTTAGATTAAAACATCTTTAAAAAAATTAGCTTTTGTTTTTCATCAGAAATTGTTTAAATTTATTTGAGTTTATAGTAAGATTTTATTTTTTAACTGATCAAACAAAAAATAAAAAAATATAAATTTAAAAAGTAATTTCTTTAAAGAGCAAATAACAAAATATGCTAATTTTAAATCCAACAAAAGTAATTTTAAATTATAATATAAATTATTTATAAATAATTTAAAATTATAGCAATTAAAATTAAATACATTTAATATTTAGTCATTAGAAATTAAATTTGAGTAAAATAATATTTTAGTTTTATTTCTATGACATAAAGTTTTTTTCTCTATTTATTTTTTCAAGTCAGCAAAGTCTAAGTGAATAAGATGCTAAATTATTAGGAAAGACATTAGAAAAATTAAAAAGCCTCCACATATTAAATATCGATTTTGTGTAAAGCAATTCTATCCATAGTTTAATATAATATTAGTACTATATTTATTTATTTAAAAGAAATTGCTAGCTGATGTCATAATACTGTTTTTCTCTCATGCTTTCAGGAATTTTAAAATGTTAAAACCTCACATCTTTATCTATTAAACTAGAGTAATATTAATAATTTATTTCATAATTATTGATAGAAATCTATTTATTCACTATAAAGTTAGTAGAACATGGAATAATAAAAGGTGTTCAGTTTAAGTTCTGCTTTAGCTCAGGCTAAAAATCTAACCTATTTAAAAATCTTTATGCAGTAAAATATTATTTTACTCAGTAGAAATTATTTAATAAAATTTATTTAAAGGGACCATAATTTTAATAGATAAGGAGCTTCTTAGTTAGGTTAAGCTTTAGAAAACCTAAAAAATTTGAAATAATTAACCCTTGATTTAAGGTAAAATTAATTTTGCTTCATGAATCTATTAAATTATTTTTTTAATTTAAATTATTTCAATTTTACTTTGAATTCATTCATAAGAATTTGAGAATAATTTAATTACTTTTTACTTTATTCAATACTTTTATTAGAATATTTTAATTTTTTTTAAATTAAAAAAATTTAACTTTAATATTTTTTCTTGTCTAATAGCTAATAAAAAGAAAAAGGGTAATATAAACTTGGCTAAATAGGAGATTAAGGATTATCAGATTTATCAAAAAGTATATCCTAATGCCCAAACATTGAAGAGTTTGAATTAAATTTATTGTAAAATAAATGATCAATATTTTTTTAAATAAATTTATTAATTTAAAATTTTTAGGAACAATCATATTTTAAGAAAGGGAGTATGCAATTTAGGTGGAGCAATAGCTCAACTTAAGAGAATTAGAAAATTAAATTTATAATTAGCGTAAATATTTAGCTATTATTATAAATAAATAATTATTAATTTAAATATTTATTAAATTTATTTGATTAGTTTAAATACTCTAGGAGACGAAGGAGTCATGGGCTTTTGTCGTGAATTATAAATATGTTAGAGTCTATAAATTTTACACATAAACTTAATGTAATAATTACACTCTTTTCTTAATTAATTTAATTATTAGGTATCTAAATTTTTTTATATTTAATAATATATTTAGGTAAAATGAAATTGAAGAAGGTTACATAGAAATAGGCACTTTATTAGGACAAATCGAAAATCTTTATGAGATCGATATAAATTTTATGTAAATTTATTAATAAACCTACAAAAATATATCTTTAAATATAAAAGGGGAAATAACTATTTTATAAAGACTTTAGGATTAATGTGTAAAGGATTAGGAAAAAGTAAAAGTTTGGTCTCAATAAAATTAATTTTTTAGTATTATTTAATTAATTAAATACATATAAAATAACTAATTTAAAATTTAACATTTAAAATTCAAGCAACCCTTACAAAAAATTTCCATATGATGACTACCGTTATATCGATAATGAGGCTATTTTAAGAAGAGCCTTGCAACTCAAGTTGCAAAAAACTAAACGCTTAGTTTCATTCACTTTGGATCTTAAAAAGCCATGAAATTTATTTTAACTCTATTAATTGTCTTTTATAAAGCTTAAATTTTTTGATTTGTTTTAACTTAAAATAATTAATTAATTTAAATGTTTGTTATTATTGTAATACTTATTTTAAAAATAGCAATTATTAATTATTTAAATATAAAATTTACTAATTAATTAAGTAAAATTTTTTAGGAATTTGTAATAATACATTTAAATTAAAATATTTCTTTTTTAAATGATAAATAAGTTTATTTTTTATTTTGAAGTTAAAAAATAATAAAATAAATAAATCATAAAAATCTTTAAAAGGAAATTAAAATTTAAATTATGGATATTTCTTATTCATTAAATCACTGTAGAAAAAAAAAGAAAAATCTTTTTCAAAATTTATTAAAAGTAAAAGATAGGTTAGCGATAATTAAAATTCTATTGCTAATTGCTGACTTGTTAATTTATTTTTAAATAGAATATATATATTCATTCATTAATAATTTAATCAATAGATTGATTGATTTTGTTAAGAAAGCAATAGAAAAGTATAAGGAAAGAATCAAAGAACTTTGTTAGATAAAGTTAAATTAATAAAGTAAGAAAGAATAAATTAATAGTATCTTCATAAAGAAAAAAGATTCATTTTTATTGTATTTATAGGATGATAGCTAAATTATTTATTAGAAGTAGAATTTTCTTTTAATTTTAAATTGACTTAAACAGGATAAAGAAAATAATTCTTAAAAAAACTATTATATAAATAGGCTCTTAGAGATTGATTGCTTTGAACGCAAGATTTTTTTCAACAAATCCTGCTAACTAATTTAATAATTAGGAAACCTCTTCTACCTATTAAAATCAAAGAAATAATAGAAGAGAACCTTCTGAATTCAGAAGAAACAACTAAGAAAGATATTAAAAAAGAGAAGGAGAAGAATAGTATAGACCTAGAAAGGAAAGTACAATTTTACAAATTTGTTTTGGAATAGCTTATCATATCATTTATAGTTTATATATTTAAGCAAAAGGCGTAAAATTGCAAAAATTATTTACTAAAATCTAAATTATGCAAAAGGTATTACATGGGATGAATATTTTAATTTATATGCTACCAATAAAATCCACAATATTAGTGAAGCTAAGTTCCCTTACAACTTCAGGGGTATGCAAGACTTTGTTCCAATCGTAATTTTGTTAATTTATTTTTCCTATCAATCATTTATTAATAAAGCAATTACAGCAATTTTTTTAGAGTAGAAATACATAAGATTGTAATAAAATAAGCATACTTAAATGTAAATGATAATACTAAGCAATTATTTTTTAAAGAAAAAAGAATTCGATAATATGATCTTCGCTAAAGGTGAAAATTACGCTGATTTTTGCAAACAATTCGATAGAAGAATGGTTTGGTTCATGAAATCCCTTGCAACTAATAAAGATGATGATTTACCTTACTCTGAATTGAATTTCTTACTTCAAGCCAAAAAGGGTGCTGAATTACTTAGAAGAAACGGATATTAGGTACTTAATCAATTAATAAATATTTAATTATAATATATACATTTTTTAATATTTATCTCCTACAAGCTATGTTCTCCTTACAAATATGATATATTTTTAAGCACATAAAAAATTAAATAAAGAATCAAAGTTAACACTGTTAATGATAAATAGTTTTAGAACTTTCTAATAAATAAATTTTTTTGGTAAATAAGCGAAGCTGACGTTTTATGTAAAAATATTAGATTAATTTAATTGAAGATAATGAAGGTTTCTAAAAGTTTGGAGGTAAAAAAGGAGGTCAACCTTTTGAAATAACTCATATTATGGGTTTAAACAGCAACAGAACCAGAAATGCTGGTACTGATGCTTATTCTATTATCAGAGATTTAGAAGAAAAAGGTTTAATTATGTTTATTGGTAATCAATTAAAAATGGATGAAAATGGAAATTATGATTTCAAGTTAACCCGTGATGATGATAAATAAATGATTTTAAGAGTTCATTACAAATTCGCTACTCCTTATATTCTTTAGGTTACTGACAGTTCAGGAAAAGTTGTTTCACCTCCTCCTGAGTCTTATATTCACACTGCTGTCTTTGAAAATTAATTGAGACTTCCTCCTAAATTCTCTCGTCTTGATCTTCATTTCCTTGACTGGTAAAATTTTCTTCAAGTTTAAATAATATTTTATGATTTAGTTTAAAACTAAAATAAATTAACATAATTTTGATTTTATTGAGCTAGATTAATTAAATGAAAATTTGTCAACTTTTATTGCAAAATTTATTTAAATTTAAAATAAAATTAAAATAGGATCAAGCTTTATAGAATATAGAACGAATGGAAATTAGTAGATTTCGATAGATTCTTGAGTGGTAACAAACTTATATACTCTGAAAAGGAATAGAGACAATTATTTAAAGGAGAAAAAGATAACTGAACAATCAGCAAATGAAATTATTTATCTAATTAATCTCCAAAACAAAAAAAATAATAGATGAAAGTAGGAGATAGATAGAATAGAAGTTAGTTAGTTAGTTTTTTAGTTAATTAATTAGTTAATTAGTGATAATTATTGTTAATAAAGTTTATTTAAATGAAATAATTAATTATTATGAATAGATATTATTGATTTGGGATTATTAAAACTAATTATAAAGCATTTCATATACATATTATTTTATATTTATTCATTTTTTTTCTTTCAATAAAGATTTTTAATTAATTAATTATTTAACTTCAACTTAATAGTTTTTATCATCATTAATATATTTTAATCTTATCATTATTCATTTTATACAGTATTAATCAATCACCAATTATCTACTAAAATATATTTAATACATAATTCAAATCCTAATTTTAGTAATTTAAGTTTAGATATTCAATTACTATTTATTAATATATTTTAGACTTTTTTTTAATTTAATAAACTTCATACTTTTAGCCAAACTATAATACCAATAGCAATAATTATAATAAGACTCACTATGTAAAGTACTACTTTGTTTTTACGGATATTACTTTTTATTCTATCAGCAAGTCTATTAGATTCACTCAAATTACTACTTATATCATTATTATCTTATATCATCTTTCCCACCTTTTGATTTTAAGCCACAATTGCTTCTGAAATTTGATTCGAGGTATCTTCTACTTAATATAGTACTCCTAGAGCATTTTTAAGTTTACTTGTTCCGTCGCTTAGCATGGCTCCTGTTTTAATAAATCTTTCTCTACCAGTAGATTCAACATCTGAGAGCTGATTATATTAATCTTAAAGTTAATGTTAATTAAGCATTTTCAAAAAATTATCACCTCTATTTTTTAGTCCATCAAAGAATCCCTACGCTTATCGTCATTAATAGATTCTTCTACTTTAATTTATTTTTTTTTTAAGCTATCCCATTCATTTCTATACCTTTTGATCTTTTATTACAATAAAATTCCTCACACAATATATTCTCACATACCATATTAATAAGTTTACTTTTTATTATAACTATTGCTTCGTTTGATATGGTAAAGAATTTACTTCTATTTCCATCTATTTAATCTTTAAATATTAAAATATTATTTATAATGTTTGCAAATCTTATATTTACTTGTAAGTCAGCTTCGTTTAGTTCATATTTAATATCAATCATGGTCTTATCTTTTTTATCTATTAAAATATATTTTTAATTTTGCTTAAAAAAAAAGAACAACCAATAAGTATTACTCTAATCAAGATTTTGGACATTAGCTAACATTTTTTAAATTTAGTTAACAATTTTATTAAACTCTGTTTCGCAGGACTCAAATAACTCTGACATTTACTTTTATATAAAATTTTGTTTACAAATACCTTTTAAATTTATATTTTTAATGCAAAAACTTTGTTGTGAATATTATATTTAATTAAATCTGATTAAAAAATTTTAAGAAAATTAAATTGCTTAACAACCAGATTCTGTAAGTTTTATCCAAAGTTATCTTTCCATCTATTTCATTTTAAAGTTTATTTATTTCTATTTAAATCATTTTTAAAAATAATTTTCATTTATTATGTTTTAATTATTCATATTCAATCAATTAAAAAAATAATTAAATTTAGTGATAATTTTTTCAATTAGATTTTTAATATAATTTAGCAAAATATAAAATTTTGTTTACAGATACCTTATATGATGATGATCCCTTGTCAGGGGATTACCGCCATTAAGGAATAAAATTCATTTCAATTACAAATATAAAACATTTAGTTTTGGTTAAAAAAATAATTATATTAAAGAAAAGATTTATCATAAAGGTTTATTTTCAACAATTATCTTATTAACAAAAGCAGATACCTTATAAATTTATATTTTTAATGTAAAAATGTTGAAGTGAATATATATATTTAATTAAATCTTATTAAAAATTTAAGAAAATTAAATTGCCTAACAACCAGATTCTTTAAGCTTTATACAAAGTTATCTTTCCATCTATTTCATTTTAAAATTTATTTATTTCTATTTATCCATTTTTAAAAAAAATATTTTCATTTGTAGAGTTTTAATTATTCATTTTCAATCAATTAAAAAAAAGGAAATAAGTGATAATTAATTAATTAATTCATTTTATTCGATCAGATTTTTAAAATGATTTAGCAAATTTCTGAAATTTTATTTTTTTAATTTTCATAATCAAATTTTTTTAAAATTGTCATAACAAATTTTTTAAGTCAATTAAAAAAAATAGTCAAAAAGAATTTAAATTTATAATATGTAATTAATATTTATTATGAAATATACAAAAATTGAAAACAAATATGATCATATTTTTAATTAAAATGTCACTATATTTTCTTTAAATAGAGTAATTTTCAAATAAAAAGCTTTTAAATATGGTTATAGAAAATGCTAAAAAGCATAGTTAATAAAAGTATAAAAAAATTTGATAAATTTACTAAAATTCTACTAATAATTAGTTATAAAATTTTAGTAAAGGTGTTAATAATTTTTTTAACATTCTAACAAATTACCTAGATAGATAAAACAAACCTGAGGTGACTAAAATGTTTCAAATAGTTTAAGGCAACAAAATATTTTTGCATAATTTTATTCAAGACAAATAACTAAATTTAGAAAAAGCAAAATTCTTTTATAAAATAAAAAGATTTGAATGCTTTGAAAAAATTTTATTACCACGCAATATATGTCAATTAAAAAAGAATATTTAAGATTTAAGCAAAAAATTATATTTATTTATCCTACATCTGCAAAATATTTAAATTTTAGAAATATGAAAGTATGAATAATCAATCTTCTTTAGAAAGATACTTTTAATTTTATCTTCTGTTTATTACACTGAAAAATCTTTTGTAAACACAAGTAAACTTAGCAAATATAAATAAATGATATATTTGAAAATGATAGATGATTAATCAGATTACATAAAATAATCAGGTGTATTCTTAATTAATTTAGAAAAATCATATTTCACAATTGAAATAACAATTAGAAAAGAAATTTATTCTTAATTATAAAAGAAATTATCACTTTCTTTCAATTTTGTGTTAAAGAGGATTTTTTATTATGCAGATAACAATAAAAGAAAAATAAATAAATATAGTAATTAAAGTTAAGAAAAGAAAATGAATAAAATCATTACTTCTGTTTTGCTTTTAGGCCTCTTCGCCTTCTCTTCCTATATGGTTGCTAACAAATCTTCTAGCACCACTCTCCTCCGCTCAAGCAATAATGACTTGGCTGAAATGTACGCTGAATTCAAGCTTGAACACAACATCGTTTTCTAAAATTCTGAAGAAGATCTTTACAGACAAAACATTTTCTTCTAAAACGTTCGTTACATCCAATCTGAAAATGCCAAGAACAACACTTTCAAACTTGCAATCAATATTATGGCTATCCTTACTGATGAAGAATACTCTTCATTATACTTAAACTTAGATCAATAAGAATCAATTGATATTTTTGACTCTTTGGTCGATGATAACGAAACTGTTGGTGATATTCCCTCTGAAGTTAATTGGACTGCTCAAGGTGCTGTTACTCCTGTTAAAAACCAAGGTTCCTGCGGTTCTTGCTGGGCTTTCTCCACTACTGGTGCTTTAGAAGGTTCTTACTTCTTAAAGAACAACTAATTGATTTCATTCTCTGAATAACAACTTGTTGATTGTTCCAGACTCTACTTAAATATGGGTTGCAACGGTGGTTTAATGCCTAGAGCTTTCAGATACGTTAAGGCTCACGGTATCACTACTGAAGAAGAGTAATTAATTTAACAACATTTAAAATATACTAGTCTTATAAAAGCAATTATTTCTTCATTATCAAAATATAAATTAATAAAAATAAAACAATAAATAATCAAGTTAAAATTTAACAAAAATTGCTAACAATTTTAGTTAGTTACATTGAAAATAGTATAATTATTAAACAGCTGTAATAAATTACTAATCAGATGATAACAATTCATACTTACAATTTATTTATTTTATTTATTTATTTAATAGATATCCCTACACTGCTAAGGATGGTAAGTGCTAAACTAAGTAAGGTTAATACAAAATCAAGAGCTTCTCCACTGTTCCTAGAGGAAACTGTGATAAGTTAGCTGCTGCTATTGCTTAATAACCCGTCTCAGTTGGTGTTGATGCTACTAACTTCAAGTTCTACACTTCTGGTGTCTTTGATAACTGCAAGAAGAAACTCAATCACGGTGTTTTGGCCACTGGTTACACTGCTGATTACTGGATTATCAAGAACTCCTGGGGTACTGCTTGGGGTTAGAACGGTTACATTAACCTTAAGAGAGGAAACACTTGTGGTGTTTGTAACACTGCTTCTTATCCTCATTTCTGAGAAAAAAATATTAAATATTGATAAATTATAATTAAAAAAAAGCATTTGATTATATATTTATAATTGTTTGCAATTAAAGTAATAAAAAATCCTATTTTAAAAAGCAATCTATTAATTTAATTTGCTTTTTTAAGTTCAACTAATTTATTGATTTATTTTGCTTATTTACTTTCAACTAATTTATTGATTGTACTTATTAAATAACTCTTTTTACAAAACAAATAAAAACCACTTGACATACTTAAAAATTTAAGATTGTTTCTTTTATTTAACAAAAGTAAATAAAATAAAATTTTAAACATGTAGGTAATTTTTTTAACTATTTTCAAAAGCTGAAAATTATTGCTTCGTTAAATCTAAGAGGATTTTTAGCTTTCTTAGCTTCTAAATATTGGTCAATCTAAGTAAGAATGTCTTTGGAAGTTTCATCTTTAATTTTATTATCACTATTATACATTTAGTAAAGAATTTAATTTAAAAAATAATAAATTTTATTTTAAATGATTGATTACTTTAAATACAACGAAAATTGTTTTGTGTATTCATTATCTTTAATAGCTTAAAATAGTTAAATAGCCCCATTATCATCTATCTAATTTTTCCTTTTATTTATTAAATGTTTATTATTAAGCTTCATTCATCAAATAAATATTTTAGCAAATTACGATAAGTTAATTCTCATTTCTTAAGCTTATGAAATTTGAATCAACCCTTGGTGTAAAAAGACAACTCCTTCATATGAAATATTATTATATCTAAATATTTTATTAATTAAATTTAGTACAAAATACTTTATCTCATACCCTTTATTCTAATATAAAATATCAATTAAAAATAAAAATATCTTCAGGGATTTCTTATTTATGATATAAATTTTATTTTCTTACTGTAAGCTTAGCTCCAAGTTTTTAATAACTTTGTTTTTTGATAGATTATCAACTATACATTCAATGCCTTTGTTGCCTATTTAATTGTTTCTTTTGATATATTTAAAAGAAGCTAGGTTAAATTTATCAAAATTGTATGTTTACTCTATATGCAATTTAAGGACCTTTATGGATACATTCGTTCCTATACCTATAGTTAGCTGTTTGACTCCATCAGCTCCTAAGTGATTATTCCTTCAATTTAATAAATATAAATGAATATATTATCTTTTAAAAAATATTTATACTTCAGATTTATAGAGAATGTGTCAATATATTTATTGGTTGCTATGCTTTTACTTAAAGCTTTAATACCTTCATGCTTAATGCTGTTATTTCTATATATATTATTGTGTTTATATATGTTAAATTAATATATTTAAAAATATTACGCCATATTTAGTTTAATGTTTTTAATTGATTTACTGGACTCTATAAGTTTCGCTATAGACTTAATTGTAGTATTTCCTAATTCACAATCACTATTGCATAATTTTTAGTATTATAATTTGATAAATAATGAGAATATGAATTATTACTTGAAATTCAGACTAAGCAATGTAATAGGTTTAATATATCTAATTGATTTGGTTATCATTTCACCTCCTTTATCTTAAATTGCTAATTTGCTATTTTAATTTGAAAAAAATTTACTATTTATAGAATATCTATAAATAATTATTACGACAAGTTTATTTCTAAGCTTTAAGCTGTTTAGTTATTCTATAGAGATTTTGAAATTTAAGAATACAAAGGTTCTAGGTCATCTGAGCACCATTGTTCTCTAATTTGTACAAATAATATGTAAAAAAAATATTTCAAGTAGATTTTATTTGGGATATTTACTTTAATTTGATTGAAGTAGCTCCTTCTACTTCCTTATAAAGACTGTTGATGTTTTACTCTGAAATGACGAATTCAAGAGGTTTATCTTTGACTTCTACCTAAAGAGTAAATTATTTTACAACACCGTGAGTATCTAAAAGTAGTTTATCTAAATCCTTTAGTATTTACTCAGCTTACTAAAGACTGCACACACTGTCTTCATTTCCATCTAAAATCTCAAAGAAAGATTTTGAATCACTACTATCAGTTACTTTTAAGCTCTTCTGAATAGCAACAATTAAATTTCCTAAATTATCTTGATTGCTTCTTTAGTTGTATTCGTCAATAGCCTCCATTAGTTTTTATTGTGGAGTGCTTCCCTTTATTTAACATAATAAGGAGTTATTACATTAGTAGAAATTAATAGATTTATTGAATTAAATTATATTAATATTCTAATTTACTAGATTCAACTTTTATTTTAGCAGTGTCAGACTTGAGATAGAATTATCAATAATTTTATAAAGCTCTTCCATTTTTGATCTGTATGGCTTATTCACATAAAGATAGTTGTTTTGTTGCAAAAGAGGATTGATTTCCTTAAACAAATCCTATAGTGAGATCATCCAGTGATTTTTTTTATGAGTGTTCTTATTGACTTCTCTAAAATCGCAGTCAACACATAAAATGATAGACTTATCTTCATTTTTTTGCTCATCATTAATACTTTCTTTAGGTTCTTGATTTTGCTTATCACTTTTTTTCTTACCCTTTTGCTTTCTATTTTCGTTCTCCATCACTTTTGTTCTACAGCCCTTTCTTACCTCTTAAATAAATATCTTGTATTTATAAATATAATTTTTTTTTTGAAGTTTTTGTAAGAATTTATTATATATTATAATATATTCTTCACAATTAAAAAATTATTAACAATTTTAATTAAATAAGAAAGAGAGAGCGCTTACATATTTTATAAAAATTTTTAAAAACAAATCTAATAAAAAATATCATAAATAAATAAATAAAACCTTTTTTGTATTTTAAAAACAAATCTAATAAAAAATATCATAAATAAATAATAGCTTTTTTGTAAAACAGTACCTATAATATAGTATTAGCAATTCAAATATATTTTCATAAAATGATTTATAATTAAATTAATTATTGAGTATTTAAAAAAATAAACTAGTAGCCTTTATATATAAATCAACAAATAGTAGTTTAGGACGGACTAGAAAGTATTAAATAAATGTGTTTTAACTCTAAAAAAAATTTAATACAGAGTGGTTAGTAGTTTTTTATGTTTAATATTAATCGTTTAGTAGTTATTTTCTAATATTAAGCTTTTAGTAGTTGTTTGTGTATTAATAATTAATGATCAAATTAATATTAATTAATATAATTTAGTATGAGCAAACAAACAATCATTTTAGAGCTGATTCATTTTATTATTACTATTTCATTTGCTCTAATTCTTTTAGTAGTTATTTTTTAGGAGATTTTCCAGGAGATTTAGCTGGTGAATTAGTATTTGATTTATTCTTTAAAGTCTCTTTGTTCATAATTTTTTAAATAACACTTTTCAAATTCAGTTTATCTTACTCCTTTTAGTCATCTGAAATTTGTGTATTCCTTTTCATAGTTACTCTTTTTATGAAATTTATTGATTCATCATTCATTTTATTATTTTATCTTTGGCTGTTTGTAGGAGTGTTATTTTATATTAAGGATTTTCTTTTAAACAATGAGACCACTCCTTATAAAACATTTTGCTATTACTATGATATCTATTATTACTGCTGTTAAGCTTATTGCTGAGCAGAATTTTAATTGCTAGAATTTTCTTTTATTGAGAAGGTCTCATACCTTTTCTTCATCAAAGCAAGCATACTTTCTATTTTATAAGGAAGTTGAATAACAATTCTTTCATGCACTTCATATTCTTCAGCTATTTCGCCTAAGGGAACCATAGACTTCTTTTCAGCTAAACGTGAAAGGGCTTCCAAAAATTCTACAAATTACATTTAGAAATGTCTATCGCTATTCAACTCATCAACCTATGTCATCATAGCTAAATTAAATGATATAATTATATCACGTTCTACGAGCAAATCATCCAATAAATCAAATTTATATACCATGTCTTTAAACTCCTATAGTGACATGCTTTTTGTTGTAGTAAAGTACCTTTTTTCATTTTTTCTTGAGTCAGCAAAATTATTATATAACGTCTTTAAAAATGGCAAGTATGCTTTGAGCTTTTCGTCGCATTCTTAATTCCAGTATCTATTTTAAATATAAATGAATTTCATTAATTTTAATATAAAAAAATTAGATTTCTATAATTTATATTTATTTACCTTATCTTTCTCCATTCCTAAGGTGAATCAAATTCATAAAGGTGGTTCAATAACCCTTCTTCATAAAAAAACATCTTCATAGCTTCAGCATTTGCTTTTGCTTTTTCATTACGAATATATTTATCAAGTGCTATCCTACCCATAACTTCTAGGAATTCATTTCTAATAAGAGCTTTATCTGGATTTCTGTACGTCTTTGCTTTCAGAGCTATATTAGAAGCAGAAATAAAGTTAAAGTCTATATCTCTTATAAACAGTAAATTGTTATCAATTATTTGTGCCTTTTAAGTAAAGTTAGAGAAAGGATTCTATGTAATGCAGAACACATCGTTGGCTATACCAGTACAAGATAAATATTTGTATGCAATACGTAGAAGTGGATAAACACTTTAAAGTATTTTTTTGCAATCTTCAATATCTTTGCCTTTTTCCAAGAGTTTAGGTAGTTTTGATGTTTGCCAATCAAATTCAAAGCATCTTTTATCAAGAGCATCGGAGTCTGGTATATAATCTCTAAAAAGAGATATACCTCTATGCCATTAATCAGTTTTGCTTATACGGAAATAGGTTTCTGGTTAACGTGGTTTTGCTTTAACATTAGCTTCATAATCTCTCTTTTTAGAAATTAACTCCCTACAAACTTAAGTTTCTATATAATTTACGTATGTAGGTGCATGATACTCTATTATTGTACCATCCAAGTATTTTACCTTGAATTTTTTCTTAATATTTTTACTCACTTCATCTAGAGCTTGCTCAATTTCTTCGTTCTTTTACTCCTACAACTCTTATTCAGATATTTCCTATTGTTTACTTGTTTATTTTTTCCCTTCATTTTTGTTACTTTCTTTTGTAGTAGGAGTTTAATCCTATTTATCTTTCTAACTTTTAGAGTTTTGCTTTTATTTTTCTTTCATTTTAGATTTTTCTGCTTTGTTACCTTTTTTATTCTTCTAATCCCCTTTTTTATCCTGTTACTGATTTTAAGAATTTTTATTTTCATCTGTTCCACTTTAATTCGCCTATTATGAGTGGTGGTGGATAGGGATGTCATAAAAATTCAAATTGATCCCATCTGGTATTTAAAATTCTTAAATTTTGTAATCTTTTGAGAAGTATATCACATTCTTGCAAGGGTCTGAAAAGAAGAAAGTTATCTTCCTATTAGGAGGGCACATTCGATTTAAGAAAAAGCAACTTGGGTCTTCAGGATCTCTATCCATATATATGGGTTAATAATCCTCAAAGTCAAGATGAAGAAACACGGGTTCTCCTGTAAACACATCACTTCCAGTTTCCCTCATTTCAAATCTTATTTCAGTCCATCCGTGACAGATCCAGCAATTATCGAATGCTTTACAGTCAAATGACTGCAATCTTTTAATTATATAAAATAAAAATATTAATTTTAATTTAATTTGATTTATTCTCTTACTTATTAGGACCTTTAGTTTTAACACTTTCAATTCTTTAAGTTACAATTTAAATATCATTTTAATGATTTTCTTCATACTTTTTATTTTAATTTTCTGGGAAAAAAACAAATCCTCTTGGATCTATAAGAGCCTAAGACTCATTACCTTCCAAATGAACTCTAAATATTTTAATTAAAATTAAAAAAGTATTTTCAAAAAAATATTTGAATTACCCAAACAACACTCTATTTTGTAAAAGAGCAGTTGACATATCAACACATTCTTAGTGGGTGAACTAATTATATGAAATATCAAGATGCTTCACAGCTGATTCTAAAACATTGCAACTCTAGATTATCTTCATGCCACATTTTAACTTAGGAATACTACCTAGTCCATTATGACTTAAATCTAGAACCTTTATTTTAATAAATTAAGTTGATTTTTGTTTTTTGTAAGAAATATTTATTTACCTTAATATTTAGATTTTCAGAGAGGCCTTATGCAATTAATATACCTCCTTTTGATGATATTTTATTCCAATGAAGATATAACTCTTAAAGATAAGAGCTTTTCATCAATAATTTTTTGATGAAATCACAGCTTTAATCTGAAAGCTTATTATGAGAGATATTAAGTACATAAATTGACATATTTGAGAAAATATGAGGTATTATTACTTTGAGACCAATATCAGTGATATTATTGTTTTCTAAGTTCAATTTGCGAAGTTAATTAAATTTTTTAGAATCAAAAAGAGGAATAAGACCTCTTGTGCCTTCTGCACAAATGTTATTACTAGAAAAATCGATAGAATGAATGCTTTCTGGTAAATTTCTACTAATTGTTAGTATTGCAATACCATTTAAATGATTATTTGAAAGATTAAGTGTATGGAGAAACTATAAATCTTTGTGACCAAATGCTTTAGCTAACATTTCAGAGTAATTGTTTCTTATATTTTGATGAGATAAATTTAACTTTTGTTTAATTTTACCATCTTTTTTACTTTATATGGCATCAAGATTAACTAAGCTTATGTTATTAAGCAGCTAATAATTTTCTAAATCATCGTTTTGAACTTTAAGTGACTGTCTGTTTTTGAAGCCTCCTTAAGCTAAGTCTATTATTTTAATTTATCAAAAAAAATAAGGAAAAATGAAGAATAAAATTTTAATTAAACATATTCATTCATTCATTTTCTTTAAATTAAAAACTTTGAAAGAAACATCTTTTTGAATTCTCAAGTAAATATTCTTATTTTTAGTGAATAAATTTCATTTATATTATTATTGATTAAAATTTATGATTAGTTATCAAGGATATTATTTAAATTAATTTTAAGATTTCATAAAAAAAATGTTTGATAAATTTAAATTAATTTTTAAGTTTAATAGGAAATATTTTTGATAAATTTATGTTTAAAACTTCATACCATGAATTTTAAATTATGATTTTAGTTCTGCTTAATTTGGGACTTCATCTTTATCTATGTTTACTAATGAAGGAGAATCAACTTGCTTGGTATCTTCAATATTCTAATAAGATGTATCCTTAAAATTTCTTGCTGAATAGGGAAATTAATCTCCTTCAGTTTTTGTTTGTTAGAGAGAGATTATACCCAATTTTCTTGGAAGAAGAGTCTTATTTTTCATAGTCACACTTAGCATTTCTTCTTCTATCTTGTTAATACTCTAAAAATACTTATTTTCTTCAAGTATATTTTCAATGTTTTTATAACTTTCATGATATTTTTTTTAGAGATTATTTAAATTCTTATTTTAAGGAGTTTCTACAAATGCAGATTATAATTTGTTGCTACTCTACTAATTTTAGTTATTAAAATTTACTCCAGAATCTTCATTAAAATTCGATTATCTATTAGTTGGGCTTTCGTTTTGATATAATTCACTAAGACTCATCTTTAACGGGTTGCTTTCACTATACTGAGTATAGTTAGGTATTTAATTAAGAGTCTTATTAGGCGTGTAATCTATTTATTATTTTGCAGTTTACGGGTTTTAATAATTTGAACTACTTATTTTTGAATCGCTAACATAAAAGTTTGTGGTTGTTTCAGCTTTCTTGACTCTTATAAAATTGTTTAGAGAATTTTTATTCTACTACTGCAAACTTTTTCTGTTTGATTTGTTGATAGAATTTAATTCTTTTAATTCTTTTTTGAATTTGCTCATTTCCATCATAAGTTTGTTTTTTGGAGGAGGACTTAAAGGAGATTCAAAAAGAGATTTTCCACTTTTTGAGCTACTAGAAGAGGAACTTGATTATCTAGTCTTAATATTTTCTAAATTTAAGTTAATATTTTAGAGTCTTTTAGCAGTAGAAGTAGTAGCTGAGTTAGAAACATTCTAATTATTTGGTGTAGCTACTTGTGTTGATGGAAAGGCAGCAAAATTTTAAGAAGTTAATTATGAATAACTTTAAGGAGTCTTTCCTCCACTAACTACTTCAGCTAATTGCTACTTTTTTTGCTATTAAACTTTTTTCAAAAAGGGGCTAGAAAAAGTTTTTGATAGATTAATATTCTTTGGGACTTTATAAGATTAAGAATTTGATAGATTTGTCAGATCTTTTGTGGGAGAGTGTATTGAGTGCTATAAATTAGAAAAAATTTAGTAATTTGAAGAACCATTAATGTTGAAATGAATTCTATTTTTTAAATCTCTGCTTTCTCTTTCAGAGACAGAAGTAGATTATTATTGCTTTTTTATTAAAGGAATACCATTTTGCAATTTTTTTTCTTCTTATTTACCTTTAAATATACTATGGGAAATTTACTGAGGTATTTGTGTCAGTGAAGTAGCTTATACAGAACTAACGGCGGAGTTAAATGCATAGTAGTTCTATACTTCTTAAATACTCAAACGCTTTTGCTATTAGCCTGCGATATTTTTATTATTATTGGTTATTTCTTTCTCAGATTAAGGCATAAGTAATTACTATCTCTCTGTCATAAAATTGTTACTAAGTTCGTTATTAATAGGAGTGGTTTTAGCATTTTTTTGCTAAATACCAAAAGGATTATTTTAAGTAAAGGGGCCCTATTGTTTTCTAAATGAATTTGATATGTTATTCTCGCTATTTATAACACCTGATTTATTAATTTGTGATTCACTATTATTAAATAGAATACTCTTCTTTTTCAAGCTAGATTTTATATCAAACTAGTTTCCACTATTTTGCGGTTCTTTCTAGCTCGTTGGCATAGGGTTCATGTATTGATAATATAAATTATTATTTTAAGAAATCTATGGAGAGAATTGCAATTTTTTTGGAGATCTAAAGTTTTATTGGCTCTTATAGTATTTCAGCTATGACCTATCAGTAAGAGGCATCTATAACTCGCTTCTTGCTGTTTATTCAGATGAAATATTTCTATCTTATAACTAATTTGAAACTTAGTTTTGATCGCTCTCTTCTTAATGCTTTTACTAAGAGAGTTAGTTCTATTTCAAGTTAAACTCACGAAACTTAAATGTCCTGCTATTTCTTGCACTTTCGCTATTTATATTAAATTACTTTTTTGAGCTCTCATTGTTTGTCCAACTCTAGCCTGTTTCAAAAAAGTAAGACGGAGATTGATTTAAATAGCTAATAGCCATATCCTTACTTTATTGAATATTTAACTATGGCACGGGATTAAATGTCATCCTTTGCATATACTCAGACTACTATGAATAATTTGCTTAAAAGGGAGGAGAATTATATTACTAGTGTTCCGCCATTTTAATGGTGTCTTATAATTAAAAGTGCTAATCCTAATTCGGATTCATGGAAAGCGAATTAATCTAGTGTATGTCTTTTGATATTAAAGTTTATAGTTTTAAATAACGATTTATGACTTTACTCTTACTTTTAATGTATCTTTAAAAGTATAGATAATTTATATAGATTTACAATGATTATACATAATATAAAAATTCTAATCACTTTTTTTTTTACTCAAATTTCTTTGATTGATGATAAAATAACAAATGCACTTATTACTAATTTTTAATCTTAGTTTTATTGTTTAAATTTTTAACCATTGTCAGAGAATTAACCTACGATTATAAATCAATAAGGTATATAACAACATATAATGATAATATGAATTTACAAAAATCAATTGAAAAATCATAAATAAACTATCTTCCTTAACTTAAATCGAACCTATTGAGATCCTCTAATTTATTTCATTCATCACCACACAAAAATAATGCTATCCTTACATTATCTTACCTTAATTTATATGTTTAAGTTTTTTAGCAAAATTTAATTAGTTGTGTTCCCATATTTATTTAGTTATCTTTACTTAGGAAATTGGTTGGAGCAGCATTTACCATAAAATATTTAAAATCTACTAGTAATAATTGTATTTTTAAAATCTATAAAGAATTTTGTGAACTAAAATCAATAAATAGTTAAATATAATATAAAGAATTAAATGATTAAAATTAATATATTTTAAAAAATAAACTGAATGATCTTTGTAAAACTTTTTATATACATATTTTAAGACATATTTAGACATTTTATTTTAATATAACGCACATTTTATGAAAAATACAATATTTGGTAATAGAGAAATTAATCACATTTAAATACCTTTTTTTATATCCTTCCTTATATGTTAATGATTACAATTAAAATGAAGAAACTAATTAAAAAAGTAAAAGTATAAATTTATACTTTAATTTCATTTCTTTTGAAAAATAAAAATTATTTTATTGTATTTTAAGAAAGAAGTAATTGTTATATTCATTTTTTAGTTTATTATTGAACAAATTAGATATTATATTAACCATAAATTTGTAGATAACTCTATTATTCATTCCTTAACCTTTTTACCTTAAGCTATCTAAATTAATTATTTAGCTTCCATAAATTCTTTTATTAAGATCTATTTTTCATTTATAACTTATAGTGGTATATTTTTAAAAGGATACAATTGAATTCCAATAATAAAAAATTTCTAATTTGATTAATTATCAACTTATATTTATTAGATCAATCATTTTTAGCAATATTTTTAAATTTGTTTATTAGCATTTTAATTTTGAAAAATATTTTATAAAAACAAAATTTTTTGAACTATTCTGCATCTTTTTAATTTTATTCAATTTTTAGTAATATCTTTTTATAACTAAGTTAATCATAAAAATTTGAATGAAAAAAAGCTAACAAAAAGCAATTTATATTTTAAACTATTCAATTGATTATAGTAATATTTTTATAAATAAAAATTTGTAGCTATCTTCTAAAAAATAAAATTAGATAAATTGAAATAATTTATTTTTTGTTAAAATATTTTGCATTTTTATTATCTTCATATAATATTTGATACTTTTCCTATTAGTTAGACATTTATTTATTTATTAGTAAAAAATAATTATTTTTAATATTTAATAAAAATTAACTTTCTAAGTTTTATAAAAATGATGCTCTCTAAGCACACAAAAAATCTTTGACGTTATAAAAGTTAAGACAAATTATAATAATCGTAGGATTTATACTAAATAAAGAGATCATCATTTTTTATAATGTTAAGCATTCTTGGATTATTTTACTATTTTTAAAGTAAATTAATTGATATAATTTAATAAAAGAATATGAAATCTCCAAGACCTTTCATTTCATTTCACTATTAAACAAACCACATATAAAAACCATATTAAAATAAGATGATCAATTAAAAATAAATATATATAAAATGTAAGTTGTTTTGCATTTAAAGAAATTTATTTTTACTAAATTAGATTTTTATATTTTTTAAAAATTTACAAAAATGTATGATCGTATTTATATGAAGTTAAAAATTAAATTATAAACGAACATACAGGTAAATGATATATATTGCATGTTAAACTAAAAAATACTATAAGATAAAATTTGATTTTAGATTACAAAAATAAATTTTTAACGGTTAAATATTTTTTAAATGGTTTCTTGAATATTATTTGGCAACTAAATTATATTTCTAATTTTAACCCAGGCTTTAAAAAGTTTTATTAGAAATAAAATATTATTTTTCATAAAGTGAAAATATGAAGAGAAAAATTAATAGTCTATGACGAGTTATCAAACAATTAGAACTTAATTTTATATTAAATAAAAATATCCTTCTAGTAGTAGGAAAGTAATTAGACAGAATATTTAAATAGTTTTTATAATTCTATTCTTATAATTAAAAATTTATGGCTGCAATCATATAATAATACAGATATTACATATATTATTCATAATATATGAGGTATTTTAGATGATGACTTTAATGTTACATTGATTGTTAGTTAAGCAATCAAATATTATCCCCTTTGAGCTTAAGATTTGACGAAAATATAATTTAAAAGTCTTGTTGAAAGTATATATTATATTATGCATTATCAACTCCTTTGATTGATTAAATTCTGAGGGGGATGTAAAATAGAAAAAAGACAAGTTAAAATAGATTATAACTATAAAAATTCATTCAATTTTATATGTTACATCAAAAAAAAGATTAAGTTTTTAAACATAGCTATCATAGTTACTACTTAAATGACTAATTATTTAATTTTAAATTTTATTAAAATAGAATTTATGAATTCACTAAAAAAATTTATTATTAAGTTATCAGATAGATTGATTGATTGATTATCAACTCTGTTTCGAAATAATAATGTTTGGAGTGTACTTATTCATTCTTGTTTGTGTTAATGAATTAATTTATATTCTCCCAACCAGCTTTTAGATTTGATTAAATTTAGAAGATTTATAGATAGCTTACAAATATCGCGATGGGGGGTTTTTTGTAATAAGTCTTCGAGCTGTTCTAAATTTTACTAAGGTTGAATTTTTATTAAGAAAATATTTAAAGCAACTTAACTAAATAAAACTCAAATAAAAAATATTAAATAAATAAAACAACAAAAAAATGTCTTAATCTTCTATTGAAAAGAGTGTTTATGTTTCAAAAACTTTTTCAATTTAATCGTAAGTAGGCTCTATTACCTCTGAAAGTAATGCCAGTATGGAAAAGAGCTTGTAAAAATCTTCTATATAATCCAAAATTTCAAATGAAATTTATCCTACTCCGCTTGCGAGAGCTTAACCACCTTGCACAGATAATCTCAATACTCAAAATAAAAAGAAGAGCAAGTGGAAACGATTTTTAGACCTTTTTGTTTGCTGTAATAAAAATGATGACGCTTTAAGTTAATTAAAATAAGCTTAAGCTCCTTCTTCGAATTCTGCCATTTTGAAAAATTTTAAAGGATAATTTTATGGCGATTAGAATTCAGATATTCAAAGCAACAATAGTGATGCTAAGAGTAATGGAAGTTATTTAGCTTTTTAGTTCAGAACTATCAGTAACTCTACAGCTCTTAAGTCTTTACTGTATAATGTTCTCACTTTCCCTAACAAAGGATACTAATAAATGAACTTTGGTCATTTCAGTTTTTTACAACTCCCAATATGGTTTGAGCAATGTTAATACAACTCAAAAAAATCATTTTGTGATTTATTTGGTGCATGCTTTTCAGGTGATTAAATTCTTGTTGTATAAAACTATCTTGATTGGGAGTTCGTCAGCAGCATTGCGAAATCATATATTTCAGTTCTTTGCACTTTTATCCAATACTTTTACAATGAACCTCAAATATAGTAATCAAGCAATTAGAACATAAAGGAATCTAATCACTACAGTTCCACTATACAATACAATAATAATTCATCGCGACTTTCATCATCGTCATCGAATAATAGCAATTACAATATTAATTTCAGTAATAAATTTTCTGATTAAATTTTTGAAAAACAAGAACTGCAAAACACCGAGTTTTTAAATTGTTAAAATTTGTCCTCAACATTAAATTTAAATTTATTTGATAAAATAATTATAATCCCCACTAGTTTGAAACACTAAGTAAATTCATTTGATTAAAGCTATAGTATGAAAAAAGAATTTCGTGTACTCTTTTCAAAAATATTTATGGAATATATAGAATAATTACATAAAGTAATCTTTATTCTACCTAAATATTGCAAGATAAAAGAGGTTGTATAAACAATTTATGACTGCTACTCTTAATCGACGCTTTAAATATAAGAACTGAATTTTGGTTTGCAATTTTACTCATTTTAGAATGAATTGGCTGAAGTTGAGTACATCGTACTGCAATTCAATTAAGATTAGCATCATTAGACTTTAGCTACTATCACTTATAAAATTTTTTCTAATGTCCATCAAGTCAATTCTTTTAAAAAAACAGAGTCATCTGATCCTAAATTAAATAAGGAAAAAAATGAATAAATTAAAGCTTCAAATCAAGTAGTTAGACGTTCTGATATAAAACAAAAAATAAAATTAGAAAAACTAGAAAATAAGTTTTTTGATGCTAAATATATTAGTTAAATAGGTTAAGCATCCTTAAAGAATATTTAAGCCTTTTTAAAAGAAATAAACTAGCAATTTATAATACAGAATAATGCATTTTAGTATCGCACTCACATAATAGATACCATGCTAAAAAATAATATTATTCAATAGTCTTTTGTGCTTACATTGGTAAAGAACTTGCAAAAAAGAGATGAAATAAAATAATCAAATTCAGAATTGTTCATTTAAAGCATAATTCGTGATTCAAATTCAAAAAAGAAATCTGATTCAAAATAAAATTCTAATAAAAAGTAAAGCAGCAGTAATTAATAAAAGTTGGCTGCAGAATTTAATTCAAGTTTTAAAAAATATTTTTTAAAATATTCTCAATAATATATCTACAATGAAGAAAGTAGTGAAAAAATCGCTAAGTATCAATCAGCGACTGATGACTGTTAGAATTCGACTGCTGACCATGTCTAAAATTAGAATACTCATGAAAATCATCATTAAACACACAATTCCTTTTCTAGAAATAATAATGCTTAGAGTAACCCAACAGAGATAATTTCTCAAATAGAAGAAGAAACAAATAATTAAGATGAAGTTTTAAGAAATTCTAGGGGTAAAAATAGCTCAAAGAATAGGTAATCTAAACAAAGCGATAAATTGAGCAAAACAGAGGACCTTTAAAAAAAAAGTTAAATTGGCAAAAATAAAAAGTAACTGTCTAAAAGTATCATCAACGAAGATATTTTTAACTACACAACAGCAAATAAAGTTCAAGATTAGATTAAAATTTTGAAGGAACTAAAATCGGTTCAGGCAACAGAAAGCAAGTACTGTTTGAAATAAAGCCATATAAAATATATTCAAGAGGTAATACCCGAAGAAATGATAAATTAGAGCAAAGCATTAAAAAATAGTAAATTAAGTTCTAGTTGAAGGATTTTATCAGAAAAATCAAGTTAATAATTCACTTTTAAATCCTACAATTTAAAAGTGAGTTGTTACAATTAAGTTTTTATTTATTTCCAAATATATTTAAAAGTGACTCAATTAATAATCTCTTATTGTTGCTAAAAGTTAATAAAAATAAAAAGCCAAAATTAATTTGTAATTTTATTGATTTATTTATTTATTGTATTTATTATCAATTAATTTTCTTCTCTTTATCTATTTAATTATTATTGAAAACAAAAATTTATTTTCACGTTTTCTTTTATTATTTATTTTCTCTTATTAAGGAATAATCTATCATTTAGTTTAATATATTGATAGGTATACATACATTCTTCAATCTATTTTTTTAAAATGACTAATATTTTTTTCTTTAAAAAAATATATTTTTGTTTGTTAGTTTTCAGTTTATTTAGTTAATTTTCCTTTTCAATTTTAAGCTAACATTATTCCCTTTTTATATAAAACAGAAACTACTTCTTCAAATAAAATTTGGATACAAAATAAATATATAATTTATTAACTAATTTATATTTTGTGGTATAGAAAAATGCTATCTAACGCTAATTTGTATCTTAAGATAAAAAAGATACTTTTTAGCTAATTTGGAATCTAAGATGAAATTTGATATATTTTCTTGAAAATGAAAATGAAAATTAAATTAAATTCATTTTTTTTGTTAATTAATGAAAATATTTTAAAATTTAAAAGAAACTATGCCAATTAACAAATAATTTGAGAGGAGAATATTAAAAGTGTTTGTAAATTTTAGATTATTTGTAGAAATCTTAAAAAAAGCTTACTACGTAAATATAATTGAAATAATTCAAACTATTACTTAACTATTTTGCCTTTGAAAACAAAATTAGTTACACACTCTAAACGAAATAAATTTGTCAAAGTAAATTAATTAAAATATTTGGGTTTAATTTAAATTTGGTATAGTCAACACTAAAAAAAAAATTTATTTGCATTAAATAAATCTTTTGAATAAATATTTTATTTTTACCCTAATAATAATTATGATATTAGAGATTTCAGATCTAAATATAAATATAAAAATTTAGTAAAAGAATATTACCTATAAGTAATTAAAAATGTTGATTTAGTAAAAATTAATTAATTTCATTATACTGATCATATATCGCCTAAAATTATAATATTTGCAAAAATTTAGCTCAAATATTAGAACATAAATTCTGATAATTCTCTGTCGTCTTGGGATAAATCTTTAGCTAATATTTTCAAATATTTTTTTTATTATACCAGTTTATTACTATTCTTTGGTGTTTCTTTTTATTTGTAGGTCAACATCTAAATCAAGGTGAAGAATTATGAGAGTTATTGATAAATGCCATGGAGAATCTGATTAATTAAGATGATTGAAATTGATTGAGAAATTAAAAACTAATATTATAAAAGTATTACAAAATAATTAAGGAGAAAGAAAAAATAATCAAACAAGACAATTAATTGATTTTATAATTTAATAATCAATATATATTGCCCTCAACTTAATAAACAAACACACACACACATTCACTAGATAAGTAAGATACTTCAAGTATTTAACATAGTATAGTTCATCTGCTCACTAAGTTTAATAAAAATAAAATTCTCTAGCTTACTTCAATTAAAGGATGAACAACCAAAGTGTTTAGAGATAATTAGAATTTGACAATAATTAAAATAAGCCATAAGCTGCTCCTGTTTCTCCTATAAGCAAGACAAGTGAATTTTAATTTTCTAAAAAGCATGATACTCTTGCAAGCTAAATTTCTGCACCTCCACCTCCTCCAGCAAGTTTTTCTTCAAGACACAAACCATCAATAGATAAAAGAGTAGCAAGACCAAGTAGATGGAATCGCTTTTTAAGTTATTTTATTTGTTGTAATAATAATGAAAGTGATGTAGAAGCAGAAAATGCTTCTTCTACAGCAAAATTATCAAATTGTAAAAGTTTTAAAAGCAATTAAGCAGAGTGGATTGCAGCTGATCATTTAAGCGGATCAAATAGTGAAGCAAAATTAAGCAGTGGAAGCCAAATAGGATTGCAATTCAGAAATACAAGCAATTCAAATCCGTAACTTTATAATATTCTTTCCTTTTGCTAAAGTGGATATTCTTAATTGTGCTTTGGACATTATAGTTTTTTATAGATACCTGTAAGATTTGAGTAGTACCAATATACTACAAGAAAGCAATTCTCTGATATATTTTCGCGTATATTTTCAGGAGAACATGCCTTGGTCGTTTAAGCTTACCTAGATTGGGACTTTGTTGGTAGCATCTCAAAAGGATATGAATTTGTTCTTTGTGCTTTTTCTTCTTATTTAACTAGCCTTCCTCCACCTAATGCAATAGCAGCAAATTATGCTGTTAATGGAGTTATTTAGTATAATTAAAATATGCAAGGTAGTAGTGGTCAAGCAACAACAAAACTAAATAATTCTTCAAGCTCTAGTGGCTAGGGTTTGTATTAGTACACTAAAATACCTGATGATTTATATTAAAAGCACGATCTTCATAATACTGAATTTTTGTATTGCTAAGATTTAAATTATACGATGAATTTAGAACTTTTTGATAAGATTTTAGTAATACCTGCCAGTTTAAAATAATAAGGGAATTCATTTGATGGCAATTTTAATATGAGACAAGAGTTTCGTCATTCGTTTTAGGAAGCATTGATGAACCACATTGAAATATTAAATAAAACATTATTTGTGGTTCCTAAGTATTGTAAAATAAGAGAATTAATGCTAATTATTTATGACTGTTTCTATAAGAGCAACCTTACTATATATGAGTTAAATTTTGGTATTCAATTTCATTCTTTTTCTGATGAATTCTTCGAAGTAGAGTGCATAGTGATTTAGTTTAGCGAGAACTAGCATCTAGAGACTGTCGCAGCCCTATCACAAAGAGTCTTTTCGAACATTAATCCTACCATTCCTACCCTTTGCCTTTCTCCAAAAAAGAAGTTAGATGAGAGTAACAAGTAGCTAGAAAAAAGCAAATAAAAGAGATTAGAAGAAAGTCAGAAATCTAATAAAATAGAAGTCAGATAGTAGTAATTAGTTGATACAAATTCAGAAAAATAAAGTAATAAAGATAGTGTTAAATCTGACACTGCAAAAAGAAGCTAAGATGAGTTTATAGCTGAAGAAGACTCTCATGCAGGTAAAGTGATAAATGCAAATCAAAAGCCTATATCTGAGTTTTTTGAGGACGAATATGTTTCACAAATAGGTTAAGCTTGCTTTAAAAATCTTTATAATTTTTTAAAAGAATTAAATACCCAGTTTATAATTTAAGATAATATATTCTATTATCGTACACATGTTATAGATGTTATGCTCAAAAATAATATAATATAGCAATAATTTATTCAAACTCTTGTTAATCATTTTCTCAAATAAGATCTTATTAAACACGCTAACGCAGTTATATCTCCTAAAAATGGATCTTAAAAGGGAGAAAAAAGCTAAGGACAGAAAAAAAATAAAAAAAATGAGAATAATAAAAAGGGTAATCAACAATCAAATAATTTGGATTTTAAAGAATTTTTCAGGAAAAACTCCCAATATTTCAAACTTAATTTAGACGATACAATTGAAAAAAATGACTCTAATTTAGGCTAAATGTATTCCCCATCTGACTATGAAGATTAAAGCTAGACAACTACTGATTAAGATAACCTTCATTTCGGAGAAAAAAACTCTTAAACATCTCAGCCAATGCTAACATAATAAAACCATAACACACCTCCAGTAGTAAAATAATAACAGTAACAATTGAGCAGCCAACCTATTGAAGAAATTCCTAGTGATACAAGTAATTCAAATAGGGAATCTCACTAGAATATAAATAACTAATCGGCAGATTAGCCAAGAATAGCAACAAGGATTCGTCCTAAATAAACTAGTTTAAATTATTATACATCAGGAACTAGGAATAAACACATAGGCTTCAAATCAAACAAACAAGCTTAAGGAAGCTTTGATGAAGATATTCTTAATAGAACCACAGCTTCTAAAATTTTTGGGGATAAAAAAATTCTGAAAGATTTAGAATTGCTGTAAGAAGTTGATACCAAAAGTAATTCTAAGCAAATAAATATAAAATTTATCCAAGAAGTAATACCTGAAGAAATTTACAGCAACACAAGCAGTAAAATGTTAAGAAACCGTAATTTTAGTTAAAAATGAAAAATGAAGATAGCTAAAATATAACAAAGTTAAATAAACTCTGTAAGAATAAAACCAAAGCAAATCAATAAATTTTTTTATCAATATCTGTTTCAATTATAATAAAGAGAGAGAGTGATCTCCAGAACTTAAACTACCATTCACTTAGTAAAAAAAATAAATAAATAAATAAATTAATTAATTATAAAAGTTAAAAAAGCAGAAGCACTATATACTAATTATAAAAAAATTTTTGATGGACATTAGCCAATCAGAAAAACAAATAAAAAATTTAATTGTAATATTTAATTATATAAATTAATTTATATAAATTTATATAAATATATAAAAATATTAAAAGCATAGAAAAATTTTGAGTTTAATTCAAGTATTAAAATAATTTGATTACATCTACTCAGTCAATTTAATATTCAAATATTTAAATTTCAGATAGTCTATCGACGTATCATATATTTTTTGCACAGTAACTGTATTATATATATATTTTATTTTTTTACATATAATTAATAATAAATTTCATTTCAGCTTTCTATTGTGATCAAATTAAACTTTCTATTTTAATTAAAAAATATCTTTTATCAATCAATAACTTTTATCTAGCTTGTAAATATTTTCCCTACTTTTTGTGACTTCTTTACTTTACATATTCCTAAATGCAAATTAATACTGATATTAATAGTAAGTTAAGCTTAACTTTGCTAATTTTTGTTTATATTAAATTGAATGATCATGTGAAAGCAAACATAGAAGGAGTTAAGCTTTAAAAAAGTAAATCAAAATATATAAAAAAATAGATTTCTCAAAATTTTAATCATCCAATTTTTTTGCTTTTTTTTTTGTTCTTATAAAAATGATAAAAGTATACTTGATTTGTTTTTCAATCAAAAATTACAAACTTTATTGATATCATTTACAGATTTTTAAAATAATGTCATTTTTAATAGACATATAATAAATTCAACTTAATCTAAGTAAATCAAAAAATAAAAAATATATTTTAATTTTTTGATTACCCAATTTTTAGTTATTTAATAATTTCTTAAAAAAGTAATTTAAGTATTCTTGATTTTTCATTGGTTAAAAAATTACAAATTTTACTGAAATTATTTACACATTTTAAAATGATATATTTATACTCTAAAAATTGTAAACAATTGATGCTAATTACTCAGAAAATAGATAGATTATTTTAATTAAAATATTATTAAATAGTATTTTTATTTTATTAAATTACCAAGAAAGATTAGTTTGCTTATAATATTTATTTGGTTCAGGATATAGATAGATAGATAAATAGATTGATCGTAAGTAAGAATTAAATTGTTAAAACTTGATAAATATATAAGAGTTATTTAACTTACTGGATTAAAATAAATATTTATTTTATTCATTTATTTTGTTATTTTTTTAATATTTGTTTTAAGGACAAAAAATTAAATTAGATTTTGTTAAGTTTAAATTTATCTTATCAATCAATCAATTGTTTTCTTCAATATTCTTTAAAGATACAGGTTAAGATTCTTCGTTTTATTACTTCATTTTTTATTAATTTTTTTATTTTTTATTACTTAAAGTAAATGAGTGTTCTTCATCTTCAAACTCGTCCATTTCTGAATCTATCCTTTAAAGTTATCTACTATTCATTTTATTTATCTCAGGTTAAGAGGCGATAGAAAGAAAACTATTCTTAGTAAATTGCTAATTATTTTCTTCATCAAGAATTTCAGAACTGCTCAAGCTCGTATCTTATACTTTTGACTTAAATGCATTAATTACACTCATAGTGTTTACAACTCTTTAAACTGTACTTGCAAATTTATTGCTTGGGGTTTATTCTCCTAGCTCAGTTTAACTGAACTAAATAAATGATTTTTTCACTTTAAGAGATAAAAGTCTTGAACCACTTCTTTACAAAAGCTGCTTTTATAGCATGATCATCTACTTTTTGCGTTTGGTTTTCATGACATCTTAATACTTTATACTCATACACTCTAATAAGCTTTCTATTTTGTACTCTAAACGTATTTGTATTTTTTCGCTATCTTTGTATGCTTCATCTCTTTCTCCAACTGGAGTTCTTGACTTAAATTCGGCTAGACGAGCAAGTCCTTCTAAAAATTCTACAAAATTCATAGCCATATATTTTTCACTATTTATCTCATCTTGTAAAGTTTAGAGAGAAAGATTATAACTAAGCACAACATCTCTTTCTGTTAATAAGCTATCCTTTAGATGGAATTCTTCAACCATATCTTAGAATTCTTGCAAACTCATCGTCTTTTAATTCGAAGGTGCACCTCTTTTCTCAGATTTTCTAGAATCAGAATATTCATTCCATAGAGTTTTGATAAAATTGATATATCTTTTCATCATTTCATCACATTGCTTGGTCCAAAATCTGTTTGTTATCAAAAAAAAAATTAACAAAAAGATTTAGAAAAATATTTGTTCTTACCTAATATTACGCCATTACTAAGGATCTTCGTATTCAGCTGTATATTACAAGAATTTCTAATTATTCAAGAGAAGATTAAGTGCTTCAGAGGGTGTTTTGGCTACCTTAGTACGAATAAATTTATCTAATGCTAACCTTCCCATCAATTCTACAAATTCACTTCTTATAACTGTTTTTTCAGGTGCCCTATAGTTTTTAACTTTGAGAGCTTTTGAGCTTGCTGCTATAAAAATACATTCTACATCTCTCATCCTCATTAAATTGTTATCAATTATCTTGCTTTCTTAAGCAAAGTGAGCAAAAGCACTTAATGTAACACAAAATACATCATTAATAATTCCAAAGCACGAGAGATATCTGTATAAAACTCTTATTTTAGGGTATTAATCTAAAATAATTCGTTTACACTCACTAAGATTAGCAGTTTTATCAGCTTGCTAAAATATATTTTATAATTTTGAGTTATTCCAATCATCTTCAAAGCACTTTTACTCTAACTCAGGATTGTCAGGTATGAACGATTTAAATAGAGATATACCTCTATGCCATTGATTAGTATAGTTTATTTTATAGTAAGTTTCTTCTTATCTAGGTAAACATTTTATTTGAATTTCATAATCTCCTTTTTTCTTTTAAATATTTTAATGAAGTTTAGTGCTTATCACGTTTACTGTTGTAGGAACTATATACTCCATCACAGTACCATCTAAGTATTTAACATTAAATTTTCTCTGTTTACTGTTCTGTAAATGATGAGCAGAAAAGGTGTTTTCGCTTTATTAAGTTGTATCATCATCGTCATCATAAATTGCGAGATTTTAATCATTTACATGGAAATCTATTTTTTCATAATCGTTGGATTCGAATAACAACTTTGTACATGGATTAGTAAAGAAGAACAAAATTCTCCTGTTAGGAGGACACATTCTTCTCAAAAAATATCTTGTTGGATTTTCAGGGTCACGGTCCATATACATAGGTTAAAAATCTTCAAAATCTAAATGCAAAAAAGCAGGTTCACTCTAAAAAACATCACTGCTTCCTTCAGAAATTTAAAATTCAATTTCTTACCAACCATCACATATCCAGCAATTATCAGTTACGTTACAATTAAAATTTTACAATCTATAATAAATTCAATAAAAATAAATAACTATTAATTGTAATTCATAAGAGTAATTTACTTATTTTATCCTAGACACTTCACTGAATTTATATCTCTCCTCATTAAAGTATGAGTAGAAACATGCTTTTATAAAATTTCTTCTTCATTTGGAAAATATAAAAATCCTTTAGAATCTACGGTTGCATGCGATTCATTGCCTTCAAAGTGGAAGCTTTTTTATTGTAAAAATTAAATTAAAAATTTGCTTGATAATTTAAATCTAACTATTTACCCATAAAGTTTTTAATTTTTTGTTAAGGCCTCTGCTATTTATTTGCATTCTTCCTTTGTAAAAAGATTGTAAGAAAGATCAAAATGTATTAGGCCAGATTCTAATTTAGTGCAGCTTTCAATAAGCTTTTTTCCACAATGCAAATTTGGATTTTATCCTAAGCTGTTATGACTTAAATCTAATACCTTTTTATATAAAATATAAGTAAATAATAATTAATTTTCAGAAAGCATTTTACCCTAATGTTAACATTATTACTTAAACCAATGGATATATCAAAACCACTTTTAGAGCTCAGCTTATTCCAGCTTAAATATAGCTCTTATATTCCACTATTTTGTAATAAAATCTCTTTTAAATAAGGACTTGAAAGATCTGTTAATTTGTTATGACTTAAGTTGAGTTGCTAAAGAGTTGAGTTTCTTTATAAGCTAGCTGAAATAGATTTCAAACCTATATCCGCTAACAAATTATTAGATAAGTTAAGATAAATTAAACTTGGGTACTATTTGCTATACAGAATGTTACAAATTGCAATATTATCATTGTTATTTAAGAAGTTGTTAGATAAATCTATTTTTCTCAAATGCTTAGGTAGATTTTGTGAAATTAATGACAAAGCCGAACCTGTTAAGTTGTTATCTTACAAATTGAGAAAATTCAAATTCTCAAAATCAGGATGCTTCAAAGCTTAAGCTAACATTTCACAATACGTCTTACTGATCTACAGTCTCGAGAGATTGAGATTTTACTTTTCTTCTTGATTATTTTCTTCATCGTTCTAACTTTCAGAGGAAATCATATTTTTTTAAAGATATTTTGCTATTTCATTGCTGTCTTAAAAAGCAACTTTATCAAATGGTTTTTTATTTTCATTTTCAGTAAGCCCGTTTTTATGACTAACTAAATTGCTAGGGGCTTTCTTTAAGTGCTGACTTAATGAAGCATTTCTTTTAATTGTTGCTGCCTATACTTGTTTACCATAATTTTATGGTGTGAATGATTTATTTTCTTTTTAACTTATTGGTGTAAAAATTTTAACTTATTAATTTATAATACTTTATTATTATTCATCTAGAGAAGAGTCATTATTTGTATTATACATAAATTCTGAAACTCTTTTGCCTTTCACTTGAGAGGCTAACAAGGCAGGTAATTCTCCTTTTTCCTCCTACTTTAATGGACTTCCATTAGCATCAAACGATTAACGTTTTTTCCTCTTTTTAATTGCATCATTTATGCTCTTTTTATTGGTATTTAAATTAGCCACTATTCCAAGTTTACGAGGTAGTACATTTTTTGTAATAGTTGTTGATAGCATGGCTTATCCTATATCCATTTTATCATTGAAATGCTTGGCTTCATCAACTATATGATCTATTTTTTTATAATCAATAGCAAAGTTGTTTGTAGTTTAAGCTTATTCTAAGAGTGAATATTCATTTAAATATTAAGACTCTTTTTTAGGTATTGATTTTATATTTATAGAAGATTTTGATCCATGAACAGCAGCATTATTTTTTTAAGTGATATTTATTTATTCTTAAGCTGATAATTTTCTTATGTTTCTTTCAGAGGTAACAGAAACCTCTGATTTAGGTTTTGAATTTTTAGTAGTATTTTCTAAATTTGATATTTCATTTTTATTATTGTTCTCATTTTATTCTGCCTTTACTGGGTTATCTACTTTGCACATTTTTATAAGTAATTAATTTTTTGTATCTTATTGGTCTAATTTTCTTGATTTTGGTAATGGACTCAATTCTAATAGCTCGTTATACATTCTACGATCCTCATCACTATCATCATTTGAATTTTACCTTGAATAAATTATTTTTTTCTTATCGTTTTCTTTGTAGATAATTGACTAAATATCAGAAGTATTATTATACTCATTTTGCATTATATTAGTAGAGTTGTTGTAATTGAGTTTTTGTAACTTATCTTCTTTTCTATTTTAAACGATATGAGAGTTAGTGGCTAGTTGCTAATAAAAAACATTTTTAAGAGTGGCAGAAGATAAAGAAGATGACTGTTGTTAATCAAGAGTATTTTTTAGGTTAGAAACTTATTAAAAAATTTATGAGCAACGGTCAGTTTAAATACTTGCATTTAAAATTTTTGAAGAATCTTTTGCTTAAGTAAAATTAAGTTTGTTTTAAATTAATATTTCGTTATCATAATTTAAAATATCTTTCTTATCAAAAATCTGTTTTAAATTCGATACTGAAGAGGTGTTAGGATTCATAATAGAAGATGTAGACTAAACGTCTAAAATATTAATTGATGAATGAATTTTGTGTTCTCTTCTATTAGAAATAGGTGTAATGTTGTTATTTTGAAGCAAAGAACTGTCTACGAAGTTTTTCTTTTAAATCTATTCGTCTCTTGGTTTAGGAGATTACATAATTTATTCATTAACTGCTTGAACTTAAGATTAAAAAGTAAGATCTCCATGAACATTCTTTGTACTGCTTTTTATATTAACGCACGATCTCACTTTATACTTTGTAGAGATAGGATGACTTTAAATCTTAGATTCCATGAGAATACTATCTAGATTTTACTTTGTATTCACTGTAAAAATACTCTAATTCTGCTAGTTAAACTAAGGGTAGAAAGTATTGTTAGAAAGAGTCTTTTCACTACCATTTCTGCTATATATAAACCTCTATTATGTATTCGACATGCTATAGTCTTTTTAATCTTAAAAGCTGTCTTATTACAATAAATTACTATTCAGTTGCTAAAAGTAATTACGTTCTGTTCTATTTAAGCTGCTTAAAGCTAAATTATTAGAGCCTGTTTAAGACGCTATTGAAGGTAAATACGAAGAATTTAATCCACTCATGTTACTGCTAGCAGTTTAATCCATCTATTATTTTTTACTCATAGGAATAGGAGAAAGCATCTACTTTCCATTAACTATCTGAGAAAGCCTTTAAGTTTTAAGCTATTCAAATTAATCAGCATGCCTATAACTCATTGGAGTTTATTAATTTGCTATTGAAGTAAAAGTAGTTTCTAATCCATTGGTAAGAGAGCTTTAATTTTGATATTTCTAATTATAAGAATATTGAGATTAAGATGTAGGGGTATCTTAATTAGAAACAGGTTTTTTTATTTCTTTAAAATGATTATAATCAGGATTAGATAAAATATTCTATCCTGCTAAATTGAGTCTGTTCATACAATATATTAAAATATATTTCTAAAAATCCTTTGTAGCACCTAGATATTACAGTACTAATTTTTTAAAATTCTAATCTCACCAATGATAAATAGAAACAAACACTTTTTATTTAGATTAATTTAACTATTTATAAAGGTACTTTTATTTGTAATATTCTGATATTAGTGAATGAGATACTTTTTTTAATGAAAATGAAAATTTGTTTGGAAAATAATTAATAAATAAATAAATAGCCAATTTACTAAATAATAATAAAGACTCATATTCAAATTAATTAATTTTCAATCAGTATTTTTTTCTATTTAAATATTAATTAATCAATACAGTTTATCAATTACTTATTTTTTTTAATAAGAATATAATTTAAAATAACTTTACAAAGAGTAATTCTAATTTTTATGTGTATGTTTGTTTTTAAAAATTTTAGATTCATTAAGATAAGATTTAATTATAATATTTGCTGGTAAAAAATTCCTTTTTCTATTTTTTCTTAAATGATTTTTTTATGAGATAAATAAATAGTCTAAATTATGAAAATATTTTATCATCGCATATTGAATAATCGCAAAATTTTATTTGTGAAAGATATTATTTTGTAAATCCTATTTTTTCTTTCTTTTATTAAGTGAAGGATTTGATATAATTCAATTTTTTCAGTTATTTCTTTTTTTTGATTGATAGGCCACTCGAATTATTAAATTTCTTAACTATTTAGAAATTTTACTAATGAAAATTAGACTATTTTATGGTTTTGAGATATTTAAAATGTGTCAAGTAAAATGATAATTAAGATTTAAAATTTTGTTTCTTAATCCTTATTAATTTATTATTTTTGTTTAATTATAAAATTTTTTATTTGAAAAAATAATTTCTTATTAACTGACATTCACACAATTTTTTAACAAATCAAACAAAAAAAATATTTTTTATGTGAAAATTGTAAATAAAAATTATAATTTTATTTAAAAATGTTACTAAATGTCAAAATGATTATAATTTATAAAAAAAAATTAATGAATTAAAGAATGATTTAAATTTATTGCAAGTATAAGAAAATAAAATTGTTTAAACATAAAAATGAACAAATATTCATTACACATTGAATATTAAATAAAAATGAATAATTTATTTACTCTAGTAAGAAAATTCCTTTCTTCATTAATGATGATCAGAATTATCAAAATATTTTCTAGCATTAGATGGTCTTGTTACTTAAATACCATTTTCATCACCTTCATTTCTTTTATCATCTTCAATTATATCTTACTAATCGTGATGATTTTCTTACGAATAATCATTTTTACCTAATAATATAGAGATAAATAAATAATTAATAAATGCTAAAAATAATTTTCTTTAATTTTTTATTTTTAAAGTTTTAGATTTTGAAATATCAATTACCTTTTTCCTAAATACCATCTTGATTTTTATCCTAAAGCTACCTATTTGTAGTGAAAGGTGACTGAGTTAAAGATATATTGTTAGAATCCAAATAATCTGTAATATCGCCTTAGTTTTAAGCTCCTTTTTAGATATTTGTGTTACTTTTGTTTTATTTAGCTGATTGCTTTGGTGTAATAGATTATGATTAAGTTAATAAAAGGACTGACTTTTAATTTATCTAGCTTAAATCCATTTAATTTATGGCCTCTTAATTTTATTGGCTTCTATCTTATTTTATTGGGATGTTGCTTACATTAAATAAGTCTTTGTTTTCCTCCTCTTCTTCTTATTCAAGAATAGTTTTATCTATTTTAAATGTGGCATCTGCCTGGAAAATACTTTTTTTAAGGACAGAAGATTGCTTATCAATTCCTTTTTTAGCATCATTTTCACCTTCATTATCATCAGAGTCTTCATCGAGGTTAATCGGCTATGTTCCAAAATCAAAAGAATTATCTTTAAACATATTTACAAGCTTTGGGTCAAGCATTCTGACTAATTTTTCATCTATTTGACTTTTCTTTCCTCTTTAGGCTCTTCTCTAAATGTAATTAAATGCTCTTTAAGCATCTTGCGCTTTCTATAAAGGGTCTTTATCATCTAATGCAAAAATTGTAAACTTATCTTTCTCTTTAGCTTTTTAATTCTTTTTTATATCTGGACTGTTCATGCTCATATTAAAATCAGTAATTTAAGGAGATTTTTCTTTTTCATTTGGATCATTATTGGCATTTTCCTGTTCGATCATATCTTGCAATCTTAGTTGCGGTCTTGGTAAATACTCAAATAATTTAATTTGGTGCTGATTGAGTAATAAATGCTTTAATTTTTCAAGTTCAATCATTTTGTTGATAATATAAAATATGTCAATTTAGCTGTAAAGCTTATCTGTACCATACGTTATAATTTTTTACTTGACTGATTAAAATCGTTTAAAGAATCTTAAGTAATAAGATAAATAATCTCTAAATTTTATTTACAGTTCAGAAAATTAAACTTTAAAAAAGTTGTTGACATCATTGTTAATCTCCCCTTTTTTCTTCGTATTTGCTTGATTTTTAATTTAATTTATTATATCTGTACTGTTTTTTATTTCAGATTTAGAAGCTTTCATTTTTTAGCTTTCTTTTAATACTTAAGATTAAGATTAATCTCTTTATTAAGGACTATCAGCTTTCTATTAGGCTGTTGGTGCATGTATCTAATCTTTTTCTATTTCTTCTTGATCTTCTTTGCTAATGTTAAAGATAGAATTCAACAACTTTCTGTTCAATTCTAGCTATGATAATGGTTTACATATTATAAACCCAATTGCAAGTAAACCATTAAAGAGGCCACCTAATTATGAAAAAGCCTAATTATTTGTAAATAAATATTGAATGGTATTAAAATTAAGTGAATTTGTATTGTATTAATTAATAAATTAATTAATGATAAATAATATTTCTTCTTTTTATTTAAATCAGTAATTAATAAACATAGATAATAAACTAATTCTACCTAATCTAACTTTAAGTATGATCTGTAATAATTAATTTCCAAATTCTTTTCATAAACTAGTGTTAGACTAAACATAGTATTACTTGTTCTAGGCAAAACTGATTCTCCTGATGTACTTAGAGACACTACTCTGTCTTTCTGCCATTTATTTCCGTAAAAAGCAAAATCCGAATTTATGTAATTGTTCACAAAATTAAGTGTAACATACTTATTAAATTCTGGACCAGATACCCAATAAAGATTCTTTCCAATTGTCTAATAAGGTTTGTATTTATCCTTAATTTGGATAATGTTATTAGACATAAACAATGCAAGGGTAGGCTAGTTAATGTAATTCATTTTTGTTTGGTTAGTAGCGCAGCCATTTCCTATACATTCATCAAAATGTAGAACAATTGATCTATAAATTAATGCTGAAAATTCTCCTTCAATTGTTGCATTATCTTCTTCAAGATTGAAGCAGTACATTTTTTGATAGAGCTGCTATAAAAAATATTACTGTGTATCTTCTATCTGAAAATTTTCTTCAGTACATTAGACAAGCTAAATGTCTTTGATGATCCATTTTTAATCATAATCTCCTGTTGTTTCGTTTTTAGTTTTAATTAAATTTTACTAAACACCTTTAACTACATAGATAGTCTCATCCATAAATTAGTTAAAATTAATGTCTTGCAAACCTATAGCAAAGTTGAATGTTTTAGGTGTAATCTAAAATGGCTCTGGTTGATAAACATAATCATTTGATTAGATAACTTGCGGGTTAGCTTATTTAAATAGAACTTCTAGTACAGATATAAGCTAAAAAAATAAGATTCCTAAAATTCCTAGCGTAATGAAACCTCCAAAGCGAGTGTTATGGCTAGGAGACGTGTTAAATCTAATAGCAATAGCAATACCAAATATATCAATTTGTTCCAAAAAAGTGGGTTTAGAAAACTAAGAACCTAATTACATTGATAACTAACTAATTATTTTTCTACTTGTTTGTTTGTTGATTATACTTCTTCTAATTATTACTTTTAATCTAACTTTTTGTTTGATATTAGCAATTCCTAATTTTTTTTTGGTTATTTTATTAAATTAATTATTATTTTTACAGGTAAAGTAATTATTAATTTAAAAACCTATTACTGCTAGCTAACTACAATACATAATCCACAAAAATTTTATTCATATTAACTTTTTATTGCTTTTTAAAAATTGAAAAATTAGTTTTTCTTTTAGTAAAAGTCACTTTTTGTTTAATTTAAAAATAAAACAAAGTAAATTCCATGATAAGTTAGTATCATTAATTATTTAAAACCTAACTGTAATTTATTTTTCCAGTAAATTACTTAGTATTAGGTATTTTAATTTATCTTTTAATTATTAGAAAAGAAGCTCCATTTATGAGTTAAGCAAATACCAATTATTATTTTTAGAGCATCATAAAGTAGTATTTAGTATAAAGAATAAAATAATAATTCGTTTTTTCAATACTTATTTTAATAAATATATAGAAATTTTAATGATTCTATCTTACTGAAACATATTATGTCTAAATCGATAAATAATTCACTAATCTGAAATATGAATAATTATAATTGTTGATTTTTTCTTTAAAGCTCATAAAAGAATTAGAATTTCTTTTAAAATTAATGCCCCCACTAATTTATCACAATATTTGTTCTCCTTTTAATTAATAATAGAAGTATATTTATTAACTAAATTAAAATTTATTATCAATTCATATTTATCTTTATGGTTAAACATATAAATAAATTAAGATTTCACAAAGTTTCAAAGAATACATATAACAATCTAAATAAATAGATCAGAAGCAAAATAAACAAATGAATAAACATAAATTAAACAAACAATAATTTTTAAAGAAAAGAAAATTTCGAAAAGTCAATTTAAAAATAGTTTGTTTTCATCAATTTGGTTAATTTACAATTCCAAACGTTTTCTATTGAAAATTTAAGATTATTTTTAAATAAAATAAACTTATTTTTATCTTCTTCACTCTAAAAATATAAAAAACACCAAAAATTATTTAGTTGCTTAATTTATAGCTTTATTTTACAAATTATTCCAATCATTTTTTATTTAAGTTAAATACTTAAGCATTACTTGTTGAATTCATTTAATTTTATAGATTTTATTGCTGAGTATTTTGGTCATTATTTTCTAATTTTATTTCAAAATCTGTTGGTTCTTTTGCATCAAAACTTTGTTCTAGCTATTATTAGATATTATCTGCCTTTATTACACTTTTTATTTTTTATTTTAATTATTCTTTTTTCTCATTTTTAACTTCCTCCCAACTCGAATAACTGCTCTGATTTTTGCTACCTTTGATATCAAGTGCAGCTTAAGAGTGATTAAATGCCTACTTTTTTTTGTCTTTTGAAAATAGCTTATCATATTTTTGGCTAACAGAGTAAAGAAAGCTTTCTAATTTATACCTTAAATGTAGCTACCTTCTTTCCTATTCATCATACTATGATTCGACTTCACCAACAGGAATCATTGATTTTTTTTCAGCTATCCTAGCTAACGCCTCTAAAAATTCATCAAAATTCATTTAAAAATATCTATCACTATTTAGTTCATCAATTTAAGTCATTATGGACAAGCTATATGTAAATGGAATTTCTTTTTCTGCATAGAAATCATCTACCAATTCAAATTAAAGAACGAAATCTTTGAACTCATAAATCGACATTGTTTTTATACTTGAATAATACCTCTTCTCTCCTTTCCTTGAATCAGCATACTAATTCCATAGAGTCTTGACAAGTTCCAGATAACTCTTAAATATGGCATCACATTATTAATTCCAATACCTATTTAAAATTATTTAAATAAAAATTTGAAATTGAAAAAAACTAAGAAAGGCAGTACTTACTTAATTAAACCAAGATAGTAAAAATTATAAAATTTGTTAAAATAAAAAACATGTTTTAAAAAAAATTGAATAAATTATTGTTAATTATTTGAATAAAAGTTAATTTGAAATTAAAAGAATACCTTTCATCTCTCCAAATCTGAGAGTTTTCGAATTGCATGAGATATTCTAAAAACGGATTGCTTGTCAGCACAGCTTCTATCGCTTATTGAGCAGTAGCATAAATTTTTGATTTGTTATACTTATCTACAGCAAGACGCACTATAACTTCAATAAATTCATTACGCACTAAAGTTTTATCAGGTGCACGATATGTTTTATTTTTTAATGCTTTTGAACTTGATGTTGTGAAATTCAAATCAATATCACGTATTTTTATATAGTTGTTATCAAATATTTCTGTAGCTTAGACAAATTATGAAAATGGATTCTAAGAAATGCAGAATATGTCTCCTGACATTCCGTGCACTGAGAGCATTTTGTAAGTTATTCTTAATTGAGGATATGCTAAGCGCAACATTTTTTTACATTCATCAACGTTGCTTCCTTTTACTGTCTGCACTATATAAGATATCTTACTATTATTCCAGTCTTCTTCAAAACATTTATCTTCTAATTCTTCACTGTCTTCAATATAGTTTCTGAATAAAGAAATTCCTTTATGCCATTAATCACTGAAATTAATTTTATAAAATATTTCTTTTTCTCTTGGGATGCATTTGATGTTAGACTCGTAGTCACTACTTAAAATTGATGGACTTTATTGTTGAGTTGTAATCACATTTATTTTGGGAGGAGTAGGGTACGATATTATAGACCCATCAAGATATTTTACTGTGAACTTCTTTTTAAGAGTGCCATCTGTAATTAATTCTTCATCATCTTTAAAGAAATTAGTATTAAATCCCTCAGGAATAAAAAAATCCACTCTATTGTAGTCTTTTGAAGAATATACTACATTTTTACAAGGGTCTGAAAAGAAAAATGAGATTTATCTCCCAGGTGGGCACATTCTGTATAGAATAAATTTAGTTTAGTCATCTTAATCTTTTTCCATATAAAATGGTTGGTAATCCTCAAAATCTAAATGTAAAAATGCAGGCTCGCCAGTAAATAACTCACTGCAACCTGGCTTTATTTCAAACTTGATTTCCTGCCATCCATCACAAAGCCAACAATTATCAACAGTTTTACAGTCAAAAGATTAAGCTCTAATTAATTTAAAATAATTACTTTAATTAATATTTTTTCTTTAATGGGTAAAATGAACTTTTTTGTTGAAAATAATTTAATATTAAATTATAATTAATTTTGAGAATTTTTATAAAATTTTTGATAGAATATTTAGTAATTTTGAGGTAATGAAGATAATCTTTATTTGCTTATTTCTCCCCCTATCATAGTACATTTTTAAAAAAGTTTATTACCTATTATGACCTGTTGAATTAACATTCTAAATTGATCTTTATTGCATATGAAAATCTAAAATATTTCTTCTTAAGATATCTTGATCTGTTTAGAAAAACATAAAACCTCTGGGATCAATTATAGCATTGCATTAATTTCCCATAAAGTGAAACCCAAATAGCTTGTTATTATTAGCAAGAATCTCTGCTATCTACAGAGCTTCAGACTTTACATATTAATTGTATGATAAGTCTAGATGTCTCATCCCTGATTCAACTATTGAACAGCTCTATAAAATTTTTATGCCAGTTTATAATTTGCTTAAAGATCCTAGACCATTATGGCTTAAGTCAATAACCTTTTTTTAAATTTTAAATAAAAACATTATTATTTTCAGGAGAAAAAAAATATATTTTTTAATATTTATGTTTATTGTGAATTATATTAATTTACTTTCATATTGCTATTCAAAGCTAGACCTTCTGCAATGCATAAGCCACCTCTTGAAGATATTTTATTCCATTAAAGATAAAGTTCTTAAATATATGAATTATTTTGAAGAATTTGCTGCAAATAAATACAAGATTAGTCACCTAATTTATTGTAAGAAAGATCAAGAGAATAAATAGTAGTATTATTTTAAATAGCTTCAGTTAATGTTTTTATGCCATTATCTCCTAACTGATTATTAGATATATTTAGGTATCTCAAATGACTATATTTTTTACTATTGAAGGCCTATTTTAAAGAAGCTGCACCATTCACTCCAATATTATTATTTGAAATATCCACTTTAGTAATATTCTCTGGTAAATTTTATAGGATAAGTTCAACAGATGCATTTGTTAAATTATTTTTAGAGAGGTTTAATGAGTATAAATCAGAAAAATCTACATGGGCAAGAGCTGATGCCACAATGCTTTAATAAGTGCTTCCAATATTTAAATGAGAAAGGTTTAAATATTTTTTTCCATTTTTTATAGTTTAGGTTTTTGAATTCTCACTTCCTGATTTAGAAATCAAACCTAATTTACGAGGTAATACATTTGATTAGTAAGCCTTATATAGAATTGCTTATTGCAAATCAGTGCCTTAGTTAAAATGGTCTGCTTGCTGCTACATTTTATAAATATTCTTATACGTTGAATGAAAACTCTCCGTATTATCATAGCCTTAGGAATTCATTTCTCCAATCCTAGTTTGCAAAGCCTGAGAAAAGGAAAGAGTTGATTAATTTTAATTGTTTAATCCAAAATTTCCATTTAGATTTAATTAATTTTATTGAAATGAAAAGATTATTTTATTATCATTTTTATTAGATTTACCAATTAAGCCATCAGGACTTTCTGGTGAAATTAATTCATGAAAAACATTTTTTTCATCTAACATCTCCTTAAGAGTTTAATTTATGCCTAACGCCAATTAGTCTTTCTAATTTTTTTCATCAATAATAATCTATCTTCCTTCTTGGATTCGAATTTAACTATTTTAAGGTGAAGAAGTTCCTAATTTCTAATAAAATTGCATTTTTAGCTTATCTATATTTAAGTTTTGACCCAACGTGTTATAAGTAAAATTTTTTGACATATCTTTACCAGAATTCTATTATTTATTTGATTGAAAAATAGTACTCTAAGCTATATTATTATTTTTGTTATTGCTTTTTGTCGGTGTTAGCAAAATACTTCCTGCTAAGTTCAAAATAGATTAATTTTTAAGAGGTGTTGAACTTGCAGATTTAGGAAGGTTAAATTGCTAAGAAAATTATTATTGAGATTAATTTATCGAACCCTTTATGTCTTTTAATTTATCATAGTCCTAGCTGACGAATAAGTTATCTTTGATTATTCCATCTACTTGTTGTTTATAAGGTGCAAGTTTTCTTGCAGATTAAGATTATTTAATTTAATTAAGCTTTAAAGGTTAGCTTATAATTGCTTTATTGTCTTAATTAGATTTACTGTTTTCAAAGGCCTGCAAAAAAAGCTTTTATTCATCTATTTTGTTATTTTATATATAAAAATTTAATTAAATATTCTTCATAAGTGGCTATTAAAATGTTTTATTCTAGCATTAAAAGCTGAATTAAAATTTTTTTGAAAAAAGATTTTATTTTCTGTTATTTTTTAAATAATTTATTAAGATTTTTTTAAGCACATACCATTTTGTAAATGTTACAAATATGAGCGGCGAGACGCATTATTGACATCATTATATAAGGATTTTGATGTTTATCTTTTCAAATCTCTTGATATTTGCTAAGGTTTATTTACTTAATCATGAAGACCTTTGTTAGGTTAAGAGTAAGTATTTAGGTTTGAGTTCTAAAATTGGTCTTAAATATTAATTATTGCATCTTAATTCTTGCTAAGGGGTTGTTACTGTTAATCATCTGAATTGTAGAATGATTAATTAGGAGACCCTCTTAGAGATTAAAAATTTATCTTACTATTTCTAAAAGAAGATTTAGGTGTGTGAGGCTATAAATTTACTTTTGTATTAGTTTAATTCAAGAAGGCTTTACCCTAATTTTCTGGAGTTTCACTATCATTCATAGAAGAATAACTATTATCTTGAGAGGATCTAAGAATTTTTAGGTCTTATGCCTACTTCATTTTAAATTAACGTTACTGCTTTAATGGACTATCGCTTGCTACTAAACTCATGTGACCTTTATTGTATCAAATTAATAAATTAAATTCTTATATTTTTGTCTGCTTTTAGCTAATTTAAGCTTTCTTTTATAAATGTCAAATGCTGTTTGTTTTAAATACTTGTTTGTTTTATTTGCTTTCTAATAAATAAATAAATTTTAGTATTTGCTTGAACTCCTACTTATTATTTTTTTAATAAAACTTGATAGTAATAAATCTACTTTTAGTTTTTAATAATTATTGTTTTTAATGTGATGGCAATTATTAAGGCACATAAATAATTTATACACAAAAGTAATATTAACAATATTTAAGTTTTTCGATTGATTGAATTAATTAATTAAATAAATAGGAGTTAAATTTTCATCTTTTCAATAAAATTTTCCATTTTTTGATTCTTTCTTGAATTTTATTTATTTTTGCTTTTTTAAATTAAATTATTTTAAAATAGAATTTACTAAATTTAATTATCAGTTTTTTTTTGTTTTTTAATTTAAAATCTAGCATTTGATAGTCTTTTTTTTGGTAAAAAAAGGCTTTTGACTGTTTCTTTACAAATTTGACTTGAAGAAATCAATCTAAAATGTAATTTTTGCGTTTAATTTTAATTATAGAAAAAGAAAAACATAAAAATAATATATCTGACTACTAAGCAAACATTATTAATTAATTAATAAATAGTGATTGTAATGAATTAGAATAAAGTAAGTAAATATTAAAAGATCATCTAAAAATCAAATAATAATTTACTATTTTTAAAAATATTAAAAATAAAAAGGAGTTTTATTTAAATTTTAAATATCATTTCAAAAAAATCAAGTGTATTTATTTAAATCATGATCTATTGTAATTAACTTTAAAGCAGCTAAAGTAATACATGAGATTAAACCTAACTTAAGCTGGCTACAAATTAAAGAAAAATTGAAGAAAACAATATATATATTATTTATTTAATTATTATTATTATATTAATAAGTTTTACTTTTATAATCACTCCACAAATTTATGATTTTTAAATCAAAGAAAATAATCATGATGAACAACTTACACACAATTTTGACGCCCAGCCAGGAGTAATTTTACAAATTTTTATTTCTTAATCATTTTCTTTGACGTCTTCATAAGGCCTTGATAATACCTTTAATAACTTTTCAATTCCACTATAATCTCCCTTTTCAGCTTATTCAATAACTTACTAAGCCATATAATTTCTTAGAACTACTGCTGGGTTAACTGAGTCCATTTTTTATTTTCTCTCTAGATTAATTAAATCAAAATCAATACTATCTCCTTAAATTTCTTCAGCCAATCTTTTTTTATAAAGCTTAAACCAAATTCTTAGTGATGATTCATTATTTTCTATGTATTCTTCTTCAGTTAAATCTTTTATTTCAAAATACTTCTCAAGTTTTTCCTCTTATTCTTGTATGAATTTCTCAGTAATACCTTTCATCGCTAAAACCATAGGATTAGACTTCTAAAGATTTTTAATCTATTTATTAATTTTTTTTAAGATAAATAAAAAAATTATTTTCTCAATTTAAATTATTTACTTAGAATAGTTGTGATTCATCAAACATAGGTTTTTATCTTTCTATTATTGAGTCCTTTTATGCTGAAAAGCCTAGCAAATCTTTTATAAGTTCTTAATCAGATTACTCAATTTTAACATTTCCATTTTCATCAAAAGATTCCTTTGATAACTTTATTTGGCTTAGTTTTCTAAAGAAATTAGTAAATTCACTTCCAGAAGAATCCATATAATCCATTAAGTTATTGATGATTTTCTTGTCTAATTATAAATTTTTTTCATACAAATCCTCTCTAAACAATCCTATTTTTCTTCTCATCAAAGTATAATAGTGATCATAATATATTTTATCGAAATTTTGAATGACATATTCTTTAGCTTATTCTTCGTTTACTGCCCATTTTATACCCTCTATTAATCTAAGAAGATTCCATTTACATGCACTTGGTTAGTTCTGATAACAGTAATATCCTTCTTTATCTGAGTGATTACAGATATGCTTTTTATCAAAATGCTCCATAAATCCAAAAGGCCCGTAATCTATAGTTACTCCTACAATACTCATGTTATCAGTATTAAGAACTCCATGACAAAATCCGACCTAATTTATCAACTCATTAAATATTGAATAAATGAAAAAATAAAATTACAGATTGCCATTTTGCTACTAATTGAGCTGTTCTTTTAGTAATTTCTTGCAAAAAAAGCATATATTTATCTTCTTTGCCATTGAATTCTGGGTAGTGATTTTTAATTATAAAATCTAATAACTCAGGAATCATTTATTCTCCTAATCCTTCACTTGGACCTTATTTATTGCAAATCTAGAATGAACCAAATCTATTTAACATATTCATTAATTGTTTTAATTCATGAACATATAATAAAATTACCTAATAAAAGTAGGAGATAACCTTAAAACAACTGCACATTTTTCATAAACTATTTACTAATTATACAAGGGATCTCTCATAGCTTAATCTTCAGTAATTGTAATTGATGCTGCTCTAGTAGTTGGGATATTTAAAAAATGCATTGCTTCACTACAAAGGTATTCTCTTATTGATGATCTTAGCACAGCATTTCCATCAGCAAATCGAGAGTAAGGTGTAATACCACTACCTTTTAACTACAATTCTATAATTTCTCCTTCTACATTAGTATAAAAATTAAAAATGTTTTAAGTATTTGATATAATTTTACTCTAATTTCTGATATCTCCATAACTAATAGCTCTACCATCTCCTAATTATGCTGCCCATGAACCGAATTGGTGGCCACAATAACAATGCGCGATTGGCTATATTTTTGAATTTATTATTCTATCTTAAAAATTAATTAAAAGTAGCATACTTATGCATTTGAAGGAATCACATTTCCAGTTAAAATCTCAGCAGATTCTTTTTCGTCTTTTAGAACTTCTTCTTTGCTTAAGTCTAACAAATTCAAAGCAGATTCACTTAGAGATACTATTTTAGGGTTCTTACGGACTTGTGGTTTAACTTTTGAGTAAAATGCTCCTCTTACCTAATAAAATCATGAATCAATTAGAATTTGTTTTGAAAATCACAAAATAAAAGCAAAACAATTTACTTGATGAGGAGTGTTATCTTTATTTTCTTCTACAGGAAGAGAATTAAATGCTAGATTTAAAAATTGGAGTTTATGTATAGATGATTTCTACTGCATTACCCTATAACTTAAGAATTTATTTATTATTTTTTTACTAATTAGCATTAATTATTTACAAAATTAATGTTTTTTAGATATACAATTTTATGTATGTATATATGTAATTTAATTTGGGAATAGTATATATGCAAACAAATTCATTAATATTTTTGAGTAAAATCTTATGAAATTTCTTTTTTACTAGAAGCAAATTATGTGAAAACATATATCTTTTCTATAAAAAAATGTGTTGAACAAATCAATATTTTATTTATAATTTTTAATACAAAATCCTTTAAATTCATAAATATTTTCAATCCAAAATAATAATTTCTCTTATCTTTAAGTAATACTTTTTAAAGTGGAAATATTTAATTTAATTAATGATTTAAATTAAATTATTTAGAAACCATAAATATAAACTCATTACATCAATAAAAGACATTTTTAATATTTAATTATAGATTTTCTTTATTTAAGTTTATCCCAAAAAAACTTTAGCTATAAATTGGTTTTAATAAATGCATAAGTATTCATCTATCTATCTATCTATCTATCTATCTATCTATCTATCTATCTATCTATCTATCTATCTAATAAATACATTTTTCTTTTCGAGAATTCAATGCTTTCATTTATTTTATAAAAAATGAAAATAGGTATTAAAAAAATTTTATTTAAATTGTAATTTTTTTAAATTTTAATATTTTTTATTCAAAAAAAAATAAATAAAATAAATGGAAGGATTATAGTTTGATATTTTTCTTTGAATGATTTGAGCTATTAAGAATTTAGTTAAATGATTTTCTAAAATAATAAAATTTATTAAAGTTATTTATTTAGAAAAAAAATTTGTTAATCAATATTAATAACACATTTAAATTCATTTTTTAAAATAAAAAGGATTTGTTAATTGAAAAAATAAATAGTTTTCTTAATTAATATGTAAAAGAATATTTTAATTAGTATAAAATTATCAATTTATAAAAGATTTATTTTTTAAAGTTAAAATTTTGAAATTATTCTCATATAAAGTAGTAAATATTTCTTTCTTTATCAGGTATTATTCTTATTTTTGCATAGAACTAAATATCTTTTTGATTATTAAATTTATTTAAATATAGATTAATTCAACAAATTTTTAATACAAATTTATTTTGCTAAATTTTTAAAATACTAAAAATGTGTTTTTAACTATTATTTAATCCTTATTGTTTTTTTAGGTAAGTATGTATAATTTTGTTTACTTATCAATTTGCTAATTCATTCCATAAATAATGTATTTGAAATAATTTAATAAGTTAGATATTCCTTTAGTTATTTTAAATATTGAAGTGCATAAATAAGTATACTAAACAAATGCAGTCTAATAACAATAGGAATAACTATATAAATCATGTTCAAAGTATTCATAACCCCTTGATGAATGGGCAAAATTAATAAAATGATATGAAAACTACATAGCTTTTTAGTCAGCTCTTGAAGGAATTTAAATTATATTATTTGGCTGCTATTGTAATGAATTTGTTATTTGCTGCATTATTTTATGTTTAATACATAAGTGCTTGCAATACCAAAGATTTAAATATATGGATGATATATGCTGCAGTTATTTTTTCACTATAATTTATTTTTTATATTTTGGTCATTTTGCCTTCTTACAATAAATCGAAGACATACTATTTTGCAGAGCAACTGCATGAAGTTATTTTTGTAGGTGAGGAAGAATATTACTTTTAATTAGATAAGCGTTAAAGGCGTAAGATGCGTAAAAGAATTGAAAACTTAATTAAAGCACATTTTAAAAATTATCACAAGATATATCGATATATAGATTATTTGTTAACAATTTGTGATTTGGGACTTATTATACTTGGATTAATCTACTTTTCTAAAAATGACTACTTTAAATATATGTTCTCATCTTAAAAATCTTCAACAATTAAATAAGATTGCGAATTTGCTGATGTTTGGATTATTTTCTGGTGTATGATTTTGCTGATTATTTCTCGAAAATAAACAATCTCAATAGCTATATTGCTTCTTTTTGGTAATATAAAATATAAATTAATTTATTATAATTAAATTACTACAATAGATATTTATTCATTAATTACTCTAATATGACTGACTATCTATCTATTTCAGAAAATATATTTTTTAAAATTTAACAAATACAAATAAAAAGATAAAACATATAACAAATAAACCATTTGACTGAAACAAAATAATTAATTTTATATTTATTTTTTAAAAAAAGCTCTACCTGTCTTGATATTCTATATACCAATTAAATGGATTAAATAAGATTAAAATAAGTAGAAAATGAACTTTAATTTCCTTAAGGTACTAAATAGTGTTAAGTATGATCCCCATTTAATAAAAGGTGATGAACATACATGCACTATATGCAGAATGGATTATGTTATGGGAGACAGCTTAAAAATTCTTCCCTGTAGCGACCTTCATCATTTTCATTCTTCTTGCATAAAAGCATGGTTTCAAATCTCTTCTACTTGCCCATTATGTAGGAAAGAGCTTGGACAAATAATAGAAGATATTAGATCAACAAATGATGCAAATTCTTATCTTGTTATTGAGTAAATAGCCCATTCGTTTGACAATAATAACCAAAATTAAGAATAAAGAAACGATAATAATCTCGACAATAATATAAACTAAAATAATTAAGTAGATATGTAATGAATTTATAAAGTAATCAATCACTTTAATTATTAGTCTCAACGTTTTAGTTTATTATTGATAAAAAAGAAATTATTTATTCATCTTAAAGTATTAGTTTATTATATATAAATAAATGTGTAATATTATCCAATTAATAGAATTAAATAAAGGAATCACAATAAATAAAATAGCTATTCCATTTTTAAAATTCAAACCAACAATTAAATATAAAAATAATCAATGATTTGAATAAATAAAATCCAAATTATAATTAGAAAAAAAGATGAGAATTATTTGTAAATGCTTTGAATGATAAATAGGGAAATTTAATTAAGATTATAAACTGTAAAACTTTTTAAACAACCTTTTCAAGATTAAATATTTTTTAATTAAAAAAAAGGTTAAAATAATTCAATGTTAAAATTAATTCAATTTTTTCTATTAAATACTTTATAAAAAAACTTATCCAGAAAAATGTTTATTTATATTTAGTTAAGATAAATAAAAAACAATTTCATTTTATTTATTTAAACTAGATAATTAATTATCTCTATATTTAATTGATTTATGTTTAATAATTAAGATATTGATAAGACTCAGACCATATATCTATTTGGATATATTGCTTATTAATTATGATTCTTAAAAATATAGGAAATATTTAAAAATATTTGTTTTTAATGATTAAATTTGTTATATATATTACTAAATTTTCTTTTTATAATAATTGGTTATGATAAAAACCACAAATAATTTAGAAATCGAATACTTTTTCACTTTTTAGAACTTTATGGAAAATTTAAATGTTGTTAAATAACAAATAATATTTTAGTAATTGCAACATATTATAATTAAATAAAACGGTTATATTACTTTATAATAAAACTTTTCAAGAAAAATATAATCTATTTTTAAGGTTAGATGTAGTTAATCAATGTTAGAGTAAAAATGTAATGTTGATGCAATCTCTAATTAACCAGATGATTTTTATATGGCTTATAGAAACATTCTAATGTAGGATTTTTACTTAAATTTTGAATGTTTAAAGTATTTTGGTGATGAAATTTTATATACTTTGTCAATTATAGATTAAGCTTACAATTCATTATTCCCTAATTTCTTGTAAGTTAAAGATTATGTTTTCCTTTGGAAAATTTTAACTCTTACTTAAGACTAATAGTATAAGAAAATATTCTTTTATAAAAAATAAAGTCAACTCTGTACTTAAAATAAGTAAGCCTGTAAATTCAAAAGATAATCTTACTTTGAATATTTTATATATCTATTTATTTATGTGTGTTTGATTTCCTTAAAAAAAGAATTTATCAATTCATTCGTGGAATTAAATTGAAAAGGATCACTCAAATAGAAAATTGAAAAGAATATTTCGAAAAATTTTGGGCTAGATGATTTTAATAGATGACGTCATAATTAGCGCAGTATTGCATATCTTATTTTTTTTGAAGATTATATTTGTACAATTTGAAATATATATTATCGCGCTTCTAGGATATCTTTCAATCATTTTAGTTTATGTATGAATTAATTTTTAGTTTGAATGAAATTGAATTAATAAGTAGTTACAACATAATATTTTTAGATAAGCAGTAATAATATTATTAATTAACTTCAATTTTTAAGGTTAGAATTTATCAAAAATAGTTGAGAGAACTTTTTTGAATCAATAAATTAATAAGGAAATTAATTATCTCAATACTTTTCTTGCCTCTGATTTTAATTAAAGTCGGTCGATCTTTTGATTTATATACATCCATACACACAAACTTAGCTAATTTACAAAGATTATGTTATCTTCTTTTATATACATTACACTTATCTTAATATATTAATTGATTAGAACTATATTTAAATTTTAATTCCATCAAAATAAATATCTTTATTTATTTATATTTTGACAATTTTCATTTATAATTAAAGGAAAAACAAAAAATTAATATCAAAAAATCTCTCCTAAAAGAAACTCTGTAAAGATATCGACTCCATCCATAATAACTAAATCAGAGTCTATTTAAGAAATCTTTCTCTAAATAGTTTATCATAATAATTATTGATTAGAATAATTATTAGACTTCAACTAGATATTTTCTTTAAGCATATTATATATTTTATTGATATTTTATTTTGCTTATCTTCTGAGTTATAAATCCTAGACATCAAAAAAATTTTGCAAACAACTAAAAAATTAATAGGCTAGTAAAAATTTTTTGAAGTACATCGTTGAATCTAACAGAGTCATTCATTTATATAGATAATTCAATATATCTCAAAGATTAGTTTTACATAGAAGAAATAATTTAACAAAAAAAAATAAATCAGTAATTGGCTATAAAGCAAGCAAGCAATCTCAAGACTGAAAATACATATTTTTATATAAGCAAATAGAAGAAAAAAAAGTTTAGTCAATCAACTGCTTAATAGTTTAAAATATGAATGAAATTGATGATTTAAATGTATCTCTAGTTTAATAATAGAATCTCTTAAATAGGAAAATACCCAATTATATTTTTTCTTAGCTTATTAAAGAGTTTAAAATTTACTACATTGTAGCTCTGGCCATGAATTTACTTTTATTCTCTCTTTTTACAGTTTAATATATTCGCTAGTGTAGTGACTGTTATCTCGCAACTTGGATGCTCTGCTCATCTATTATTTTCTTTATCTAATTAATATTTTATATAATGGTTATATATCCTGCTTACAACACCCAAAAAGTTTTCTATTTTGCTGAGCAGCTTCATGAAGTGATATTTTTAGGTGATGAGGATCCCTACTATTAACTTTCCAGAAAAGAAAGAATAAAAAAACGTAAGATCTTAGAATAGATTATCAAATAGCATTTCAAATATTACAAGAAAGGGTATTGGTATATTGATATTATATTAACTATTGGTGACTTAACACTTGCTATTCTTGGAGTTGTATTTTTTTCAATAAATGACTACTTTAGATTTATGCTAAGTCTGAACAAAACAGAAGGCTTTAGTGATGATTGCTAATTCTCATCAGCATGGATTATGTTCTGGAGTATAGTTCTACTTTGCATTTCTCGCAAAAATGCCTTTTAACTAGTCCTAATAGCAATAATATGTAAGACTAAATACATTTTAATTCCTTAAAATTTAAAACACTATTTTTAGTATTTTTTTATATTAAATCATCAAATAATCATTTCAAACATTTAATTTTAATATTTTTAATTCTAAAAAGTTTTGAAAAATACAAACAAATATTGCTTTTTAAATATTTCTAATTTGAAATCCAAATTTAGCTTTTAGCTTTTAAATTGTTGAGAGACAAAAACGCTTTAAATAAATAAATTTAAATAGGATTAATTTCCTTTTTAAAAATAGATATTTACATAAAAAACCATATTAAAATTTCAGTTTTATTTGGAAAATAAATTAAATTTTTTTATTAAATTAAAAGCTATGCCATTTATTGTATGCTTATTACCTATAAAATTGATGAAACAAAATAAATAGAAGAGGATCAAAAATTTATAGTGCTTAAAAATAATTTAGAGCTTTAAATATCACCCTAATACTTTATAAGGAGATGAACACTCTTGCTCTATTTGTAGAATAGATTATGCACTTGGAGTAAATATAAAAATTCTTCCATGTAGTTCTCTTCATCACTTTCATTCAAACTGTATTAAAACATGGTTTAAAATATCACCATCATGTCCTCTATGCAGGAAAGAGCTTGGAAAAATAATAGATGATATTCGCTCTACTAATGGAGCTCCATCATATTTAGTTCTTGATAATCAAAATTTTTCTCAAGTAAATAATGATTTAGAGTCTCAAGAAAATAATGGATAAAATAATTAAATTTAAAATGAAAACTAAATAAATTAATAACAAAATCAGTCTAATTCTCAAATAAATTCAATCGAAAATTAGTAAAATTGAAATTTAAAAAAATGCCTTTTGTAAATATAATCAAAGAGTTTTATATATATAATTTATTTATTTAATATTTATAATAAAAACTAATTTAATTAAGAAAAAAATTTACTTTATTAAATCAATTTTTCTTATTATAAATATTTGTTATTTAAAACTCAAAAAGATGACAAAGAAAATCACCTATTTAAATTATCTTAAATTAAAATAATTATGTATTATTGTTTAAATATCTTTAAAAAATTACATAAATTTTTAATCTTGTATAATTTAAATTAAAAACATAATATTTAAAATATACTTTAGTAAATGAACAAAATAAATTTAAATTTATTAATATCAAAATAAGTTTTGAAAACAGTCTAAATTTACGATATGATATTAGATATTATCCATTTAATAGGTTAATTTCCTTTATCTTTAATTAGGTTAAATACTTTATTTTAATATAATTATTAGAAAGTTATTAGCTTCTAATTGCTTAAATATAAAATATTTTAAATACATTATTAGAGTTTAACTATAATAAATACTTCTAAGGAAAGTAAAAGTTTTAGTTATTTTTAAAATAGTAAAATATTTATTAAAAATATAGTTTTTAAAAAAATGGGGGGCACCATTGGAGTTGAACCAATTGATATTAATGAGGATTTATTACTGCTCACCGGAGCTAGCGCCCTTAAGATAGATTTTAATTCAAATATTTAAAATAAGATCAATTTAAAGCGTCTTTAATTTTATTAGACACATTTTTAATGTTAATTAAAAAGTGAATTTTATAAATTAAAATGTTCAAGATATTTTTATTTCAAATAATAGGACGAGTAGTTTTTACTAAATAGAGCATAATTTGCTTTAATATTTAAAAAAAAATAATTTATCTCTACACTTTTTAATCATAAAATATTTTTTATTATTTTAATTTGTAATTTTTATAAATTAACATTTTAATAGAAATAAATGTTTTATTCTATTCATTTAATAATATTATCTTTTAAAAGTAATTATAATCTTTCAAAAATTTATTTAAATTGTTAAAAATTAAAAATAAAAAATAAAAAAGGGGGGCACCACTGGAGTTGAACCAATTGATATTAATGAGGATTTATTACTGCTCACCGGAGCTAGCGCCCTTAAGATAGCTTTTAAATCAAAATTTTAATTTAAGATTAATTTAAAGCGTCTTATATAGAGTTAAACAATAGTTTACAATTAATTAAAAAGTAAATTTTGTTAATTAAATAACACAAGAGATATTTTTGAAAAGATTGGAAGGATATTTATTATTAAATAGAGCTTAATTTATTTTAATATAATATAATAAATAATCTACTTCAACAGTTTTTAAATTCTAAATATATTTTATTACTTTTATTAATAATTTAAGTAACTTATATTTACATATTAACTATAATAAATACATGTTTAATTTAATTTAAAATTAATCTTAGTATTTCAAAATTTATTTAAAGTCTTAAAAATTAAAAAAAAGGGGGGGCACCATTGGAGTTGAACCAATTGATATTAATGAGGATTTATTACTGCTCACCGGAGCTAGCGCCCTTAAGATAGCTTTTAATTCAAAATATTAAAATAAGATTAATTTAAAGTGTCTAAAATAATGTTAGATAATAAATTACATTTAATTAAATAGTAAAATTTGTTAATTAAATTATACAAGAGATATTTTTGAAAAGATTAGAAGGATAGTTTTTATTAAATATAACTTTATTTGCTTTAATATAATATTATAAATAATGTATTTCATTCAACAGTTTTTAAATTCAAAATATATTTTATTACTTTTTATTAATAATTTAATTAACTACAATTATAATACTTGTTTAATTTAATTTAAAATTAATCTTAATCTTTCTAAATTTATTTAAATTGTTAAAAATTAAAAATAAAAAATAAAAAAGGGGGGGCACCATTGGAGTTGAACCAATTGATATTAATGAGGATTTATTACTGCTCACCGGAGCTAGCGCCCTTAAGATAGCTTTTAATTCAAAATTTTAAAATAAGATTAATTTAAAGTGTCTAAAATAATGTTAGATAATAAATTACATTTAATTAAATAGTAAAATTTGTTAATTAAATTATACAAGAGATATTTTTGAAAAGATTAGAAGGATAGTTTTTATTAAATATAACTTTATTTCCTTTAATATAATATTATAAATAATGTATTTCATTCAACAGTTTTTAAATTTAAAATATATTTTATTACTTTTTATTTATAATTTAATTAACTTATATTTACATTTTAACTATTATAATACTTGTTTAATTTAATTTAAAATTAATCTTAATCTTTCTAAATTTATTTAAATTGTTAAAAATTAAAAGTAAAAAAGGGGGGCACCACTGGAGTTGAACCAATTTATATTAATGAGGATTTATTACTGCTCACCGGAGCTAGCGCCCTTAAGATAGCTTTTAATTTAAAATTTTAAAATAAGATCAATTTAAAGTGTCTTAAATAATGTTAGACAAAAACTTACAATTAATTAAATACTAAATTTTAGTAATTAAAATATTGAAAAGATTTTTATTTTATCTTAATTTTTTTTATTTAAAAAAAAATAATTTAACTCTTCGATTTTTAAACATAAAATATATATATTATCTAATTATAAAATATTTTTAATTAACTTAAACTTCCATTTTAACAGTAAAAAATGTTATATTCGATTTTTTAAATTATATTAATCTCTTTCTAAATTTATTTAAATTGTTAAAAATTAAAAGGAAAAAAGGGGGGCACCATTAGAGTTGAACCAATTGATATTAATGAGGATTTATTACTGCTCACCGGAGCTAGCACCCTAAAGATAGCTTTTAATTCAAAATTTTAAAATAAGATTAATTTAAAGTGTCTTAAATAATGTTAGACAATAACTTACAATTAATTAAATAGTAAATTTTAGTAATTAAAATTTTCAAAAGATTTTTATTTGATCTAAATTTTTTTAATTTAAAAAAAAATAATTTATCTGTGACATAAAATATATTTTCTTATTTTAATAACTTATATTTTTAACTAACTTAAACTTCCGTTTTAACAGTAGCAATTGTTCTTTTAGATTTGTTAATTATATTAATCTCATTCTAAATTTATTTAATATGTTAAAAATTAAAATAAAAAAGGGGGGCACCATTGGAGTTGAACCAATTGATATTAATGAGGATTTATTACTGCTCACCGGAGCTAGCGCCCTTAAGATAGCTTTTAATTCAAAATTTTAAAATAAGATCAATTTAAAGTGTCTTAATTTATATTAGACACTTATTTAATGTTAATTAAATGCTTATGAACAACAAAATTGAAGTGACAGTCAATATAGTATTTTTATTATTTAAATCTAAATTTTAATATTTTGATAATTAAAATGAATCAGTTAAAACTTTAAAACGAGCTAGTACCTAGTATTCTACAAATTTTTTAGATATTAAAAACATTACATTTTTATTAATTTTAGATTGTAAATTTATTTGAAATAAAGATTAAATAGATTAAACTATTTTCAAAGTATTAGATTTAAAAATTGATATTATATAGGATTTTATACTGCTACAGAGTAAATACCCTAAATTAGCTTTAGGTCAAAAATTAAAATAAAATTATTACAAAATGATAATTAACAGCTAATTTTATTACTTAATAAAAATAAACATATATTTTTATTTGTTTACTAGTAAATGTCTGAATATTTTTTTAGAATAAAATCTTCTTTATTTATTTATTATTTTATTTGTTAAAAAATATGAATTTCTCTTTTAAAAGAGCAAGAAATTCTTCCATTTATTTTGTTTTAATTTAATTAAAAAAAATTTAAACAATATGATTTTGATCAATTAACTTTTGATTTTATTAAAGAAAAGCATTTTAATATGATTTGATTAGTTTGAAATATTGTTGATAAACCAATATTATTTTAGGTTTATACACATTTATTTTAAATTAGATAAACTTTAATATATTCAAGTATTATTTTTATAATTTGGATACATTTATAACATCAAATTTTGCAATTAAGAAATACACTTAAATTTCGTAAGGTATTTATTATACTTAATTAGGTTTCCAAAGCTCTTTTGAATTTGTAGTTTATTTGAAAATAAATCTTTTAGGATGTAAATTAAATATTGAGTTAAAATAGATATTAATATTTAATGAAAAAGTTCTGTATAAAGATAAGCTTTTTAACAAGAAAATGTTTTAAAAATTTTATAATCAAATTAACTTTTTTATTATTATATTTGAGTTTTAAAAATATTTTTATCAGTAAAGTATAAGAAATTAAAATAATCATTTATAAAACTAAATAGTATTGAGCCAATAAACAAAATAAGTATGTGAGTAAAATAGTAAGTAAGTAGAAATCGTATATTTATTTTAAGATTTGTATTTTTTGTTTCATAAATATAGTGAAGGAGATTTTAGGATAAATAAGATTAATAATAAATTAAAGAATATTTTAATATGATAAGATAGTTAAGTATACATTCTAAAATACATAGAAATAGTAATTTATATAAAGATATTTGGTTGTAAAAAGAAAAAAGAAGAGAAAGTATAAAGTAACAAACATGAAAGATAAATAAAAGCATACATTCAAAAGAATAAATAAATAAATTTATCTAAATAATTAATAAATTTATAATGATAAATAATAATTAAATGAAGTAAATGAAGAATAATGAATGGATGAATTGAAGTAATAATGAACTAACTAACTAACATTCCTAAAAAAACCAATTAAAAAAATAATACAAAAAAAAACAAATAAAATAAAAATACCACCGATCAAAATAAAATGTGAATTAGTCGTCATTCATTTTCATGAAAATAATCAATCTATCTAAAATCTATTTATTTTTTAACTATAGCTAATTAACTTACTTACTTACTAACTAACTAACTTATTTATTTATCTATCCTAAAATTTTGCTCATTTATGCTATAAAACAAGTAATACCTAATAAATATATTTAACTCCTCCTATGCCACTTTGTTTGAAAAATCAATTAAGTCTTTTTATCTTTTTAAAAGCTTTTAGCTATTAAATCCTATTTATACTAAATCTAACTATTTAATTTGCTATTTATTGTAAAGTGCTAAGCTAAATTATTTAATGCTATGTTTATCCTTTAAGAAAAGCTTTATTAGTCATCTATAAATATTTAACTTTTAGGTATATAAATAAATAAATAAATACAATCAATTATCATCCATTAACGCTAGGATGGCTAAATATGAGCTTAAACTACTACTTAATTAAATCACTTTATCTTTAGTTTTTAACTAAATTTTAGCTAGCTAAATACAAACTAAAATAATTCATTTTTTAATTTTTATGCTAATTTTCTAATAGCTATTTTATAGACTTTATTATCCTAGAACCATCCATTATGCTAGGATAGTGAAAACAAAAGCAACTATCTACATTATGATTTACTTTTATCTTTTTTTTGTAATAACTTCATCCTTTTACGCTAGGATTAAAATGGCTAACTAAGCTAAGTTTTTTAAGTAGAGCTTTTATTTGAGTAAAATGTTTATGCTAGCTAGGTTAATTTTAAAGAGTTTTAAGAAGCAGCTAAGCTTTTTAGTTATTTTTCTAATTAATTTTTATATCCTTTTTCGCTAGGATGTTTTCGCAAAATTATTCTAGCTAAGATATTCCTTTAAACTAATTTGATCACCCTTTGCTGCTAGGATGGCTAAGTATGACTTTGTATAATTGTATATGAAGTATTAAACTAATTTGATCACCCTTTGCTGCTAGGATGGCTAAGTATGACTTTGAATAATTGTATATGAAGTATTAAAGAGCTTCGTTTGCCTATTTATTTACACTTAATCTATTGAGCTAATATTTATATATGCTATTCAATTCATTCCTTTTTTAAAAAACTTAATTCCTACTTAATTCCTTTTTTTAATAATCACTCTAAACAAATCAAAGAAATCAAAACTAAAATCGCTTTTAAACCTAAATAACTAAGCTAAGCTAATTAATTAATCAGTCTTATATCTTACTATAATAAATATGGATAAGTAATCTGCCTATAAATTATCTTAATCAAAATAATGCTAACTATAATAAAATATTTTATATCATTATTTCCCTTTTTATCTTAAATACGCTATAAAACCTATGGATTCTACCTATAAAATATGCTTGCTAAATTAATTTTTTTATTTATGATCCCTATTATATATATTTCCTATTTTATAAGTTATTACTTGGTTATCCTATTAAAAACTTTTATACTTAATACTTTAATAAATTTGACACATGATTTGCTTAACTAATATCTATGAAAACACTAAATTTATATATTTTACTTTTGTTCATCACCTACTTTAATTTAATTACTTTAAACCTATTTATTTTATTATAATCATCTATTTATTTTGATATATATATTCATACATGCTTGCTTTATTGATTTATTGCTTAACTTTTTGTATTTTAATTTTGTCTTTAAATTTTCTCTCCTTGATTACGCCTCAAAGAAAGTAAGTAGATTATCAATCAATTTATTTTGAATCATAAAACTAGCCTTTCCCTTTTTTTATAATACAACCTATTTTTTATATTTTTTGGACCGCTATTATACTTTTAATATTTAGTGTAAAAATTCTAACTAAGTTAAGTTTCTCCCTATTATGAATTTAATGTTTATTATTTATTAATTTATTTACTATTTCCTTTTTATAATTTTTTGTTAACTATTTTACAATTGTTTTAATTAACTAACAAAAAGAAGACTGTCTTTAAGTTTTTAAATAAAGTATTGGAGTAGATGATTTGGGGAATTTATTGTGATTAATCTTAGGATGTTTTTTATCAAATTATTTGGGGGTCTGTCAGTCTGTCTGTCTTTATTCATGAGGTTTCTAATTTTTGTCTAGTTTCAGCAATTTTAATTTGCTATCTAATGTTTACTAATTAATTAATGACCTCTTATTACAATCTGAATAGAAATTTAAATATTTCACACTATATTTGTTTTTTTATAACCTCAATGAAATAATTGCATAATATTCAAGTAGAAGATATAATATAATAAATTCTTATTTATTATACCTCTAGCAGTTTTAAGATAGATTGCTTGATAATATATAGCCAATACTTCACTTCTATCTTTATATAGAAAATTTTCTACTTTAGTAGCTCATTCCCTTATATAAGAATTAATTCTAAAAAGTAAAGTGTGCTTTATCAGATTACTTCATCATAATAAATTTCTTTTACACACAGTATATATATTATTATAATTAGAAATTTTAAAAGACTAAAAATAAAACTATTTTTTTAACCATTTAGACAAGCGTAAAGAGTTAAAAAATTGCCCATCCAACCAGCTCGATACCTATATTCTTGATATTTGTTAAGGTAGCTTTCTATATTATTATATTATTCCCACAAAAAGTAAGTTTATTCATTTTAAATTTTTTATTAGTAGTATCAATAATAATTTTTTAGTGGTAAATTTATCCTGTGTTATGTTTTTTGTTTGTTTTTTTGTATGTATGTATCTATCTATGTATGTATGAAGGTACGTATGATTCATGTAATATATAAAATAAAGTTACTAAATTATATTTCTTTTATAAATATCTAGTAAATTATAGTTTCTACCTAAATAAACGGGAGTATACTTTATATTTTTCTAGTTTAATTTTAATGCACCTAGTAAAAGTAATAACATTACCATTTTGAGACCCTTTTTTGGAGTAAATAAGTATGCTATATTGTTCCATACATCAAATTATTAGAGAGATCATTATAACTGCTAGAAAAAATCAATCAATTAGAGTCAGATAATTATCGTTTTTAGTCTTTAGGATTAATATGAAAAAAAAGAGTAGATTTAAAAACTAGAATCGATTCGCAGTAAAAAGATTGAATATAAATAATATTAATAGCTTAAAACAGACAAACTCTTTTGTAAATACATGTAAGATTACCTAACTTTCTACTTATTTATCTATATTATGTAAGGCTGGTTAACTACCTAATGTCTTATATTAGAAAAAAATCTACTCCTTTATGGATAATAATATTTCAAATATTTATTCATCAAAAACTATTTTATGCATAAAAAATAATTTTATTCTAATTAGTTTAAGGTATTTTTTCATCAAAAATCCTTTTAAACATAATTTACTTTTATCTGTTTTAAGTTCTAAAAAATGTGTTAATGTGTCGCATTAAAGCTTATTATTTTATGGATATAAAAATTTCAATGTATTAAATTGATTTTCTTATTCAAAATTTAGAAAAACGAATATGTTGTTTGAACTGAAATAAGAAAAAATTGTTTTCTTTTGAGCTTAAATAATAAATAATTGAGTGAGCTATTGGTTGAGTGAAAAAGTTAATTTATTGGTGATGCTTATAATCTTTCATTGCGGATTTAAAAAACTATAAAACAAACCATCCAATTGAAATTAATACAATCGAGCTCCCGCTCCAAAAGATAATAAAAATAATGGACATAAAGCAAAATATTTAAAAAGATAATTTTGATAGCTAAATTTTTATTTTCCCTCCTTTTAAATAAAATAAAATAAATTTTATTATTACATAATCATTGTTAAAATTTAAATACTTGAATAAATATCATATTTGCTTCAATAAAAAATAAGGAAAATAAATAAATATATTCATAATTTTATAAAATTTACAAACAATATTTGCCTGATCTGCTTTATTATTATTTTGATTTATTTGATTAGATTTTTTTCCACCCTCCTTATAATTAAATAACTATCAAAGTTTTGATCTCCTCTCTAATAGAAAAAAGGGAATGTTTTTTTGATTGATGTCTTAAATTACTTTTTTTTCATATTTTGTATCAAAATTCTTCTTGTGTCACTAAGACATAATTAAAGACACTTCTTTTAACTAATATAACAAATCTATTATTTACAATTTTAAGACAGCCCTAAAGAAAAACTAAAAAATTGAATAGAAATTTGTTTTAGGTCTTGCTAAAATAAAATTATATAAAATTCTACCATTTTAAATGAAACTTGTATAATAATTCTGAGGTTATTAAATTCTTAATATTACTCCTGTTAAATATTTTGTTTTTTAGGTTTATTTTTATAAATCTCTTGTAATATCAATTCATTTTATAAAACAAATTAAGACATACTTTAGCTTTAAAACTAGATCTTAAGTAACCCAATAAATTATGAGTTTTACTAAAATTAAGAGTTAAAAATATCAATATAATAATAGAAATATTATAATGATAATATCCATATCTAAAAATCAAATCAAACATTCCAATAATGGAATAAAAAATAAAATAGAAAGAGGTCTTTATACTAATTAAAGGTTTAAACAAATAAAAAAGTATTTATTTGATTTGATTACTTGTAATTCAATGAATGAAAGATTGAAAAAAGAAAGTATAAATAACTAGATGATTTTTAATTGGAATTAAGAAAAAAAGTAAATGGCCTTCCTTTCAAAATTTAATTCTCATTTGTAAAAAAAATATTGCCAAAATTACACTTAATAATAAAATTTATTGGCTATATTTATATTATTTGTTAAAACATTTTGTATTTATTTTAATTTTAAATATTATTTTATCAATTAATATAAATGATTTATATCTACCAATAACTGATTGTAAAAACTTTAACAACTTAGAAAATTAAAAATATGTTTTACAAATTACGATAAATAACTTATAAAAAATTTTTTTTATATATGCTTTGTAAATAAAAAAAGAATCAATTATTACAAAAAAATATTTTATTATTTCTTTATAATAAAAATAAATTCGTCTGTTTTTGTTTTTGTAATTTTATTTGTAAAATTAAATAGTTTTAAATATCAAATATATTAAAAATAATAAGTTAGTATTAAATAGCAAGAAGTAAAAATGGAAGATTAAATTACCTTAGATTCTTATATCTCAACAAATAAAAAATCAGATAAAACAGAAAAAAATAATAAGGGGCACTAGAATAGAAATAGAGACAATAACAATAATGAAAGAAGAGGTAAAAATCAAAGAGGAAATAACAGATTTAGAAGTAGAGGTGGCAATGACGATAGAAGAAGACACCAAAATAGAAACAGAAGAGATAATTAGGCAATTTTCCTAAAAATCATTTGATTAACTCATTCATAATAAGAATTATATAAAAAATAGAGGGACTCGAACAACTGGAATGACAACAAGTTCGATGTAATAAATTAGTTTTGATGTCTTTTCAATAATATTTTCCACTCTTTTTATTAATAATTTATTTATCAAAATAATATCAACTAATGAAATTCTAATATCAATTTATCAGAGAAGACAAAGAAAAGGATCATTCAACAATAAAGAAGAAGAAGAAAGAACAACTGGCAAGTTTGTAGTTATTGAAAATTTGCACTATTCAGTAACTGAAGAAGAATTATAAGTATTTTTTAACTATTTTTAGTATTTTTTTGGTAGTTTATCATATTGATTAAAAAGCAAACTTTAAACAGAAAAGTAAATAAGTATTTAGTTAAAATTTTAATTTATTATCTAATTAGGAACATGTTAGTAAATATGGTGAAGTAATTTAATGCAAAATCTTTTGGGATGAAAATGGAAGAAGCAAAGTAAAACATATTATTTGCACATTTTTTTATTTGTTACGAAATTAATATCTTCGTATCTTAGAAGTTAACAAACGAATAATAAATTTCTTTATTTCGCGGTTTAGGAAAAGGCAATTGTTTAATTTGAAAACGAAGAAGATGCTAAAGAAGCTATTGAAGATTTAGAAGGTTTTTTAATTAGTCTAATATTTATTAAAATAAATTTGTAATAAACTATTTACTAAAGGTTCTTCTATTGAAGAGTAAACTTTAAGTGCTCATTATGCATCAAACGACGATGTTCATTATATCAAAAAAACTAAAAAAATTTAGAAGCAAAGCAAGTAATTTTCGATATTTGTGTTTAAAAATCTCACATAATTTTGTTAATTTAAAGAGCTTTCAACAGAAGAAGATGATGATTTGAAACATAAAAAACTATCTAAAATAAAATTGATTGAGTATAAAAAATATTAATTGTTTATATTTACTTCATTTTATTAATGTTTAAAAAAACCATTTTTGTTTTTAAATTAGTAAACTAATTAATTTACTTATCAATTCAATTAACAATTCCTTTAATATTTTAATCAAATATCTAATTCCAAAGCTTTATATTAGAGTTGATTTTATATTTAAAATATGCTAAAATATTATAATTTACTTCCAATAATCTTTTGTTTTTTATGGATATGACTTCAAAGAAATAGTTTTTTAATTGTATGTACCATTCTTTATAAAAAAAATAGTTATTAAAATTTAAATATCACTTTTAAGAAACAACTTTTATGTTAGTCATAAATCTAAAATCTAAACAAAAAGAAAAATCTATATCTGAAATTATCATCAAATTAAATATATAGTTGTTAGTTAAACAAGCTAAACAATTAGTTAATTTAAAATTATTACTAGAATACTTTAAAAATGATATCTACTTTTAACTGTTCAAAAATATTTGATAGCACTAAATTGATTTAATTACGATAATATAAATTGTAAATTTCGTTTTTAAGATATGAAAATTTATATTTTTTTAATAATTTATTTTTAATTTAAATATTTTTATTTAAATTTATTAACATTCTTTAAACGATTAAATCTATTTCTCAAATAAATAAATAAATAAATTAATTCAAGTTCAAGTCTTGAAATGTTTGTAAAATATTCTTTTTATTTAAATATTAAAATTCAATAACCTTGAGTTACTTTTTAAACAGTGTTTACATGTAAATAAAAACTTACTGAAATTCAATGAAGATTCTAAAAATTTATAATAGTAATATGTAATAGAATTTTAGGAAAAAATATGAAAGTATTCAAATTAAAGCTGTTGTTGATTATTTAAAAAGCTTAAATCTTGAGTAGATTATCTATGAAATAAATTAAAAAGTTAAATATGAAGATATGTTTTTAATAAATACTTGAAATGGCTACATTTTGAGTGTTATTGATTGTTTTTACTAGAAATATTTTTAAATTGAATTACTAGAATTCATAAGAAAATAGACTTGCTTGCTAAGCAACAATTTTTGGTTATATGCAAAAAAAACAAACTGTTTAGAATTTGAAAGTATATTGAATGATGATCTATCTATCTTTCTATCTATTTATCTTAGAAAAAAATTAAGGCATGAAGAATTTTTTTTATTAAATTAGTACTATTGATCAATTTCTAACGATAGATAATAATTAAATTAATAAATTTTTGATTGGTATTGCAAAATCAAACAAATGCTTTTACAGATTAATAATTAATAAAAATTGTAGCAACAATAGGCGTATGACTATGCTGCTCTTTAAAGTAATAAAAGGGTGATAAAAAATGGTCAAAATATTTCGTCATAGATTTATGCTTAAAAGAAAGATGCTCAAAAGAGAGCTCTTACTCCAGTTAAAACAAGTGGTTAGAAATTTAAGTAATACACCTCTCCTTAAATAAAGTCTATTAAAACAATGACAAACGTATATGGAGGCAATCAATTATAAATACAAATTAAGCCTTAAAATAAAACCTAATTGCCACCAATAATGACTTAAAGCGCAGTTCCTTAAGGATAAAAAAAAAGTGTATTCATTGGGAAAGGCAACAATGATCAATTAATAAGAGAATTCTTTGAAAAAAAGTAATAATTTTTTTCTGTAAATCCTATTTTGTTAGCTTAAAATTTTAAAGGCCAAGACTTATTTATTAAAATAATGCAATTTATTAATATTCAAACTCTTTTCATGCTAATTAAAGCATATTAATTAACAAACAATTAGAACGCAGTAGCAATTAATCAATCAATAAGTTATTTCTAAGAAACAAAAAACAATTTTTAAAAAATACCACATCTTACATAGTCTAAGAAATTGATATTCATTAAATAATACCTTAATAACAATTAGGGGATGGAATGTATTAGATAGCAGCTTGAAGTTTTGGACAAAATTTAATTTTAAGTGGGTATAAACAATCAACGAAATAGATTGGCAATTCTTCCATGATGGATAATAAATAGTAAAATTTTATTAAATTTCGCTATATTTCTGAAAATTTCAAAAAAATATTGTAATCTTAAAAGAAAATAGCTAAAGAAATTTAACGCCAAAACCATTTTTTTGTTTATTTTTAAAACAAAAATGAGTGAAATTGAGCAAAAATTATTTAATTTATTTTATGCTCTTTCATTTTTATTTGGCGTTTTTTTCAAATTAATCATTTTGTCTTTTCTTATATCCAGAATCTATCAAATTATCAATCTATCTATCTATATATTAGTGTTGAAACTAACTTTTTCATAATAGAAAATTTAAATAAAAGTTCTGTTATTATAATCTAATTATTAATAAATTTATATTATTATCTTTCTTAATAAGGTTAATCACATTCAAAATATTTCCATTATCGCAACTAAGTCAGGGCTTGTATAAACTATAAAAGATTTTGAGTCAAAAGATAAATTCTTAGCTAGCTCCTATGGTATTCATTCTTCCTAGTTTATGCCTGAAACATTTCGCTTAGATGTGACCAGAGACGATTATTCCATAGAAGAATAGAACTTTTTGAACTAGAAAAATACTGGTTTATGGATAAACAAACCAACCAATTTTAATTGTGGTAAAGGAATTTAAATGGTGTCTGATATTAAAAAGTTTAAAGATGAATTTACTCGTTTAAAGTCTTAGAGTTATTCCCTTAGGTAAGGTAAGTCTATTGCTTCAACTAAATTCTAAGTCTTCCATAAGAAATGTATAATATAAAGATATATAGAAAGCCCATTACTACTTGATAAAAAGAAATTTGATATGCGTGTCTACGTTTTTATTGCATGCACTGATCCTCTTCTTGTCCTCTATAATCCTGGGTACCTTCGTCTCTCCATGAATGACTACAATAAAGGTATATTATTTTTTTAATAATTGAATTGTTTTCTATTTTATTATGATTTAATAAATTCTTTTAAATTAAAATGTTTGTTTAAAGTATGTTTGTTTTTCCAACTTACATCTTCAGATTTAAATAAAGCAAAAATAAAATTAGAGAAAGAATTTAATAAAATAAAAAATTAACTGACATATAATTCGTAAAAATATAAATTAATTTGATTAGAGAATTAAATGAGATATGTTAAAAAGTTATTAAACTTTTATCTCTTTGATGAATGATTAAATATCTAATTAAATGTAAAATAAGTAACACAAAGCAATCAATGAAATTTATAAGTAAAAATTTAGTCACAAATATTTAATAAAATAATTTTTTTATTTTTTAAATGATAAAGTTAAAAATAAAATATGAATATAAATATTTTGAAAAAATCAAAATATATTTTTTGATATGAAATATTTGCAATTTATGTAGATATTTTAAATATTTATTAATAAGTTATTATAATGTAAAATAGAAAATGTTGATGATAATAATGAAAAATTCACTCACTTAACTAATGCTGCTATTTAAAAGAAACATCCTAATTTCTAAAAAAACAAAGAAAACACTATCTGGAGTGTAGAGAGGTTTGAAGTAAAATTAATTTTACTTTTTATGAGTTTAGTTGAATATATTTTTTTGATAACCTTATTATAGTTTAATTTATAAAATTAAAAATATCTTTTATTGTTAAAGTTTTAAATGCTAACACATAAAATGCTGCTTTCGATTAATATTATTAATTTTCTTAAAATTAATTTAGCTTTTCTATAAATTCAATAAAAAAACTTTATAAAAAAAGAAATATGTCATGTAAAACTACAACGTTTCTCTAAAATAACTAGATGAATTAAAAAAGAAAATAAAATCTGTTCTTACTTATGTTATACGTTCAGCTGAGAAAAAATTAGATAAAAAATAAGGCTGCTTTGAATTACTAGGTTGTGATATCTTATTAGGAAGCGATTTTACTCCTTACTTGATTGAAATGAATCATAATCCGGCTCTTCATTTAGGTAAAAAATTAATTAAACTTATTTGAAATAATTTTATTAATTTAATTAAAAATAATTAATAACTTTTTTTCTTAATTCGTTGCTGAAATTTTTGAAATATTTTTAATATGAATGAAATAATAAACTCTTTCTTATTGGATTACATTTTCTAAAAATTAAATGATTTTTTATATATATTAAAAAGACACTGTTGTGTAAAGTTAAGTTATTCCATAAGTAGTAAATGATGCATTAGAAATAGTAATGCAAATTCATGAGAAGTAAGAAAAGCCAGAATTGGCTATAAAAGGTGAATTTAATACTAGATGTTTCTAAACATTAATAAATGAAGCTAACAACTTTTGCTTCTTAAGATCTTAAAAGCAAAACTTACAGTAAGTTGGTAGTTAGGAAATAAAAAAAGATTTAACTCCCGTTTCTACTAAAGATAAGTCACTTTCAACATTTTAAACTCTTCAAAGCCAATAATCCATGAAAGAGCATTCATGATTCATAAATATAAATAAAATAAAGCAACCCAAATTATTCATTTTAATACTGTTATTTATTTTTCATATTATTTTATTTTTTTTGTGAAATTAGTTAGTTAAAAAGTATAGTTTAGTTTAGTTTAAAAGTTCTTAATTATTTCTAAATTTAATAAAATAAAAAATACATTTTTTAAGCAAGTAAATATTTTTTGTAAAAACGAAATAATTATATTTAGAGTGATAAATAGAGTTATTATTAAAAATGAATATTTAAATAAAATAAATAATAACCAAAGATTTAATATAAATTTAACTCTGTTAAAAAATAAAAAGCTAATAAAAGTATTTCTTTCATATTTGCGCTAAGTTAGCTATTTTATTTTTTATTTTTACCTTTTCAGTATTTTAAATTTCTCTGAATAAAAAAATTATTTTTTTAAAGGAAATCTGAATATTCAATAAAGAAATTAATATTTTGTTTATCTCAATTTTATAAATTTATTTTGAAGCTTTTCTTCTAAATTAATTAATTAATATATTTACTAAGATATATTGATTTAAAATTTTTAATCAAATAAAAAAAAATTTGCAGATAAAAATTATTTATTTTGGAATTATTTATGTGCTTATTTGTTCAACGTTAATTAAAAAAGACAAAAAAATTAAAATGACTTCTCTAGTAAGTTAACAGTTTGTTAAAAATACTTTTTCTGATAATTCATATAGGGTTTTGTCTATATTTTAGGATTTATTTTGTTTATTGACTTTATTAAACATTTTATCAGTAAATTATACATTTATTAAGAAAATATTTTGAATTTTAATTAGTTGAAATCAATATGTGAAGGTAATTTCTTTACTCACATTTGATAAAATTGATATTAAATATTTTTATGAAAAAAAATATAATAGGAAATTATAATAAAAGAATTTATTTTATTTTTAATGTGAGGCTCATCAAAAAAGTTGTAAATAAGAAGAGAGAAATTGACTCGCTTAACTTATTTTGAATCTAAAATAAAATATTTATATGTTAAATAGTTTGTTTTCAATAAAATGATATATTTAGTTGATATAAATACAAACTAAGCAAAATTTAAATTGATTTTATTATAAGATATAAATTCTTTTAACCTTACACATTTAAGATAGTACGAATGTATCTCATTTGCAATAAATTTATGTATGAAAATTCAGAAACATTTGATTTTTCTATTAATTAAAATACTTTTTTTTTAATAAATATCAATAATCAAGGAGTATCATTATTACATTTCAAAATTTTAGAACAAGTTTTATTAAAATTTAAAAGTATAAGAAAAAGGGGATTTATATTCACTGTTTTTTAGTTAAGAAATTATTGTCATTAAACATTTATTTTTAATTTATCATTAACCTAAAATAAATGCTATATTTTATGGAACCTAAAAATGTTTTAAACCGTTAATAAATAATATTTATTTTAGTACAAATATGATTCTAAAATTTTTTAATTTTCATATTTAATAAACTAGAATTAGCTCTAATGGGAAAAGTCTTTAAAAGAATGAATAAATAAAATAAAAATTTGTGACCTAGAACTATAAATTAATTTACTTTTTGTGAGATCAATTGTTTTATTATGATAATGATGTTTGTATTTTTCTTTTATTTTGACTTTAATTTTTATTAGAAATGTTTAATTCTCAGATTTTAAGTGTATTAAATTTAAATGTAGATTTAGTATTAATCCATAAATCATTTTATTTATTTTAATATCTTGAAGAGTGCATTGATGTCAATATTTATCTCTACGTTGAAAAACATTATTTTATAACATTTTTACTATTTTAGATTTTTAATTAAATTTTTTTTTATTGAAATATTTTATAAAAATTTTATATATTGAAATAATGATAATGAATAATAAAATTGAATATAATTATCTAAAATCGAAGAGTAGAAAAAGAAATATTTGTATTTAATGTTAATTGATATACATAATAAAATACATTTATTATCTTTAAAAATAAATTTTAAATGAAAAATAATTAAAAAAGTAAATGTAATAATTAATTTTAATAGAAATTGTTAAAAAAAGAAAAAAAATAACAAATAAGAAAATGTAGCAAAATACTGTTAAAACTTTTGATAAAAATCAGATAAAATAACTTCTAGATAACATACTACCTGTGTTCATGCAGGCTGAATTAAAGAATAATAAAAAACCTGTAACAATTGCTAATATCCTTTCTTATGAAAAAATTAACCAATATATATTAAAAAAATTTCCTTCTGCAGATTAAAACTTGATAACATAAGAAAAATTGGATAAAATTTATGAAGGAATAATTGAAATACTAAAATCAGAAACAGAAACAGCAATGGTATTTAAAAATGTTATTGATATTGAATTTGTTAAAATGTATTTTCTTCCTTATGATTTAAAAGAAGCTCATTTAATATAAACAAAAAATTAAATAAATATAATAATCCTAATATTTTAAAAATAATGACAAACTAATCAAATTATTGCTTTAATCTTAATAAATTTATTTGTTTGTTTGTTTCTTTCTTTCAAACAATATAGTTATTACTAATAAAAAATACTCTTTATAATTAACAAAACTAAAATGTTAGCTTTAAGTAATAATTGTAAAAACCTTTATTTGTATAAAATTTGTTTATGTAATGTGTGTATGTATGTATGAATTAATAGTTTTATCTCTATTTTAAATTGTAGAATATGAATATAATTCGAAAGTAAAGAAATCAATCATACTTATATTTTTTTAAACATAAAAGTCTAAAAATACTGTCAAATCATTTATTTGAAAAATAAACAAATTAATTTAAATGACTAAAAATTATGTTAATTAAAACGCTGACCAATAATTGTGTAAGTAATGAAAAATAATTAAAACTAATTAAATCTATTCATAAAATCCCTTTTTTTAGTCTCTATTTAAGCATTAATTAGAGAAATTAATTATTTCTTATTAACAGCATAAAAAATTTTGATTGTGAGTAAAAGCTTAATAAACAAACAGATAAATAATTATTTCAATATAAATTTTTCTTTTAAGGAGGTTCCCTAAAATAAGTTAGCATTTCATCTATGTTATTCAAGCTTGTTTAGAAAAGGTCTTTATCATAAGCTTTTTTATTACTTTTAATAACATTGTCATATAAATTGATTAAATCATTTCTAATCTCTTTTCTTTAATCTTTGTTATGGGTGTAGCTTTATGTTTGATTTGAATTAACTAGATTTTATTATTGAAAGGTATTATTTTTCAAATTCTCCATTTACTCTTCATTTTCTTTATCATCTTTTTAACTCTATTATTCTTTAAATTCCGAGAATCCAGATTCGTTTATTTCTTCAATTTTATGAAATTCTCTTTGAGATGAATAATTTTAATTCTTCCCATTTTCATCATTTTTATTATTTTCCTAGATGCTATACGCCTATTTTTACTGGCTCTCTTCATTTTATTAATCTTAATTCTCTTATTTGACACTCTCTTAATTATCAAAATGTTAACCAAAATTTTCTTATTATTGTAACCCTTACTAGCTTGTATTTTCATGATTCTAACTTTTTATATTTATATCTGCATTTTATATGTATAAGTTGACATAATCTTTGGGAGTATTTTAAAAGTTTTTGTCGAACTAACCATACAATTATAAATTTTCTTTCTCTATCTGTCTGAGCTTTTCTTTTGCCTATTCTCTAAGAAGTAGTTAAAGATGTTCATTTTACAACTCTTTACCTTTCAAAAAGGCCTTCATTTTTCTTTGCATTTCTATTTCGCTTAACTTTTTATCTTCAATTTATGGAGGATTTTATATAGCTTCTTTGTTGACCATTTTTTCAATATCATTCATACAATCATCAATTTGTTGGTCTAATTCATCATACTCATCACTGTTTTAGCTCAAGATATCCCATATATATTATTCTACCTAACTTTGATGCTCTTTCTCATTTTCTTATAGAATTTCAAAATCTAATTTTCTCCCATTAAAAGCTTCTTTCCTAAATTTTTCAAGGTCTATTACTGTCTATAATTCCACATAATTCTTTGATGATTATGGCCTTTTTTATTTTTCTATCTATAATGTAGAGGCATTTAATGATTATTAGTTAGCATCTTATTCATCTTCTAAAAATTCATTTTCAACAGTTTTTTATTTTTTGTTTTTTGGTTTTTAGTTTTTGTTTTAGCCATTTTCTTAATAATTTTGGCTAGATGAGTTTTCTTCATTTAAATTTTTTTGCGGCTTAGATCCAGCAGAATGAGGTTTCTTCCTATTTATTCTTTCATAAAATTCTAATTTTCTTTTTACCTCTCCAATAATTTATTCATCGTAGTTATCTTACTAAGCTCTTTTCTTTTTGCCTTTGTGTTTTGCAAGTTGAGACTGAGGAACCAATTAGCTGTGACTAACAAGCTAGTTTATTTATTTGTCACTATAGTAATTTTAGAAGTTATAATTGCTTGATGGTAAATATTTAATTCCCTAAAGATATGGGTTACTGCCTTCATTCAAGCTTTTTATATCCTCTAGTTAGTGAAAGTTATATAAATTTTATTTTCTCTATGCCATTATATATTTACTATCTTCTAAAACATCTCTAGGTTACATTAAACTTAATAAGTGGTCTTACTTAGATTTTTCTCTTAGCTAAAGCATATCTTTAAAAACTTATGTCCTTTAGTCATTAAATCCCGAGACCTGAAATTTTAATATATGAAAAAAATTTAATGAGCATGGCAAACAAAACATAGGAAAATTGATCACAAATACAAATTTTTTAATTTGAAATACTAACCATAGAAAAAATAAAAAAATTTTATTTGCTATTCTTTTATTTCAGAAAAATGTATGTCAATTTTTGAATAAAATGATGTGAATTCCAACCATACACTCACTGATAATATTTGGTATTGTAAGATAAAGTGTTTAATATATTGAATTCAATAAAATATATCAAATGAATTTTTTACTTCTTTTTGCAAACTAGCCATCTACCTGTTAAAAACCTTCTTTTAAAATTCGTAATAATCCTTGATGTAGTCCATATCAAGCTCTGCAGCTTCCCTAACTTCACTCAATACTAAATCTTGCTAATTCATACCTTGTGAGGATTTTCTATTTCTAGGAGAAGGTGCCTTAGCTCTGTTAGAAGAAAAATCTATAATTTTTTCAATTCTCACCATTGGCCCTTCCATTTGTAATGAATTTCTGTTGCTTTGGTTTGGTGGTGTCCTCGGCAACTCTTTAACATCTTCAAAGTTTTATTTATTTTAGCTATTTGAATTTAACTTTCTACTCACTAGATTTCTTTACTACAGACGGTCTTGCTGAGCAGCAACTGCTTTGATTTATTTCAAATCATTAACTGAGCTCAAAGGTCTTGGTTCACTTCTTTGCTCGGCTCTCAGCTTCTCAGCAAAAACCAAGTCTTCTAACTTTCTCTATCTTTCCTCCAATTCTTATTTTTTTTTTTTGTATAAAATTTACTCCTACAAGGCCTAGTTAAGTTCTCTTTGCTTCCTCTCTTTCTCTAATAGTTAACTTTCAGCTATATTCTCTTTTTTCAATATTCCTCTATAGTTTTATGGTTTACTCCAATAGCTATTACTTTATTCTCTCCATTTATCGAAAAATGTTTCCTTATCTTCTTATCCTAAAGTCTATTTTTGGCTATTGTAAGGCATGCTAAAATTGACAGTCTTCTTTTAAATAGTTCCTCCAGTAATTGAGTATTGATTTTACAAAGTGTTCGCTTAGTTTAATAAAAAAAAGATAATTCATTTCATTGCATTACATATGCATTAATAAAAAAATTATATTTTTAAAATTATTTTAAATCATTCATTCATTATTTACTTAATTTTGCTTAACTCATCTAGCTTTGCAAAAAGGGTTACCCTTAATCTTATATATTCATTTGGCTCTGTGACAATCTTAAAGGGATTATAGTGTTTGTAGATTGGCCAGTTAGTTTTAGCAATGCATTTGATTACTAGGGTGTCTATCTATCAACTTAAAACTTGTCCTTATTAGTTCTTTAAAGCTCATTTTTAGGAAAGAATACATTGTCATAATTTCCTGTACTTTTCATTAGCTAACTGAAACCTTGATTTGTCTACTAGGTTTACATTGTATTCTAAAATCCATAGTTGGTCGCAATTTAAGGTTCAGGAATCAAGTGAGGATTAATGTTATTTACTTTCCCTAAATCTTTATTATTTCTCTAATATTCTTTTTGAATGTTTTAATACTACTTTTTTTGTTCAATTTAAGCATCTAGCATTTTAGCATATTCTTCCTTGCTATTTGGGTTTTAACTAAAGTAATAATCAGAATAAGAAAGAGGCTGCTTTTATTTGAATCTACTTGCTGAATTATTTATTTGGCTATCTCTTAAATCATATTAAAGTAGGTTCTTCATATTTTCACCACTCTTTTAAGGACTCATTTGCAAATTTCTTGCTGGAGTAAGCAGCTATTAGCCAGCTTGACTTAAAACTGAAGTGCCGATCATAAATTTATCTAAATTTGGAAATAAAATAATCTATTTGAGCTAACTAATTAGCTTAATTATATTGCTTATCTGATATTCTTAATAATGTTTATTCTAAACTTTAGCGATAGCTCAATCTAATTGATAAAACAAATAAAGTTATAAAATTTATGTATTTAAAGTTAGTGATATCAAGCGTTTATAAATAAAAAATCTACTGAATCTGATATATTTTTGAATAAAAACAAAATAGCTAAGTGTAATTTTTTAAATTGATTTTTTTCTCATATTAAAATATAAACCACAAAGTAGATTTTAATTATATGATTAATTTCATTTTTAATTTTTATGTTATTCAATAAACTAAAATGATATAATATCTGATATAAACGTTCCACTAATTAATGATAATATTTTATCTAATCTATATAAAATACAAATAATTTAAATAAATTTTAAAAAATAATTTTTATTTTTTGATAAAATTTTATGAAAATAACTGTAATAAAATAATTTGTTTAGTTTTAGTCATTTTTTATTCCTAACAAATAAAGAAAATAAATTAACTATTTTGTTAAAGATTCGTGATTTAATTTTTGATAATTAATGCAGGAATTTAGGGTATTATTAGAGACTCTACTTAAAATGTTTATGATATCTCAATTTTATTTGTAGTAAAATAATCAAATGGGTAATTTTTTAGTGCATATTTAATAATTATTCATTTTATTTTTATTATTGAAAAATATTTTTTTTATTATAAATTTGCAAATAACTTTTTTGTGATGTTCAAATTTAATGATTTGAATAATAGTTTAATGATATGATTAGAATAATATAAAAAAAACGATTATTTATTTATTTTTATTTTGAGTAGATTATAACTTTTGTTGATTTTTTTGGTTAATCAAACCAATTTGATTGAAAAATTTAAAAGAAAGATAGAATAAATAAATAATAAGCTTTTATATTTATTGGAACAGTAGTAAATATATTAGATAGATAAATAAATAAATAATATAATTTTAACTCAATAATTCATTTTAAAAATCAAAGTGGTTTTTTATTTTAATAACTAAAAATGTAGAGTTAAATACAAACAAATATTTCTACAATATCTTCTTAAAATAATTTTGATTATTTTCAAATGGTAGAAAGCAATATCAGAAAAGATAATAACTCTCTTGTATCTGAGAAGTCAAAAAAGTATATATTAGCTAAAGATATTAAGAAGTATGAAAACGAATAAAAACTTACATAAACAACTGATCAGTAAAATTCTTTATTAGGTACTTCTGCTGCTTTTACAGATAGATCGAATTACTTTTCGGTAGAATAAAAGAATGATAAAGTTAATACCTATAACTCTATAATAGGACTTAAGGGCATTCAAAATCAAAATAAGCAACCAATATAAAATCAAAAAAATTTTCTTTCTCCTTTAGATGTGTAAAAAAATAGAGTTCTGACTATTGGAGGAAGTACAGATGTCAAAAAGACCGTATCTTTGACAGTAACTCAAGGGAATATTTAGAAAAATTCAGAAAAGAAAGGTTTAGGAGAAGATTCAAATAATTTAAGTGTTAAAAATAGTTTATAGTCTTGCAAACAAGATACAGCATTTCAAGTAAGTAAGTTCATAGGTCCAAATCCCTTAACTCAAGATGATCGCACAAAAGAGAAAAATATTTTCCTTGAGAAAAATAATCCTATAAATCATAGCATGTATAAAGAATTTAATGTAGGGCCTCGCATAGATAATAGTGGAAAGCTAGTAAATTATACATTAGTTGGATAACCTTAATGGTATATGAAACAAAAGGAAATGCAAGAAAAATAATTAAGCAAAGCACGCAGAGCTTCATAGTTTTAAAAAGAATCTTTCTCAAAGGGAGAAGATGAAAATAAAAGTGCAATTAAAAGATAAATGTTTTAGACTAAAAACAGTAGTAGTGAGTATAATCAAAATAACTCATTTGCGAAAGTAAGCTAACAAATTAATACTTTTTAATCAAATAAATCTATTTAAGAATTCTAATTATAGTTTTTTATTAATAAAGTAGCTTTCAATTCATACTGATAAATCTTTTGTAATGAGACCTGATACAACATAAAGTGTAATTAAGCAATAAGTCCAACCAAAAAAGAAAACAATGAAAAGAAACGAATCATAAATTGAAGGTTTTTTTTCTTTTTTATTGAAATTAAAAAGTATTTATAAAATAAAAAAAAATAAATTATATTTAGTTTCTAAAGATGATCTTCTTAGAGATATAAAACTAATAGAAGAGAGACACCAACAGTCAACTCTAATGGAATAAAAATTAATTAATGACATGCCACTAGAATAAAAAAATATAATAACAAGAGAAGAAAGGGTTTTAGATAATTATTAAAAGCATTTACATGATTGGGATAAATAAATAAAATAGCTAGCTATCCTTAGTTAAAGATAACCTACAGATTCTTGTATGCTACGAGGAGAATAACACAGAAGAAAAGTGGAATATGCATAGGCTTTTGATAACCTTAAAACAGAGGATGAGAGGTTTGGTAAAAGGTAATTTACTCAAATAAGTTTTAAAATTTATTTAAATTTAACAATAAAAATGCAAGATAAAGCTTCTGAACCCAAAAAATTATTTAGCTTTATTCCAGGAAAAAAAATTAATTTGATAAATAATTATTTAAATGAAATAATAATTTTTTTTAATTTACAATTTCATAAATTTTAATTTTAAAAAAAATTGAAGAATATGGTACATGTATTTAAGAAAGTATCCAAAAGATAAAAAACAAGAATAAGATGATTAAAAACCTCATAAGAGGACATATACAGAAGACATAAATAAAAAGAGCAATGATGAAGACCCTGTTTAAGTAAAGAAGTCAAAAGTTGTATTGAATCTTCCTAGCATAGAAGATTAATATGAAAGGAATAAATAAAAAGTAAAGCTAAAAGATTTAATTGACACAAAAGAAAATACTTAATCTGATATATTTAGTGGATTTATGACTGTCACTATTTTTGATTAAAATAAAGAAATAGAAGTAATTAGAAATGCACAAGATCCAAATAATTTTCACTTATCTTCCTCGAGCGCATTTTCTGCTTACAAAAGAACTTCAAGCCAGTTTTATATTGAAAGCAAAGTCAGAGAGAGCTAACAAAAACTAAAAGGAAAAATGGTCATTCTCGAATAACCCATAAATGATTTTATTGTAATTTTAATAAAAAGTTAATTCGTTTTTTTTAATTTTGAAATTATTTATTTATTTAGGTTGTAGGAAAAAATAAGTTTGAGGAAGAAAAAAAATAAGTTCTACAAAGTAAAAATAAACAGTTTATCAAAATGGTTTAAGGATAGCCTGAGGAATACAGTAAAATTTTATTTCTTTTTATTCTATATATTAAAATCATAACCTAATAGCAGCTAATAAGAGGTATTCCATGCAATCATCTCAATCAAAGGATAATTTTCATACTATGCCAATACCTTAAAAGTAGAATAATTATGAAATTATATCATAGGATTATAATATAAATGAGCTCTCTCGTTCTGGTTAGTACTTTTTTCCAAGTTTTATTGAAAAGTTAGAAAAAGTTTCTACAAAAATAGCATCATGACAAATAAAATAAACAAAAAAGAAAAATATAATTTGTATTCGTAAGAATAATTTTATATTAAAATTTATTCATATAATTTAGCAATTTAATGTGTAAGTTTTTTAAGAATATTTATTTAAATGAATAACTTTTTATTTATGCAATGAAATTTGTCTAAATTAATTAATGAATTTACTAAAGTTGGTAATTACTAAAAATAAAATAAAAAAAATTCACAAAAATATTTTATTTATTTTTTATTTTAAGGTTTAAATATTTTCAATAAATTTAATAAATTGACCATTTATCCTTCAATAATGAAGATATTTTCTGTAATCTATATCATCTATGTCGTGCATTTTGCCTGATTTGTACCTAGAAGACTACTTATTAATAGAAATTTATTTACTTACAAATCAATTAATAATAATTTACATTTTTATTTTGCTTTTGGATAGGAGTTAGGTTTGAAAGCTACTAATTCTTTTATTATATTTGACTTATACTGCTTGTTTAAGAGCTTGTATTGCTTTCTTTGGCGTTTCCACCTTCACTAGGTCCATTTTCAATAGCATTAAGAGATTTCTTACTTTATTCTGGTTTGCTTTCTTCTTCTTCACTCTTTTTATCCAATTTTGAATTAATATCGCTAAAAGTAGTTTTTGCTTCATCTTGATCCTTTTTGAAGTATTGATACAATATGAAAACTACAACAGCTACAATCAATCTATTAAGAAAATATATTAGTTAATACAAAACAAACACTTTGTTGAAAATCAATTAATTACATTGGAACTCTTATATTATTTATGAAATCAGTTTCTTACTTTTGAGGAATAGTTACCTCAAAAACAGCTATATTTGATATGTTTTGATTCTTTTCATGCACCAATATGTAAGTAGAAGTACTTGTAATCTTTTGATATTTATAGTTGAGAGTAGAATTTTAATTTTGCTTTTTCTAGATTTCAATATCAAATGGTTCATATAACTCTGTTTACTCTTGTAAAATATCTGATGTATTAAAAACTTTTAGCAAATTATTTTAGTTATTCCAAATCATTAAATTATTTTTGATAACTATTAAACTAGTATCACTATCAGGTTCATCCGGTAGAGATTTTTTTTAGTATAGCTCAAACTGATTTAGCTAAAAATACAATTAAAAAAATAAAATATCATAATTAATTATTTTAAAATTACTTTTTATTTAATCCTACAAGAATTATCAGAAGTTCTCATTTCAATTAATAAAACTTCGTTATTTTAAGTAAGCAAATAAAAGTGACTATTATATATCGAATCAGGCTATATTTCTTTTATTCCTTCAGCAATCTTAAAATAAAAAAAATAAAATAAATTTAATGAAAAGTATATTTAATTAATTAATTTATTTTACTGATTCACAAACTGGCAATGCAATATCCTATTGAAGTGGATTGAACTAACCAATCTAAGATTTTGCTTTTTATACCATAAAAAATTATAAATAAATCACTTCAAAGATAAAAATATTAATTTTTATGATCATTAAAAAGAAATTGCATGCTTTTTACTTGCATAAATAGTATTAGGATAGGCTTTTAATAGTTATATGATGGGCTCATTAGCTACTTTGACTTTTCCTTTGTAAGTTCCATTTCTAAAATAAACACTAATGTTTTATAATTTAGAATAAATCTAATTGATTTTTTATCATAAATTTTTTTGATTACTGTATGTTACCAAGCTTATCTCCTATCAAAAAAAGTCTTGTACCCTTCACAGTGATTTGCAATATAGAAGAATAGATACTTTCCTGCACATTTTATAAATGAATTAATAAAATAATAAGTAAAACAAAAACAAATTTTAAAATGAAAGAAAGAAAGTATTAAAAGCAATAAGTTTTTTTTACTGGAGGAGAAGTAGAATTAGTGTAATCTATTAGCTTTATAGGTGTTTCTTTTTAAATAACATATTTATATTTTTCAGGTTTTTTAGATTTTGTTAATCTTGACCTATAACCACTAGTTTATTATGTGTTTTAATTATTGGATTATGTAGAGTTCAAAGAAGATTTATTTTTTTAATTCAAGTCAATTAAAGTTGAGTTCAGAGTATTATTTAAATTTTTAGGATTATTTAAATGAATTTATGTCTTATTTCTAGATCTATACTGCATTCCTGCTGCTGTAGTCCCATTTAATGATTTTAAATTTTGTTTTTAATTTTTTTATTCATCAAAGGGTATATCACTATTTCCTATATACTTTTTAGGAATAAAATCGTCTTCATCATCATTCTATGAGTTGAGTTCTTATTCAGTTACATTAAGTTTTATTCTTTTATTTTCTAATCTTCCAATTCTAATAGAATTATCTAATCCTAAAGTTGCAATAATAACTTCATCAACTTTTGGAGCTAATGCAAGCAGGTGAATCCTATGACCAGGAATATAAGGATCAATTAAAAGTTATCCGTGCAAATCGTATATGATTAAAGTATGGTTTTATAACAAATTAGTTATCATATAGCTTAAAGTAGTACCTTAAAAGCTTCTATATGAAAAAGTATTTAAAAATTAAACTTCTCTGACATTCTAAGTAATATTAAATTAGCTTTTTTTAGTAAATTTGTTGGCAAGCTATTTTTGATTCAATTATTTCCTTTGCATACTATACTTTGAATCTTCATATTATTAAAATCTGCTTCCAAATTAATTGTAAAGAATTTTCAAAAGCTTTTCTTCTCCTAAATACTCTTCTAAAAATTCATTGCTGGTATACTAATTAATTTTAAGAAAGCTAATTAAAATCTATTAAAATTACAAAATTGCTTTTTAACATTGTTCACATTTTTAAATCATCTTCTAATTTTTTATTTATAATGAAACACTTCAAAAGTAATATTCTAAATAACTATAAGATTTGAAGTAATTAATAATAAACTAAAATAATTTCATGTTCTTTGTTTGGTTATTTGAAATTTTAATAATTTATAAATGCAATTTTAGTGCCTTGTAAAAAGCTAATTACTAATTCGAACTAAAAAGATATGTGACAATGAGAAATATGACATTATTTAAATTATTTTTGAGTATGAAAACTTTAAAAAATAAAATGATTACTAATAATTAACTTTCGTCTTTCTTGTAGTATTCATGAACCTTTTGTAATATTTCTAATTTTTTTTCATAAAGGTTTAAAGCTTCTTCTGTTAATTTAATTTCTTTAGAAATTAACTCAATATCTGAGGATAATAATGTCTGCTAAATCTTAGAATTAAGCTTCTGTTATTTTAATGTTTGATGCTATTATTAACTTTAATCTACTTGAGTTAGCTGTTCTGACCTTGCCCATTAAAAAATAATAAGAATAAGTCCTAAATATCTATTTAAATTCATGAATATTCTCATAAAATAATAAGTAAAAAAAGAATATTTTTTTAAAAAATCTTTATTATTTCTTCAATTTCAATTAGAACTATTAAAATTTAAAGTGTATTATAAGTATTAAATAAACTATATGATTTTAATTACCTTCAAAGCAATTTGTTTTAAATCTTTCTTGAAATTAAATATAACGAATCTATTAAAAGTAAATTAGATGTGTTTTAAAATATTTTAGTCTTTATTAAATCATATAAAAAATCAAAAGAAAATTATTATTTTATTCAATTCCACTGACTTCTTTTGTTTTAAAAATGAAAGTTATTTTTTAAGTAATATGCGTTTTTTAAATTTTAGCATTATATTTTTAATTAATTTATTTTATTTCATATTAATATTTGTATAATATTATTTTTTATCCACTGTTGTTTAATAGATAGATAGATATATATATATATTACATAAAGATAGAAATTCTTTATTTATTTTAAAGAAAAATCTTTTAGAAAATTAGAATAAAGAAAACTTCTAAATTAAATCATTATTATCTTTTTAAAGTTTTTTGCGCCTATATCAATTTTTATTTGATAAATTATGATAAATGAATTCATTTAATAAGCTTCTCTATATCTATTTGTTAAATTTGTATAAATTATTATAAGTTTTAAGAAATCAAAAGCATGAGTAATCAAAATAGATTTGAAAATAAAGTAGTTAATTTAGAAGGATACTCGCTGCTGAAGCAGAGGAGATAAGAAGATAAATAAGTGGATAAAATATCTTATATTATAAAGTAAATTATTTTTTTTATTTTTTCTTCTAAATTTATTTTTAAAAAGTTAAAAGAGTTTGAAAGTATGTTCGTATATCAAAGATGAATTTCAAATACAATCTCTCTATCAAAATATTCAAGTAGAATTTAAGTAAAATCCAATTCATTATTTTGCAACCAATAATAGATCTATTTTAAAATTTAGAGAATAAACTACCATCTTTGAAATCATATACGAATGTATGTAAGCGCATTTAGAGAACAAAATTTAAATTTCTTAGCTTGAAATCGTGATTGGGTAAAACAATTTATTTCTTAATTAAAGAATAAAATAATTATATATATTAAAAAAAAGAGATTTTTGTTAAGTAGAAATAGACGAACTAAAGATTATTTCTAATCTTATTGGTAGATGTGCTAATTTAAATGTTCTAAAAATTGAAGCAAAGTAATTAATAAATTTTATAAAATTGTTTAGAAAATAAAACTTAATTATTTTTTCATAAAAAGAGTAAACTCTTTTAAGTGTCATCATATTTAAGCACTACTGAATGAAATTAAATGGCTTTAATAACTGAATTCTATTTACTTCAATTTTAGGTATTTCAAATTTATTTGAATGTATTTTACTAAGTAAAATGAAATATTAAATATACTTATCAATTTTTAACAATTACAATCATTAAGAATTTTAATAATTATTTAATTTGATATAGTTGCAATTAAATTTCTGATCAAAGTGCTTTCTTTCTAGGTAGCTAGCTTAAAAACTTGCATTTGCTTACAAATTTAACTTTAAATTTGTCGTAATAATTTTAATTTTTAAATAAGACAGTATGATAATTTTTTTTTAACCTAAGAAACAATTAAATAAGCAACTTAGGAATAGCATAACTAGCAAACTCTTTTAAGTCATGCGAACACTTAACTAGTCTTTCTATTTCACTTTAGTAACATATAATTTTTTACCACAAAAAATAAAAGAATAAATCATATAATTGTATCTTTATAAAAAGTAAAAATTTGTTTGATGATTAAGGTATTTCTTAGATATTTTTAGGACTAAGTGCTTGTAAAAGAATATCTTGTTTGTGCATTAAATTATTGTAATTTACAAATTTTAATCATATGACAAAAATAAAATACTTTTTTTAATAAAAAGTGGTTCAAGAATAGGATTAAAGTCTGTTTAATCCTTCAGCACTTTTTTGTAAAACAATTCCAATTTAAGATCTTTGTCCTTAGATTTGAGGTAAATTATTATAAATTTCAATATATTTAATTAATAAAGTTTATATTTTTATTAGTTTTACAGATATAGAAAATGATTTGTTTTTGTTAATTTCGTAATCAATTAAGGAATTCTCAAGACTCTAAAGCATTGAAATGAATATTTCGTAAATTATTTTTATTTTCTTTTAATTAATTAGCTTTATTTATACAATTTTCTTAATAGAGGAATATAAATTTAAGGATAAACAGTAAATAAATTCTCTGAAAATTTGGCTTAACTCATGACTCTCCAAAGCTTAAGAATTTACTTTTAGTAAAATAATTTATAGACCTATTTAAATATCATTTTTTTAAAAGTTAAAACGAAGCGAAAATAGATACAAGATGTTACTAATATTTCACTCAAAAGATAAAATAATTGCAGCAAATAACAAAATTAGAGCTTGATTTTAGGTAAATATAAATTGTCTATCTATATATTTTAATAATTTATAATTGTATATATAGTGAAAATGTAATTGATCTTGACTGTATCTAGAACGTGTTTTTAAGTCTGAACGAATTACCACAAATATCCATATTTTCCTTAAACTTAAAGTAAGTCTCTTTAGAAATTTTTAAAAAATATTACAACTTAAAATAATAGGAATAACCAGATTGGATTATAATTTTTGCAGTAACTAAATCAATCTCTCAAAACAAATTATCTATTAACTAATTTGAATTTACAATTGATGTAAAATTTATTAAATATTTATACTTTTATAAATCTACATGAATGAATTAGAAAATAGAATTTATCTGACGATTGTTATAGAGAGATGATAAATTTAGTTAAGAAATTCAAGGTTCTCAAAAAGTTGACTCTTACCTTAAAGTTGGTTATTTTTAAATAAAATAAAATTTTTTAACATATTCTATTAATTTAAATAGCCAAAATATGCTACAATAAAATCAAGGTCTTGATAACTTCAAGAAATCCATAAAAAAATAAAAATATCTTATATCTTATCAAATAAGAGTTTGATTTGTGATTTCGTTTTTGTTTGTGTTTTGTAAATAGCTTTTTATAAAACAATAAAAAAATTTTTATTTTCTGATAATAAAATAAGAATAAATGAATGAGATTTCATAAAAATACTATTAATAATTAGGAAAATAAAAAAAATAGATACAACGAAAAAGAAATAAATAACAAGCAAAATACTTTTTTTATTGATTCAACTTTTTAAATGAGCGAATAGTTAACTTAGCCAGAAATAAATTAAAATGACCAATATAAATCTCTTTTGAAACTCATTCCAAAATTCTTATAAAATTAATTCATTATAAATAATAAAACTATTTAAATAAAGGTATATTAGTAATAAGAGTAAATTCAATAAATAGTAGAAACATAGTTTCAAAACGCGAATGTAAATTTTGATTTCAACAAGGTAATTTAAGAAATATACAAAGGTATTATAGGCATCGTTTCAAATTAAAGTCAAAGAATTTTTTATTTCAAAAATGCAGTTAATGTAGATGTCATCAAATAATTTCATACTCCTTTAGATATTGAAGAAATAGAGATTCTGATTGACTCTACAAATTTAAAAATTATTGTTTTATATTTTAACAAATTAGATTAAAACTTATAATGAGTTTAAGTTATCTATATTCTGTAAATAAAATTGAATTTTTATTTCCCTAATTAATCAAATAATATTTTTAGTAAAATTTAAGCTTTTTTAATTTCTTTAATAAATAAATAATTAGTTGAAGTATATGATAAAAGTATTATTTTTAATACTTAATTATTTTGCAATTATACTTAAAAATGCAAGTAAGTAAGTAAGTATCTTTAGTTAAGGTTTATATTTTTCTTATTAGATCTATTTTTATACTACTTCAATATATTTTTTATTTAAAGGTCACAATTAATACTTACAAAAAAGTTTAATTTAAAATATTTTTTAATTCTTATCAATTCTAATTTATATGTATTTCTATGTATTTCAAACAATTTTTATTAAAAAATTAATTTTATAGTAAATAAAAATTCTTAAAAAAAATAATTTCATTTTAATCAAAAACTATTTAGATTCTTTTGTTACAAAAATATTTTTTAACATTATTCATATTTTTAACAAAATAATAATATGATGATTTCAAAAATCTTTATTCAATCATACTTTCTTTTTAAAAATATAAATACTTGTTTTATGAGAGCTTAAATAGTAAGCGTTTTCAATAAATTTAAAAATAATTTATTAAAAGTAAAGTAAAATAATTCTATTGTAACAATTTAATAAATTTTTATTTTTTATTTTTGCTAAATAAATCTTTAACTAAAAAAATTAATTTCTTAATAGACAGAACTATTAAAAATTTAGACCCTCCAAATATTTTTTTGAATTTAAATTTAATTTAATTATTTATTATGAAGGGGGAAATTGAAAAAATAATAAGAAAAAAAAAATAAATAACATAATTAATTAAAAAAAATAAATAAGAAAGAAATCAAATTAAAATAAGGAAATACACAAATAAATGACAAAATAAGTTTTTAACACAATAAATCGCTATCTAGGAAAATCCACAGTTTTTTACGCAACCAAGTCATTTAAAATGTTTCCTTATAAATTGATTTATAATAAAAGGAGTGAAATATATCCCGATCATGTCAAGGTCGAAAAAATCTGACAAGGAATATCAAAAAAATTATCTTCTTTCCCATTTATTCTTATTTTTATTAATATTTATTAATAAATATTTCATATGCTAAAAATGATATAGCTCAAAAGATCTCTCAGTTTTTAAAGGAAAATCTTTGCTATGCATTAAACATTTACCCCTAAGTTTTTAAAAATCCAAATAGATCTTTTTAGTTATATCATAAATAAATTTCAAAATATTAAAAGAAATTATTTAAATAAAATTAGATAAATCAAGACATGAAGAAAAAACACAAAAGCAGATAAAAATAAAAAATTAAAATAATACAAAGAAATAAAAATATTAAAAATAGAAAACACAGACATAAAAAACATGAAAAAGCAAATAAAAATTAAAAATTAACATAAACAAAAGAAATAAATAAATTCAATAAAGATAAAAAAATAACAAATAAATAAATTAAATAAAAAAAATATTTAATATTTTTGAAAGAAAATTCATCAAAATTCAATTAAATTATAAAATCAATTTCGCATTTTTTCATTTTTTTTGTTTGAAATAAATTATAAATTTTAGTAAAACAAATTTGATTTCTTCTTAGAAGTGAAATAAGCAAAGTATTCTTCATATTAGCTTTATGAATTTTATAAAACTTAGGTATTTTTTAAATAAATTTAAGACCAATATAATTAAGAATAATTTGCAAAGATAAAAAATAAATAAATCTTAATTGCTTAAATTTTTAAAAATTAGTATATATTTTATCTATTATAATTTATTTAACAAAAATACAGGCAGTAAGGATTATTAATAAATAAGTCTTGGAGTTTTATGAGTATTTTTCAAACAAAAAATAAATTTGAAAATCAATAAAGTTTATTGATAGATTAATCTATAAAGTAATAAATTAGTATATTTATAATCTAATGACACAAAATTTATATTATTGTTGATATTTAGGTATATATTAAATATTTTTGATTTGGTAGTTGTTTTTATTTATTCTTAAATATCCAAATAGAAATTAAGAAATTTTTATGAAGAAAACAATATAAAGTAAATTAATCTTATATTTGTTAAGAAATGAGTAGAACATAACAACAATAACAAAAGAATAACCAAAAAACACATACAGATATAGGAGGTAATATTCACTTTACATTTTTCAGAATATTTAGCACTCATTATTATTTTGTAAATATAGGCCTTCATTCTCCTTTCTCCTAGCTTAATATGCCATCTACTGCTCATTCTTGCGAGAACCCGTTCCGCTTCATAACAAGAAACACATAGGAATTAACAGATAGTATGATTATTTTTATTGCTCATTTATTAGAAATACTAAATAAAAATTTGATAGAAATCAAATTAATCAAAATATTTTAATTTACCAATTAAACTAAGAAGGAGAATTTCAAGAGAACAAGATGAATCCAGCATCTAGTAATGATGATGATGATATTACAACCCAGCGCAAATTACTTCTTCAAAAACTGAAAAAAATCGAAAGTAGAAAACAACAGAATAATTTTAACTATAAACGTGATAACAATAGCTGGTCAAATGAATTAAATATATGTTCTAGCTACAAATAAGGACAGCTACCTATGAATTAAAAAGAATATTGCTTCACATTTAATGATGAGATGTCTTCGCAGAAGACGCTTACTGAGTAGAGTATAGGAGGATAACTATAGTAGCAGCAAACTTAGCAAAAAAATTCTTACATTTTATCAAGTCCTAATTAAGATGATTAAAATGTATCAGCTATTAAAACACTAAAAGGAGAGATTCATTCAGTTAAGAATTAATTAGAAAACTCATAATTTGCAAACATATAACTGAAGAATGAATTAAAAACAAAGGTATACTTTTATATTTAATTTACTTGAGTTGATTTTGTTCACTTTTTGTATCCTAAATATATAAATCTGTTTTGTAAATTAGTTGAAAAAAAAGCATATTTGTTTCTTAATTCATAAAAAAAGATTCAGTAAATTGAGGATTTGTAAAAGGAATACCAAAAATTCAACAGTTAACAATAGTAACATGAGATCTAAATGTTTAAAGGTGGCCGAAATAATACGTCAAGATCAATAGAATCTGTGAGGAACACTTAGATTTAAAGCACAATAATGGAATATGTAAAGTTGAAATATAGAATTTTTACAGACAATTTTCAACAACAAACAAATTTTTGTTATTGATTAAAAAGAAAATTAAGATTCATACATATAATATCGCATTTTTTTATTTTTAATTTAAATTTTAAATTTTAACGAATATTTTTTTCTTTTCATAAAAATATAGAAAAAATTCATAGATTAATTAATTTCTGAAATTCATTTAAAAGACAATTAGATAAATCTTCTCAAGCGTGAATTAAGCAATTATTGTAAATTAATATCTATTTACATATTTATGTTAATTTATTTCAAATTCATTCATTATTATGTTGGGTAATCTCAATTATCAATATTATATTAATTAATTACTTACTATTTTTCTAATTCTAATTATTCAACTTGAATTTATCTAACAAATAGGTAACATCATCAATATGTAAAAAGATGAAATTGCATAGCTACATAATATTATAGCAAAGAATAACATTTAAATCAATAATCCTAATTATTTAACTTCTGCTGATTTTAAAAATAATAAAGAATGCTAATAAATAGGATTTCTATAAAACCATTAAAAGAATATACAAACTGAGCCTGATTACAGAAACGAAGAGTAATTATTTGTTTTTAAAATCAATAAATTAATTAATATATAAGAGACGAAAAAAATATTAATTAAGAAAGACAGTATTTTACTTACTTTTTTTGTTTTAAGATAAAATATTAGTTATTTTTATATTAATTATTTATAAATTAAAAAGCTTTAACAATTTTGATGAGAGAGATTATATTCATCATATGTAAAAGCTTAAAAAAAAAATTGAAGTTCTCTAAGAAAATAATCTAAACAAAGTAGATTATGAAAGCTAGGAAAATGATGGCTTTAAAACAAAAAAAAATAAAGACAAAGTTCAAATTTAGTTTTAGCAATAATCCTAAATAAAATCAAAATAAAATTAGCAGCCTTTTGGAGCATTTGAATCAATTCCAACATCACTATCTTAAAACACAAAAGAATTTTTAGATAAAAAAGAGAACAATTTTGAAAGAAAAAATTCAAATTGCTCACCTATTTAAAATCAAAAGATTACTCAATATCAATTGAATCAAATAAAAATTGATCCTGCGTTAAATAACTGTCAAGAAACAACTTAAATTTGTTAATTTTCTCTTTTGGATAGTGATTTATTTAACAATCCATAGAAAAATAAAGATTTTGGAGTGATAAATTTAATAGAAATGGAATCATTTAATATTTCCCCTATTAAAAACAAATCCTACAAGCAAGATAAAAGTACAATATGTGATAAATCGTGCTTACAAGCTATCTTAACTATAGAAGAACTTTCACAAAGGGCATTAAAAGTTAATAGTATAACTCCTGCTGTCCTATACAATAGCGCAGAGTAATTTATTTCTTAACTCTTTTGAATAATTATTACTTTTTTTTAATTTAAATAGAAAAATACTAGAGGCTGAAAACAATTTAGAGGATTTAGAACTTAAATAATATAATTTTTAGAATAAAATTAAAAAGGTATTAGAAATAAATACTTTTTAGAATTAGACGGCATTAGAAACATGTAAAAGTCATTAAGCTCAGCAATAACAGGAGGATATCTCTCCTAATTTTTATGATTTTATTTAAGAAATTAAATAAAATGAAGCTATCAAAAATTCTCCTTAATATAGTAGCAAAAAAAATTCAATTTAATAGGAAAAATAATTTTTAAGCAATTAAAATAACGAAGAAATTATTACAAACAAAGTTAAAAATGGGTAAGAAAATGATGTTGAAAGCTAAATTCCTAAGCATAATAAAAAATTAAAAGAATAAGAACTGAGAAGCTCATTCGACAATTTCCAAAAATAAAATAATCATAGCATACCAAATTCAAATATGTTTGAATCTAAATTCTAAGAATCTCAAAGAGTTAATTCCTTAGGTTCTCATCGTTAACCTAAATACTTAAACTTAGAAACAATAAAGCAATATAATTAAGAATAATTAGATTAATAGAATTACTAAGAATAGCACTGCTAAATTTAGAGTAATAAAACTAAAAGTGAAGTCGCTTTAAATTCTTTGAAAATAGAAAACCAATCTCGTAAGAATAAGTAAAAGAATAACAGTGGTTAAATAACCCAGAAAGTACCTCACACCACTAAGGAATCATCAATGAAATTTTTGTTTGACTAATCAGATTGTTCCATGTAATTTAGAGAGGAAATAAATCATTTTAATAGAATTATAGATGGTAAAAGAAGGTCTAGCTTAAATATTGACTAAATAAACTCAATTCAATCAGAAACTGAACATTAAAACTTAAAATAACTTTTGAAACAGTAAACGGATAAAAGTTCAAATTCAAAAAAATATATCAATGAGAATTTAATTTCACCATAAAAAAATTAACAATCCTGCAATTTAAATGAATAAAAATAATTTTTGCAATAAAATAAAGTTCATACTGCTAATTCGAAATAAAACTTTAGCTCATAGAAGGAATTTTCTGATCCTTTTAACTGTGCTGAAAATTTAAGATTCTATGAAAACAATTATCAACCTGCAATGAACCATTTCTAAGATTAATAGCATAGAGCTGGTATTATTGTTTCAAACTCTTAAAACTTAAATTCTTTCGTACAAAGGAGTAATAGAGTTAATTCCATAACACATTGTGAAAACAAATATTTTGTTGGAAGCATTGTAAATTCTAGTTAGAAGACAAATATTCCTCATATTAATGGTTGTGGTTAGGGAAATAAACTTAAAACTGATTCATCTAATTCTGATTTTCACTCAAATAACGAAAATTCTAATAAACTTTTTCACTCTTAAACTAATAATATATTTACCTCCTCCACTCCAAAAGGAAACTTAGAACAAGCTTCCTCTACCTCCAAAAAGAAATTAGGTTGTAATTTAGCAAATGGAAATAGCTATCATATACAGCATAAGCACCATGATAAGTACGACTTTTACTATTCAAACAGTTCAAATAATATAGTAGTACCAAATACTTCTAGCAATTTAACTGATGATCCTTTACTAAACCAAAAAAGCCAAACAAACAATTTAAATTATTAAAATAATAAGAAAAACTCCTTGAGTAGTGCACAGCCAAACAATTTGAGTTGCCATAACAATTTACACTTAAACTAGTCTAATGGTGATCAAACTTATTAAAATAAGATACTTTCTAACAAACCAAAAAAAATAACTGGAATGATTGTAAATACAATTACAAGCAGAGAATATGAAAGCATTGGTACATCTAGCACTTCTTCACAATAAATACGCAAATAAATAGCTTCGACTGTGAATGAAGCAGTTAGAAATTCAACTTAACATCTACAAATAATTTAAAATTCAAACAATCCTTCAAATTGTTAATCTAATCAACAACTTATTTCTCAGTAATTTTAAATCTCAACAAATAGAAATTAAGAAAACTGCTCGATAGATTCTTGCTCAAACAGCAAGCAATATGAAAAAAATATTAATTATGAGCAAAATGTAATATAATAAAATTATCACGGTCTCTAAAAGATATTAAATTAGCACATTAACAAACAGTCTCATGATAACAAAACAAACATACGCTGTCCTCCTTCAAATTTAGAGAGATTAAGAGAAGTTAAAAATAGAGTAAAAGAGTTAAATCTGAATAATGATATAACCCAATAGCATTCTTCACAATATTAACAAAAAGAAAATCTCCCACCTACTCCATCTACTTCAAGTTCTAATTTTATAAATTGCTTGTTGTAAGCTAACAATTATAACGAAGTTTAAAGTACTTAGAATAAAAATTAAAATTACAAAAAAATTGAAAATAAAAGCTTAGAAAATCCCAATAATTTTTCAAGAAGAAGTTCACAAAGCAACTAATTTTCGAGCATAAACAGTAAAGGAAACGGAGGAATAACAAGTGGAAGCTAGCTAAAAAGCGACTAAGAATTAGTGAATGATAAATATTCACAAATCCTCAAAGAGAAGTCTACTTAAAAAAACTTCTTATAATAAAAAAATGATGATAATAACTTTGGTTTTAAGAGAAATTCTTCATATAATATTCACCATTCTAAAAATCAAAACTAAAGTTTGGAATAAAACTCCAGAAAATCTGATTCTGTAAAGAGATCTTAAAAGTCGTGATTGATCATCCAAGTTATTTAAGTAAATAAATTAAATATATATATAGAAAGGAACGTTTTTAAACATTTAGATAGTTTAGATAGCTGATCAGTCAGTTAGTGGCTACTTTGATTTGTCTATTATTTTTCTAAAAAAGTTAATAAATTCTTAACTTACTTTTCCAATTCTTTTTCAAAATAATTAAATTACTAAATTAAAAAAATTAATTTATTACTAAATAATAAAAAAATTAAATAAAGAGTTTTATTGAGAGTTTGTTTATAGGTTATATTAAGATAATATTTTTTGTTTTATAATTAAAAAAATATATGTGTTTGTACAAAAAAATTAAATTTAAATTACTATTTCTCATTTTTTCTTTATGACAAAAAAAAATATTCTCATTTTTAAAAAATAAAATGTTGAGCTCAGTGTAATTTTTGGTATATAATTTTAATTTAGCTACAATCTGATAATCATTTTGAAAATAAAAATTAAATTTTTTTAATTTAACCTAAAAAATATTTGGAATAGTTTTCTAAATTTCCAAATTATAAATAAATAATCTATAAAAGCATATTAATTTAAATTAAGTCTTGTGGCTTGAGGCATTAGCATGTATAATTCAAGGAAATTTTTAATCTTCTAAAGTTTGTAAAAGAATATGCTTCATTTAGTTGAATTGTGCTTACCATATAATTGGCTTTGTTAACATTGATTACTTTCAAAGATTCTTTGTTTTACAAAACTATGTTTATTTCTAAAAAATTATTTGGTACTTAACTTTTTTATTGAGTGATTGAGAATATGTATTTAGCATCATGAAATCATTTATAAGCCTATCCAGCTCAATCAAAAATGAATCAATAACAAACAAAAAAAAAATTAAATAAATTGAAAAAATAAGAAGTTCCTATAAATTTAAGCCTTGATTTCTTTTTTACGAAAATAATTTAATAAATTAAAAGAAAGAAAAATAAATAAACAATTAAGCAAAAATACAAAAAAAGATTATAATGAGTGACAACGTATTTATTAAGATTATTGTAGTAGGTGAATAAAATGTTGGTAAGACTTGTATCTTAGCAAGATATTCCCGTGATTAGTTTGACACCACATGCCCTCCCACATTAGGTATGGACTTCTAATCTAAGTTACTTGAATACAAGGGAAAAACAATTAGATTGTAATTGTGGGATATAGCAGGTCAGGAAAGATACAACTCTGTTTCTAAATTATATGTTAGAGGAGCCTATGGTGCTTTGATTGTAGCTGATGTCAAGGAAGAAGAGTCTTTGTAGAATACTCTTAAGTGGAAGAAAATGATTGAAGACTCTTGCGATCAAAAGAATGGCAAACCTATTCCTATGATCCTCGTTTAAAATAAAGTTGACGAATTAAAGGGAGTAGGACAAATTTAAGATTTCCAAAAAGAAAGTTATTTAAAGAGTTTTGCCTAATAAAACGGATTCAATGGAGCTCTATAAGTTTCTGCAAAAGACAACACCAATATTCCTGATATTTTCAATATGCTTATTGATGAAATTATAAGCTAAGGCTTCCTCAGCAATTTTGATACTAGTGTTCCTGATAAGAACTATAATAGACCAAGTAATAATGATAATTATTCAAATCCTCAAAAAATCACTTCTTAACAATTGTAAAAAAATGCCCAATCTTCCTCTTCTTCAAAGAAAAACTCAGGAGGTTGCTGTTGATAACAAATTTTTTGAATACCACTAAGCTTAACGTCTTTCAACGCATTTTTAAATTATTTGAAAAGATTTAGTTATTATAAATTACTTTTACCATACCATCTGTGCTTTGCAATAAATACCTGATAAGAAAGATAGATTTGTATCAATCAGCAAGTAAAATGAATAAATGAATGAATGATATATTTATTTTGTAAAATATAAATAAATAAATAAATGAATATTTATATAAATTAGGAAAATTAGCAAATAAATTATATAACTAAAAATAAATCAATAACATTAGCCAATTTAAGCCATAAATAAAATTCAATATAAGAAAGACTTAGGTGTATTATAATTTCATATTTACTTAAAAACTCAGTTAGCAAAAATCAGAAAATGATTATATATTAATTTATCTTTTATCCGATTTAGCATTATTAAAGTATATAAATATTTATTTTGTGTCGTTACGCATTTTAGTATCAAATTAATTCATTTTCATCAGTCTATTAGCCAGTTATTTAGTTAATTAGGCTATTCTCCTTCATTTAATGCTCAATAGTTTTAGTTTATCTTTAAGTGCTTCTCTTAAATTAATAAACACTTTTTAGAAGCTAATCCAAGTGTTAAAACATAAATATTAAAACAAATTTTAATTTCTATCAATATTATGCTCGCATATTTCTAATTAATTTTGACCAGGATCTTTTTTGAAAAATAAATTTTGGAATAATTTATTAAAATTCTAATTAAAATATAATAAAAAATGTAATTAACTGTGAAATTTTTGAATAAGCTTTTAAATTACAATCAATCTTCTTTTAAGAGAAATCAATTCATTCATGATTCTTTTTAAATGCATTTCAGAATATATATAAAATAAACAAAATTAATTTATTTATTTAGTTATTAAAATTTTATGAGTTAGAATACCAACAAAACAAATAAATACATTAATTAATTATTATTATTATTAAATTTATTTTAAGTTTTTCATTTGTTATTTTCTGCAATCATTCATTTTGCTAATCATAATACTTTTTAGGTTCTAATTAACAAAAAAATTAATTTAATTAATAAATTTAATAAAAATTAAATAAATTAAATACCTTCTTTAACTCCAGGGTTATACATATTATCCATCATACCTAAGCCTTAATTAATTGGCTACATTTATTGGTTTGAGAAAGGATATTAACCAAATTGTTATCCAAAATGCTATTAAGGAACATAAGAAGCTTAGGGCATTTATTGCTATTACATTTACTATCCTTGTGCATAAGGGTTTTATTAGCTTTATTATAAATTTTGAAAATTAATACTTTAAAATAATTGATATCTATTACTGGCTTGGTGGTATTCCTTGGCTTAAATTATTCATAAATTAATTAGAAAGCATTTAATTTGGATTCATATTCATGCTATTCATTAAATTGTGGTCTTTCATAAAATTTCCCTATTTATTAAAAGTTATAAATAAGCATTACAATTTTTTTGCTAAATTATTTATACTGGTACAATAGGATTCATGCTTGGAAAGGCTTCTTGAGAAGGTTTCTTAATTTAATTGGATGATTTAGAATCTTCTTTTGGCAAAATATCAATTAAGAAATCAAAAATTTCTGTATTATAAATGCAAGCTGCTATATCATTTTTCTAATATTATAATAAATATTTGATAATTTATTTTAAACTTAAATTTTTTAACTTATTTTATTGATTATTTTTTAATTATGAATCTTGATATATATTAAAAAATAGTCATATTCACTTTATTTTTAACACTTGGATCAAGTTCATTTTTAATTGGAATATATTTTATAGAATATTTATATTACTTGGAGTGTACGACGTTTTCCTTCTTCTGTAAAGAGCCAAGCACGATGAGTTAATTCTATAATAAATATTTCACAAGCCTTTGCAAAAAGAACAGGAGCTTCAGCACTAATCATCTTTTATTTATAATTTTATTTTACAAATTATTACCATAATACTAAAATTATTTCTTCTAAAATCTTTTTTAATTGTTCTATGGGAGTGATTAAATAGACAAAAATTTTATATACAGCCAATATATAAATAATTAAATTATTTATAATATTTGAATAAAATGGTTATTTATTTTTTATTAACTATATTTGTTAATCATAATGAAGAAATTAAATAATTTTACTCTAACATCCTCATCTGATTTCATGATCTTCTTGACTCTAGCTAAGGGAAGCTAATGAGATCTAAAGACTTCAGGATCTATTTTTAATTCATAATTATTTTTATTTATTTAAACACAGTCTGAATATTCATTTTCTTAATCGTTAGTTTTTAGATAGAAAAACTTAAAATTGACATTTTTTCTCTTTTTGAATGAAACTAATTCTTTGAAAATAAATCAAAATAAGTCACCTTTCCCCATTTAGTTAATCTCTTCTCTTAAGTCTGCAAATTTATCCTTTAACTTTTTTATGTGTTCGTGCTAGTTGATATCTGACTATATTAATAAAATAATCATTTTAAAAGAGTAAAGATTGAAAACTAGTTTTTCAACTAACAGTTAAATAAAATTTTTTTGTATTGCAAGTAAAAGTATGTTACATTAGGATAAGTATCCATAGGTAGAAGATTGTCGAAAGCACCATTGAACATATTTCCCATTCCTGGTTACATATATTGCTATTAGGGATTCTACACCATCTTAGAAATATCAAAATTAGGTCTAATGTTTAAATTAAGTCATAAAAATATCTTAAAAACTATTTTTCTACAATTATTTTTAAATTCTTTTCTATATCCTTGAAAATAAATTTCAAAAGAATTTTTAAGTAAATAATTACTGCATTTATAAAGATATGTTTTTATAATCTATTTATCTATTTATCTATTTATTTATTTAAAATTCTAAAGCTTTTTGATTTACTAAATATAAGATATTTTTCTTCTTTTTCTTTATTTATTACTTAATAAAAATAATCAATTGGTGATTAGCCTATTGAGATTAGTCTTATTGCTCTAATCAAAAAACATAATCAATAAAGCAATTAAAATAATGTTATAATAGATCTAATAAGATATTTGCATGATGATTTGTGTCTCAAAATATCATACGATTTGAAATGTTAATGTTTACTTCGCTCCAATTTACATTTTTTTTAAATTAAGAAAAACATATTTAATAAGTCAATTCATATTCTCAGTTAAAATATTTTACTTAGTATATTCATAATAATCTAAAATAAGAAATATAAATTGCCATAATACCATAACGAATATCAAAAGATCAAGCCTAAATTACGTTAAATTTTATTCACTTTTAGCAATTTGCAAATATAATTTAACTATTTTATCTAACTATATTAAAATCTATTTATTCATTTATTTTTTAATAATTTTATTTAAAAATAACTAATATTTTCATCATAAATGTTTTAGTTAAGGGTTCAATAATTAGAAAAGTTTTAGAAGGCAGACAGATAAATAAAAAAATTTATTTTTTCAAAAAAATAATTTAAGAATTTCATGTAAACTATATTCATCAAAAAAGATTATATATAGTGTATTTGTTTTAAAAAAAATTTGAATAAATTTTACAAGAATGCATCAACTATCAAAGAATTTAATTTTATACAATTTATCTATCAAAATTTATTTAATTTCAACATCATAAAAAATAACAAACATAATTTTATTAAATTAAATTTTATTGTATTACCCTTTTTAAAATACCTTGAAAATTGACAAAAAGTTAGTATATATTACTGTAAAAAAGTAGCAAGCTATTTTAATTTATAAGATTACATTAAAAAATATTTTCAACTCCAAGTAAGCAATGGATGAAATAGAAAGATGAATTGGTTTACTTAACTCAAATTGTAGACTTGAATTTATAAATAGAAGTGAATAATTCAGTAACCAAACATCAAAAAATATTAATTTTGTAAATTATAATACTAATATTTATTTAATTCTAACTTGAAAATTTCAGATATATCTAAAGCAATCAAATAACAAATAATTATTTTAAAAAATCTCAAATTTTTAAATTTAAGTTAAGTAAACTATCTTTATCTTAATATTTAATAAGTATATTAACTGATGTTTTGAACAGTTAAAGTTATATGTCTTTTAATAAAAAGGCTAGTAATTCAGGTAGAAATTTACATATTAATTAATTTTAGTATCTTGCTTAAAATTGTATAATTTACCTTAATTTGAGTAAGTTCAGGTAAAGAAAACTGCATCAAAAATAATTATTTTTTTATTGGAATATGTGATCATAGATTTATTTATTTTTAAAACACCAGATCAAGATTTCACCTTAAATTAAGAGGGAAAAGAAATGAATTAATAAATATCCATAAAAAATTACAAAAATATTAAAATTATTAATATCCAATCAAGAAATTTAATAATTTGTTTACATCCATGATAAAGAGAGGTATTTTAATATTAACCATAAAATAAAAAACACTTATTATAAACAATTATTGATTTTGATTTTGAATATACTGCTGATCTTAAATTAGTTATCCCTTTATGGCTTTTCAAATATAGTTTTTATATTAAAAAAAAAGATTAAATACTATTTAAACTAATACTAGCAAATAAGTATAATAAAAAGCAGAGAAATACAAAATTAACTTCAATAATTATAGTCTATTTGAAACATCATTTTTCATAATATAAATAAAAAACAATTTAGGTATGCTTAAATTCATACTTGCTTTAGTTCTTTTAGTCAAACTTTGTTATTCTACTTGTGATTAGTACTGTGGTAATTGCAACTATACTAATAACACTTGTAACATTTGTGTAAATCAAAAAGTACTTTATAATGGAACTTGCTTAGACAAATGTCCTCCAGGTTATTACTAAAACACCGCTTTTGTTTGTCAGAAATGTGGCTCATCATGTAAAACATGCTAAAATTCTGCAGATAATTGTACATCTTGTTAGTTTACAACTTAATTTTTATATCAAGGAAATTGTCTGTAAAATTGTACTCCTAATACAATACCTACTTACGATCCAGATTAATCATATTGTGCAGACTGCAACCCAAAATGTAAGACTTGTTAAGCAAATCCTAATAACTGCAGTTCGTGCTCAGATAGCACTTAATCTTTGTACTTAGGCACTTGTATATAAATTTGTCCGGTTGGAACATATTCATAATAGGTTTTTAGTTCTTCTGGTAACTATAACTAATGCGTCCAATGCATGAACAACTGCTAAACTTGTTTGTCAACTAGCAAATGTAATTTATGCTAACCAGGTTGGTATTTAACTAACGATGGTACTTAATGCGTTTAATAGTGTCCAAGCGGATTTTTAAGCGATAATATCTATAGAAAATGCTATAGGACCTCTTGTCCTGAAGGTATGTTTGATTTAACAACATTAAATACTAACTAAGTAGGAGTATAATGTGCAACAACTTGTCCTAGTGGTTTTTATATAGATTCAGATAAAAACAAGTGTGTTTAATGTAATAGTGCATGCTAAGAATGCACAGGTCCTGGTGCTGGAGATTGCTTAGGTAAAAAAAAATTAAAATTACATTTTTATAATTTGTTTTTTTTAAGATATGTAAAATACAAATTCATTTTAACTAAATTTTTTGAATAGAAATAAATAACTAAATAAAGGATATTTAAAAATTATATTTAATATTTAGTTTGCCATGAAACTTGCCTCACTTGTGCAGGATCAGGGTTTGATCAGTGTCTTTCTTGTACTTAAGATAGACAATTTTACTAAAAATTTAATCAGCCTGTTGGCGAATGCGTTTGCAGTTATGATACAACAGAAGAACTTTAGCAATATTGTGAAAGTAATTAGTGAAACAAATTCAAAAAATATCAATAAATTAAATTTGGAAATATTAATCAAATATCTTCATTTAAATCAATCCCTAATTTTTATTTTTGTTTTAAATATTTTGAGATTTATTTGAATAGTTAGTTATTAATTTAATGTAAATTATTTAAAAATATAATAAAATAGATACGGATTAAGCATCTTCAATAAAAAAGGCTTTAGCAGGATTAACCATAGCTAACTTTGTTATGGGAATATTAAACAGTCTTTTTACAAGAAATTCCATTTTAATATTCAGATATATTGATTTTTCTCAAACTCTGTCTTATTTAGGTTACATAACTTTCAAATACCCAATTCAAATGGATAGAACTCTAAAAATATATGAATACTTTAACATTGGGTATCTATTACCTTAGCCTAATCATTTTGCTGATGATGTTGTAATTTCTAACTAATAGCTTCAAAACAATCCTTATAATTCTTAATTGGCTTATAAAGGAAATCCATTGTTTTTTGTTAACAAAAGAGTTCCATTTCTAATTGTAAATTGCTTTAGTTATTTCATGATCTAGCTCATTTGTCTATTTTTTATACTGGCTCTTCGTTATATAGTGTATCCTATTACTAAATCAGATAGAATTCTAAAATTATCTTAAAAATTGCCTCATACTCTACTTATTAATTTGTTTATTTTAACCTCTTAAGAAATGATCACAGACACGTTTATTCAATATACTAATGTTGAATATCAAAGTGACTATGCTATATCTATTGTTTCAACAATTATGGCTGGAATTTTTACAGTAATTTATTTACTTATTTTTCACATTATTATTTTTATTTGATAAGAATAACTTAAAAGTGTTCATAATTTATGAGATGAAATATTTAAAAATTTTAATTAAAAATTAGGTTGTTATTTCTATTGGACTAATTTATTTGTTGTACAGGACAAAAAGAAAGTTAGATTTAGATTTAGAAATTGATGTTTTTGATGCAAAAAGTAAGTATGTTAGACAAATAAGAGAGTAAAATGGTATTCCAAGTCACTTTTAATTGGTGATATTATTGAGAAAGATTATCTATAGTATTGCAGTAGCATTCCTTTATAAATATCCATAAGTTCAGGCTTCTATAATTTTAATCATACAATGTCTTCTTTTGGTTTATTTCTTTATGAAGAAACCATTTTAATAGTCTAAGTACCAATATTTAGCTACATTTATTGAGCTCTCATTTACCCTTTTCTGTCTTATCATGTTTATTTGCTCTTTCTTGAGTGGCTCTAGCTTAATAAATGGTATGGTAGTCTTTGGAGCATTTTTAATTATTTTTTAAATTATTGTTTGCATTCTTGGTTCTTATAATTTCTTTTTAACCACATTCAAGCTATTAAAAATTTAAGAATAAATTGAAATATAAGAATTACATAAGTAATATGATGCTGTCAAAAAGTTAGAATACCAAAATAAAATTAATTAGAAATTATCAAATAATATTTTTATTGATTAATCTAATATTTTACATGATAACGATAATAATAGCCCAACTAAATTGCTAAAAAAAGCTCAGACTGCCTCATAAGAAAATGGATATTAAGCTAGTGTCTTCTCATAATCTAATATTCCTAATAATAATAATAACAATAACTCATTTTTACTTGGAGGAAATACTTCTTATTTCTAAACTAGACCTAATTTGCACAACGAGTCATAAATTTTATAAAATTAAACTATTTTGGAAACAAAAACAGTAGATTAACAACTATCACCTATAAAAGGACTGCAATTAGGGTATTTAAGCTATTCTAATAATCCAGAGAATGAATAAAGCCCGATAAAGAAAACACAAATGAGAAAACTATTACCTCCTATTAATCAAGGCTCTGAATTAAAAACATCAAACACATCTAATATACTCTCAGATTTATCTAATCCTACTTCTAATATTTTCAAAAAATCCTCAATTATCTTAAATCCAGTACAGTAAAATAATAGTACTACTAATAAAAATAATGGAGAATATATAAAAAAGAGAGTAGCTCAACTTAAGAGTTTGGAAATAGGTTCACCTAACAATGGATAAAATTTAAAAAACGAATAATAACTTTAAGAAATTAACTCTTATATTGTAAACAATCCTCCCCCTGATAGCTCAAAAGTTCAAGTTACAGCCAGAGAAAATGAAAATGCTTCTTATAGAAATAATTAGATTTCAAACAATGTTTCTTCAAGATCAGAAACTATTATTTTGTAATAATAATTAAAAAACTAGCAAAATTTAGAATTAATTTAAGATGGTGAAGATAGCGATGAAATGGAATCAAATAACAATAACGATTCCATGAAAAATAATATGTAAAATAAAAAACATATCATATAATCAACCTATAAAAAATAATAAAACAATCCTAAAGAAATAACAATTTTATCATGAATATAATAGATAAAATCAATGATTTATAGTATTTATTTCTAAAATATGCTATTAATTATATAAAGATAAAGTCTATTGTTTGTTTTTATAAACACAATATTTTATTTTTTAGTAATAATCATCAATTTATAAATAAATATACATTTAACTTACAAATAAATAAATAAAATTTTAATCTTTTTAATTTTTTTAATTGAAGATTGAAAAAATAATTTATATAAATATATATATTTATATATACCTTACCATCTTACAAGCAATGAGTTTTAAAAACCATGTTTTTAAAAGAAAATAAATGAACTTATTACTTGATTATTTTTTTGTAATAATGTTTAAAGTATCTCTTTTAATAAGATTTATGATATATAAGAAACTAAAAATGTTTGATAATCTAAAGATACTTATTTTCCTTAAGAATTATTTTATTAAATAAATTTTTTCAAACAATACTTATGAATATATGTTTATATTTACTATGAAAAATGTTTTAATTCAACCTTATTTCAAATAAATAATGTATTGATTTTATATTCCAAATTTAAATTCAATATAAATAATAGCTTTTATCAAAACATCAATAAACTTTTTCCCAAAATTTAACCAGCTTTTTCTCAATATAAATTTTGACTATTTTTATATTTTTTGTCAACTGAATTTTAATTTTTCATCTAACTGTGTACAAAAATATGCTTTTCAAATATAATTTGCAAATTTTGTTTTTAAATCATTAAATAGTTAAAATAAAATAATACATCTACAATAAAGAATTAATATAGGCAACTAAAAAAATTTTTTTTACTTTAAGATGAAAAAATTGTTTTGTTTAATTTTACTATGTTTTACATACTCTACCTAAGCAAGCGTTGAATACATATACTCACCATTATTTACTAGTTAATTAACCTCAAGCGATAATTAATGGACTCCTCTTCAGATTAGTATTTAAGCATAAAATGATTTAGTGTTTATATCATCTGGAGTGGCAGGAATTTCAATTATTGATAAATAAGGAAGCAAAATATTTTATATATAAAATATTGGATCTAATTATATCTAATATTTTCAAATAACTGCAAGTGGATAGTACATATTTATAGGATTTGAAAAATAGTTAATTACAGTTGAGCTTAATTTCATTTTTACAAACTAGAACTATTTTGAAATGAAGGCATTTAATACACTCTAGCAAATAAGTTTAAATACAGGAATTCTCTAAATGCTCTATAGAGAAAAGAATGAAATACTCATTATTGCAAGAAAACAAGGAATAATTGATATCTATGATACTTCTATTAAATCAAACATTTATTAGATTGGATCATTGAAGCTTTCAACTGAGCTTATTAATGGTATTTTTCTAAGCAAAGATGGAAAATGGCTTTATGTGGCAGCTGATACGCTAGGACTACGCATCATAAAATTAGAAGAAAATTAAAAACAGAATTTCAATAATTCTTAGCGTGCTATTACTTTGCTTGAAGCAGGCTTCGGAAATTTTGGAGTACAAGCAAATTAATGTCAAGCTACTTCTGATTTTTTTGTTTACTGTTTTGATTTTTGGTAGGGTTTCTTTTTCTCAAATTCTTAATCAGTTGTTAGTAGCAATAGTAATTAATATCCAATACAAATAAATTTTCAATAGTATTGGCCATTCTAGTAAACTATTCCTACTATTTAATCTTTATTAATAAATTCAAATGAAACATTACTACTTATTGGCATAAGGTCACAAGGAATTTACATTTTTGATATCAGAGTAAAAAATTAAATTAAACTATTTTAGCATATAAAATCAGACTCACTCGCCTACTCAATTATTTTTTCTTAAGATGAATAGTACTTGTACCTTTCGAATGCCTCCAAGCTCTTGATTTTTTCTCAAATTGAAATAAATTTGAACAATAATTTCCCTAATTTATTTAACATTCATCAAGCCAAATTCGATGAGTTAGATAATATTTTATACAAATGGAGATGCTATACAGATTAAACAAACTCATATTTAATTGGCGCCTTTGATTAAAATGGCGTTTATGTTTTTCCATATCATTAAAATCCTTATAAACTAAACGTTTCAAACTACTAATAATATCCAATATTACAAGATTCAATTTAGTTTGAACCCTTTGGAAAGTACATGATAATTCCTTAATACTTTTCACCTCAACTAATAGGCGTTTATTAATATAATCCTATTGATAATAGTCCTGAATAAAGTAAAATATCATTAATGAACATGTAGCTAGTAAAGTCTTATCAGGCTAATATCACTTAAATTAGTGAAATGATAACATTTAGCCAAGATAGAACTTTTGCAGTTTAAGCATATGCTAACGGACTTATACTTTATAATTCAACTGATATTTTTAATATGTATGTTTATTCATAATGGTTGAATCTAGACTTTATGATAGGTGAAAATCAAGGAGCATGTATAACAAAAGATAACAACTGGGTGTTGAGTACAATTAGACAGTTTGGAGTTTACTTATTGAATGTTTAAAATAAAACAAGTCCAATACTCACTGATTACTACATCAATTTAGGAGGAGAGAGTGTTTAAATTTCTGAAATAAGCAATTATGCTTATTTGGTAGATGGTACTAAAGGTTTTGCAATTATAGATACAAATTTTTTTCCAAAAATCAATATAATTTCTAGAGTCGATTTACCAGGGTATTCAATCACAATGCTTCCTTTACAGGATGAGCAGTATATATTAGTAACATAAGAAGAAGAGGGTATGGTTACTCTTATAGACATCCGAAGTAAATAATATCCTTAAATAATTAATACAGCTATTTATGAATCTTAAACAAGCTAAGCCGTATGTCTGACTTAAACAAAAGACTATATCTTTCTTGGAGTTAGTTTTGGCCTTTTACTGATGCCATTATTTAGCGATGTATTGATACATACTGATGTTAATGCAATAATAATTGACTAAATAACAGGAGCTACTCAAATTTAGTAACTATAAAAAACAAGCATTATAAGAGGCAAAATTAACTTTGAGATAAACGATGAATATGTTTTTTCTGTTGGTTAAACTATTTAATTTAACTTTAATATTTTATACCCGAAAGCTCAGAATATGCATATAAGTAAAATTTTCTTTCTCAAAAATGATTAGATGATTGATCTACCATCTAATTTTTCATTCGATCTATTCTCTTAATCTCTTTAATTTTATGTTGATCAATCAATGCAAGCTAATAATGAAAATTTCCCAAATCTTAATATTATCTTATTATGGACAGTAATTCCTCTTGATAAAACTTCTTTTATATACTCTTCTGAAGACCCTGATGATTTAGGTGTTACAAACTCAGCCCAATCTGTTCTCATTTATCAATATCTCTTTGATTAAGGAGTGGTTGATTCTAATAACATTATTAATGAAAATTATGACTTTAACAAAAATTTAAAATTAAATAGTGAATTCAAAAGTAAACTTTTAGATCCTAATACTATAGATTAGCTTACATACTAAAAAATAATGTCATAAATAACTTAAAAAATAAACTTAACTATAAAAAGATCTTGCTATGTTAACCCTATAAAATTTTATGTACTTTCATCTTTATCATTTAATAACTTTAACTCAGACTAGTTTATCAGTACAAATTAATAAAATGATATTTCTATAATTATACAAATTAATAACTCAGATGGTAAACTAGTGTAATTAATTGAAACAAGTGTTGTGACATACATGACAGCTTAATAAGACTAACTTAAAATATAAGGAACACTCTCAAACGTGAATGAAATTTTAAAAAAAAGGATAATATTTGCTAATAGCACTTAAATAACAACAAATTCTCCAAATGTAACTATAACAATAGTAGATAATATTAACTATCCTTTAGTTTAGACTTATACTATACATGACAGCAATTTTATAGTATTAAAAAAATAATTGTAACTAAACTAACAAAGTAATTTGTAATACCAAATATAATAATAATTCTACAATAGTATTGTTGACATAGAATCAGAAATTAGCATTTCTTTTTCGGCAACTACATTTTTTGTATCAGATAGCTAAGAAATAAGCTATTCATACTTTTACATGAATGGAAATGGTGTCTATGAATAAATTCCTCCTAATTTGTGGTTATAGTAGCAAAACGATAAGCTCAATTTCAAAGGAACAACTACTTCAAGTATGTTTGGATTGACTTATAGATTTAAAATAGTGGCGACAGATGGATACACATAAACCGAAGATTATTTTTATTTGATAATTAAAGGAATACCTTTTACATATCTCATAAACATACTATTAAAAATTTTAGGTCCTCTATTTGCAATTTTAGGAGTTTATAAAGAGAGAATTTCTTTTTACAATATTATTTTTAAAAATTTAGTTACATTTTCTGAAGAATAGGTTAAAAGTGGCTTAGAATTTCATAAAGAAATAATATTTCTTGGATAAACTCAAGAAGCAGCAAAAAATATTTTGAATTAACTTTTCTCAATAGCTTTGAACAAATCTAACAAAAATTAGGATTAAAAAGTGTAAGAATAAAATAACTAAAACAAGGATGAAAATAATAAAGATGAATTTGATTAAGAATCTATTTAATCTTTTGAGAGTAATGATTTTACTAAAACAAAATAAAATAAATTTTCTAATTTTGCTGATAGAGTCCCTAAAAAAGAAATTAATAAAGTAATTTAAAATATAAATAAGCTTAAAAAACATCAAAGAAATTCTGTTTTAGAGTAAAAGTACTTAGACTTGGATGGAAATCTTATTTTTTCTGAAGTAGTAAATGATGTATTGACATATGACATTTTTCCAAAAATTAATTGCTTCGACTCAAAGCCTGAATTTAGATTTTAATTAACCAATTAAAATTCTAGAATACACAGAGCTTTGAGAGCACAAGTATCTAGATATTTTTTGAACTTAGACAAAATAACATTAGAAATATATGAATATATAAAATTTTATTGTTACTCAAACATTTTAAAATCATAAAATGATTGGTTTAAAGCAATAGTTACAATTAAGTATAATACTAACGAAGGAATTCAAAATAATGACAATGTCTTTCCTAATTTAAATTTGGATATCTAAACTTTATTTATAATTTTATAAACTCTAAAATTATTTTAAGATTAAGATATCCAAGAAACACCTAAAAATTTTTCATCACTCTAATAAATAATCTAAAATAGTAAGTTATATATTAATATATTTTTGTTAAGAGAAGTAATTTTTGCTGATACTTTAGGCTTTTAATAATAGAGTGTATCAAGATTTACTCCATCAATTGGATTATCAATTCATTTGAATGACTATGACATTAGCCAAATAGTAGCATTTAAAAAAAAGAAAGTCAGGAGTTGGATGAAACCAATTTTAAGAACTTTAAATATGGAATATTCTAAATATGGTGTATCAAAGAATATGAGATTACCCTCATGGATTTAAATGGAATAAAAAAATGGAAAAATTATATTACATGGTACCCCATAGCAATATGATTGTGAAACAATATTAATTAGAATTTATGAATCTAGTGGGTATGTAGTTCAGCAATTTATTTTATAAGTAGAATATAATGAAAAATAGGGAGATTTAAACATAAATAAAAAGGAAATCGATGTCATATATACAGTAGCTGATGAATAAGAGTATTCAAATTATTTTAGTTAAAGAAATAAAAATGAATCTTTAAACTAAAGTTCAAGAACAATATAACCATTTTTAGGTATCAGTAGATTTCATAATTTTTAAAGAGAAAAAAATACACCTATAACTCCTAAATCATAATATTAAGAAAATATAAATAGCTTTATGAATCAAAAGGAATCTTTCACATGTTTTTCACCAAAAAGTTTGTAAAATGAATATGAATTCAGGACTAAATGTAATAGTAAAAATGAAGCTTCCAATTAAATTAATTTAACAAAATATAATGAATTATTGAGAACAGAAGATATCAGATTTACATCTATAACTCCTAGATCATAAAATTAAGAAAATATAAATATCTTTATGAACCAAAAGGAATCTTTCACATGTTTTTCACCAAAAAGTTTGTTAAATGGATATGAATCCAGAAGAACTTAATGTAATAGTAAAAATGAAGCTTCGAATTAAATTAATTTAACAAAATATAATGAATTATTGAGAACAGAAGATATCAGATTGAAAACTTAAACTAATTAAAGCTATAATTCATTGTAAAGGTATTATTTAGACACTTTTAAAAGCTAAGAATCTGAAGATGAAGTCATAGAAAAAAAATAATACAAAAACTCCAAAGATAATTGAAGTTAGTGAAATTTATTTACTAAAAATTAAAATTATTTAAGTTCGCAAAATTAATAATTATATTTATTTATCAAATAATTAATGTATTTCATACAAATACTATTCTTATACTTTCATTAATATAGCTTCATTTATTTCTCACCAAATATTTTACCTTATTTTTCTCAAAGTGTTAAAAAATGTTTAACTTATTTAAATTTCAATAAAAATATTTCTATTTTGATGCTAGTAAAGCATAATTATAATTTTAAATTAAAAATTTTTTATTATACTGTAAATCATCATTAATTAAACCCACCATAGTCATTTTTTTCCATTTAAAATCCACCTATATTTTTTAAATTTTCAAAAAATCAATTCATAAATTAAAAATCTATATTTGAGGAACAACAACATCTAATAAATAAATAAATCTTCTTTCCTTTAGTTTTCTTATTTTTTACTTAACATTTAATCATCTTTTTGCAGGTTCCTCCAAATTTGTGATTTCTATAATAAAGTGATAAGTTTAATTTCAAAGGTAAGACTACCTCAAGCATGCTTGAATTTACTTATTGATTTAAAATATTACAAAAGAAGGATACACATAAGATGAAGATTATTTTGATTTGATAGCTAAAGGATTACCATTTTCATAACTTATGAATCTAATATTGAAAAATGTAGGTCTTCTAGTTTCTATTTTAGGAGCTAAAAAGGAAAGAAAATCTTATTAAAATTATAATTTTAATAATTTGGTTATATTTTTCTATGAAATAAGTATAATTAGGGTAAGTATATCATAAATAAATTATATTTCTAGGATAAACTAATAAAACTGCAACAAATGTTTGGAATCAACTTTTCTCAATAGATTTAGCCTCAACAAAAGGAATTATTTTTAACAACTCAGTCAATTTATAAAAGTTTAAGAATTAATTAAATAAATTTCCAATAAACATTATAGAAAAAATTTTTATTTGTTTGATAAATTAAAATAAATACGCATTATAAGGATAAATGATCTAATTATTGTAAATATAAAAAAAAACATTTTAAATTTTAAAATAGATTTTAAAAAAATTGTAAAACATTTATTATAATTGACAAATACAAAATATAAAATTTTAATGTAATAAATGAATGCATTATTTTTTTATTTTGTGTAATTTAACCTAAAGAGTAATGTATAAGATAAGTATTTACAAAAAGATATTAATTATTCATATTAAAAATCAATTATTTATGTTGTTGCTGTTGGAATTATTTTTTTCGTTAGTGTGGCTAGAGGAGTTAAGTGATTTTGAGTTTATTCCTGATGAGTTATTTTATGATGCATAATATTTCTACAAATAAAGATTTTTAGTGTTAAAATACTGTACAATAGCTTAGTCCTCTTCTTCTTTTTAATTTTAATCAATTGTGCTATTTTCATTGGTTGGTTATTGATTTTAATTTATAGTGTTCTATTAATTGATATTGTTTTAATTAAAACTTGCATTATTTAAAATTTCTACTTTATTCTTCAGATACTCTTCTGTAAGTGATTATACTTCATGCTAGTTTCTATTTGATTGAACTTTTTCTTAGTTCATGTCTTCTTGCTTTTCCTATGATTACTCTCTCCTTCTGTTGCTTTCACTAATTTCTTTAAATTCGGCTTCAATATCTTCATCTTCGTGTTCACGTTCATTTTCATGCTCATGCTCATTTTCAATGTTATCAGATTTAGAAAGTGTTTCGTTTTCAACAAAAATTTTAGAATTGTCACTCTTTTAAAATAGCTCATGATTTAAATTGTTAGTGTCATTTACATTTACTTCTATGACTGCTGAGGAGGAATCTAAATTATTACTACTTCTCTTCATCTTGTTAGAATTATTTTAGCTAAAATTACTACCATTTTGATTATTATCATTGTTCTAAGTTGTGTTATCTGCTGATGAAGCTTCTTCGTGTATTACTTAACTGTTGTTGATTAAATAAGATCTATTATCAGACTTTTCATTCACATCTAATATTAACATATCATTACTATTCATATTATTTTTTTGATGGTTTAATTAGAGATAATTATTGTTTCCATTTATTGGTTAAACACTGGAACTAATAGGAATAGTGCAAATTCCCTAACTGTTACTTGGTGATCTTATATCAATAAGTTATGCAGAGTTGTGTAAATTTTAGCTATTCCTAATATCTGAGTATTAATTCATTAAATAATTCATATTTGAATTGAACTCAAAAGTTTGTATATTTTCTTAATTATTTGTCTCAAAATAAAGTGGGTATTTTTACTTTTCATTTTGTTGTTGCTGTTATTGTTATTAGGTAATATGATAATTAATCTGGCATTAATTATCAATTTCTTTTTAATTATTCTCACAAATTAACCTAGGTTGTTGTAATTAATGTTGCTAATCTTAATTCTAAAAATCGTAATCTTCATGCTATTCATTTTCTGAGTAGTAATAATCTTCAGGTAATATCTGTTAATTCTAAGATAAGCTTCGCCCCATGTATGAACCAGATCTCATTTCGCTGCCTTATGTCTCCTCTTGTTAGTTATTTTGATTTTAAATGTGTTTTCTTAAAATATAATTAGAGGGATAGTTTTAACTATTTTGATTATTTTACAGAAGGTCACCTTAAGAATTTTGATATGCTGTCATAAAGTTGCTTCTTTCACTATTTTAAAACTCAGCTTCAATATTAACTGCTTATTACTAGTTCAATTAATTTTTTAGCTGCTAATTTTAAGTTTAAATTATTTATTGCTACATGTAAGGATATTATTTATGCTGCTATTCAAAATCCTCTGTTAATAACTAATTTCTAAATTCCATCATATTTAAATCAGGCATTTATTATTATTTAAAATATTATTAATCATGTGATTTGTTACGTACCCTTAAAAAATTGTTATCTGGAGATTGTTCATTATCAGTTTCATGAGTAAATAATCTTTGATTTTACTATTGCTAAAATTGTTACTACTATTATATCTACTGCTACTATTGAAGTTGTTATTGCTAAGGATAATTCTATGATTTATTTAAGGAGTTGTCTAATGAAAGAAGATTTACATATTCAACTTAATGAGCAGGTGGAATTTAGAAATTTCCATTTGAGCTTGAATTACCTGCATGAGAAAAAAGTTAATTGAAGTTAGATATATTCTAGTTACCACCAATAGAAATTGTTGATGTTGAGGTATTTAGGTTATTAGAAAAGGGTATTTATCTAAAGATGACACTTTCTTTAGCTTTTAGCAGCTCAGTCTTTAAAAGAGCATCTTTAAGTAAATACTCTAAGCATTCCTTTTCTTGCTACGTTTCACTTAACTTTTTATTGAGTTCATCAATTAATTGATTATTAAAATCTATTTTATTAAAAAGTTTTATTTTAATTTAATAATTTTATTTGGCAAATTTTACTTTTACTGTCACTTCCCTTTTTGTAGAATTTTTCTATTTATTTATTGAACAAATAAAAAAGTTAAAAATAAATGAAATATTTAAAAAAAAGCTATTTTTACACTAGAAAAGTTTTTAGTATTTTGCTTTTTCTAACTTAATTTCACCTTCCAATTTTTTTATCAATTTTGTTTCCTTTTTTATTGAAAAATAATTTTTTAATCAGTTTTATTAAAATTAATTTACCAATTCTCTTAGCTTTTTATACCTAAAAATTTCTTCTTATTGCTCTTGCACCTTAGTAAGGAGAATGGAGTTTTCTTTTTCGAGCTTCATTAAGCTTTGTCTTATAACTATATCTCTGTGTTGAAATTTTTCTGTAATTTCTTTTATCTTTTACTCATAAATCAGTATAATTTCTTAATGAATGTCATTAGGAATGTTTTATATAAGGTCTTAGTAAGTAGTGCTCCCAGTTGGAAACTAAGCATTTTCAATATATTGCATCATATTTTCTCTTTCTTTTGCTGACATTAGCTATACAGAATCTGATTCTGTATTAATTGTCATCGGAGCCATGTTGCTTCCTTAAAAGTTATTTTAATTTGTCATATAATTTTATTTTATATTGCTACTTTAGTAATTAGAAACAGCCAAATCGTCACCAGGAGATAAAAGTTCTTTTGGGTTGTTTATGTTTGAATTGATTCGATTTCCAACAGAATTATATTACAAGTCATTTTATATATTATTGTTTGTGTTAAAGTTTTCCTCTTTTTCTTTTTCTTTGAGCTCTTCTTCACAATTCTAGGTATTTTATCCATTATCTTCATGATCCAAAGCAGTTTATTCTGGAATAATTTATTCGTTTTATACAGTATTTATGAACTCTCCTTAATCTTTGCTTTTTAAAATTTGCTAAATATTAAAATCTTTTTATGTGTTGTTTATCATTTTAGAGTTATTCTAGCTTTCTGATTAATATGCTGAAAATTTTTCTTTATATTATTAATATCTCTGCTAGAAAGACTCTTCTATCCTAAGCTACTCTTAAAATATGCTATTATTTTCAAAGTTTCTTGCTTAAAGCTGAGCAGAGAGAGAAGATTAATTAAACCCTGGTTGTGTTTAGTTTGTATTATTGTTGCTAATAAAATTAGACTAATTAGCTATATTTTAGTTTGAGAGAGTCAAATTCGTGTTTTGCATCGAAGCACCTGCTTACGTAGAACTATTGAGAAATGAATATCCTTATAAGCTATTTGTATTATTTCCATTCTAAAATTAACTATTTTTTCCATGATTTAGACCTAAATGAGCATAATAACTTTGTAAAGTGCTTGGCTTAGAAGACATTAATGACATAGTAGGAGAAGCACTACAGTCGAAATTTTTATTAGAAACTTGCTAATTATTTTATTGTTGTGTCTATTATTGCTACTTCATTCTCTATTACAGTAATTACTGTAATATTTTATTAAGCTATTTGTCTTTTATAGAGTATTCTTCTAAATTTTAAGGGTTCTTCTAAATAATTGATGCAAGCCTGTTGTTTATAACCTCACCATTAACACTTGCACTGCTTTACTAGCTGGTGCTAAACATTGCACTATTTTTTTACTATTGAGAATTTTATATTTAGGCTTAAAGTTAGAGTTATTACTGTATTTATACATAATTAGGGTTTATTTGCTAAGTTGATTTTGTATATTATTTTTAGCTATTGAATTTATCATTAAAAGCAAAATCAATCCTCTTTTAAGTAATATTCGCTGTTGTTTAATTTCCAGATTATTATAAAAGTAAATTAGTATTATTTCCTCCTTTATTTCTCTATAAACTAGAGCTGTTGGTACGTGAATTAGGAGTTAATGAGCGATTGATTCTACTTAGACTTGAAGAATTGCCTTTTTTTAATGAGCAATTTGAATTAATATTTAACTGAGTTAGATTTCTTTATCTTCTTTGCATTGCACTAGATTTAGTCTAATTTAAATAAGTAACTGAACCACCTCCAGTTAATAAGGCTGATTGTTATTACTACTATGCGATATATGATTTGTTAGCCGAACTGTTGCTATTGCTGCTATTTAACTGCTTATTTTCCTTTTCTAAAAGTTTATTAAATTATTTTTAAATATTTTCTAACTATGCTGATTTTAATTTTATTTAAGATCCACTTTTTTAAGATGGAGATCTGCTTTTTTTATTTTTTTAAGCAGTTTAAACTATTGGAGTAGCAATTTATGATAAGTAGTTCTATTAATTTAAGTAATTTAAGTGGAGCTAATTATTTTAATAGCTAATAATTTACTCCAAACTCATTCCATTTTGAAGTTGTTTATTTACTCCTTGAGTTAAATGGTTATGATTTATCACTTATCCATTTTTTAAATTTTGCTAAGAATATTAATTAAATTGAATTGCTTCCTATCCTATTGTTTATGAAGAATTTGTTTGATTGTTATTTAAAAGACTATGTTGATTGGCTATACCTTGCTTTTTTTAGTAATCAATACATTTTTCTATCTTTTTTTTGGCTCCTAGCTATTGATAACTGCTAGAATGGGCTTACTATTTCATATTTCGTGTAATCAGCTCTTACAATTTTTTTTCTAACAAAATAGAATTTATATAAGTGGTTAATTAATTTTTTCAAACAAATTTTTACTGTTCTTTGTTATTTATTTATTTAATAAAAGTAATTTCTTCTTAATTTTCAAATATTTATTATTCATACCTGAACATCTTAAATATCCTGATTGAAAAATATCTGTTAAATGTTAGCAGTAAATGAATCTATAATGAAATTATAAATATAAGCTCGATATAAATTTCATTTCTGTTTTGTTTTAATAAATAAGTTCATAAGTGTATGAGTCTATTTTTTAACATCCATCTTATAAAAAAAAGCATTGAATTATTTGATTCGATTTCTAAAAATTAAATATTTCAACCAAATATTATTAAACTCCTAAAAAATATTTATTTGAGTATCATTTATTCTTTTTTAATATTTCATTTACAATAAAGATAATTTTCATAAATTTTTTATTCTATTTTAATTTGAATAAAGAAATCACAAACAAAAAATAAATTGTTGTTTTTTTTGCTAATATTTGGATAAATCAAATAAAATCAAATAAAAGAAAAAAATATATTTTAATAAATTTTTATTCAAAGTTTTAAAAATTTTCAATTCAATTTTCACTAATTAATAAACGATTCGTTATGATTTAAAAGGATAATTTTTTTTACAAATCCTTTTAAATACTATTTTGGTAATAATTTCATTTTTGCAATTGAAAAAATATAGAATAAAGATTTATTTTTTAAATTTTAAAATAATTTTAATCTGAGTATTAAAAAAATATTTGTAAGATAAATTTTATTATTATTTTTATACACCAAGAATTAATTAATTAATTGTTTTCATTATAAAAATATTTATTCAATAAATTTAAACAATATTAATAATACACTGGCTATATTAAAAATATTAAGAATTTTTAATTAAGGCACCAACGAATTCTTAATTATAAATTTAGTAGATATCAAATAGCTTTATAAATGAGTTTAGGTATTCAGTATTTAGAATTTTGTAAAATAATACTTCATATTTATTTCAATTTTTATTTCATAGATATAAAAAGGCTTAAAAAAGATGATTCTTGCTTTAGACTTGGAACGCTAGAAGAAATATAGAATACTTTTAACTAAATTGTGTCTGATACAAAATAAATTAGTCACAGCTAAATTGGAGAATAATACCATCAAAAATATATTTTAAAGGATCCCTATATAAAAGATAACGACTTTAACTAAAGTATGTTCTAATAATTAGATTCTGTTGTTAGCTTTGAAAGCGAAGAGCCATAATAAATTTAAAATTAATTGCAAGTAGAGCAACCTAAAGATAAACCTAGAAAAATACTAAAGCTAATCAATAAAAATGGGTATTTAATTAAAGTTTCTGAAGAGATAGTTCAAAATGATAAATAAAATATAAAAGAAAATAATTAACAATGTTTAAAAATAAAGATGCCTGTTTAAAGGAACACAATATTTAGTAGTAAAGTTAATAATAATTCTATAATTAATAGAAAAAATAGATGCCATTCATAAAACATATTCTACTAAAATTAAAATGGAAATCAACAAGAAGATTGCTAAAATAACTGTATAGTACAAGAGTATGGGGAAAATTTGATATAAACAGTTTTTAAATCTTTGGTCCTGAATAAAATAAAATCTCTTGAATAATCTTAGTGCGATTCATCCATATTTAACTCTGTTTCTACCACAACTGCTGATATTACTTCTGAGTAAATAAATATATTAATTTACTTATATTTTTTAATGGATATAATTGTCTTATATTATTTTAGTGATTTTTAATTGGTTTTAAATTTTAATCAATAGAATAGTTAAAGAATTTGGAATATCTACATCAGTTCTTTAAGGATTTAATACATTTGAGGGGAAAAAAAATTATATAATTTAGTAGATGAACGAGACTTTAGATAGGTTGCTAAATAATTTTAAAGAAAAAATTAATAAAAGAGAAACTAAAACTTAAGTTCTAGAAAAAGATATTTCTAAGTCTAATGGTTTTAATAATCTTAATGACCCTCATTACTTAGATTGGCTATAAATATCTAGCAAGTACAAATCTATTAATCTAAAATTAAAAGAAATGGTTTTATTATATGTGAATAAGGTACTTTTTATTTGATAGAATAAAATACAAAATAATTTATTTTTGTTGTATTAGTATGAGAATTCAGTTAAAGTTATAGAAAATATGAAAAAAAATGGGATTAAAGTCAAACACCTTGCTGATTATGTAGATTTGAATACAGGAGATTTATTGATGTAAGAGTAATAATAGTAAATAGATCCATCTAATCTATTGAATAAATTGATAAACAAAACTAATGAACATGATAAATGGATTTAAGAAATAGAGCAGACAATTAAAGACATGGAGTGGAATGAAGATCTAGAAGAATAATATTAAGAAAATATAAGACAGTAAAAAAAATAGTAGACAAATCTTAAAAAACTAACAAATGGATAGAATGTAGGATTCAGTACTAACATTTATGCCAAAATGAAAGAAGAGCAATAGCTATAAAACAGAGATGTATTGCTGAAAAAGTATCAGGAAGGAGATCATTTAGATGTGTCTTAATTATACTTTTTAGCCAATACAAGTAGGCTGCTTAATAAGTGTGTTGATAAAATTTATGAACAAGAAAAAGTTAACACATTAAGTGAAAATATCCTGAGTAACATGGAGCTAAAAATAGCTGAAGATATTATCTATTAGTATTAAAAGATAAAAAAGGGTTTATCAATAGTTAGAAATGAGTATTTGTAACATAAGGCAAAGCAAGATCATGTAAAATTTTAGATTTAAAAGGATTAAGAGTAAAGAAAATTAATATCAGAATTAAATGAATAGTACCATAAAAAAATGGTTAAGATATTTAAGTCATATTTATCACTAAAGAAAAAAAATGATTAAAGTAAGTTAGAAAACCTTTCATACTCATCTAAGGCTCTTGTAAAAGCATTTTCAAATAAGCTTAAACTAAAAAGAGCAGTTTCAGTTGACCAAAGCTCGAAGAAAATATCAATGATAAATTAAACTAACTTGCCTTAAAGTAAAAGTAGGTCTCTATCAAAATAAAGTGCTTTAAAAAATAGCGAAATATCTTCTGTAAATAACTATTTGATAAAAAACTTATAGTAGACAGAGGAAAAAGAGCTAAATAAAAGCGTACCAAGAGTTGCAAATATAAAATCTAGGTCACTTGGAAATAGAATAAAATCTAGTGAGCACCATGCCCCTAGCAAATTATTTGCATACGAAGATCATCTAAAGCCAAAATAGTAATAAGGAACAGAGTCTACTTAAAGAGGTCTCAGAAAGTATTATAATTCGAAAAAATATGATGAATAATAGTTAGAGAAATATGACTTAAAACTACATGATCACCCTTACCTAAAAAACCAGAAATAGTTTATAAAATTTTATTCTAAAGGTCCTGGATAAATTATTAATGAAAAGTATTTATTTTTTTATTTTTAAATTGTTAATTTTATATCTTTTATTTAATTAAAAATTATAGAGATAAGATTAGATATGTAGAAATTAAAAATCCAAGTAAAAAGCTTATAAATAATATAATAATTATTTAAAGGCTTATAAGAGGATTTTTAGGGAGGTTGAAAGTAAAAAAACTTAAACAAAAAATGCTTGATGATTTATAAAATAAAATAAATTAAATTTCAAAACAGTTTGCTTATAACTAAAAAAATTTAAATAGGTCAAAAGGGTCTTTAAATTATTAAATACCTTTGAATAGGGATGAGAGCATATAGACTTGCTAGAAATAAAATAAAACCTATTTTTTAGAAAATTCTTTGAAAAGAAGTTCAACGATCAAAGACGATTCAGTTGTAAAAATTTAAACAAATTAATCTTTTGCTAATAAAGGTGCAAATAGAATTTCGAATAAATCAACAAATATTTTTATAACTCCTTTAAAAGAAAAAAAATATTCCCTTTAATAATCTGAAAAGCTATAACATACAAAAGAGTAAAATTTTAAAAAAACAAAAAATATTTTTAATAAATTTCTTACTTTTTTAATAATAAAATTTTAGAAATGTTGATGTGAGAAAGAGCATTTCACAGTAAACACTTTAATAGGTAAAAACTGATCTGCTTAGATAAAGATTATAATCTATAATTATTGCAGGAGAATCAGAAAGGAGAGCAGAACTTAAAAAATTGAATAGAGATTTCTAATAATTAGATAAAAAATGTCAAAATTCTATAATCTATAAAAGTCTTTAATCAAAAAGTTAGTCTCCATCTTCTTCGTAAGAAAGAAAAATTTCTAAGACTGAAAAAAAAAGAGCTTAACAAAGAAAGTAAACTCTTTTTAGAGGTGTAATGAATAATGATTTAAATTATTTGTGCTTAGTTGGACATAGATGGGAAAAAAGTGATTTTAACTCAAAAGATAAGCATTTAAATACTCCATTATTTTATGCTTGTAAATAAAAAAATGTACCACTAATAAAGTGGCTATTTTCATAAGGTTCTAATGTTAATATCCCTTGTTCTGAAGGAAATACACCATTGCATTTGATATTTGAATCTAATGATTATGAGTTAATACAATATATAATAAAAGAAAATGATTAAATTGACCTAAACGTAAGAAATTAATTAGGATAAACACCAGTTGCTTTATGCAACTAAGAGATAATATAAAAATTAGGCTTAGAGAAAGCTATTACTGTAGTTTAGAGTTAAATAAAAAGAACTAACTTTGATAATAATAAGTTACTAATTTAAAATAATAATTGTAGCTTTGAAGATAAGCTCATATAAGATTAATCTAGTATAGTATTTTCTAATTTTAACCTCAAAGAATAGAAATCTAATTTCAACCATATAAGTCACCAAAGATTAGTTAAAAAAAAATCAAACTTGTCTATTTAATCATCTATCAGCTAAACTTTTTCTTAATCTAAAAATAACTTTTGAAAAAATAAAATAATTTTAGTTATATATAAAAAAATCAATTAAAAAAAATCTTAAAAATGAATTTTAAAAAAGTATTTATTTTTAAATTGTAATAAATTAAACTTATTTAATTTAAATCTTGCAAAAATTAGATTTGTTAAAACAGAGTATCAAGTAGATTTTCTTCGTTTATATAAAATATTTTGAATAAGATAAATAAAAATTATTTGCATGGTTTTTTTAAATTGACAAAAAAAAATATTTATTTAGAAATAGCTCAACAAAATTGGATAAGATTAAATATTTTATAAGATAAACTAAATAGATTTTATAATATTTGTTTTTTTATTTATTTATAAATAGCACAAATCTAAATTCTAATTATTAGAAATATTTTTAAAATATTTTGTTTTCATTAATTTTTAGTTTAGATATATTATTTATTGAAAAATAAATAACTTTATTCAAATGGGTTATATTCAATGTAAATATTTTAAAAGTAAATATATGTTAAAAATTCTAGCTAGATATTTATTACATCTATCTCTTTATCAATTTATTAATAAACTCTAAAAATTAAATTGAAATAACATAAAAACGTAATTAAATTTGTTCGTTTTAATATATATTTCTTAATTAGAATGATTGTAATTATTTATTAATTATTGTGCATATGCTTTTTGTAAAAATAAGATTTTTGTCAAATAAACAATAAACACAAGTAACTTAGTCGTTTTTATAATACAAATATCATTATACATCTTATTGAGGAAGATGAGTGATTAACATATTGTTGAAAGAGGTAGCAGTTCTGATGAAGAAGATAGAGATTATGTTACTTTCGATTTTATTCTGTCCTCTAGAATAGGTTTTGGAATCTATCAAATAATAGTAATATAAATTGATTCAAAATTATAAATAAGATATAAATGGATTTTACTCAAAATTTTCCCATTTTTGAAATAATTTTCTCATAATCACTGAAGTAAGTGAGATGAGAACGATCTTGTTACTTTTATTCAATTATTTAATTACTTCAATTTACATTTTTAATTTTTTTATTGATTTTTAAAGGCATTGTGTATTGTTTCTCTAATAGATTTTATAGATGGAGCTGAGTAGTACTATATGATGATTTTAGTATAAGTATTGTAAAATGAATGGAAGTTAAGCGATAATTAAATAGAACTACTAGGTAGTTTTTATTTCGTAGGTTTGTTTGTTGGAGCTATTATTTCTGGTATATTTTGCGATTGGTTTGGTAGGAAAAATTCTATGGCTATAGGGTGTTTTTTATAGCTATGTACAGTAATCTGGACTTCATTAGCTCCTGATTATTCACATATGCTTGCTATCAGAGCCTTCTATGGGATAGTAATTGGTATGACCTTACCTATTGGAATACTCATGATGACTGAAATAGTGCCAAAACATATTAGAGGGAGATGTTTAATTCTTACATAGAGTGCTTATATGCTTGGTAAATTCTACCTTCTTCTTCTATGTGTATTTTTCATGGATGACCTATCAAAGGGAAACTGGAGAGCAATAGCTATTTGCCAAATTTTTCCTTGTACCATTATGTCAATTGGGTGCCTATTCTTTTTAGATGACTCTGCTAGATTTTTAGTTAGTCATAATAGAATAGATGAAGCTGTAGTTATCTTAAATAGAACTGGATAAAAAAACAAGTAAAGTTAATATGAACCACTTACTTAATATGAAATAGAAAGCCTTAAAAAGTGGTAATAAGCTAAATTTGCCAAATAGCCTACAACTTTTAATACCTTTAAAGGTCTTTTTTAGGGTAGTAACTTTGGTATAACTTGGAGATTAATAGTTGCAAATTGTGTTAATTCATTTATATCTTCAGGTACCCTCTTTCTTCTCCCATTTTACCTTCATAGTTCAGGTTAAGGATTTTTTGAGCTTTTTCTAGCTACTCTTGGAGAAGTACCTGCATCCATAATAGTTTACTTGTTTATTGATGTATAATCAGTTGGTCGTTTAAAAATCCTAAATGGAACACTACTTCTATCTACAGTATCTCTTTTTTTGATTTATTTGATAAAAGAGCCTTTCTTGTTAGGTGGTTTAATTTCTATCAAATTCTTCTCAAGATTTACTGGTCTTTGTTCAACTCCTTTGATTTCAGAATCTTATGACACCATTCATCGTTCATTAGGACTGGGATTAAGTACTGCAGTTGGTCGTGCGATGGGTGCAATTTCTCCATTTATTCTTTATGAAGTTTACTTATTTAATAAATGGGTTGTCTTTTTAATTTTTGCTTCATTAGCTTTCATCACTTTTCTCGTATTTTTGTCATATCCAGTTGATAAAACGAGCAAACCCTTAGATTAAGACCATACATAAGAAATAATTACTAAATCAAGATAATAATCTCCACAGATAAAAATTAATCATGCAAACGAAGACACTACAAGCTTATTATCAGAATAAAAGTAAAATTAAGATGACTAGACAGTAGTTTCTAGGTCAGCACTCAAAGATTAAAACCAAGATTGAAAATATTTTGTGTCATTTTTATTAATGTACAACTATGAATTTAACAAATAAAAAAAATTTTTCAAGTAAATTTATAATTTTATTTTATATTCTGTATTTTAAAAATAAAAATAAAAAATTTATAATCAAACTCTTAATAAGAAATAAATTTATTTCAATTTAAAAAAAACATTTCTAAAATTTTAATGATTAAAAACATGTAATATATATATTTTTAATTGTATATATTTTGAGGATTATTTTATTAATTTTTAACCTGATAAATCTTAAGTAAAATTTTTTTGATAATTACTTTTTGAATGAATATCAAGCATCTCAATTAATTAATTATTAAAATACGATTTTTAATTTTTAATAAAGATAATTATTTTAATAACATATTAATATCTTTTGTTAATTATCAAATTTAAAATACTAAGATTCTCTTAAAGTTATTAATTGCATTTAATAGAAAAAGTATAACACATCTATTAAGTAGCATATAAAAATATAAATATAATTAGTGTTTTTAGTATTTTTAGTTTAAAACAAATTAAAGTTTTAAAAATAAATTCAAAATATTTTAAGAATTCTTAACATTATCAAAATAAACTTTTTCTCTTAGTTTATATTATCTTAATATAAAATAAAACATTTATGAATAATCGTTTAGAAAATTTTTTCAAAAAATAGAGTGAAACTATCTGATTATTTTTAATCTTCTTTTAAATTTATTACTTAAAGATTTTTTTTACAACTTTTTAAAATATAATTTTATTATTATTTTATTTTAAATATCAGTAAAATTTTTATGGTTTTAGTACAATCGTTTCGCAAACAAGTATAAATTAAAGCGAATCTAAGTATTTCGATAAATATCTTAAAATTAGCTTCAAAATACTTATCCTATAGAATTTTTTTTAATGCCAAAATAATTTATTTTTTAGGCACCAAATGCAAATAAATTTAATTAATCTTTTTTGGAATATCTAAAAAAAGCTATTTTTATATTAAGAAATTGAATTAATAAAAAGATAATCAAAATCTTTCTTAGCAAGCAAATCTTTTAAAATGAAATTGATTTCAATCACTATATTTTTACTATTAGCTATAGCTACCACTATGGTTTTGTATTTTAATCAAAATAATGCATCTAGTTTGCAGAAATTCAAGGCTCACATACATAAACCTCATGATCATGAACATCATATGCATATTAACTTGAACACTGTGGGTAATTGTATGATGTTTATAAAAGAATCAGTTGTTTTTTGTGGAGCTCAAATAGATTAAAATGAAGTAAATATTACAGGAGATATTGACTGCATAAAAAAATATTTGAATGAAAAAAATTGTAATAATCTCCATTGATATTTTAAGTGTATCTCACTCTTGAAAATTAACAATATATTAACTAATAATAATAATTCTATTCAATTAAAAAGTTATTTATCATGAAATTAGTGATAATAAATCAAATGTATTTTAGTACTGTTTAATTTGAAAAATTTGTTATCTGTATAACACTATTTTATTTTTTCTTATAATTTTATTAATAAGAATAAAAAAATCAAAATTAGATTGTAATCTTTTAAATTTACACTTTACTAAATATGATAAAAATACATATTTAAAATATCGAAAATAATTGTAAATTTTACATTTTTTATAGCTAATTTGTTACTTAAACAAGCTAATAGTAGTATAATTTTTTTAAATTAATTGATAAAATTTTAGCTTACAAAATCAAATTTCATTGAATCATTAAACTTGAAATCAAATTAATTAATTATAGCACAGCAAAAATAGATTGAATTGAAAAATTTTTAGAAATACCTGTTACTCTTTTTTTTTTATTAGATAAATATAGAATAGAATTAATATTTATTTTTATTAATACAGAATCAAATATATTTAAAATAAATTTTATAAACTTATCCTTTTACTTTTTAAAATAATTGCTGAGATAAAAATAAATTCATATTTCATCACGTCCTTATCAATAGAAGCATTAATCTGACTAAGCTAGGGGAAAATAATAAATTTATATCTAGATATTAATTTCAAGATAAAAGAAAGAAATTAGCATCAAAGATTACAAGTTTTCCCATAAAAATTGACTTTTATTTGTTAAATTATTAGTACACAAACAACTTTTTAGGTAAATTAAAATGTGGAAATCATAAAGATATTCCAAAATAAAATTAAATTTAAATTTATTTCCTGAAAAAGAAAAAATCATATTTATTCAAAACTTATTTATTTGAATAAACTCAGCTTCATATTTTGAATTAATTGCATATTTTCCTTTATTTAATATTAGTTTAAAACTTTTAATTTGCTATGGAAAATCAAAGGCTGCAGTTTGATGGCTAAATTTAAATAATTTTCTTCTAATAAATAATAAAAGAATCTAGTATGTTTTAAAAACCACAACTTCAAAGTAATTAATTATCTCTAGAACCAAAAATAAAAACAACTTTACTTCCATCAGATTTCCAATAGAAAACTTAATTACTTAATATAGGTTGGTAAACATAAGTCAATTAATATTTAAAGAGAAATCTTTTATTTCAAATTAAAATTAGTAATTTAATTAAAAAAATAAATCTAATTGAAGCATCATAATATTTAAATTAAGTAAATGAAGAACATTTTTATTGCTTTCGGTGTCCTTGCTCTGCTCTCAACAGCTGCTCTCGTTTATGTCCACAACCAAAACCAAACCGAATTAGAAAAATTCCACATTCACTTCCCTCATCACCTCCCTCACATTCACGTTCCTAAGCTTCACTTGAAAAATATTGGTTCTTGTCTCAGTACTGTTTATGGTGCAGTCAGCTAATGTGGTGCTGCTTACGATTCTGCAGGAGCTAATATTACTGGAGACATTGGTTGTGTTAAAAATATCCTTAATGTAAAGAAGTGTGGTCATATTTTCTGATAAATAATATAAATTTAAATAATTATTTTATATTAGAATTATGGTCAAATAAATATATAATTGTTTTATAAAATTTTAAATCATTTATAAAATTGCAAAAAAAATGTTTACCTTTTCTTATTTTAATTTATTTCAAAAGTATATATGTATATAATATCAAAAATTAGAGTTTTTATTTATACTAAGCAAGAAATAAAATATATAATTGAAGCTACCTCACAGAAAATCTCTTGATACATATTTTAATCAAAACTGTTTGATAATATAATCAAGTAAAAGTAAGTGCATATCAGCAAAGCTAGAACGATTTAATATTTTGTGTTTTATGAATTTTTCGATTTTTTAAATAAGAACATTAAAATTTAATATGTGTTAAAACAAACCCCAAAAATTTATGTAAGAATAAAATTGTATCAAAAGAAAATTACTTTAAAATTAAATAAAATTTTTGATTTTAGTATTTCATTTAAATTTTAATTTTTTAAATAATTAAAAGCTTCTAACAAATTTATATTAAAATCTATTTATTTATTTGTTATTTTTATTAGATAATACTTTATATGAAATAAAAATAAACATTTTGATTTATTTAATTTAAATTTATATTTTGAATATAAAAGCTATTTTAGTATTGACTATCATAATAAATATGCTTACCTTTATTTTATTAAATTCTTTTAGTACAAAAAATTGTTAATTATTTTATTTATTTTATTTAGTACTTTCATTTAAATTTGAGCTTTAAATCAAGTAGAAGTTACTGTCAATATAAATTATTATTAAAAAAAATTAGAAGTTAAATATAATAACTGCTAATAAATTTACAAATTTAGATAAAACAAAATGTATTTCGTTTAGAAAACAAATTTAAATAAAATCATCAAAAATAATTTGTCATTTAAGATTTCTGTAATTGCAAATCTAATTTGTTTAAATATTTTATGTTTAATTTGAATAAAACTTTTCAAGTAAGTATAAACACTGAGAGGAATATTCTATGTTATCTTCCAAAAACTATATGCTGCAATTATTTAAATTCTATTTTCTAATTTCAATAACTTTTTTTAAATCATAAAGATCTACCTCAAAATAAGTTATATACATGTTTTTATAAAAAAAGCACAACCTCTACTCTTCTGTCAGAAATAAGTCATAAATTGTTTAAAAATTTTTTACATTGTTTAAAAAAACGTGATTTTAATTTTATACAGTCACTTTTACTTTGATTTAATCATAAGTGAGAAGTTCCATGAAGCATTCATTTTTTTAGTTGTTGTTAATTTACTTGTTTTGCACTGTTTGCTAAAAGAGTTTTTAATAACTTTATTACTCATAAAAATCAATTAAACCATATCTCATTATTATTTATTAAAATTATTCAATATTTGAACCTAAGAGAGCTATTAGATTTTCGCTAATTCCTAGCTTTGTTAATTCTAGATTTGAGCTATTAAAATTTAATTCTTAAGTACCATAGATATAAAATTATTGAGAATCAGAAACACTTTTTAGCAGAATTTCGCATTATTCTTTAAAATACTAATTCACTAGACTTAAATAATCAACAGCAAAAGGTATTTAATCTAAAATTTATTTTCCTCTATTTGAAAAAGCTTCTTAGGCTATAAACATTTTGGAATATTACTAAATGCTTAATGATAAATCATATAGCTCCTAATTTTAGCTATTTTAAAGTTGATGTATAACTTAGGATAAATCATAATTAGGTTTTTTCTAAGAAAAAAATTATATTTCTACTGTTGGCATATCTTTTCGAACAGCACAAGAATAGACTCTTTTGAATTCATTCCACTTTGAAACCTTAAAAAAGTATTTATCTTTGCAATCAAAGTCAAAAATAATATCGCCAGGAATAAAAAAACACTTTTCAGACTAAAAAATGTAATTAGGCACTAATGAATAGGTCACTTAAGTTAAGCCTTTTACCTAAGTCTTAATGCTATCCTGTAAGTCATAATTTTTGATTTACTTTTACAATTCTATTTATTCTTTTTCTGATTATACTTTCATTTAAATATAGAAAAAAGATTAAAATTTTAAATACTTTTTGCGTGTTGATAAATAACATCAAAATTTTGATTTTAAAAATTTAATATTTTAATTAAAACTTAATTAAATTTACAAATAGTTTATAAACAATTAAATAAGCATTCAATAAAATATTTTTTTTTTCAGAAATTTTCATACCAAATAACTTTTTAAATTTTAAACAAACCAAAAAATAATTACAAAACATTTAAAAAAACGAATTAAATATATTTGTTTTCAAAATAAAATCATTTTTTTTCAATTCTTATATATGGAATTTTAGTTGTTTGTTGTAAATCTTTTTCCATTTAAATTAGTTAAGGTGCAACTTGATCACTTTTATTAAAAAAATAAAAAAGCTAAGAACTCTTTTAAAAATATTAATTAATATATTTTTACTCTTTATTGATAAGTGTAACCTTAGATAATATGTTTGTATTATTGCTTAAGTACGACTATAATATTTAAATGCTTGCCTAAGTAATTGAAAGTCCTCTTTTTAAATTAAAAAATAAGATTAGATGATAAAATATATTAATATCTTACTCAAATTTTAATTTGAATGTGGAAAGACATTTCATGAACTAAATTTCATCTATCATTTATTTAAACCCTTAATCATCCATACCTATGTTACTAAATAGTTGAAAAAAAAATCAATAGAGCTGTATTAAAATATATATATTTACTTTATTTTTAAGTGTAATCTTTATAAGTTGTTAAACCCTTTTAAAAGCTCTGCAATCACGTGCTGCTCATCCTGATCAATATATCCATAACTTTTATGTTTTTGAGTTGTTTATAAGATATAATTTTTATAATTATAAACTACCTCATATCAATTCTGAACTCTTTTATTTTTTCCTTTAAAATATTCTCTGAGAGTGCCTTAATAGTTTCTTTGCTGATTTTAATGCTATCCATTCCAAGATAAATTTTTTGCAATCCTTATAATTTATTGAAGCACGAAGAAAATTCGTTTACACATTAATTATCCTCTAATTATGCCCTACTATAATTTTTATTTATAAAATATATTTTAATTTGTTAAGTAAATAATCAAAATATTATCTTACCTCAATTCAATCCTCATTTCTTTTAATTTTTTCATCTTAGAAATTGCTTAGCTGCATTAGATAAAACATTCTCTTTAAATATTGCATTAGCTAAGATATTTATTTAAACATGATAAAAATTAAATTAAATTTTACAATTAATTTTTACTCTAAACATAAAGTCAGCTTCAATAAGGATTATTTTTCAAAAAGAGCAATAGGCAGATGTTCTGTTTGTAGATATCTAAAAATTTATTTATAAAAAATAAAATAATAATTCTTAGAATTTAATATCAGTATAAACTACCTAATTGAAAGATAAAGAGTATCTAAGTGACTCATATTTTATATTGCTTAAAATAACTCCTTTAATAGATTATTAGCAATTTCAGTATAACTTATTTAAATTCAAAAGTTTTGTAATTTTTCATCTAAAAAATTAAAATATTTAATTTACCCTAAAGATAATTGTAAGTTTTTCATAGTTTGGTTAGATTTATTTAGATTTTATATAAACCTGTTAAATGTCTACATTTCCCCAACATAATTTCCACTTGATAAATAAAATTATTAATATTAAACTTAATAAAAAAAACTTACTAAAATTCTAGCTTTAATTATTATAGAATAAAATTATCAAACATCTGTCCAAATATTTCCATTTTCTCTGAGTTTAATGGCTATTGAATAAATCTAAAAAAAATAAAGAAAGAGATAACTTCAATTAATATTTACTGCTATTATTGCACTTGGTTATTGAAAGGATTTTGTCTATTCTGTTAATTTTAGATGCTTTTAGAGTTATATTTAAAAACTAATTTAAATATCTCATAATATTATTTGTAAAATATGAGCAAATAAAGTACTGCATCTAATTAAATGGGGGTTATCTGTTATGTTGAATCTAAGGGGGCCTATTATTATTATTATTATTATTATTATTTAATATTTAATTTAAGGATTTTAAAATAAATAATCAAGCTAAAGTTACATAAGTACAGCAACTGGTTTCTCTCCTATTCTCATTGAACTTTTTTAATTAATTAAATTAATATTATTTTTTAGATTTCAAGAATAAATTACTTCATTAAAAGCTCAAGGTTAGTTATTTACTTTAATGACTATAGTGTATTTTTCATAATATTCATTTGGTACAGAGTAGACTAGAAAGAGCTATATATTATTTATTTATTATAAAATGTTTATTTATTTAATTAATATAGAAAGAAAACTCACTTTAAGTCAAGTTTTAAACTTTATAAATTCTAAGCATTTTAAAGAGAAGTTAGCAGATTAATAACATCTTGTTCATATACTTTATTCTTGTAACTAAATATTTAAATTAAAGTTTAAATCATTTTTAATCTTAAAATCTATAAAATAGCAATAATTTTGTTTACCAGAAATCCAAGCTTAAGTTCAAAAGAGATTTGCTATTTGATTCAATAATTGGGCAAAATAATTTTGATTAATCTTATTCCGTACTATTTACTCTATCAATATAAATTTTATTATTTTATTTATAACTTATCAAAATCTTACTAGAATTAGAGTTTAATTGAACTGAGATTAGGTTTGTTCTAATACCATGTCTGCTCTTACTAAAAAAAGCCTTAATCAATATAATTTTCGCTAAAATAAAAATTTTGATAAATAAACCAGATAAAAATATAAAATATTAAATAAATGAAAATATTGGTTCTTGTTTTTCTTTAAGTAAGCTGTGATCAAATATAGTTTAAAAAAATGAAATGTAATAAACTTTTACCTATAGTCTAAGTCAATGTGTGTTATTTGTTATAAACCTGATAATCCTTACAATGTCTTATAGATATCATTACCTCTATTCGTGTTCCTAATTATAGATAAATAGATAGATAGATTTTGTAATTTTTAAAAATAATTTTATTTACTTTAGACAAAGAGATACTTTCTAAAGTTCAGTGTAATTTTCTAATGTTTAGCCAAGTATTTAATCAAAATCTGAGGATAAGTAATTTTTTCTTGTTAAAAAATAATATATTAACCAATCAATTTTATAACCTGATTTTAATATTACTTAAAATTCAAAGTGAGGTCTCTTATCTTCTTAGACTATTTTAAGTTTACAACAAAGCTCTTTATAACTTCAGGATTCATCTTTGAATATCTTTAATAATATAATAAATATTATCTTTTCTTTAAAAAGTTTAATAGATATTTATTACGAAATGTCAACATTTAATGTGGCTAAATCACTCATCATCAAATTTTTTATTCGTAGTCCATCGTAATTTATTAAATTTAGCTCATATTCTTAAAATTCTTCATAATTAATAACTTACTAAGTTTCGCTTATTAAATCACTAAAATAAAATAATCTCTAAATAAATTTGAATTTTTTGACAATTATAAAAATTTACGAAATGTTTAACTTGAGAGATGAAACACTATCTAATTGAGATAGATTATTGATTAATTCTACTTTATTTTAAAGTTTACAGCCCCTATCAATTTTAATATAAATTTATTGAAATATTTATCTGATTATAAATTTATTTACTAAAGACTTATCTCTAAAGAATTTATTTTATTTAAAAATTTGCAATCTTCAATTCTCAAATCTCTAACACACTTGTTGAAACTAATTTTATTTTTTTGCTAAATTATTTGTTTTATAGTTTTTATTAATGTATTTACTCTAAGTTTATAGAATAAGCTCTAACCTAATCACCATCATATTCATAAAGATTTCTCAAATTCTCTTCATTAATTCCACATTTTCTTTTAAATATTATCTGTAAGTGAGCTATTTAATACAATTAATTTACACCAAATTTAAATGAATATTTGTTAATTAAGTCTATGTTTAATTGAATTCTTTCAACTAAACGAGTATATCCTCTGTCATTTGATATCCACTAAAATAAAATAAAAAATATTTTAAAATTTAGTTCTTAATATAGCAATTACCTAAAATTTAACTGGTATCCATTTAACTGATTCATATTTTTTAAGTTATTTAAAAAATATTTCAATTACTAATCTGATTAGAATATGCTATAAAATAACGAAACAAAGATTTCTTTAAGTTAATAAATAAATAAATCTAATTTTACTTTTTATATATAAATAAATATTGAAGATTTTTTGAAGCAATAATATCTTCAAATATCGTCTCATCTAATTAACAATCATCACTCTTAACGTAGAGAGCAGATGAGTGATTTCTTAAAGCATTCAAATAAACTAACTTCTCTACTTAAGCAAGTTAATTGAGATATTCTATTCCTTTCTAATCAATTGCATTTTCTCTTTGTAAAGATCATTAAAAAAACAAATAAAAAAACTAAATAAATTTACTTTAAATTGATTTCTATTCTTTGTAGCTGTTTTTGGTTTGATATTTTTATTAATGATTAACTTAAATGCATTGCATCTGTTCCATCAAAATAATTACCACTATTTTAAATTTATAAATTAATTAGAGTAAACTTATAAATATTATTTTTTACTTGAATTTGAGATCTATTTCCTCGATGCTATTCATAGATTGTAAATTATTTGCAAATTCTTTCATTGGGTATCTTATACTATCGCCACTAGATTAATAATATGATATCATAATCTTATTAAAATATATAAAACTAACTTACTGAATATCAATTTTTAATTTCTGAATTCTATTGAATGAAATACGAGATAAATCCTAAAATATTGAATCTGAAGATACTTTTATAAGAGGAAGCACAATGTTGAGATTTTCTAAGTTTTCTTAAATTTCTTTTCTTAGTTAAGAAACCTTTGTCAGAGAATCAGCCTTTACAACCAAGATGCTTGTATTTAATTTATCATTTATTTTAATTAATTTCTCTTCTTACTATGTTTTTTCAGACTTAGAAAGAATCTTTTGCATGTAGATAAAAGTTAAACTTTCTTTTTAAAGAAGGTAGTTTACAAGATTTATTGAACTTATTATAATTGAGATCAAACTTAAAATAAAGCAAAAAATAGGAGGAACTATTGTGCCACTATTGTTTCCACTCCATAACCCAAGTTATCCATTATTTATGAATTATATTAATAACTATGGCATACTTTCAAATATAAATTGAATGATTTGTGAAATTTAGATGATACCCTGTATTTTTTCATTGCTTAAATATTATAGGAAAGTCGATTATCTGTAAATTTGATATAATTCGTCTTATGTGAATTCCTCAATAAGTTACTCCTACTTCTTTTTTTCAAATATAACTTCAGCTATATTCTAAATACCTTAATTGCTTTAAGTTTTGGCCTATTTGTTATGTTTGTTAAAAATGATTTAGAAAAGCATTTTCTAATAAAAATTTTATAATAAATTGAATGAATTGATATGAATTTTGTTCATATTGCCATTAAACATTTATTAATTGTTTTTAAATTAGCAAATACGTGATTAAATAATGGCTGAGATTTTTCTTTTTCAAACAAATGACTAGAAGTTAAAGAATTCTCTATATCTGATTCCTTAAGGTTTACTGAAGCTTATAAATTCGAATTTAGAGGTAGAATTGAGGTTTTCTAATAAGAAGAGCCATATGTATCCTTTCTTAAAGCTGAATGAATGTTGTGTGAAAGCCTATTCGTACTTTTTTTAAAGCGCTTTGTGAAAATACTCTCATAATGTTGAGTTATCTAATCATTTTTCTTAATCTAAAAAAAAAGAAAAACGTGCAGCAACTTAAAGTATTGTATAAGACCATAAAAGCAACCTTATGGAGCATATCTTAAGAGCTTACAAATCTACCACCACTCAATCAGTTTAAATCTAAAGGAGTATTTTAGAAATTACCAAAATGTTTCAGCCCTATCGATTTGATTCTAGTAGTAGCATAATTTTTTCATTTCCTATTCTTCTAATTGCAACTCCATTAAATGAATCCTGATGAAAACATATGTCCAAGATACCATCTAACAAAATGGCTAAAAAGCAACGAAAAAAATGGCCGCAATTTTAATTTCTTCTGAGGATTTTTTAGAATTAGCTGCATAATCAATATCAGTGAGTATATCTAAAAACCCTAGCCCTATTTAAATGAATATTATAATCAATGAGATATAGTCTTAATATTCTTTTTTCATTAGTCCCAAATACAAATAATTAGCTTAATAAAAATCTTTAAATAAATATAGTTATTTTTTTTGTTATATTTATGATTATAAACTTTAATAAGTCATCAGAACAGGTTAAAAATCTTTTAAAACAAAGATTTTTGTAATAGACATGAATAATGTTTCTATAAGGATAACCAATCCAATAATATAAAAAAATCTGTAACTTTTCAAAAATAATAATTGTATTTTTAAAGATCAAAATAATGCCTATCTATTTAATGTATTTTTTAACATAAATTATTATAATAGCCAAATTATTTTAATAAAATAAATCTTTTATAATATCTTGAAGTTGAAATAAATTTAAAAGTTAAAAATAATTTTGCAAAAAAAAAAATTACAAGTAAATTTCAATAAAAATGATATCTACTTCCAAACACCATATTTTTGTAATAATTTTTAAAAAGATATAAGATTATAGTTACCAAAGTAAAATTTATCTATCTTAATTGAATAGTTTATTTTTTAAAAAGATCAATATGTGGCTAAATAAATCAATTAATAAGTTTGAAATATTTAATATCTTAGAATTATGGATACAATATTATGTAAGTAGTTATTTTTAAACAAAAAAATATATTTAACCAAGATATTCATTCAAAAATATTCAAAATATATATTTAGATTACTTGTTACTTATGTAAATTAATGTCTACTTATTCAATTTATTTTACACCTTAAACTTACTTTAATTACTTGCTAAATTATAATTTTAGAAATATTTATATAATATTAAATATTATGAATTATTCAGGGATATAAATTATTATATCAAAATATTTTATTTAAATAATTAAATTTTATTATTTTTTCTATAATAAAGCAAAATTCTAATTTATTTTTATTGTAGATTATAATAAATTCTAATTCTTATCATTATTTGATTACAATTAAAAATTCTAAATGTATTTTATTTTTTTAAAGTAATTAAAAATTTTGATTATTATTTATAAATTTTAACTTATTGTTGAGTTATTATGTTTAAATAAAAATATTGGTATCCAATTCATTTATTTAAAAATAATTTATATTAATGTCAATTATTTATTTGGTTTACTAAATTAGTAAAAACTTTTAACTATTAATAAAATTATATATATTAATTATTACAAAAGTTAATATTTTAGAATTATTTTTTTTATCTAAAAATGTAATTTATTTTTCAAAAATTGCTATTTTTATACAAAAGTAATTTTAAATTACCTAATGAATAGATCGAAGTAAAATAATAATTTAATTAGATTCGTAGCAAGCTATAGTTTTAAGAATATTGGTAAATCTTTTTATTGTTAAGTAAGCTTATATTATTCCTTTTTTTCAGCTTTTAATATATCAAAAATCTTCAATGCTATCTATCGTTTGAAATCAAAATAGTAAAATACAATTACATTTAGAAAATTTAGAGGTTATCAATCAATTAAGTTGTTTAACTTAAGCAAATAATTATTAAAAGGTAAATAAAATAGCATTTTGCTAACATCCATAAAAAAAAAGAAACATAAATCAAAGCCAAACTGTTAAATGGATTAAGACAAAGAAAAACAGAGCCAAACAAGTTTTAATCCAAGCGAAATGAAAGAAAGTTTGATTAAACTTTTATCATATAATAAGCATATCACATCAAATGTTATTGATCTAGTCTTTGAAGAAATCTAATTTAAATATTACTAAAAGGATGATGCTATATACTAAAAAGGTATTTCTATTATAATCTGAGTCATTTAAAATATCTAAAAATTATTTAACTAGGCTAATAGATAGAAGAGTTATCTATTCTCATGTATGGAAAAGTTGGAATGTTCAAATCTATTTATAATAAAGACCTCAACATAAAAGAAGATGTTTTAATATAAGAATTTCAAAAGGGAGGAGTTCTTGGATTAAAGAATCTTACATAAGCAATGAGTTCTTTTGAAGAGTATACTTATATCTCTTTATCCTCATGCTAGGTAGCAGTAATAAATAAGAATGCATTTAATTAGCATCTCAAAAAACCTTTTGAAAATTTTATTAGAGATGTTGTCCTCTTCCTAAAACAGATATCTTTGTTCAATTGCATATCATATAATAAGCTATAACAAAATTGCTATTATATTTCTATATATTAAGCTCAAAGAGGATAAGTAATATATTAGCTAGAAGAACCACATAGAGATTTCTACGTTTTGTTAGAAGGCTCTGTAGCAGTAAAATATTATTATTTATCAACAATAAATATTCTTATCAAAAAATTTATATAAAAGTCCTACTAAAAGGTTAAATTAAGAACATCAGGATTTTCACAATTTTTGTAAAACCTAGGTGACCATGAATAAAAATTATTATCTAATTCAACAAATATTTTAGAAAATAACACTTCAAGATCTTTGAAATAAGCTGAGAGAATGGTTAAGGTAAAATAACTTAACAAATATGTTTTAATTTTGGTCGGCCATTTAAAATAATAAATAAATAAATAAATATTTATTTTTGGCTTTATAATTTTTATTAGATGAATATTTATTCCATTAAATATATTTATTTATTTAATCAAGATATTTTTGAAAATTATTAACCATACAAATATTTTTAATCAGCGCTAAGTGGATTTTTAATTATTTCTAAATATACATCAAATATTGTGGATTTTTCATACCTAAATCTGCTGTTTATGTTTGTGTTTATTCACAACCAAACATTTTTTTAATTAATAAATAAGTTAATAATTTTCAAGAATTATTTAAGGCATACAAAATTAATTTTTTCTGATATAAACAAATTAAAAATAACACTTTTTTTAAAAAATGATGAATAGATAAGAGAATATCATTAAGGAGAGTTCTTTGGAGAGTAAGAAATTATCTAAAACAAAAAAAGATAATTTACTATTTTGAGTGAAGGAAACTGTATCATACTCAGATTTACTCCTTACATGTTTTAAAAACTAATTAAAGAGGATTAAGAGTGTTGGAATATTTTATAGCACCAAACATAGGTCAAAGAAAAATTAATAGAGTAACGTAATCAGAAATTTTAAGCTTCTCTTAAGATAGTAAATGAAAATAATGACTTAATTATGAACAGAAACAACTTGAATTTTCCAATCAATTCATTAAAAAATACAAATTTTAAAGGGGGGAATAATAATTTTCAATTTTTAATCAAGTAGTCCCTCCAAACATTATAAGCTTAAACTGATGAATCAATTAATACTCTTTCAAATTAAGACATGTAATTTAATACATCCTCTCCTAAAAATCCAAAAAGTTTAATAAGATTAGATTCCTAAACAAGACTATCTAATACTCAATGCTCAACTCACGCATAAAGTTTAACATCTCGTTTAACTGAGAGTTAGTAATCACCATTTTCATCATCACAAGCTTCACCCTTTTAAAGAAAAGGCAAAAAGAATTTAAGTATGATACCATTATAAAGCCTTAACATTATTAATGAAAATGAATTGAAAGATGCGTTTATAAAAAATTCTTCATTAAAGGAAATAGATTTAAACCTAAAGAAAAATTAATATAACCTTTCTTCAATATCGCCTATATAAAAACCTTAAAATAAAATAGTAAGATCTCTAAATAGATAATGGACTGCTTTAAACCTTAATTCAGAAAATACTGTAAATACTATTTAACTAAATGAATCTAAAGATTTAATTGATACTACTACCAAAAAAAGAAATTCAAGTACAAATAATATATTTCCTATCAGCTCTCCTTAAATAAATGACTCTACTCTAAATATTTAAACTGATGCTAGAAGTAAATTAAATACCCAAAAAAGACAGTAAAGGCCATGCGCTATGAAAGAAAGAATTAGTAGTCAAGATTTTATTTTTGATAAAAACAAGCACTCTACTTTTGGTTTCAATAATCAAGCAATTGATAGCGTTAGTGATTTGCTTAAAATGAAATAACTTTCAGGGAGATGGTAATAGTAGCAAAAAAACATTACTGAGGAAATGTTTTAAAAATAAGAAAATGGGAAATTTATTTCAAATATGATATAAAAATTAAAAATTGCCTAGGATACAGAATAATAAACAAATTAAAAATAAAAATAAGTTGGAATTATTGATAAACATACTGAAAATTTTGCTCTTAACCTAAAAAATGTATTTTACAGAGTGTTTAATAAGAAAAACATTACTCAAGAAGAAACTTAAAAAGGTTTAGAAAAATAAGTTATTGATGAAGGAATTAAAAAATATATCAAATTGCACTCATCAATCTAAACAAATAAAAACCAAGTTGATTACTTAAAGTAAAAAAGATTGAAATACAATGATTAATTAGCAAATGTCATTTATGGAAGAGTTAAAAATTATGTTGAAAAGAAAAAAGAAGATGATTAAGTTTCAAACACTCCTAGAATAATAACATATAAATCACCTTCTTAAATATTATAACAAGGATATGAATAATACAGTTAAGATTTCATTTTAAACGAAGAATTTTCATCTGATTCAAATAAAATATAGCTTAAGTTTCCCTTTTCATTAACTCCTTTGAAATATAAATCTACAATCAAACATACATGCTAAATTGAGGAAAAAGATTTACCAGATGATGACGAAGAAATAGACATTAAAAGTATATAATCACCAAGAGTTACGAATATTGAATATAAATAATTTTAAGATCAAATTGCTAGTCCTATTCACATAGAACACAAAAAGTAATAAAGTCCAAGAATTACTAGAAAGTAATAGGCAGAAATAACCTAGCAGGTGTATCCATTAAATATGGTCTCTGAAAGCATACAAAGCAGTGTATATAAATCTTACTCTCCAAATACTAAAGCAATACAAAGCAAAAAATCAACAGCGCATGCAATGTTTAGGAATAATTCTAAAAATTCTTTAAAATTAGATCCATCTACTATCTGCTTGTTAAAAAGGTATGAATTAAATTTGTCACTAAAAAATAAGTTTCACACAGTCTCAAGAAGTACTACTTAAATTGATTGCCAATCTTTATAGAATAGTGGAGTGTTCAAAGTAACATAATTAAAAAATAATCAGTAATAATTATTAAAAACACTGAAATAAAATAGAATCAACAATTGTTGACGTAAATATTTCAAAGTGTAAAATTAATTATTTATTTTCAATGATTGAAAGAAAAAAAATTATAAAAGTTAGTTTATTAAGAATTAATCAGTTAATTAACTAATCAATCAATATTCAATTTAATTTTGTTTCTGAATTTTACTCTTAAGAACTAGAAATATTTGTTGAATAATGTTTTAATAGAATAAAAAGAAACATTTATTAAGTTAGTTAAATAATAATCTTAAAATATAATAAATAATTTGTAAAACTCTTCATTTTATGATTTATTTTATTTATTGTATTTCAATGATTGAAAGAAAAAAAATTATAAAAGTTAGTTTATTAAGAATTAATCAGTTAATTAACTAATCAATCAATATTCAATTTAATTTTGTTTCTGAATTTTACTCTTAAGAACTAGAAATATTTGTTGAATAATGTTTTAATAGAATAAAAAGAAACATTTATTAAGTTAGTTAAATAATAATCTTAAAATATAATAAATAATTTGTAAAACTCTTCATATTATGATTTTTATTTATAGTATTTATTTTCCATTTCTTTATCAATTATATTGATCATCTTCGTCCTACTAATTTTGATTAAAAGGTGTTCTTGGAGTTTTTCTATATTTTGCTTCATTTTCTTCCTCTTCTTCTTCATATTCGTAATCTTCTTCTTCTCTTTTTAGTGATACTCTTTTCTTTTAATTATTAGAAACGGAATTTGTTTGCTTTATACTCGATCTTTTTTAAGTATTTTATTTTGGCTATTCTTCTTCTTCTTCCTCTTCTTGACCACTACTGTCATATCCAAACATAGGTTCATCATCACTCTCAATTGGCTTAAGATAAACTTTTTCATCTCTAACTTCAACCTTGCTGTCTTTTTAAGCTTCTTTTTCTAACTTTTCAACAAATTCTGATTTTTTAGGGGGAGGTGGCTATTCTCTTACTTTAGGTTCTCTTTTTTGAATCTAAGGTTTTTAATTTTAAGCAACTTGCTAACCTTAAGCATTAAACTAGGTAAATTTTCCTTAAACACCCTGTAGATTACCCATTCCTTGCATTTTGTTATAATCTGAATTGTACTAATTGTTATATTTTTCTCTATCAGATTCATCATCACTATCTTGTTTGTTATTTGATGATGGTCTTTTGATATAATCTTAGTCCTGATAATCTTATTCATATTGCTATTATGATTAATCTTCTGCATATTGATTATACTAATAATTATTTTATACATTTTATTTTGGTGATGCTGACTTGTTACTATCAGAACCTCTATTACTGTCTTAGTTTTGTTAAGAATTCTTGCTAACTTGAGATTTGTTCATACTGTTATTTAAATTAGGTTATTGTTAATTTGGTTTTTAATTTTATGGTTATTAATTAGAATTATTTTTATTTTATTATTCCATCTACTTTTTTATTTATTGATTGTTAGGCTAAACTTGCTATGGAGGTTGTTTAGTTTATTAAATTTAATTTTATGGTTACTGAGTTGAATATTTTTATTAAAAGTAAGTATTTTACACTCTATTTTAATAATTTTATTGGATTTAAGGCTATTTCTACTATTATTATTATTATTAATTGGTATTTTAATTATTTTTATCATTCAATTAAGCATTCAGCTTATTCTTTGGATCATTTTTATTTTTAATAATTTTGTCATCCCAGTTGATCTGTTTTTTGTTATGATCGTTATTAAACTTTCCTTTTTAGAAAAGTTCATTATATTCATGTTGTTATATTTTATAATTTCCGATTGGTACTTTATTTTTTTCATCTTATGATAGAGAATTAGCCTTCTCATTAGTATCACTTTAACTGTTTTAATCTGTATTTCTCCTATCTTATACTGGTTTTTCAATACCTTTTTATTTATTAGAGATATTGTTTCCATCATCTGAATTATTTTACTATTATTTTTCTTTTTTCGGTTGATCTTATTTTTCATTTTTATTATTATTTCTTGTAGTTGATGTAGTTGTGTAAGTAATTTAATTAATCTATACCTTTCCATTATCTTAAGAGGCACTTTTCTTTTATTGCTAATCCTAATCATTTTCCCATATATTATTTTCGGGATTATTGCCATCTTTGCTTTTTTTGATGCTGGAGATAACATATGGATTATTAATTCCTGGATGCTACACAGACTAAGTGGCATTTGTTGTAGTTATCTAAGTTGTTATTATTTAAGATTTTACTTTCTTCTTAGGAGTAGGAGGATAAGGTTCTTCTTTTTAAGGATTCGATTCCAAAGAGTATGGATTACCTTTCACCACTACTTTGGAAGAAGTAGAGGAGGATAAAAATTAATCCTTGTCTAAATTATTACTTTAATTCATATTTATGTTTTAAGAAAGTAATCCAGATAAAGCTGGATAAGAAACTCTAATTTGTGAACTTGAGTGCTACTCTTAAGATTTTCTATGATTTGATTTAGCTGATTAAACTTAAGATCTTCTTATTTCTTCTGAATTTTTCCTCATCAAACAATATTCTGGAGACACTTTCAATTAGTTGTATCTTTCTAGCTTCTATAATTCTTCTTCTTTGTGTTTTTCTTTTAAATTTTCTATGTTTTCTTACTGTTATTTAAGCTCTTCCTTGCTCAATTTCAAGTGTTTATATTGGTGAGATTTCAACAAATAATTTTTATCAGCATCAGTTATTTAATATAAAAATAATTTCTTTTTACTCACTTATGACTTAGAAAATTAATTATCGGGCGATTAAGAAATGTTAGGAATGCTTATAGATGATTTTATTTCGATTTACTTTTTTAAGTTATTTCCTTTTAAAAATTAAAAATGATTATTGAAGAATAAATAAACACTTAAATTTTGAATACCTGCTGCAATAGAACTAATAGAATTAGGAGAGTATCCATTTTCTAAAGTGGGTAAATTAGATATAGATTTAGAATTTATTTTATCCATTTCCTTTTAAATTGTTTACATCTATCTCTCCATGTAGCTAGGTGTTCTTAGATCGTGTCGATGTTGCTTATCACTCATATTGAAAACGTTGACACTGATGTTTTTTACACTCTTAGCTCTTGACACTGGATGAAGAGATTCTTGCCAATTAGCATCTAATCTATTTCTGTTTTCTCTCTTTTCTAAGAGCTCCTATTTTCTTTTCTAATAATCCTCAAACATTTCTTATCTTAGCTTTAATTTATTCTATTTATACACTGCAGCGAATTATTCTTTATTTTACTTAGCAATTTTAGAAAGTTCTTCATCAAAAACACTTGCATCTGTTTTCTTTTTACTTTTGCTTTCTATATCAGATTAGCTATTCTAATCTTTATTGATTTTACTTTGCTACAATTATTATTTATCCTTAGGAGTTATTTTCTTTAAGGGTCTCAATGTCTTTAATTTCTGTTCCTATTCTTATACAGGAGTTTCATACAACTATTTTTCAGCCATTTTCTCTTTCTAAGGTATCCATAAGCTTTTCTAAAATGTAGTTAAGTATATTTTTTCTTGATTTTGTTATCCATTTTCGCTTGCACCCATTTCTTCCTGTTCATTATTTTTTAAGTTCTAAGTTTTATTGGTGATAGATGTATCTTGTTTAGTATTCTTAACTTCCATAGACTAATATCTAAAAAAATGAATTTCATAAAAATTTATTTACATTATTTAAATAATTACATTTTAACTTGATTAAAAATTCGTTCATTTCTTTTACTATTTTCACTCTTTTATGGAGAAGACATTTATTATGTATTTTGCTCTCCTTTTATTTAAAGTTACAAAGTTTCTATATTTCCTTGAAGCTTTCTCACTAACTGTTTGAGACTTTCAATTTCTAAAGCTTATATAGTATTTATCTCTCTTTCATCTTTTAACTCCTCTTTTAAAGACCTAATTATATTCAATGCTTTCTTAAGAATCGCTCAAAAATAATGCAAATTACTTTATTATAAGTTTTTGCTAAGAGACTTCATCTAGTGAGTTAAAAATATTTTTATTTTAATTAGGGCTTTAACTTTTCTCTTTACTCAAACCATGCCTCGTATGTTTTGTGATCTTATCAGTGTCTTATTCCTAAAATTTAATAAATTCCATAAATAAGGATTTCTTAAATGTGTATATTATACTTCTATAGTTGGCATAGAGTAATCTTATAAATCAATTTTCTTAGTTTTAGTTACTGTTGTATATGTGACAGTGGTAATACTGCCATCATCATTTTAGTGAGTTTCAACCTTTTATCAATATTATAAAAATATTTCAAATAAATAATGCCTTAATTTAAATTATTATTATTATCTATTAAAAATATTTTCTTGATCATTTTATAAATATTATAATTAGTTTTAATAATCTAATCTAAATGTCATCAAATAGAATATTTTACTTTTTTAGAAACTTCTTCGTTGTCGAAATTGTCGTGATTCTCCTCTGGTAAATTTTAAGAGTTTTCATGCATTTAACTTTGATTCTATTAATCATAATCTTATTGATGCTATTATTCATAGCTTTAATCTTACTGGTTATTTTCTACATTTGGATCTTAATCTTGAAATTCTCCATCATTTCCACCTTCTTAATTATATTCTTCTTGCTATTGATTATATTCTTCACCTTAATCTTCGTTGTTATAATTTTATTGATCATCGTCCTAATTTTATTCATTTTGATAACCGTCATTATAATCTTCTTAGCCATTATAAGTCTCCTTTTATCTGGACCTTTCCATATTTTATAATTCTCTTTCAAATTTTTTTTAAATATCGCTCTCGTAGCTCTCTTCATAATTTTACTGTAAAAAAAAAATGTAAAAGGTGTTGAATTAAATTTTTAATAATATAAATCCTATCATTTTAAAAAATATTTTAACTGCAAATGAAAATAAATATTTTCTTAAAACAGAAAAATTGATCATTTTTAATTTAAAGTCTATATCTTTTAATAATGATAAATATTACTTGGTCATTTTAACTATACTCTCCTTAATCTCCCATCGCTTAAAAACCTTTAGATAAAATTTTAGAAACTACTCTACTTGAATCTAAACAACTGTTTATGAACTAATAATCTGCAAAAAATTGTATTGAAGCTTGAGTTCAACAATTATTTATTTACTTAGTTGCTACTTTGAAAGATAGATATAAAAAATACTATTTTTTTTATTATTTTGCTAATAAAAGCTTAATTAATTAATTAAGGTTTTGAAGTAAGTTTTGTTTTTTTAACAAATAAATGAAATTAAATACATAATCTATCTATATTTAATATATCAAAATGATTTGTAATATCAAATCTATTAAGAAAATACAAAGGAAAATTAAAATCAAAAATTAATAGCAAAAAAAAGACCATCTAAAAAATAGGAGAAGCAAGCTAGCTATATTGCTCGTATGTAAATTTAGTTTACAAGTTAATGATAAAATTTTTTTGATGGACTAATTATGAGAGTTAATCAAACTAAAATCTAGTATTTATTTTTAATATTTATTTAAATTTCCCTTAATAAATATAAAGATTTATTAACATAAAAATGAATTTAATAATAAATAAGATCAAATTTACTAAAGGAATATTTAATTAACTAAATAATTAACCAATCATATATGAAAGGATTTATAAATTAAATGCTATAAAAATATATACGGTTATGATTATAAAAATTGAAATGAACAAATTTAATTTAGTGCTGATAAATAATCTTTAAAATTTATTGTATGTATAACCTTTGTTTATTTATTTATTTATTTCATCAAACAAAAATAAATAATAATTAAAAATTCAATTCTCCAAGAGAATCAATAATCAATCAGCCAAATAAACAAAAATTGTATTAAAAAACCTTTAGTCAAATAAAGTAAGCTGAATATTTAAAACATAATTTAATTAAATAAAGAATTTTAATACGAATATATACATTCACACATAGAAAAAAGAAGATAGAAATTAAGTGCAAGCTTATATTTAAATAAAAGTAAATACATAGGACAAGACTTAGCTAAATGAATTAGTTTTAAATCTAAATGATGAAGCACTTGCGCAGTGGCAAGAAGTAGCAACCTAACAGTTTATATGATACAAATTACTCCAATTCATAAGAGAGGAAAAGATCAAGCACCTAAACTTCATACAATTCTACCAGCACCAATCCATTTACTTAAATAGAATCAAGTACTCATTACGAAACTAAAGGTTTAGGTATTCATGAAGTAGATTACATACCAGAAATGTCAAGAGAGAGCTCTGCTATTAAAAAGAGAAGAACAGTAGAATTAGATCCATAAGCTATCAACTAGCTTATAACTCCAAGTAGAGTTAATGTTTTAAAAGTAGAAAACGATTCTACAAACATGAGGTCTCTTTCTACTGATTTTTCCAGTATCAAAAAGAGCAATTTTAAAGATGAAAACAAATTAGCAGATAGCATTTTTCAACTTAGAAATAGACTAATCCGAAATTAACCTGATGTTGAACAAGAATCCAAATATTTAAACAAAAATGAATAAATAGTTAATCGAATCGTTCATTTGGAAAGCTTTTATAATTTCCCTACCTTATATGACAAAGAAGAAATAGAATCAAGACGTAGAAGTAGAGAATACTCATAAACGCTTTAAGAAAGAAACGAATTAAGACGTAACAGATCTCTTTCTGCAAACCAATAGAAATTTATCAACTCAATAATTGAAAACGGAAAAACTTAATACAAGAAAGTCAAAAGGGTTTATAGTTCATCTGTAAATTTAGTTTTTGTCAAAAAAAATTATCTGATTTTCAGAATTCTTTTAATAAAAGTTTCTTCTATTTCATAAAACCAACTAACTACTACTGTTGTTTACAGTTTTTAGATTAATAACAAACAATAATTGCATTATTTTTTACTGGAACTGTATCGAAAATATTTATTCATATTGATAGAAAGATAGCTTTGTAAAAATTTAATTGTTAAAATGGATTTATATTTGAAATTTGGTTAGTAAACAAACAAATACATGAAAAGTTGTTCAAGGATAATTGAGAAAAGAATAAACTCCAAATTTGCAATAATTTTGATGCACTATGATAATTAATTAATTCATTATTTAATTAATTAAAAATAAAATAATTGGATTTATTTCGATTTTTATTAGCAAAATTTTATTTCTTTTTTTAATCATAAATTAATTTTTAATTATTTAATCTTAAAATTTATCAGCAATCTAGACTTAGATTTTAAAGTGACAAAGAATAGTACTCTAAAGATGTATTCTTCAAAGTTTATGATGATTGTAAAAAGAGCTGTAAAGAATTTGATTCTCTTATAAAATCTTCTAACTCACTATCAAGAGTATCTCTTTAGTAGCCTTCAATCAATCACCCTACTTTCCCTCCTCATGTTAAATAAACAGATGTCTAGCTAAAAAGAGTAATAAATCTTAATTATTTCATTTCAAAATTCAAAACGAATAAGGATTATTTTAGTTTTTTATAAAAATATCTTTTTCTAAAATTATAGAAATTTTAATTTTTAACTTACAAAAATATGTATCTGTTTTCAATTAAAATTTATCAATAAATTTATTTTTATTAAAAGATAAATAAAGAATTTAAAAATAATTGCTGCACAATCATGAATCAAATCCACTAAAACGTAAAAAACAATTGCTGAATATACTCAATTTTTTATAACATTTTTAATTAATAAAATGTTTATTCTCAAAAACCTAATTTTAATCCTAATTTTATGTGTAAATAGTAATCTCTTCAGAGAATTGGTATTAATCAAAAATTCTATGAGCTAGAAGAAAGCATGAGATTTAGTAATACAGAAAAAATTGAATTTACTCCTTTAATTAATAGTCTAAATTCAAAAAATCTGTTAGAAAGTAACAATAAATAAGAAAATTTAATTTTATCTTAGTAACTTAATCAAAATGTAAATGTAAGCTAATTCTAAGGTTAAAATTCTAACCAAGTCGAAAAAAGCTTAGACTCAAATGGCCACAATAAATTGATTTCATCTGCGAAGCTTTAGAATTCTTTGAATTTAAATTTAAATTCCCCTGGATTAATAAACTCTGATAATTTCGATATTCTTAATAATTATTCAGTTAAAAGTTAAAAGCCTTCTTAAGGCTAATAAGGTTGCTAACCTTTGGTATATTCTGCTAAGAAGTATATGAATTAATGTAGTAGTTTGGTGTAATTAGAAAAAGATCTTTAAAAATATAGAGAAATCTAATAATTAGCTTAGTTTAGTCCCGATATTTAGCAATAAAAACAATAATAATAACAATAACAACCATTGTAAGATAGTAATTTTAATTCAACATAAAAAATAAATTAAAGTAAGAAAATAACTAGGAAAGAATATCTTTAAGCAAAATGTCGCCATAATATAACTACAATGTATTGCTCCATTTGCAACAGATAAGTGAAATCTAAGATTTGACTTATTATAAACTAAATTTTAGAATAAATGAAATAACTGTTAAAAAATGATTAAAATATTTTTCCAACTATTAAATTACTAAAAAGCAATTATTTTAATATAAAATAATTAAAATATTGTAAAATTTTGAATGAATAAATAAATAAATAATTAGACAGTTGAATTAAATATTTAATAACAATTATATTATAAAATCTCTAATAAAAGTATTTATCTTATATAAATTTATCAAAATGCAACTGATGTATTTATTAAATTCCTTTTTGAACTTATTATATATTCCCTAAAATTGATTAAAAATGCATGATTTATTTTAAAGGTATTTACTTCATATTTAGCTTATTCTCTAAATCAAACAATTTTATAAAAGAGAATAATCAAAATTATTATTTAGAATATTTTATATATTATTAATTTAGCTTTAGATTTGTAAATTATCAGAGTAAATGGGAGTCTTTGTCTCCAAATAACGAAAGGTAAATAAATATATTCATCAACAAGCAATACAAAAAATTAAAGTTTTAATAAATTAAATGATGATCTTATTATTTAAGCGAGATAGATAAACATTCATAAAATTTATAAATTAATAATTCGAATTCTTTTTTAAGTTAAATGAGCTTTTCAATAACTGAGAGTATTAATAGGTCTTTTTTGGTAAGATGCAATATAATGAAATATATTGAATATTCAAAGTAATAATATGCTGAATTTAATTTATGTTTATGAGATCATATAGGAATTATGAGAAATTAAAATTTAATGCTTACATAAAAATCAAAGAAAAAATAATTGATAAAATATCTTACTTTAAAAATTTTCTCAGTTTTTGATATTAATTAAGTTTCTAAATAATTAATCAATAATTTAATTACTAAACAATTCATGTAAAAGAATATCAAATTGAATATAAAAAACATAAATTCTTTTAAACCAATAAAAAAAGAATCAGCTTCCTATAAAATTTACTTAACAATAATAACATTATTCTTTAAATAACTTGTATACAAATATAAATATCCTTAAATAGTAAAGATATACTAATTCATATGTTAGGTAAATGTAATCTAATATAAATTTTATACTTAGATAATACTTGTAAAGCTTGTAAATTTGATATTTTTAAAGTTTATAATTTTTGTAAATATATTTTATGTAAATTCTTAAAGGAGAGAAAAATCAATTTGAGGAAGCACGAAAACAAATTAATCTTCATCTACACAGAAATATAAATATATAATATAAGTTAAGCAAACGAGATAAATGCATGAATTATGGGTAATTAGGTATATATGTAATCACAGAATAAGAGGAGTTTGGATAAAAGACTTTAGAGCGTTTATATATAAATATATCTGATCTTTGAGCTAACATTAAATTAAAGAAATTAATTTATTCTAATTATATGCTTTTTTATATTTTCCTTATTTTGTCGTTTTATACTTATCACATGGTATTTATTGACCTAAATATATCTAATTCAATCTTAATCCAGGCAGCAGCTTATTTTAGCATCTCATTTATATTTTTTAAATTTAACTAAGATTTGTTTGTTTGTTTATTTATAATACTATCCTTGCTCTGATTTAATATAATCTTGGTTATTTGCCTGCACACTGCACAGAAAAGAGTGTTAATCGGAAAAAGATAGCTTAAATTAACGAATTGGGAGATATTATTATCGAAGTGAAGATTGATAATAAATAGCTGGAAGACGATTAAGAAGAAAAAAAAAGGTCAAGGTATTTGTAAGTTTTATAAGAGGACAATATTTTGAATAGGAAATACATATATTGAGATAAATAATAAGATTGATTTATGAGTGATAGAATAGATTGTTGGATATATATAATCAGATATCATTTCTTTCATCCTTGTTTATACTTTAATTACTTTGAAAAAGAGAAGAGTGAGGAAAGTTTTACATTCACTTAACTTCACTTTTCTTTGCTATCCTTCTATTTTTCTAATTTTTTAAAAATTGAAGTATTATTCCAACTGTAAATAATAATCACTTAATAAAAAATAATCTGATCAAAGAAGCTTTTATTGCTATATTTTCTTTAATTAAAACTTTTTCATATCTTAAAAATTTATATTTTTTTTATAGGGGAAATCAGTAAAATTGATTGATTGCTTGCTTGCTTGCTAGCTTTTCCTAAAAAGTTTTCAATTTGATAGCTATTTAAATTACATTTTCCTTTTGAAGAAGTATCGGACTCATCTTCTTCATCATAATCAGTGTATTCTGCTTTAGAATCTAAAGGTTGATCTACACGCATAGCTTGTAGAGTCTGAGAAATATTTGCAGAAATGATCTAGAAGAAATCTGGATGTTTGAGCTTTATATGTTAAGCTAATGAACCTTCTGAGCCATATGATTTCTAGCATGTTTCTTAAGGACATTTGTAGTGTCTTTCTATTTCATGGGCTGCTCTTCTATGTCTTTTTTTCTTTTCTTCAGCCAAGCTTTGTTAAGTATCAAGTTATCTTTTCTAATTTCATTTACAGAACAAAAAATTAATAAATATTCTAAAAATAAAACTTCATATTTCGATTTTTTCACACAAATAAATATTTGCTAATTGAATTAAATTTAGAAATAAAAATTTCCTAATTTATTCTAAGTTAAGAATAACCTCCCTTCCTACTATTAAAAAATAGTGAAATATTTAATTTAATCAGCAACTATTTATCAAGCCCTTAGTTAGTATTTGCTATTTGAATAACACTTCTTCCTCCTCTAGCGTTTAAAAAACATGATTAATTAAGCTATTTGAATGCCTTTTATTATTTTTGCTAATTATTTGAGCTATTTTGATTTGATTAGGATGATTTATATCTTTGAGTTAAATTCAAAAAATATATAGATAGGCTGCCAAACAACTAAGCACTTAATAAATAAATCAATGGCTAAATCTAGAATTTCAGAGTTATATGTATATCTTATATTTGGGAGTCAAGTGCGGTTATAGAGAAGAGTAGCAAAAAAATTATTAATTTAAAATAATGGGCTGGGAAGAAATCAAAAATTAGTTGATTTTTAAAAATTAATTTCCTTACTTCTAATTTTTAATATTTTTATAGTAGATCATTCTTTTCTTAAAGGAGTTCCTTCACCTAATTTTCATAAAAAGAAAGAAATTAATTGATTTTAACCAACCTCCAGTCAATAGAAAAAAATATAAATTCCTCTTTAAAATTGGTAAATAAGTTTAAACACATTCATTCATTCATAATCTATAAATAAATATATGTGCAGATATTAAATAAATTCATATGTTTAAATATCAGGTCGGTCTGTCTTATTAAATTCATTCATATTTAGAGAGTTTTTAATTTAAATAAATCTAATCTTTGTTACCTAGTTTGTCAATACTACATTTGCTATGTAAAGTCTGCATGCTTCTTATTAGTAGTAGTTAACTTAATCCTCATAAGAGCCTTTTTGTTTTATTTTATAGACATTTTGTGACTGGCTATAAAAATGTAAAAAACAAATTCTGTAAATATTTACTTTGTGCAGGAGGAGGAGAGATTAAAATGTTGGCTTACTAAGGCTGTTTTTATATTATGAATTGAATTAAGTAAGGTGAAACAAATGAATATCTCGCATTTGCAAGAAATTTTATTACCTTATTAGCTTGGGGCATCTGCAATTAAGATGAACCCTAATGATCAAAATCTTACATTTGAGGTTAATTGTATCCGTACCTTTAAATAGTTATAGAAAAAATGGTTGGTTGTTGTAGCATGATTTTGGCTTGAAGATAAAATGAAATACATTTTCAAAAAATCTTTTAGAATTCAGTTTTGGAAATGATATTTCTTGATTGATGAGTATGCGGAGATATTATTTCACTAAATATTGATGTATTGCTTTATTTATAAATTACTTATCTAATCTCTTCTGATGTTTTTTTTTAATTTTTGTTTTATTATTAAATTAAATCTAAAATTCTTTTCTTTTTAATTTTTAATTTTTTTGATATTGGTCTTATTCATTCCTAATTTTCTTAAGTTCCAATTAAAAAATATCACGAGAATAATATCCTAATAATATTTTAACTTGCGATTTATTTGAAGAGTAAAATCCCTATCTATTAAATAATCTAATTAATTAAATGAGTGAGTGATAAGTAATTTAAAATATACATCTTCTTCAAAAATAGCGCTCAGTTGCGTTTAAAAAGTTAAATAAACAAAGAAAAAAGTTAGCATGCAAACAAGCAGAAAAGCATATAAATAAGCAAATATTGATTCATAAGTTATGAATTTACCTATTAAAAATTTTATAAAACTTAGAATATCTTAATTAAAGCTCAAAATGAGTGAGTAAGAGAGATGCTTCAAAAGATTATCTATAAAATACAAAGCAAATTTAAATGAAATTTTATTATGAATTTGTTAAGCTTTTTTAATATTTTTTATCAGTATGTTTATTTAAATCTTAAGTTAATTTTTGAATTATCGAATTATACATAAGAAACAACTATTACATACAATTCAAGCCAAGAAATTAAATAAAACTAATTTTTTTATTACTGATTGATTTTCAATATCTCCACATATATTTAAGTTTTTTTTCTTTTAAAAATTATCAATAAAAAATTGGTGAAAATATTTATTTTCATTAGTAAGCTTTTTATAGTTTAATATTAGTATATTTTATTTTGGTTTCTACTAACCAAATATTATATTTATGATATATGTGATAAAACGAATGTAAATCACCTCAGATTTAATGCTATCTTACTGTTTAAATTTTTTTATTTATGCTTTCCTTAAAATGTTAGTATTAATTGAAGTATTATTAAAATTAATTCCAAAAATAAATAAAATATTGTATTTTTATTGTTTGTTTGGTAAAATTAAAAATATTATTTTGAGATGATTTTAAATAATCAATCATAAAAATTATTTATAATAAGAATCTTTATAAACACAATTAGCATATGATTAAGTACACTATGCATATATATTTTATCAAAATGGATAAACAACTTGCACTACATTCTTTTCACTTATATTTAAAAAAGGAGGCTCTTCATTTTGCTAGATTACAGTTACCTTTTTTTAATATTTTAAAAATTTAAAATAATTTTATTTATTTAATAAATTATTACATCTTTCAACACAAGTAGTGTATTGAGTTTCAGGGAAATTTAAGTTCCTCTCTCATGATTTAGAGTATACACAGTAGAAAAATCCATCTTTTTTTCTTTTTTCTTTTTATCTTACTTTTATGAAGGTATTTAATCTCCTTCAATACTCATTTTGTTGTTTCTGTTAATAAAATCATCATCACTTTCGTCTTCTTAATCTCCTTCTTCTTCATCTTCAGGTTCTTCTTTTTTAATAATTAGACTTTGATTGTTTTCTCCTATATCATCCATAAACAAATTCTTTGAAAAAGAACCAATTATACTGCATGAGAAGTCCTTTTAATTAAGAATTAAAATAAATAATTCATAAATTAATAAAATTTGAAAAGTTTATAAAATTACTAAAAGAGTAGCTTTGACAATTTAGTGCAATATTTCATATTCAATCATAATAACAGCTAGAAAAGGTATTTTTTTATTGTTGAAAACCCCTCTGAATATTTATTTTATATTGTATTCTTTTAATTCTTTAGGTATTGTTGAATTAGCAAGTTTGAGTTCAAATTGCTAGCTTGTAAGGTTATACATTTTATCCAAATAGTAATGCCAGACTTTGCATTCCTCTACACTTTGTTTTATTTTCTTTTTCTTTTGGTATAGCCTCAAATTAATTTTATATGGAGTAACTTAAGGAATATTCTTCTTATTTTACTTTTTATTTGTTGTATTCAGGTAACTGGTATTATTCATTTGATTTCTAGAAATATTTCCTTTAGTCAGATCCATACTTTCTTCAAAGTTGTTCATATTTCTAGTATTGTTATTGAATCTATTATTGTCATTAGGTTTAGCTGCGAACATAATATTCTGATAGCTGCTTTCAAAATTTTTATAGAAATCATCCTCATCTTCTTTTTGACTATTCATTGAGTATTATGTAATTTTTTATTAATAATTATTTGTTTTAGAATTTTGCACAGGAGTTTTATAAATATTATTAATTTTTTTATTTTCATCGACATAACTCATGTTTAAAACAGAGTTTGAGAGTGATTAATCTTCAGCAAATTTATTATTTTGAAGCTTATTTTGTATTTATAAGAAAGAACTACTTGTTTTAGGTATTTATTCAACTAATGAGGGTTGTTTCATAGCTTTTTGTTGCATGAAACCAGCTTCTTCGTTATTATTACTATTAAATTTTTAATTTTCAACTATATTGGTAGTCCTATTTATGTTAATCTATGGTTTAACTTATCCTGATTGTTATTAATTGTTTACATTAAATTTTTATAAAAGCTATTATTATTAATTTTGGTTTGTATTAGATTATAATTTATTTTAAATATAATTTAATGATGTTTATTTTTGTTTAGAAAATAAATTATTTTATTTATTTTCTGTATTTGTTGGCTCTTTTTCAGGTTAATTTTACATTTATATATTTTATTAATCTTTGTATTTATTTAATGTGTTTTACAAGCCTACATTTAACTTGTTATTTATTTTACTGCTTGATGCTTGCTGAATTTAATTAGGTTTTTGGTTATTCATTTAAGGAATTACTTTTTTAGATAGAGCTATTTCATCTCCATCATCTTCAGACTCTTACTGGATTTATATAAACATACTCATGTCAGCAACTGATTTTTTATCGTCCATATCTTCATCCATTTTATTAGACTCATTTTCTATTCTAGATATCTCTTCATTAGCCTCAAAAAGAGCATCAAACATAGAAAGATCTTGGTCATTTCTATTTTAAGACATAGTATTTTATTAATTTAATTTATTTAACTATTCTTTTGAGTTTGCTTGCTTTTGTTAAAATGTTTATTCAGATAGTGAATCTTTCATTATTGGAAGTATTGAAAACTTCGAATTCTGGTTTGATTTATTTTAATTTATTTACTGAGGTTTAGTCATTTGAGTATTTTAAGTTGATTTAGATATTTATTTTAAGTGTTCAATGTCATCATCTTCATCTTCATCGTCTTCACTAGTGTTAAGAATTTGATTTAAGCCTCTAACATTTTGATTTAAAGAAACCTTATCTTATATAGTTTAATTTTCTGGTTTATTTGGTGAAGGCATTATTGGCTTCTACTCATTTACTTTTCCTTAAATTCTCATTACTAATGAATTATTAGAATCATTTTAATTTGCTTTATTTTCAACACTATTAACAGAAACACTAAATTGTCTTTTGTTTACCGTATTTTAATCTTTTTGCTAAGTAGTTTTATTCTCATTTTCAAAGCTTTACTCTCTCTAAAATATTTTATCTATATTGTCAGAATTTAAATCTTCATTTTCTAAGTTTGTAGCTTCTTCTTCTATTTTTGGCTCAATAATTTCGCTATTTTATTAATTTATTTACATTTTTTAGTTATTTTGTTTATTTTAGAACTTCATTAAAACTGGATTAACATTTGAAAAAGGCTTCTTTAATTTCTTCTTATTGTAATTTTCTTATTCTGCATAAGAAATTTCCTCTTATTTTGACATTTTAGCAAACCTAGAATTGTCATCAAAAGGAACTTGATTAGTTTATACTTGCTAAGCTAATCGTTAATTTTGATTTAAATTGGATTACTTTACTTTTGATTAGTTGTTCAATTGTTAAATATTTTCTGATTTAGCCTAAATGGGTTTATCATTTTATAAAAATGACAATATATCATTATGATTGTCGTCCTCATCAGACATAATAGATGAGTCAATATTTGCATTTCTACTATTTTGAACATTCGAAGTTGATAAGTTTGCAGCGCTTGCTTTTTTGATTAAAAAATAATTATAATGAAAAAAAAAATGAAAAAATATTTACAAATATTAGTTTCCTTTTTTTAGGCCAGCAATTTCAATCTCTAATTCATTTTAAAGAGTTGTAAAAATAATTTCTAAGTTAAAATATGACTGATAGTTAAGTAGCTAGTGTATTTGTTTTTTATATTTTTGTTTATAACCAGAGAAATATTAAGCTATTTTAATTAGAAGAAATAGTATGATTTGAAGAATGTAGGATTTTTAAGATATTAAATATTATAAAAATAATTAAGAATTTAAAATTATGAAAATCTTTTAATACTTCATTTAATTGCGCGAAATTTTGACATAATTTATTAGTTCACACTTAAATTTTACTAAAATGATAATAGATAATTAATTAAATGTTTTTGGTATTATTCTAAAACTTAAAATATTTACTATTAATCAATTAAATATGATAATACTAAGTAAAAATAATATTTTACTTTGAAATTTATTTAAAAATATTATTTTTTTCTTATTTACTGACTCTCAAAAGATTATTTAATTTTTTATTAAATCATATATTTTAAAATACTATGCCACCCTTTTCTATTTTTTTTGTAAATTTAGTTTTCTTCATCGAACTATCTGAAATTTTTAAAGAAGGTATAAACAATTTTAAAATTAATTTTAAATAAATTATTTTTATTTATCTGGAATTAATATTATAAAAAATAAAATAATATATTGAAGCATATAATTTATGAGATCTTCAAATCAGTTAATAATTCAAATTGTTTGCTTGATAATAATTAAATATTAAAAAAATATACAAAATGTTAAATAAATTAACTAGTTTAGTAGACTTAGTTTTCTATGGTTTTATATAGTAAAAAAACAAGTTAACATATTTATAAATTATAAAAAGAAGATCTACTTCATATTTTAATATAAATTAGAATCAATATGGATAGTTCTAGTTTAAGAAAAAATCAATTTTAGTACTTTTTTATAAACTTAAAAAATTCATTAAATTTTTATGAATTGCCTTCTTATTTGAATATTATTGGTTTATTTATTTAATGCAAAATTTTTAATAGGCATTATTTTTTGCAAATATTTTTACTATAAACAATATAATAAATTAATTAATCAATTATAGAGTCTTTATATTATTAATATAGTAAAATCATAGAGATTAGCTTAGTTGTAATATAAACTAATAAAGCTACATTGAGTGTGCTATGAGTGGGAATGCTAGAGACTTTTTTTTCAATAACCGGCCATTATAAAATAATTTAGATTACTTAAAAAAAACTGATTCTAACTCTGAAGTTAATTGGGAAGGAGAAAGTGAGTTTAGAGGCAATTCTGCAATACATATGCAAAACTCTTTACACTCAAAAATGTCAACATTCAAACAGACTACAGTAAAAGATGATGAAGCAGTTTATAAAACTTAAATAATGAAAGAAAATAATTAAAGTTAGAGCAATTAGTTAAGAAAAGTTAAATCTTCTACAGATAATTAAATTTAGAATGATAATAATAGCCAAGAAGACTAAAAGAAATCAAATCACGATGAAAAAGCGTAGGATAATAAATTTCAGTAGTCTCCTTTTGCAGACAAAAGCTAATAATGTGACGGTTCTACAAACTAAGCAACCAACCACAATGAGATTGATAATCCCCAAGAAATTAGAGAAGAATTCATTGCTTACCAAAATCAAGCTATTCAAAACAACTAAATTAATTTAATAATTCATTAAGATTTAGAATAAAATGTAAATAGTAAGCATATCGCAAACTAGTAAATAGATTTAAAGGGAGATTATTCTCCTGCATGTAGCTAAACTAGTCGCATTGCTAAATCTCCTGACTCCTAATAATCTCCAGTTGATATAAAAAATGATTTTGAAAACTACAGATCTCCTAGTGAGAAAAATAACTAGGAAAACCTACCTCCTGACACTTAGAAATAGAAAAAAAAAAGTGTCGAGAGACCAAAAATATTTAAGTTTAAAACTGATTTAGAATGTGTATATGAAGTTGAATGCTGGAAAGATTATAATAGAGAAAATTCAAGAGATAATAAAAAACTTGGATGCTCATGTTCAATTTTCTGATTTAATTGAAGGATGTAGATAAGAAAAAAATAATGAAATGTGCATTTTAATTGATAAATAAATAAATGAATGAATAAATCAATCAATAATTAACTATTATGAATTTAATTCGTTGGACTATTCAAAAATAATAAATATATATAGACAAACTATTGGTTTTTAAATAAAGAATCTCAATTATTTACAATAAAAAAAATAAAAGTTATGCTGAATAAAATAGATCAATGAATGAATATCAAGTAGCTCATAAAATACTATACTTTACTTTACTGACTCCAAAAGAAGTAAAAATCATAATTACTACTAGATATCTACTAATTTATTGAAATTGCAATAACCTATTATTTTCCCCTTATTAAACCACTATAAAAGATGTATAAAAAAAAAAAAAAATCAAATTTATTCTCAAAATTTTAATTAAAGCTAGCAAGCATAGCTTAAATAGAAAAAATAAACTTTTAAATTAAATAAGAAATAGCAAACCTGACTTTAATTGAATTTTTATATTATAAAACATAAATAAAATGGCAATTTGCATTAATTTGCTTATTTAAAATAACTTACTTTTATTGTATTTTTTAAACGGTATTTATTTTAAACTATTTATTAGCTCAGCAAAATTAATTTTATATTTAATATTGTTGAGTGTATTCATTTAAGATAATACAGTGAATTAATTAGTTCATTTTAACCATATTTACTTCAACATTCTAATTAATTAGAATTATGGTAAAATTTTGATATAGAAATTAAAAAATTATTTATTTACACGTTCTGTGACAATATTTTTAAAAAAGATCTTTTTAAACTTTTTTGATAAGATTTTGGTGACAATAAAATCTTAATTTGTTTTTGTGTTAAAGATTTAATTAATTAAAGGCTGTTTTTACAAATAAAAAAGTTAAAAAAGATAATTAAATATTAAAATAACTTAAAAAAATGAGCGACTATGACTTTGTAATTAAGTTCAAGAAGTCTATGGACAAAGACAGCCAAAGCGCTTTATGCAAATCTTTAGAGTTTAGCGGATTTGAAGTAAAGGTTTTCCCTGAAAATCAGACTGAATAGGACTTCTGTAAGGATGAAAAAATGCTTTTTGTTAAGTACAGAGATTATACATATCTTTTGAAGAAAGCAGATGAACTTAAGCTATAAAAACGCATGCTAGACCAATATTTGGAGGAGGAATATTCTAACAAAGATTCTTCCGTTGAGAAAAAAAAAGCTACAAGCTCTAAAGAGTAATATGCTAAACTCGTTTAAGAAGAAGAATTTCGTAATAAAAAAATTTAAAAATTCATTGACATTAGAGTTGAATTGCCAGATTTAGTTAAGAGAATGGAAAAATATAGGAGATTCAGGTATAACATCAAGCATAAATTCTGTAAACAGGAAACAGATAGTGAAATATTTAACATATTTACTCCCAGTGAGTAGCTTATGATAAAGCAGTCTATTATAATGAATATTGTTTACAACCAAGAGAATTTAATAGAAAGCTACAGAGAGAAAGGACTGATTCACAATCCTATTCCACTTCATCAAAAAAGCTAAAAGCCTGAAAAAATGACTGTGAGTGACATTAGAAGCTACTTTGGAGATAATATTTCAATTTATTTCGCATTTGTTGAGTTCTTCTAAAAGTAACTACTTCCATTAGTTGGTATAGGTATATTAATAGGTATTCTAAATAACTTCTTTGACTATGACTCGAAAACTTCTCCTTTTGATTCAATTTACTCTGCCATAGTCATTCTATGGGGATCTTTCTTTTTTGCTACTTGGAAAAAACATGAGAGGTAAATTAAAGTTCAGAGTTGCTCTTAAAGCCAAAAACAACTTAAAAAGACTCAAAAAATGCTAGTTTCACAAGAAGAAGCTTCTTTGTTTATCCCTAAAATCGATTACGTTACAGGCTAAAAAGATTTACACTTCCCTTTTAAAAGAAGATTAGTGAGATATATAGTTGGTGGAATTAAATTACTCCCTTTTATTACTGCTGCCATTCTCTTTTTGATTGTTTCTCTTAACATCAGAGGATATGTAGATCCTGATCATGAGTTCTTGTTTATTAAGTAATTATTTATCTATTTATTTATTTACTTACTTACTCGTTTTAAAATACAAAAATACCAAAACGTATTTTAGCAAAATTTTTATTTAGTTATTTTCAATTTTTAGCATTAGACTCAGAATGACTTGAATAGGCTAAAATTTTTTTTATTTTAAGTTTTTAATAAAATTAATAACGAATAGAGATAAGAAATATGAAATACAATTAATAATAAATATAAAAAAGTTGAATTGAATTTGATATAATTTTATTATAAATATAGAGTTTTATATGATTAAAGTTAAGCAGGTGGATTTTTCGATAAAAGTGTAGGCTGGAGAAAACTTCTAGCAACTATTCTACACGTGAATATTTTCTAAAAGTTAAATGGATTCTACAGAGCTGTAGCTGAAGAGACTTGCAAAAAAGAGCTTCATTCTACTCATGTTAAGAAAAATAACTCTTTAGTTTTGAAACGTTTCTTATTTGAAATGTTATACACTTTCACTGATTTGTCTTATATTGCCTTTGTTCGTTTTGATATTGAAGCTTTAAAAAGAGAATTAATTGCAATTTATTCAGCTGATGAAATAAGAAGAGTTGTTACAGAGTCAGTTATTCCATACTTTACAAAACTAAAATACCGTAAGTAGCAAGAAGCATAATAATAGAGATTAGCCAAAAAAACAGATGAGCAAGAAATGCAGTTACAGTACTTTAAAGATGTAATGCTTGAGTTATAACTTCCAAAGTACGAGCCCTTTGATGATTATTTAGAGATTGTAATTAATTTTGGATATATCACTTTGTTTGCAGCTGCTTTCCCATTCGCTCCATTACTTGTTTACATTTTTAATGCTATTGAATTATACTCAGACAAGCATAAGATTTATTACCTATATCAAAGACCTCATGCTTTCAAGATTTCAGGAATTGGAATTTGGAATTAAATTTTGAGTTTCATCAGCATCTTCTGTGTTCTTACTAACATCATTCTTTTTTCTTTTAGCAGCGATTAAATTACTAGATTTTTCCCTTCTCTCTTCTTTGAGCAAACTCATTCAGAAGGTATTTATTTATTTATTTATTTTTTATTATTGATTAGGCTTAAATTTAAAAATTATTTAAAATAAAGAATAAGTGCTTTTCATGGCTCCTCCTCCTTTAGAAGGCTAAGGAAGATACTTAGTTTTCGTAGTATTTGTTATAGAGCATCTCTTATTTATTTCAATCTATCTTCTTAGAAAATTCATTTTAACAAGATCTGATTGGACTATGATTTATCAATAGAGAAAAGAATATTACAAAAAGATTAGATATATTCCTTAACAAGAAAATTGAAGAAATGTTTTTTTTGGTTAACGATTATTTATTTATTTATTTATTTAATTTGTTTACTTTAAAAAAATGTAATTGGGAATATTATTTTAAAGATTATTTTTTATTGTGAATTTTATTTTTTTGGAATAAATTACATAATCATTTATTTAGCTAAAGGTATAAAAATATAAATGTTTCGTTCTGTAGATTAATATGTATATTACAATTTTTGATATTTCATAAAAAAAATTAAAAATATAAAAAAAGTAAAAAGTGACTGAATATATTTGAAATTAAATAGTAGTTAAAATATGTTTGTTTGTTTATTTATTTATTTTAATATTTTTGAGTATTATTTTTAAATATAAAATAAAGATATTTATTTATTTTGTGATATTATTAAATGAAAAATACTTTTATATAAACAAACATAGATTGATTGATTAGAGAATGAATTAATCAATTTTAAAAATTTTAAAAATTTAAAAAATTTTTAAAATTGTAAAAATGTTCTTATGCTTACTTTGATATAATTAACTATTATTCTTTAGAAGATTTCTCCTTTAATTTCTCTTATAAAGATTTTATTTCTTTATCCTTTTATTATAATTATAATTATAAACTTTTATTTAACTCATCTTTTTCATTTTTAACTTAATCAAATAATTTCTTCTAGCCCATCATCATAATTTCTAAATCCTTTATTTTTCTTTCTAACTCTTATTGGTTGTTTTATTGTCTTTAATTATTGTTGCTATTGTTAATATTATTATTAGGCTAATTTTGTGCATAATATTACTAATTATTTAATTAGTTATTTTAATAAGGGTTATTATTACTATTATTTATTACCATTGCATTATTATTGATTTGTTGGGACATGCATTATTCAACTTCAGTAATTATTTAGTTGATATCTTTTCTATCATTTGGATTTTTTTAAAGCATCATATCAATTAAATTTATGACACTCTCAGATTAAATATGCTTAAAGCTTTAAGTAATAAAATCAGTTTAAGCAACACTACTTGATAATTTATACCAATCTTTGTAGTTTCGAGATTTTAAAATATTATTTCTTATAATGTCTATAGTTTACCCTTAAAAAAGTATTGTACCTGTTAAAAGTTCATGAGCCATAACCCCTATAGCCCATATATCTACTTTATTCGTATACTTTTGATTACTAAAATCAAGCATATCAGGTGCCATGTATGAAATTGTACCTACTTTACTCTATAAAATAATTTAAATTTTAACTAATTTGATAAAAAAAGAAATTTACTATCATATTCTATTCATTTTTTCCTAAACCAAAATCTCCAACTTTACAAATTAGTTGATCTTATTGATTTTTGCCTATAAAAATATTATCAGGTTTGATATCTCTGTGAGTAATATTTTTCATGTGCAAACTTTTTATTCCTAAACAGATTTCTTTAATGCATTTTAAAGCAGTCATTACATCTAATCTCTGGTTGGGACTTTCTTTTCTTAATTTTTAAAGATCTGAAATGCAAAGATCCATAACAACATAGCACTAATATTATGTAGGTACAACACCAAGTACTCTAACTATATATTCACAATCAATGCTCATTATCTGTTTGCTTGTTTCTATTTCTTATTAATAATACTCATTTACAGTACCCATATTGTCTATGTACTATTTTAATTCTTTAACAGCTACATCTTAATTGCCATACTTACCTTTGTAAACGGTTCCGAATCCTCCTTACCCTAAAGGTCTTGACTTTTCGATATAAAGATTTTCTGAGATCATAATCCATTATTCCTAAACTTGATTGTTAAAATTAAATGCTTACTAATTATTTTAATTCATTTTTTTTCTTTTTGATTTCTTATTATCCAATTACTTACTTACTACCAATTTTTTGTTTAATATTCTATTTGCTAATATTAATTTTCCTCTTGATCAGAGAGATATATAGGAAATTAGTTGAATTTTTTATTTATTTATTTTAATTTTAGAAATTTACAATTCTTTAAAGTAATACAAATAATAAAAGGCATATCTTTCTTCATAAAAAGCATGTATAGCTATTTTTTCTTTTATGATATCATACCGAATGAATATCAAGTAAGAGTTATTAGAATTTATGAAATTAAATATGTGTTTCAATAAAGGAACGAAGAAACATTTAAATAAAATTAATATTTTCAAAAAAATACTTTTTATTAATAAATTCTTAATTAATTTAGAAAATGATAAATATAAAATCTTAATAGTGCAGAAAAACTCTAAAAACTATTAAAATAATTTAAAAAATAAAGTTAAATTTAATAATAAATCTATCTATTTACTTTAACATTCAATAGATAAAAAAATGTAGTATAATAATCAATGATACATTTAATATTAATATTTTTCTTGGGATAAATAAAGAAAGTTAGTGCAAAATAAGATAAGAGTTATTTTTGAAAAAATATGAAGTAAGAAATCATATATATATTTATATAGGTGCTGTTGTAAAAATGAAGGATATAAAAATAATAGTAATTTAATATTCATATAACATTTTTTTGAATAAGACATTTATTTGTTATTAATATATTTAGTTGATTTATTAATTTATTATTTATTGAAATAGTTTAATACTTATTTTGGAGGAAAATTAATAGATAATTCAATCAATCAATCAGATTATTTATATGAAGTAAATGTAGAAAAAATATGTCATTTTACTTTCTTCAAATAAGATCAGTGAGGCATAAGAAATTACTTAGATAATTATTTTAATTAAGATTTAACTGTGAAAGTTATTTGTTTATATTTTAAATGCTAAATTTGCAGTTTTTCCATTTGAGCCTCTTAATTTTAACAAAATAAAAATATGATTACCTATCTTTTGAACAATTATCTTTTAATTCATTTTCTATTTTTAACTTTAAGATCCAATAAATTTTGTTTTAAAAATCTTGAGTTATCCTAAGAATCTTTTTTATACTCCTCATTTGTATATTTAATTATTTTTTAAGATGAATGAATAACTTTTCATTTATTTTGCAAATCTTTTATTTTGATTTATCATCTTATGATCTATGTTCACAGAATTTAAATATTCTAAAAATCTTAAACTCTATGCATTTATAAAATTCTAAATTTTATAGGTAGACAGTTGTTCAAAATTCAAAATTCTAAATCTCTAAAATTCTAGAATTTTAACTTAAAAATTTTACTATCACTGCTTATTATAAAATGAGTAATTTATTTGTGTAAGGTTTAAGCTTTTGATTATTTAATTTGGTTTTTTTTTTTACTATGTCAGTAAATTCACTAAGTTTCTTTATTTAAATAAAATCTGACTAAATAAACTTCTTGAAATGAATTTAAAGCTGTGTGTTAAAATTATATCCAATAATTTGTTAAATAATTTATTTTTTTTGAACATATATCAAATTTATTTATATTCTCAAATAATTTCTCAGTTAGGTGCAATTTAGCCTTCTGTATTATATTTTTATTTTTATCTGTTAAGCTCATTATTGATATCTTGAATTTTAGGTCTCTTTGTAGGATCTTTACTTAGCATTTTATTAATAAGATTTGCAATATCTTGATTTGGTATTTTTTCCAAAAGTGCAGAAGCCCTTTAAATGCTAGGTGAGAATTTCTTTTTTCCTTCTTCGTTAGCTTAGATATACGCTTGAGCTTCACCATACATATCTGAATAATTTTCAGAGTATTTATTTATAAGATCTTTAACTTTAGGAATTGACTAAAATAAGGGAGCTAGTGTTAAAATTTAATGGAAGATTGCTCCCAGGGCCCAAATATCATCCTCAAAAGTGGATTTTTAGAATTGCAATTATTACGGTGACATATAAGACTGTTCAAAATAGAATCCCTAATTTAGAAAAAATAATTTAATAAAAACTATTTAAAATAGTAAAAAAAATCGATTACATCTTTATGATAGGTAGGGTGATTTTCAAATAAGGAATAGTAATTTAAAAAAAACTGTTATTGCTTTTAGCAGAAAGAAATATTTTTGACATTTAATTATCCATGATAAATGTTATTTTCATGCAAACTTTGTAATTATTAAGCAATGAGAGAGCAAATAATCAATTTTTCTTTTACTACTATTGTGCTTTTATGATCTAATTATCTTTTTTTTATTTACCTTAGAAAATCTTCAAGATTCCTTTCAAAAAATTCAAAGCCAATATTTATTTAAGTAGAACTTTATATTTTTTATTAAAACTTGCTAAATTCTAATAAATGATAAGGATACTCTTAATCTCCAATTTAATAAGTAATACTTTTTATTTCTGCACCATATTAATATTAATAATTCATTTGAGCTTGCAAATCATAAATTTTACAAAAATTTTAAATTAATTCTTAGAATTTCTAATTTGGAGATTATTATGAAGGGTATAATCTATATTATTTTAAAACCGTTTAAGAATTATCATTGTTTGTATCATCATTTTTCTTTATAATAAGACTACAGTAATAACTTTTAATATTCATTTTTTAAAATGAGTTTAAATTAAAAAGTATATTTTAATTCTCTGGCGTCAAAAAATTGTTAATGAAATTAAGATAGTCTTGGACCTCTTGATAGTCTTTTTCTATACTTTTTAATTGTTACCTGTATAATTATTCATTAATTTTTTCCATTTAGTATCCTGCTGCTGATGGCTTAATGTAACTATTCTAGCTTTATATACTTTATCCTGAAGTTGAGGGTATGCTTTACTATATACTTTATCCTTAAGTTGAGGGTTAGATATTTAAATTTTACATGCTTTACTAGACACTTAATATTTTATTTGCTTCATTTGTTTGATAATTTTGTATTTAATTAAATTATACAAAATTATTCTATTGTTAGTTTTGAACAAAGTAAGGATTATCAGCTTAATTTTTTTGATATAATTTATTCTAGTCAAAATATAATTATTGATTGTTGTTATTATTAAAATTATTATTCATAAGATTTTAATTGAAATTAAGTTACTAATAATTTACCATCTCTTAGTTTTAATATCCTTATTTTGTCAAATCAAAGTTATTTTAATTATTTTAAATATAATCAAAATTTTAGTATTGGTTGTTAATAACATTAATATTTACATTTTAAGGACTCTAAAAATTGATTTGTGCTTAAATGGTTTATTCTTAGTTGTAATTATTATTTAAGTATTATTAGTTAAAATTATTAGAGTAGTTTGGATTGTACCTTAAATAATTTTATTTCAAATTATCCATTTCTTTTTATTTTTATAAGATTTCCTATTCTATATTATTTTAAAGTGCCAATTATAATTCTTAACTGTTTAATATTTTATTTATTTCTTGTAGTGCTTAATCAGCACTAAATCTTTCTTCTGGTTTGCATTTTAAAAGATTGTCTATAAAATAAGCTACTTGTTTATTATTTACTCTTTACCAAGGAAGGTAAAAACCTATAAATTTCCTTTACTCAGCCATCATAGTTTCAGGTATACTATTCAGATCAATGTTTTGGGATTTCTCCCATTTAGATTTATAGGAGCCAAATTTTACAATATCTTTTGATACATTTTTTGGATAGTTACCTGGAAATAACTATATTCCTGTTATCATTTCATGTATTATGGCTCCAGCAGCCCATAAATCTATTTTATTGTTGTACGATAGCTTGTAATTAGAATCCTAATTATAAATTCCTATGACTTGTTCAGGTGCCATATAATTAATAGTACCTACTGAACTCTAAATTATAAGTATAAAAAAAAATATTAAATATGATTGTATAAAATTAATTGATATTATTTTATTTTATACTCATTTTCTTTTCATATACCATGGGCGATCTTGAATAAGGATTATAGTAAAAATAATATTTTTTAAATTTTTGATTTTTTAAACAATCCTTAATAAAAAACCCTCTTATCATAAAATTTTCTTATTAAGCAGCTCCCAAGGTATATAAAAAACAAAATTTTTCTGTTCATCTTAAAAAATAAGATATAAAAAAACTAATATCGAATTGTTTTAAATAAAATTTGTTTTTTTTCTCACTTTAATTAAAGTTTTTCCATTCATATTCAAATGCGAAATAATTAAAAAGAAAGTAGTTTTTTTAGGGAATTAATCATTTATTTAGTAGAAAAAAGAAAAATGGATGAATCTTATAATTGACTAAAACTTTAAAATCTAAACTGACTTGGAATATTTGATAATTTATTGAAATTTATTTTTAAAATGAATAATTAACTCTGATTTCTTTTAAATTGTATATTTATTTAATAAAGTATAATATTTTACGCATGTATCTGATATTAAAGATATGTTAAAATCTCCAATTTTAACTTTATAGCTTTAAGTAATTTCATCATAATTTAGAAATATGTTATCTGGTTTTAAGTCTCTATGAATTATGTTTAATGAATGCAATATTTATACCCCTTATAATATTTGTCTTCCAAACTGCATAGCTTGAATAATGTCTATTCTTCTATTTACTTATATAAATTTATAAGCCTCTAAATTTAATTCGCAACATTCCATTACAATATATGCACAATTTTCAGTTTAAATGACTTCAAAAATTTCTATTAAATTCATTTCATTTGAGTTATATTATTTATTTTCTTTTTAGAATTTCATAATCCTTTCACAAATATTTATCTCATTTTCATAATATTTATTCTCCTTATCTTGTTATAAACATTATTGACGACTGATCAGCTTAATTGCTGCTGGATAAATTTTTCCAGAAATAGGATCTTTAAAAAATCCTTTTTTAACATCACCAAATGAACCTTTTCCTAGATTACTATTATTATCATATTTACTATTTTATGATACTGCTATATAATTTAAATCCTCTCTTTCCATCTAAAACACCTTATCCTGTACTAAAGATTATTGATGACTCATCTGCTAAATTCCTGCTGGAAATGTATTTTTAGTATAAGGATCTATAAAAATTCCATTTTTAACTTCACCAAATGAACCTTTTCCTAGATTAGTATTATTATCATATTCATTATTTTATGATAATGCTTTATAAGTTAAATCCTCTTTTTCCATCTAAAATATTCTAAATATAATTTCATTTAAATTTATTTAATTAAAAATTTAGTTATTGAATTTGAAGAATCTTGTTCAATAATTTATAAATCCACACAGAAATAATGGGCTTTTATTTTTAATAATATATGTAGCATTATCATGATAAAAGCTTTTTTACAATTTTTTTTCTTCTTATTACTTTAAAAAAGAAATTAGAATATTTATCTTTTTCTTAGAATATTAAAGAATAGATTTTTAGAATAAATAAGATGAAATTATATTAAATAAATAAATAGAGAAAATTAATTACAAAAATGCAAACAAAACTAATAAAAAATATTTACTTTTAAAATAACAAAATAATTTATTAAACTTTTGAGTTATTCTTATAATTAAAAAAGAAATTTAAAATAGATAAAAAATAATAAATATCAATAATATATTTTAAACTTTTAAAAATACACCTCTTTAATTTTAAAAACAAACTAATCTAAAAGTTATTATTTTATCAAATTAAAAAAATTTTATTAATAAACTCTATTTTTATTTGTAAAATCATTAATTAATTCATTTTTTAATAGACTAAAAAAAATTAGCCGACAGCCAGAATCGAACTGGCGACCTTCTGCTTACGAGGCAGACGCATTAACCACTTTGCTATGCCGGCTTTGTTAATAAATATTATAGTCAAATTCTTAATCCTTTAATAGAGAATGATTTTTGCAAATCCACACAAGGCTAAATTATAAATTTTTAAATTAAACTGTGTTTAAAATTAAATTTTAGGTATTGAAAAACTCTATTTTTAATTTTACTGAAAAAAATTTTCAGAAATTGAAGGAGAAAACTAAAAAAATTTAAAAATTAGGATTAATTTTCTTATATTTTAAAATAAAAAATCGTCATTGTTTGGGATTGATCCTTTGGCATGTCTTTTAAATAGCTTTGCCTCTCTCATTATTTAAATTTAAAATAATTCTGTATTCCAAAATAAATATTATTTGATTTTTAAAGTTTTATTAATAACTAAAATAAAGAATAAAAAAATTATTTTACTTTTCTAAATAATAATAAAACCTCATAATAGATAAATATATTCTTATTGATGAATACTAATCTCTCAAAACATTGTAGAATGATGATGTCTTATTTTATGATAAAACGAATTAAAATATTCAATATATTTTTTCAGCATTTAAATGTTTATTTACCTAATAATGCTTTTATTTATATTTTTTAAAAACTAAGCAGTTTTTATTAAAAAACCATCCATGTTGAAGTTAAAAAATGCACCGACCGGGAATCGAACCCGGGTCAAAGCGATGGCAACGCTCTATTCTACCACTAAACCATCGGTGCTTACGATGAAAGTCTAAAATAAATAATACTGCTAAATATGATTTTATTTGCTTCAAAATATTTTTTTTTCTATTTTTATTATTAAGAAGGCTTATAATTAAATTTGATTTGACAAAAAGTTATCATAAAATATTGCTTTTTTTAACTTAAATCAAATTAAATTATTTAAAATAAAAATATAAAAGAGCAAAAATGCACCGACCGGGAATCGAACCCGGGTCAAAGCGATGGCAACGCTCTATTCTACCACTAAACCATCGGTGCTTTCGGTAAAATATTTTGATTTTAATAGAAATTATGGCAAAGTTTACTGAGTTAGTTTGCTATTTATTTATATTATTTTCTTTGAGATGAAGTTCCTCTTTATTTATCTGATACTATTTCTGATCGATTATTTAATTAGAATTTCAAAAAATATAATGTTGATAGGTGGAGTGTAGCAAGATCAAATTTAATACTCATTTTAAGAGAGTATTTTAAGTTGTTTGTTCAACTCAAATCTCAACAATCAGAAAAAGCTTTATGCAATACAGCTTTAAGCCTGAATAAGTGTGAAGTAGGAATTTTTCATATTTTGAAGTGGCATTTATGATTGTTTTTATAGAAATTTATTTATCCCAAAAGGATTTTTACAAGAATGTAAGTGAATTGAGGATTTTATAGTAGAGAGCCATAAAAAATTTAAATTTATTACGCATTTTCATAAATAATAGGGGGAAATAGTTTAATAGTAAATTTGTAGAAGCTAATAATAGCAAAAAACAATCTCTATTATGAAAAATTATTGATAACCGAAAAATTAGTAATATAATAAGTGCATTTAATTAATCATAATTTTAGATGATTTTGTAGATAGTTTGCAATATTGATACTTAGTCACAAAATTTAATAGGATTAATTAATCTTTAAGCTTAACAATCTTTCCGAATTCAATCAAAATTTCTTTTTTTAATCTAACTTTATAATATTAATTTGTAGTCTGCATTTTAATTTAAAAAATCCCCCTCCGATGCTACTTCTCATCAATTTTTTAATTTTTTTGCAGCATTTTCAATCTTAAAAGAATCAGACATTAAGTAAAAATAATCCCTTTTTTTATCAAAACTACTTAAAGATAGGTAAAACAAAATTGCTTAACATTTTTAGGTGCTGCTCTAGATTTTATATTATACTCTCACTTTTATAGTTTAATCTTTTGCAAGCAAGCTGACTTAATTCGATTATAAATGAATAATGAAATTTTACTTAGGATAGTAAATTTATAGCAAACAAAACTCAATTTTTTAATATCTAAACTGAGATTAACACTTGAGCTGATAAGTATTATAAACGAGCAAACATGAAGATTGATAAATATATTTGATTTGTGTTTTGAGAAACATTTAGTTATACCTTACTTTAATGGTCCGTGGCAAAAAATACGTAATCTGATTTAGAAAAAAAGAAAAATAAACAAGAGATAGTAAAAGCAAACTTCAAATGACGTAAGTATTGGCGAAAGTGATCTAATCTTCTAGAATTAAATTCACCTGCTTAATTTTTTAATAGAATGATAAGTCGCGCTTTAATAATACACACAACTTTTAAAATACGGTTTAATTCGATAGTACCAAATATTAAATCAATAATCTTTTAGATCTCTTATTCTTCTTGCGAAACATTCCATTAAGTATTCATTTTACTATTATCCATTATTAACACTCACCGCTATATAACCGACACTTCTGAAAATTCATAATATTATTCTTTAAAAAATAAATCTCAAAAAAGATATTCAAAGTATTGCCATAAAAAAAAAAAACAAAACAAACAAACCCAAGTTAACTAAAGGTACAAAATATAAACGACCAAAGTCAAACACACAGCCACTACCTATTAAGCACAAAATTAAAAACAAACATCTTTAAATTTCCGAAAACTACTACCATAAAAAAATGATCATTAACAATAAACTCGTTTACACACTCCCTATCTCTGAACCTCGTAATGGTGAAACTGCCGTCTACCGTCATCCCTTGGCAATTGATGGATTCAAATATCTCCCTGATGCTACCACAAAAACCATCCAAGATGTCATTGAATTAGCTGTGAAGAAATATGCTGACAGAGAATTCATCGGTTCTCTCAATCCAAGTACTGGAAAATATGAGTACAAGTCTTACAAGCAAATTTATGATTTAGGATATGCTATTGGCTCTGGTTTAGTTAAGCTTAACCTCACCAATCATGTTGAAGAATTCATGGATTACAAGCTCGATGTTATTGGTAAGAATACAAAATTATGAATATCAAAATTTGAATCTAAAATGCAAAACAATAATTAAAAGAGTTAAATTTAATTCTCAATATTATAAATAATAGGTATTTATTGTTAGAATAGAGAAGAATGGACAATTTGCGATATGGCTAATGCTATGTTTGGTTTCACAATGATTCCTCTTTACGATACTTTAGGTCAAGATGCCATTTCCTTCGTATTAGAAGACTCTAATATCACTGCTTGCTATGTCTCAGCAAAGACTTTACCAAGCTTATTATCATTGTAAGTTTTTAAAATCCAGACAGACAAATTTGAATATTTATATTTTAGTTTTTGTGGCAGAGATGTAATTTTATTTCCTTTCAGTCTTATTTTGACCTTTGGAAATATATCAAATATTTCTAAATTCTTTTCTGATGAATCCTTAACTAATAATATTATAAAATTTTCACAATAACAAAGCCTTTCGATGATGCAACTATCTCATATTTAAAACGATAAATATAAATTTTTTTGTCTCGCGTATTATTTTTGACAAATTTAGTAGTACGAAAAGAAAAAAAAATACTATTCCTGACAAATTAATTTTTCGTCATTAATATTCTTTTATTCTTTTTTCTAAAAATTTCTTAGTCTTAAACAGATTTAATTAGATATCTGATCAATAAATAAGTATGGCTAAATCCAAAATTACATTTTCTATTATTTGCAAAGCATGCAACCAACACTATTTAGCAACATTAATAAGTATAACATTCCAACCACTATTCTAAACATTAAAGAGGATCAATCTAATAAAATTAGTTTCTTAATATTAAATTGACATAATATATATAGAGAAAAA